GAACATAAAGCACCTGCAGTAACGGCTCCTGACCAATTCGCATCTCAATCATTCTCATAACAAGATGTGACTTGCTCCAAACAATCTCCAGGTTCTTCCCTGAAGTCAGATGAGGATGCATATGAGGGGACCCTCCACCTGGGGACTCTGGTGCTTGACCTGAGGAGGAGCCTTGTACACTGGATGACGATAATGTTCCTGCACTGTGAAGAGGAGGTAATCCTGGGCCCTGCATTTCATACTGGCAAACTTGTTTGGATTCCTGTGCACAACATATTCAATTTTCACATTGTTATTTTCAAACCTATCTTTCAAATGGTTGCTGGCAGTTAACACAACTTGATATTGAAGTATAAGGCACAGGCTCCAAACGGGCTCTATGACAGACTGACTTACCTCTCTTATCCAATGTCTGTACTCATTTTTACCAAACATCTTTTTCATAAATAAACCAAACAAGTAACCAGATATACCTCTTGAAAGCCAAAAATCTGACCTAAAGAAAAACAACAAATTCTCATTCAAAAGTGCTATATTATGGTTTCTGCATCTAGAAAAATTTGGATTTTAATTTTGTCCCTTGTAACCAGATCTATATCTGCCATACTTGACTGTCCTTGTCTCTGTCTGGTTGATTCTTGCACTCTGATATTTGCTTAACCCAATAACTTATGAAAAGTTCCTCACAACACAGACTACAATCATTATGATAATACAGCCACAGCATAAGTTGGACACATAGGTTTAATTATATCAAATTCTTCTGTAATTAAAAAAAAAGGGAACATGTTAATAATTATTTGAAGTTAACCAATTAGTGTCTAATTACCACGTTTGTATGCATAGATAACATCCAAAGAACTGCTCAGCTAATGCCTGTGATAAATACTTCCTAGTCTCAAATCCCTGATCAATAACTCTTGAGGAGTGAAGAAGACTAGTGCTGGAATGAAAAAAAGAATTTTTTTTGATGAGGTACAACAATAAATCATCTCTTTTTCTCTTAACTTGCAACAGGTTACAGTACTGTAATGGCAGCACTCACTTAAATATTGTCATGGATGCATATGGTGACAGGATGTCATAGGCTTGATCTACAAAGACCTGCTTGTAATAAGTGTATGGATAACGGCAGCTTAAATATTCTTCATAGAACTCAAATGCCTCATGGAGAAATGCTGTGGCATTTTTGAGAACTGGGCGTAGACCAGGAAGACAAAAGTGGGTTACTTCTGGCATAACAGGGTCCACATGGATCTCAAATGGTCTGCAAGAGACAGGGTTTTCCAGCATTACATACTATAAACATTTCTCTTGGATAGCCTTTTCACAAAACATTATTTTTATGTACAGGACTAAGGGTTTTGACTGAAATCACATACCAGTAGTCTTTTAAAACACTTAAATTCAGTTGTGAGATCCATCCAACAATCAAGTTGTTGTGTCTCAGAAAACAGTCCAGACTATTAAAAGCAATTTATCTCTATTTTTCAAGTACTTCAACATTCAGCTCTAAATTTCTGTTACTTCTCAAGAATGTAAGACACTGTACAAGCTCTGTATCTACCTTTACACAACAAAATCAAGTTATTAAAACCAAAGCCTTGGAAGCTTGTTTAAAGAAACTTAACGCCTAAAATAACAAAAACTGTTTTGTTGGGGGAAGTATACATTGTTCCAGAAAGACAAAGTAAAATGAATTGTGACTTACCCAACAGCCAAAGCAATATTAGGAGCAGAGGTAGGAATAGAGAGGGTGTAATGATAGGTTTTCTTCTTTTCATCTGGAGTCAACACCTATAAAGAATTACCATCTGATTCAATAACCAGTAAATACCCAGAATTCAACACAGCAGTATACATTTTCATAAGAATGATGGCTTATATGAAGTCCAAGATTTACATCAAACGGGAATGACACCACTACATAGAAATAAAGAAATCTATTCAACGAGCAAATCACATCATGTTCAGCACAATTACTTTTTCCAGTGAGTCACCAAGAACACATTTTGTCTCCTTTAGCCAACACAGAATTCCTGCGAAACGTTTTCTTGATACCTTCCCTTCTTAATGTGGAAAAATTTCCCACGGTTTGGGCAGAATGCTGTACCCAGCATTAGAAAAAACAAAGAAGAAAATTTCCCTCACGTCAGCAATGCATCTACACTGTATAGAAGGTTTACAAATACCAAAGGAAACTACTAAATGAATCATAACAACATCAGTTCAATTATAAAGTTGACATAAATTATGACATCAAACCTGTTCTTTAAGATCACCACAGCTTACAGCAACCATGTCTTTATCAACAGTGATGTCAATGTTCCATGTGCACAGTTCAGAGTAACAATCCACACAAGGAAACCACAGCCTACAAATGATCACAAATCAATATTTGTCAACTCAATGTACAAAGGAGAATGTTACAAAGGATTTCACACCATAAATTTCCACTAAGCAAAAAATACAGTCATTATTTTGTCAAGGATGTTTTAGCCTGTAACAATTCCAGCCTTTTCTGATGTCCATTATAGTATTGTACATTATTGAGAGACTTCAAAAAACTCTTCCACTGTTTCCTAACTGAATAGCTAATTAATAGCCAAAATTGTTGCAGGATCACTTCTATCTCAGGTGGTCAAATTCACCAAAAGCTACACAGCATCCAAAGTTGTACACTACTCAGTGAGAGCAATAGAAGTAGCATATTCTATGATTAAGTCAAGCTTACCTTGAAGAATTTGCACAACCATAGCTAAACAAGTGAGCTGACCGCTGCAACAACGTATATAGAAATAGTTCAAATTGGTGGATATCAATACCATGAATAGCCAGAACAAACCAATAGAGATCTCCCTTAATTCAATGTTTTTTATGGCTGATATACATTTACAACCAAAACATGTATACAAATTTTAAAAACTATGTATTTAAATGAAAAACTAATGCTACAGTTCTAACAAGTGTGGTTTTTTTTTTTTGTTCCAAAGTGAACATGCACACACAGACTGTAAAAATTCCGCCACAAATATCCAAGGTGAGGTGAGGTTGATTTAACATGATCAAAATTACACATCCTTTGTTATCACAGTACTTGAATGTCCTCAGAAATTTAAATCAATAGAAGGGGCAATTGTTCAAAGGGGGATTCATTCCAGGGGAGGCAGTGAATCAGGGATTTACACTGAAAAAATATTTATAGGTTAACAACAATTTTTTGGATGCATATTGGTTGAGCATCTGAATAAAAGAGGGGAGCTGGCAGCATTTATGTAATACCCTAAACAGATTAAAACTACTTCATACCTGAGACATGGTACCTTCACCTTTGGGAATAACAAATTGTATTCCTCCTAAAGGATGCTCCAGTGAAAACTCAATGCTCACACGAAACTGTTTACCTTCTTCATTAAACAATAAGTAAAGAATAAAAATAACAAATAGTTAGTACAATTAGACATATTCCACCAGAATATGATAAACTGAAGTATATCTTCTTAGGAGTGAGAGAGATAAGGAGTGAGCTAGTGGTTAGCTCACTGGATTCTTGCTAGAGAGGTCTACATTCAAGCCCTGGCTGAGTCACTGTGCTGTGTTCTCCACCAAGGCAGTAACTACATTTAACCCTTCAGTGCTCCTCACCTGCCCAAAAGTATACCTAGGTACTAGCAGAAGATTTTCATATCATTATTCTTACCATGTGCACAAGACAACACTTCTTTTGGAATTCTAACAGTTAGTTCCCCTCCACCAGTCTCAGGATCCACAGCATTTACAGAACTCTGCATGCATGCCAAGAAATGATCCAGGTTTCTCCTATCATAATAAAATGTTTTTAATAAAAAGAAATGCAAAGAATGGATGAAAGACTAGTAGCACATGATTTCAGTGTCTTCATCTCACTTTTATCAAGAGTGTAGAGAATAGACTGAAAATTCTGTGGGAGCTCTAATTTACATTCTTCCATGATGGGACCATTCATTTCCTCTGCAACACACAGTCTGTTGAGAGTTATCTTTGTTACAATAATTTTGTGACAACTGCAAAGACATTACTTTCGGTACAGTTAAACCTTGTTGTTAAACCAGTTCACTCCTTCATCTATGTTCTAAAGCATTTTAACTGAACCAGTGAGTTAACAACATATTCTTAGGGTCACTTATTAACTGAATTGTAAAGAACCTTTAGCTTTGTTTACTGTTAGCCTACTTTTTGTTATCTGGGCAGACAACTTTTCCTGGATCATCCAGTTGAAAACCAGCATCATACCAGTCATGTTCCCCTGATCTCCTTTCATCCCGGACACAGACTCGCATGATTCATTCACCAAGTCAAGGTACAAAACACGACCTTTGTTACACTCACTCTCCTTACCTGTTTAATTTAAGAATAACCTGTTTCATCAGGCCAGCAAGAAGATAATACGCTCAAGAAAAATATTAAAAGGATATTGCATTGCTTTGAGTTCAGCTTTACTCTTGTTAGGTTGCTTGTAAGAGGTAGGATTCTCAGCTCTACGTAACCCTACAACAAGCAAAACAAGTAATTCTAAGTCAAATGTATTTTGTTGTGAACATTCTGTTTGGATAAGTCTCATACTCTGATCTGTCAAAATGTGTAATTTAATTAGTTTTTTTACTTACAAACAGGCATTTTCGCTTGAAATCTATCGACGTTATGCACAGCGTCTGGTGAATCGTATATAAAAGACAATTGCAAATAACAAGTAAATATTAAGCATTCGACAAAACACCATCTGCCATGCCAAACACGTGTGGCAGTCGAAAAGATAAGAGAGTCATATAATAAGACACTTATAATTTAAAATTCCTCGGCGACTCGCTTCCTTTTCTCATCTTTGCTGGCTGAAAAAAATCAAGTCAAGCCAAGCTTTCTTTCTAGCTGTCCACTGATTTGGCCGCCATTTTGAAACAACTGGTTACCATGCTCTTGGAGACAAAAGGTGGAGGACTGGGAAGACAACAATGCTAATCGATTCTTCATGTAAGAGAAAATCCCCAAGCGTTCTATTCACAAATGCAGCACTCTGATGGGCTATACTACTCACTCATCATTCGATGGTTGAAGGCAAGTAATGAGAATGGTCTAAAATGGGTGGTTGATAAAACAAAAATATAGCAAAAACACAGGTCTGTCTTTTTAGTTAGTTTTGGACATCTGGAAGATTTATACTGAAACAATTAGATAATTTGCTCTTTATTTCTGTACATGACACTAGATGGAGTTGCATTTTTAATAGAGTTACTAGAATGAGGGTCACATACCCTTGAGTAAGAAAATTCTGGGAATCAAAAAATGGGAAGAATCTTGGATAAAAAGTTGTTTCAGTTGCCTAAAAGTGGTCTATGACTAGCTGCAAACTAGATTGTAATGGGGTAGGGATTCTGAGAGGCAAGAGGCCAGAGGTCAGTTTCCATCTGACATTTCATCTTAGCATAGGTCCAGGCCAGATTTTGAAACAGTGTTGGTAATTCTATTAACAGTGGCTCTTTAACAATGTGTGCACAAAAATTTCTACAGTTACAGTGACACATGATTCATGAATGACAAGGAAAATGAGATTTGAACCAGGGATGAAAGATAGTATACATGTACAAGTGTGCTAAACATGTACAACCACTTTTGTGCAAAGTTGCCTCTGCAGAGGTACAGAAATGTAACACATTAAATTAACAACAGTTTATACAATAAACAACATTTGTGATAAGTTAAAAAATGACACAGACTTTTTAGTCAGAGACTGCATCATTTATTTCTGTAGTTGTGTGAACAAGCCTATGTGTTCTCAAATTGCTGAAATACTTAAAGTTCCTGAAGCAAACTTCACACTGAAATAATTGTCCATTTGCATGATGTGGTGTCTTGCTATCAATATGAGACTGTGCAATTGTTTTCTTGTGCACTATGTTCATGTGGGATTTCAAATTACTAAAATACTTGAATTGTTTAATACACAAGTGACACTGGTAAGGTTTCTCAGCTTGAGGAGAAAGTATAAATCCAGTTGCAGAATCTGTAAATTCTGTGTTTTCATTAAAGCTTCCCAGAGGAGGTACCATAGGCTTTTTCTTGTCTTTACTTCTTCTGCGAACTTTTGTTAGAATATATTTAGGTGACTCCCACAAAGAGACAAGAGAATTTTCCTTCATGTTGCCTTTCGCCATGCTTTCTGCTCCATGTTGGTTATCATCACTTGAAGGATTAATCTTTCTCATTTTGGAGCTCAGTCTTGCCCTTCACAAAAAATGAAAAAAGAAAAAAAATTAAATACCTGATCAGGTTTTACTTTCTATAATTCTCAAATAATTATTTAACTTCACCAGTGCAGATCAATTCAAAAGAGCCAAAATTTTTTTCTCAAGGTTTCTTTCTGAAATTTCTTTGATTGTAGTTTGAATGCAAGGATCAATTTGTCTCTCAATTATTTAAGTTTACATCAACTTGGCTACTGATGATGATTACACTCCAAATTTTTTTTTCAGGCCTTATTTTCACTACTTCTTAAGTAGTGTTCATTACTGTGAAAATCGCTTTCATATTCATTTCTAAATCTGCCGTTCACATAAATGTTTTGCATATCTTTCCAGTCATTTATAATTACACCCAAAGGAAATATAATGCAAGTGTTCCAAATCATTTTGAGTTATGCCAAACTGTTTCCATCACTAGTTCTGTTACCTGTCATAGTCTTGTGAATTTTCCTTGTGGCTGCCACTGGTTATTAAGTCCTCCTAGAATAAAGAATAATGTGAGGAGAGCACAGTTCTGCAATTTTTTTTTATCTATTTGTCTCTTGTTTATATAAAACTCAAAACTACACCGTAAATATTCTTCAGCATTGAAGTCAACTTTTTTAGGGCGATTATAAAAATATTTGATATTTCCTTTTTGTTATTTCCATAGCCCCCTGAGTTAATCTACAATTCACAATTAAGCCTACACGGCATGAGATCGGGTAAACAACCACTTTGTGTCCAAAAATCTCAGCACAGGTAAAATCTGAAAGTATTACCTCACTCTTTCTCTTTAATCTTCTTGATTTTAAGACTGTTTTATCTTCCATGTTTTCCACTTTTCCTACTGAAACGACTATGGATATGATAGAGGGCGTCAAGTGCTACAATTCATTTTTCATACACAGAAGTCAGCATAAGTACAATACGCTACCATCGATGTCAAAGCATAAACAATGAATTTGCCTATATATAATCTGGTATGGAATTCATCCATACCTTGAATCTCCTCCTTGATCACAGGGACATATGCTCCAATAAAACACGTTATTCTTTCAAGCTTCTAATACTTGTCTAAAGATGGGCTAAAGGTTAAGGGTTGAAAAGTTTAAATTATTTTTGACAGAGAACACAACGAACTTCAAAATGGCCGCCAATAGTTTTAAAAGACCACAATGCAATTGGAGTAAACTTGGAGAGGAACTCGGAACTAGTGTATTCTTGGTTGCATTTCGGCGCGAAATAATAATCGATTAGATCGCAAACTTTTACAGATCGACGCAAATTTCGAAGGAAATATGCAATTCAGTAGTGGCAGGAAACGGAGAAGCAGAATTCCAACGTTAGAAGGCACCAAAAATGGCTGGAAGTATCCATACGGTCTGCAAATGTATAAGATTCCTCCTACAGACAACATAACATTGGAGGACTTTGAGGAGTTTGCAATTGACCGATTGAAAGGTATTTGCTGCATCAAACGTTTGCGACGTTGAAATTCATTTTTTCTAAAGTAATTGTCAACTGTAGCTTTCCCATTTGTCATTTTATGAAAATTTGTCGATAAGATACTTCAGGGTAGGTTGACAGATATGCTTTACGCCTTTTGCTTCAAGGCAAACCACAAAGGAACCTCATTCACATGAGATGTACATTTCGATATTAACATTAACAGTGATAATAACATTTTAAAAGATGTGAATAATTTTGTTTCTACTGTTGGTGTTGAATATGTTATTAATTGTTTTAGTAATTATTATTACTACAATGATTTTGAAGATGATGACAGTGATGATAATAATAATAATAATAATACTAATGATAATAGTACAAAAGTTTATCACAATGGTAATGGTATTAATAGTAACAATGATTGCAATGATAATAATGGTGATATAACTGATCTTATTCTAGAAAATTACATAATCTGTGCATTTATAATGAGTCTTAATTAAAAGCAAGTTGATTTAGTCATTTTAACTTATTTTTTTTTGCTTGTGAGCACATGGAAATATCATTCAAATTTTTTCATAAAGTTCTCAGAGAAGTTGAAACATTGGGGATACGTCACAAAAGAGGTTCACAGCAATATAATACTGCCATGAAGGAAAGTCTTAAAAAGTTCTTACCACAGGAGCAAAAAGCTCACAAGGTAACTGAAACATTCTACTTTCCAGTGGTGTTTGTTCATCATTAACATTACTTGAGAACCTATACCTTACAAACAATAATCTTTTTCAAATTTTTTTCTTTTCATAGAATCGAGAGGCTCAGGCAACTGTTGCCGAGAGAAGGAAAGATCACATTTCTCATTTTATTCTACGCCTTGCATATTGCAGATCGTAAGTACTTCTGTGATACAATGCAATTGGAAGTAAATCTTAATTTTTGGAATTTAAACAAACTCAAATATAATTTTATATTGATTTTATTTTCAGGGAAGAACTTAGACGGTGGTTCTTGTCACAAGAGGTTGAGCTATTTAGGTAGGTATCTGAGCTGTACCAATTATGCCTGGAAATTACTCACAGTAATGAAAATGGTATATTTGACAAAATTTTGTCAAATTTAAATCAGCTTGGCTTATTTTTTGCCATTTTTGTTAGACATACAATGCAATGACATTTTCTGGACATACCTAAAAAAATTTATATCAACCTTTTTTTCTATGTCAGATCTCGTTTCATAGAAATGGCAAAATTTGATCCAAAGGTGGCAGATGCTTTCCTTCTGGCCAATGGACTTAAGTATGAAACTGTATGTATTCTGACATTAAAACTCTTTAGAGTTGTGGTAAATAATCTACATATTTAATGTACAGTCATTGTTGTTCATTTCTGCAAGACAAGTCTTTAGAAAATTGATGATGTGGAAACTTTGGATCACAAGCAGAAGATTTGCAATCATGAACATACCTTATTGCAGTTTTTATACAGTCCTCTTGTCCTCTCGCATGGTTCCTCAAAACAAAACCTTTAATTCAGAAGACATCACATTAATCTTATATGAGGGTGGTAACTCACTTGTGATCATTAGTGCCTCATTGTTGTTGACATTGAGGGAATTTCAATATTTTGATTCCTTTACATTGATCATCAACTTATACTCTTCTTTTCTACAGATTGATGAAGAAGAGAAAAATCAAAAGAAAGTAGAGTTGATGAATTCAGGTTTCCATCTTACTATTGACAAAGTCTTGGCTACTGAATACTTTAAGGTGAACTTTCTACTCACTCTTTAACAGTTTACCTGCCATAAATGACTATCTTGTTTACAATTTCTTCTTAAACTGTACATATGATGTGTAATAAACAGGTGAAAAAAATCCTCCTACAAAATTATTAAGGAAATCTATGGAACTTCCTGTGAAAATTTCTCCACAAGATATCTATCCAATTGGTAATGAGATTGTCTCAACTGATCACTAAGTAAATAAAGGAGTAATCTATCTTCATTACTTCCACCTTAATAAATTTTCCATTGATGAGTGTAGTTTCTTTATTTCAGGTTCCTTTTACTGATGCCCTTGACCTTGTGAGATCTAGGAAGGTTTACTTGGAAAATGTAAATATTCTTTACAATCAAGATGCTTAGCAGTACTCATCAGGCAATATTTTTATCTGACTTTTTGATAGTTTTGTGGCCATTAAAACTTGAAAAGTGTAGGCTGATATTCATTCTCAGATCTACATGTGATATGAATGATAATGAATCAGATGCAAACATTGCATAATTTTCAATATTTCTGGAAATCTACATCAATGATAGTTGGTGGCCAACTTTTGACCAATATGTTTATTGGATAAGAATTGTTACTTTTATGTGTATTGTGTGACTAAGCCATTGAAAAGGCTCTAAGAACCCTTTTGGAGGGGTTCTTAGAGCCTTTTCATGATCCAAGGAAAAAGGAAGACAATATGAAAAATAGGAAAAGATCATTAAAACTTCCTTGTAGCATTCAATTAACTTGGTATACTGTTTATGTAATAAGTCTTAAAAAAATGCTACATTTTGAAGGAGTCACATGACAATAACAGACCAAATTATATTACATTTGTATCTTTCTTGCAGGGCAAAGCTTTTATCCCCAGAGATGACCTTGTCTCTCTTGTCGCAAATGAATTTCGGATGCAGCTGTCTCGTGCATTGGCTGTGAGTAGTAAATTATTACAGTTGTTTTCCTCAGTAGTTGTGATAGTCTTACTAGTGATAGGCATACTGGACTGCTAAACAATGTCTCAGTTTGAGCAAGTAAGTTACAGTGACTGACTGAAAATTAATCTTTTTAATATTTCCACTTAAGATGACTGCAAGAGCATTACCATATCTGGAAGAAGATGAGAGATTGTTACCAAAGTTAACAAACCTCAGGTACATTTTTAAACGAACATGATAAGATACTCTCTGTTCTGCATTTGCAAGACTCTTACATTATAACCAAGTGCTTTGGATGGTTCAGGGGGTTTACATCAGGTTTCGTAATATAAAAACCACTTAAATGCCACAGTAAATCAACAGGTAGTAACATACTTTCTTGTTCAGCCGACAGTATGTGGGGCAAGATTACAGCCTCAAGAAAATAGCAGGAGGCAAAGTTACTTTGGATCAGATTGATGGAGTGAGTTGTGATTGTATTTTTGTTTGAACAGACATTTAAATTCATCTGCCATGGCAACACATAATACTTGAAAACAGTGAAAAGAAAGACAATGCCAGAATATTTTTTAGATGAAGTGTAATACAAACATGTATAACTGAAACCAGAGTGATGATGACAGCTTATCAGACTAAAGCTTAACATTGCCAGGAGCCAATCAGTACTCAAAGGAAATATACATTACCAAACTCAAGCATGACAAGGCATGAGTGACTATGTCCCAATTAGTTTTAATTTTGCATCTGATCACTTGAGAAGGTGGCACAGGTTTTAAAGATAAATTACAAAGTGAAGGCAGGTAAAAGAGAATCAAAGCAATCAAGGTTTACTTATCACACACCCAAACATTTCTCTTCACTCTTCCTTTTGACTGAAGCTTGTATTTCTCAAATATCAAGCAACAGGGATTTACCAATGCCACCCAACTGCTACAATGTTCCACAGAATTGATCCCAACATTTTTCTTTTTTTTTTTTTTTTTCACAGTTGTCAAGGACTTCATACCCTTTGTGTATGCGCCAACTTCATACAGCTCTTAAAGAAAATCACCATTTGAAGCATGGCGGTCGTCTGCAGTATGGCCTGTTTCTCAAGGTCAGTTGTAAACATTTACCTTTGTGTTTAAGGCTTAAGACAAATTTGACTGTAAAACTCCCACACAAGCTGGTTGGGATATTAAATATTTTTGAGGGTGACATATTTAACTTTCTTGGATGTTTCTTTTCAGGGCATTGGTCTGAGTTTGGAAGAAGCACTCATCTTCTGGAGGGCAGAGTTCACAAAACTAATGGATGTGGACAAGGTACGAGTGCTAGTTGGAGAACATTTTGTGACTTGTTCAACTGTTGAGTTATCATCTTGTTTTTTTCTATCTGGCAACCCCTTTCAATGTACCTGTGTTTGGGTTAGGAACAGGTTAATTGGTCATAAGAGTTAGTTGTTTTTTCATTGTAGTTTGACAAGCAATATGCATACAACATCCGTCATAACTATGGAAAAGAAGGTAAAAGAGCTGACTACACACCATACAGCTGCATGAAGATTATCATGTCCAACCCACCAGGACCTGGAGATCATCATGGTATGTGTAACTAACTGGTCTGGTTGATTGATAGACTGACTCACTCAATCACTGCTCACTGACTTGCTTACTTCATTCAAAAATTCAGTGATTAACTGATTGACTGATTTGATAGATCTAATGAGGGCTTAATGAGGAATTGCTTGTATTGATTGTTGAATTGATCAAGTTCCTGACTGATTGACTGTCTGACCAATTGACTAACTAAAGAGGACATGTTTCTAAAGAAACTGTAGTGCTGTGTCAGTGGGGGAGTATAACAAGATAATTTTGGTATTACCAATTGAATTGGTAATGTAAATTGGCCACCATCAAGAGTTTTAAAGCTGACATTTTGAGCATTGGCCCTTTGCCAGAGCAATTGAGTGACTGATTGATTGATATTTTATTTCAATAATCCATCATTGGAGATAAGCTGATTCTATCCTTTGCTGACAGGGTGCCCATTCAGACACTCAGATGCTGATCTGTTGCGTCAGCGGCTAGCAGCATACAGGGTGCCCAAGAAAGGAGTTGATGAGGTAACTCAGAATATTCTTTGTCACACTGAGAGCAATGTTTGATCAGCCCTCTGTACTCAATTAGCCAATACTATTCTAGTCAAGTAACATTAAGTAACATCAAGTAAAAGTCAGACAAACTTGTGACACGTTTCAGTAGTAATTTAGCAACTTGAGTTTGTAAACTCTTTTTGCAATATGTAAACTTTCTTTGCAGATAATGGCATTTGTGAAAGAGTCTCATTATCAACTGGCCTGTACAAGATATTATGAACTGACTCATGGGGTAGGATAAACAACTGTTTTCATATAATATCACATTGTTACATTGTAAATAGTCATGTTACCAAATCTAAGATTAACAGTGTTTTAAGCAAGTGATATTTGTACATGATAGTGGGATTGGATTAAAAGTATTACAGGTATCACAAGTACTACAGATAATTTGCATCACACATTCATGTCCTCTTGTTACAAGTGAGATCCTAATCAGCATTAGAAGAGTTTTTCTGCAAAACTGCCCGGTGTGTGATGTAAACTTTGCAAATACTGAAAATGACCAATTTAACTGGTAAGAGGGTTTAAATTGTTGTTTTCCTATCAATTGGATGACCAGGTTATGGCCGATTCAGCTATCAATCATCCAAACCAATACTTTGATGAGAGCCATCAGGTCACCCAGAAGGAAAAGGGTGGGGCATCCAGAATGGGAAGTGCCACACCTAGTGGAATACAACATGGGAGGGTTGCTGTCAAGAAAGAGATCAACCCTGATAACATAGTAAACATCTCAAACAATGACCTAGGCGATTTTCACATGGATGATAACGATGATGACATTCTAGGAGAGATAGAAAGAATGGATACCATAGCATAACTGTCAGAATGAATCACTGCTGCAAAAAGTTTTACAACTGTATCGTTTCAATATGACTGTCATTTAACCAACATGTGATCAATGACTAATGACCAATGTGTCAGATCAATAAATAAAGAAAAATAAATACCTCAGCCTTACATTGTTGTTTAATTTAATTGTTTTTCTCACAATGAATATTTTGGTGTTATGTAATAAATCTACTGTACAAAAGTTTTAACTTACTACATTGTGTCATTTCACATCTTTGCTTAATTTAATAGCTATAGGCTTTAACAGGTTTCTTGGCAGTTTTGTTTGTTTTTTGTTGTTGTTAATGCTAAACTCAGCCAACTGAGTGCTTAATAAATTTTCTAATTTAAGAGAGCATCATTTCAGCATACAAGTATGTACACACAGCTGTGCCAATGGCAACTTGGGTTATTGGCACAGATGTAACACATGCAAGCATTAAGTTTCTCAACAAATCAGGAGTGGAACCAAGTTATCACATTTGACTATCCCCTTTACCAAACAACTATGAAGAGACTGTAAAAATTACTCTCCATTTAAGATTTGAAATCTAAAGAAATTCAACTCAAACTTGTGACTCGTGTCTTCTAAGTACTAATCAACTCTTCATCTGAGTCATCATCACTGGAATCCAGTTCCTCATCTACCACTGACTTGCGTTTCTTTGCTATGGATACTCCTAACCCAATCACATAAATCTGTCACAAAAAAATGAGTATTCAATTAATGGCATTATATTAATACCATGGCTGCACCTTAAAACAATTTTTATAAACATCAAGTTTTACAAGTCTAACAGGCCCATTACATGAAGCATATCATGGTTATTTTGACATAAAGCCCCTCCTGGCAGTTCTGCCACTCTCCTGGATTGATTGTAAGTCAGTTGCCAGTTTACACCCCCCCTCCCCTCTCCCCCAACCATTTCAACAGGTTTAACCAAAAGTTTTTGGTAGCCATTTATACTCAGAGGTGGGGAAGGCTACAGCCAGAGTGAAGCCTCTTGCTCAACAACATCACAATATCTTAGGCTGGTTTCAAACCTGGACCTCTTGATCCTGAGTCAAAGACACAAGCCACTAAAATTCCAGGTCTCTGGTCAACAGTGAATGCACGAAAACAAACAGTATCTAACTTACTCCCAAGAACAGCCATGTGCCCCAGTAATAGCAAGCCCCAAAGAACCAAACTTTGTAGAAAAATCTGTTTACAAATACAGCAGCTCTTGTCATCAGGCATTTATCTGTATAGAAACAGGAAAAAACATTTAAGTTTTGGGAAAAGATAATTATGTATGAACTACATCAGTAATACCCCTAATATAAAAGCCCACTTGTAAGACAAAGTACCCCTAGTTATAAGCTGTTAAGTCCCATTGATTATAGGCCATTTGCATCCAGCAAAAGGTATTCCTTGACAAGCATCCTCCCCTATGTGCTTCTATCCCTATTTGACATGTATCTCTCTTAAGAGCACCCTCAGGTAAATAGACATAAGACAGAAGAGTACCCAGGTAACCTCTTAAGTGTTTTTTTAATACTTGCACACTATGTAACATAGAAAGTTGATAAACCTTGTACAAGAGACTTGAAATCATCAAAAAATCTACACAAACCTTCAGGAACATCAGTGGAGCAGACTTTGGTTTCAGTAGTTACAGATGTGGTATTTGTTAGATGGGTGACATTACCATGAGTACCATTGATGTAAGCTGTATGATGGGTCTTCACCTGAGAAATACAAAATTAATATTAAAAAAATTAAAATGGTTGGGTATATTATTTCAAAGCACCAAATCTTTCAAGGATTGTACCTTCCACACTTTTTTAGTTTTTTTCTAGAAATTGATTGTGAAAACTTCAATTTTTTTTAACATAAAAGGTTACCATAGTAACACAGCACCCTCTTAGAAGCACATTTTAAATTTTAGCTTTTCATGCCTCTAATACAAAGTGACAAAATGACTCCAATTTTTATCAATAAACCACAATCAGCAAGTTAAGAATCAACTTTCTGCAAAGTTTGAAAAGATGTGTCCAGAAACTCAGGGCCATGTTAATTTCATTTTTTGTTTAAGTTTCAAACAACTTATAAGAGAGGGTAGTCCTGTTGCTCTTCTCACAATTTCAAGGCCTGCCTCTCTGAAGAAAATGGTATGAGGGCCTATTTCAAAGTCATCCAAGTCTCCTTGTGTTTATGTTGGCAATGCAAAAAAAACAGTGCAATTGAAGGGGTCACTGACCATGTAATGTTGACTCCCATACATGACATACTGAGGAGCCAATGTAAACAACATAATGTTGAGGAACAGCATGGTCAGTATCAACATCAGAATCAAAAACAGCAGAGCTTGAGGCATAGTTTTGCGAGGACGGATTTTATAAAGCTATGTTTTGTGAGTAAAGGAATCTCAATGATCATAACCAAAACTATCCAGACATTCTTTTGGAAGTAAATTCTCAAAGTGTCTCAGCTGGTTCCCTCCGTGATTCCATTCTTTTCAAAAGACATTACATAACACAATGCTTAAATGCTGTTTGTAATAAGACCACAAAATGTCTCTAGTTTCTTCTTTACTCACCCCCCTCCCCACTACTCTGTACATCCTATTAAATTGCTATATCAATTTTTTGAGGCTAAGGTGTTAAACCATATCTTTGGAACCATACATGATAAAGAATCCATATAAATGTCATATTTTAATAATTCTACTTAAAGTAATTCAATGCTTAGCACTCTACTGCCACTGGAGCTTATTCAGATTCTGTAACATGACTTTTTTAAGGAGCACTGTTTTTCCTGAAAAATGGAAAGCCAGTTCATCCCCATCCTCTAGGCCATCCTATCTTCAAAACTCTAGGAAAGGGATGAAAGAAATCACCCTAGTCTTCTTGAATATTTGAAATTCAGTCAAACTGTAAGGATACTTTGATCCAGCAGCAACGTATGCTGATTGCTCTGATTCCTGCCATGGTGCAATAGAGGAAGTAAAGGACAATAGCCACAAACAAGCAGTAGTCCAGAGGAAAAACCTATAATGTTACAAAAATCTGAGACTGCAAGTTATGATACATTGCAAATTTTCCTTGCCCCATTCTCAAGACAAAATCAATGTTTAAAATTTTCCTTTCTCTTATAGCCCAAACAAACCTTTACCACATGTCCTACTCTACATACTTACAGGATACTTCCAACATTTTGATCTTAACATTGTAAAGGATGCTCTCCACACATGAACTTTAAGTTTAGCCTGACTTGCCTAAAATTTTTCTGTTTAGCTCATTTACTATAGTATCCAGCTGCAAAATCAGAAGCAACTGGGGTTTGAACTGTTATAGGGGACTCAGATATTTCCTTTGCCCTATACTCCTGGTAAGTGTTCAACATATCTCTCCTCAGAGTTAACCTTAAAAGACAAAATTAAAAGTGTTACCTTCTGTGCATACACCATAATGATATTGATAGGATTTGGAAGCTGGGGTTTGGAAAGTGCATAACCAGCTTTGTAGCCCAATGAATTCAGGGCCTTGTCCAAGCTGGAAAAGTAGTGTTTTAAACAAATTAACACTTAAATCTCGTTTAAAGGGTTTTGTTCAGTAAATCAATGACAGAGGACTTGACAATCAAAACTTGCCTGGTAAGAAACAGGGATACAATGATCAGAAGGCCAAACAACAGAAAGAAAATTCCAAATACAACTTCAAAAGGACGACAGCACTTCAGGCACTTGTTAAGCCAGCCAAGGTTTGCTGCCTGAAGATGTCTCTCTCTTCTGACAAGAAGTTTTTCCTCCCCTTCCAGCCTTGCTAGAGTCCTCCTATCATGACTGCTCATTGCACGACCATCCATATACTTTGCACGGATCATTCGAGCACGCTCCTCTACTGATTCACGTTCCTGGCTAACTTCCAAATGCTCTTTCTGAAAACAACCATTTAAATTTACAAAATGTAGTTCTTAATTACTGAAAGTGTGGGGAAGAATACAAGTGTTGAACACAGGTCCGGGAAAATATAACACAAGAATGCAAGCCCTAGTTAAATAGTGAAAAGAAAAAAGGGATGGAGAATGAGACAAATAGAGGGCTAAAGTCAGATGCAGACACGTCTGGTGTCAGACAACATAAAGCATTGTTAAGTATTAGAACATCAATTACTTTGGAGTTCTTGAATCCTTTCAGCATTGAAAAAGGCAAAGAAGTCATGCCATAAGCCTGAAAAATAACAAAACAGAGACGTTACTACTGAATTACCCAAACTACTCCATACATTTTTTAATAAATGTTAATTCTTCTTGTTCCAAATTCAAATTCATAAAGTTTGGGTGAAGGTAAGCATAAAATACTTACAGTGTATGTGATCATAATAACCATGCCGATGAAGGAGAGAAAGCCCATGACCAGGGCCAAAGAAGTTTCCCCATCTAAAGGAAAAACAAATAACATTAAGTAGCCTTTGTACTGCTGATTTGTGTCAATATCATACCACAATCATATTTTTTTATAATAGAATTATGTCCTCTACAAAGCAACATCAAAGTTAGCTCATAAATCCCCTCCTGAATTAAGATCATACATATGATCAAATCTTCTTACGGTGAGTGTGCAATAATTCATCCTTCATATACAAAAGCTTCTTGTCCCAATGTGTCACATTTTTTGAAGGTTGCTTCAGGGGTGCAAAGGCTCTGCAAATCAAAATGCTTTGTCAATATTGTTACCATTTTACAAGCTGTAATCGAAACATAAAAACTTGGAAGAAAATGCCAAGCTTGCAATGGAAAACTCTGAGTAATATCCCATAATATGTTACATCAAATATGAAGCAACATTTACAAATAAATTCACAAATCTGATCCTTACCCAACAAGGAGAAGGACGATGCCAACTATCAAAAACCCTATGGTGTACTTGAGGGCACCACACATCCTCTGAAACAAAACAAAGTAGAAACATCTTCCATTAGAGTTTTGATCAAGCAAGCATACAAAGTGTTGTTTAACTTCTCATACCTGTCGGGTAGTGGCATCTTCATCTTTCTCTTCATAGTAGAAATACATGAATGGCATTACTGCAAATGCTAAGAAAGCCACCATGGAATACAGCACTATGAAATAAAATCACAAATTTAAGACAAGAAATACAAGCAATTCACAAGCATCTCCATGTAGTTGCATTCAAGTCAAAACAATAGCATAAAACATCATAACTTCTCAAAGCTGCATGTACAAAGAAGACTGGTTAATGGTTAGCTTTACATTGGACTGCAAGGTCTGGGTTCATTAGCCCTAACAGGTTGTTATTCTTTAACTCCACTTGTTTTCATAACTTCCATTCTAAGTTAAACATATTATCTAATGGTACAAAGACCAATAATCAACTTTAACATCACTCTTCTATTCTCTGTTTTCACAAATACACATCACCACTTAATCCAAACTGACTTTTTGAATGAGGGTTTAATGTCATTAATATTTAATAGTATAATTCACCGTAATATCCAACAGCAGTTGTCTGCTTGAAGTCATTTCTCAAAGCCTCATTGTCACTCCACTCCTACAAATAAAGGAGCAACTGAATTTCAGATTGCCTATGTAATTAGAATTAATTATCTAATAAATGACTTTGACTTTTGTCTACAGTATAGAAACATGATATGAAAAAGAGCCAGTTGAGAATGTATCAGATTAAACCTGTCTTAACATGATTTTGGAATATCATAAAAGCTCTGGTGGTTTTGATTTTCATATGTTTTACATTTTATATACCTTCCAGCTCCCATCATCATTTTTCATGTAGGAAACCAAGAAAATGTCCACAGGAACCAGGGCAACAGTGAGAAGACAAACACTGAGGGCCAAAATAGCTGTGAGTGTAGAGGACACCTCAGACTGAGCATGGTCTTGATAGTAACGGATGTAGAACCATGAAAAAATCAAGATTAACTGCAAATAATACAACACTAAGTGTTAATCATTCCTATAAATGTATGAGGAAAAGATGTAGGCTACAGTAAAGATATTGGATTAGCAATTTAAAGGGATTTTTTTTTATGTAGAACTAGCCACAAAGAATAATCATCTGCAGACTCAGAGTCCTGTATGCAGAGTACTGCAGATGCCCATGCAAGTTTTTCCTTTTTAACCATACATTTCGCAAGACACTATTGCCTATGCCTGCACAAGGTCTTGTCAAGTTCTGCCATAGTCTGCCAACTAGCTGAGAGTTGGGCAATTTTTCAGAATTGTTAAAGAAAAATTGAAACACACTCAAAATTAAGGCACTCATTTCCATTGGGTAAAAAAATTTAATGAAGTTAGTGGTACATGTCCCTTGGAGAACTCAGACAAAAGCAATATCACATTTAAAACAAGCAGCGAACAGAGAAGTTCACCTTGTTTCCTATTAAGGAATCTGATGGCATTTCAAGGAATACCTTGGATAAGACTCTCATAACCCAATACTTCATTATGCATACAATTGATTGATAAAATAACACCATTGCGGAAGCAATTGTTTGTCTTTGATACTGATACTTTGCTCTAAAATACAATGGCGTTATACATAAAACATCCCATAACTTGCATTCTCAGCAATGTGCAGCTAGATGAAGATATTCGTAACACTAAATGTTACAGATTTCGATACAAAAAGATGCAGATGTCATGTGACCAAAACAGTGCACCTTAAGTAACGATAAACTTACAACAACGACCACTGTGAATGGTATCCAACCGTACGCCAGCACTTCGTGTGGGATGGCCATTCCTGATCCTATCAAAGCGTTTGATTTTTGGTTCGTCGTTAGGTTTTCATGGACGTTTTTGAGACAAGCAAAAGGCTGAATATTCCTCACGAAAGAAAACGAAAGTTTATTTGTCTAGTGATGCACTATGGGTAATTTTGACTCAACCCCAGTCCTTCTGAAGTGGCCCTTTGGTTGTTTCACGCAACCCGCCTGTCACGCAATCGGTCTCTCGCGTCCAGTAACATGAGCACCTACTGTTGCTTATCATGGAAAATAAAGTCGTAAAGAAATGGTAAAGGCTCACAAAAAAAAAAAAAAAAAAAAAAAAAGATAAAAACCTGTTTTCTAGATAAAACTTTACCTTACAAAGGACCTTCTTTTAGGCTCGTTATAACCATACATCAATGCCACTGAAATGCTGTCACGCTCGAAAGAATTGATCCCATAATTCCAATTCAGATTCTCCATTTCAGTTTTAAGTTAGAAAGATTTTATGATCATAAAGACAACGAGCCAAAGACTATTACATTCTACCTGATATCAAGAATTCTAAAAATACTCCATTTGAGCATTTTAACAAAAAACAATAAACTTCTTAATTGGGTTTATGAATTGTTCTCCAAGATACAAAGAGAATCAAGACACGACTTCACCTGTGACTGATTCAAGGATTCACTTGTTGAGAGACACTGAAAAACTAAACCAACAATAGAATGAGAGAGGTGTCCACCCACGTGAATTCTAAAAAGCAGAACTCATGATCACGCGTGTCTAGACGTGATTAAGCGTGTTTACACAAATTCTTCTCATAAATTCTCGTATTTGCAGAGCTGCGAAGCATTTTAACCTAATAACCCAAAGAGCTGGTGGCGACACGGATTGTTATGGCGGTGCAAATTAGCACTAAACCAAGAACAAAGGAATAAATCAAGCGTAAAGTTGAACTCCTTTGATAAATTTTTTATACAACCTGGTACTATGTTCATTATATCATTTTTGTCAGGCTTTGTTTATTATGGACACGAATAAGTGATTTCTGGCTGTTCGCACCTCTAAAAACATTTATCTTTTTTCTTTCTTTCTTCTCGAAAGAAAGAAAGATGCGAACAGACTGGAAGATTGTTTCAGTCGTCTTCCTGGCAGCGGTTTTAAGTCTCCAATGTAAGTATTCGCCCACTACGTCTTGTAACAGTACACGGAGTGTTTTTCAGATCTTGTGGCTCGTCATTCCCTGGAGGTGGGACCAGCCAGTGTCTTCCACGGGTAGCCAACATTCTTTATCAATACAAGTTATGGGTGTTTTCGTTCTTGATATTCTATTTACGTTGCTGACCCAACCGTCAATCATCGTTCGATTAATTCAAGTTACAAGCAAATCCCACGTTAAGAATATGGGTCTTTTCCTAATCATATCTGCAGCGTCAGTTGCTAACATTTTGTTACATTGAAATGGCAATCGCGTAAAGCTGTTAAAAGCGCAAACCAGGAGCAGATGCAGCTGTTAAGGAATTACTCTAAACAATCTTTAATAACCCTCTCTTCTTGTAAAACACCGCATTTAGGTTTAGAAGTCTTAATTAGATGTTCTGATCGGCTGACAAAGCTTTGCTTGTTTTCTAAGTATGATTAATGACCAGTCAAACATGACAAATAGTTGATTTGCGACTTTTCAGGGTCTACAGTTTTTTCTTTTCATAGGCGTGGATTCTAAAAAGGCTACGAAAACGAAGTTACTTAAGAAGTTACGGCATAATGGACACATGAAAGGTTGGTCATCTTGAAAAATTTGTACGCATTTTATTTATAATTGTATTTATATCTTGTTTTTAAAATTTTGGTCGTTATATCCCTCTTACATCATCTCTTTGTTTAACTCTGTTAGCCCATGCTGCTCATCAAAGGAGTCTCACTGGCGAAAAGAAAAACGCAGTGCAGCCTACAAATGATCAAGTTGCGGGTAAAAAGAATTGTTACCTGTACTGTTCAAACATCCATATCACGTGGCTTAGATATCAAGTTCTTTACTGAAATGTATGCACCAAATTTTCTCCGCTTTATCCACAGTTTTCTATCCCTTTGGTCTGATAAGTTTACCGATTTCATTTTAATGAGTTGACAACCATTTAACGAGGAAAATGAATTTAACTTCCCCTTTAGAGCGCATTTCGAAATAAATCACAACTACCAGTCAGTACATTGAGCCAATGAGGACTCGGAGTTAAAACAAGCAAACTGCAAACTGCGGAGAAACGCGAGTGACAAATCGTAATGGGTTTTAGTGTTGTGTCTGCTCGGTTGAGAGGGTGGCACGAGTTTTCTGGACTGACCGTAAAGCCAATGAAAAGAAAACCAATGAAATACCGTTATGTTATCGTAGCCTTATTTTGACAAATTTACAGCGATGCAAAACCCGGAGAGTTTACAACCCAGTGAAACGGAAGAACTAAACCAGCTGCAGAACTATAACAAGCAGTATATCAACAACGAAATGGCAGCCGAGACGGGTAATATACAACAAACTGCTTTTTTTTTTCCTAATTTGAGAAGAAGAATCTTGAAATCGAAAGTGAATGAAGTTCACACCCTTAGTTTGACTTAAACTTCCAAGATCTTTTTAGTACTTCTCCTTTGTCGTTGCTTCTCTTTTCCTTAAAAAACTACTGAGGAGAATTTGGTGTCATATCGAGATGAAACATCACCTGTTTGGTAGATAATGTATGTATGTTATGAGGGAAAATTTCAGGTTAATCAAAACTATGACAAAATTCTCGAACGTGATTATTTATCACCAGCCTGATTTGAGCACTAATAGGGCAGTGTACACGTCATGCTTGTAATTGGACGGTGTAATAGGACAGTTAAAGGGACAGTTAACACGTCATGCCTGTGTAAGTGGAAAGAACGCGTCATTTGTGCGCGCTGTTGTCTCGCATTTCGCCGAGTTGGCTGTTGATTTTTTATGAAAACGTACAATCGACGTCTAGTTTCTTTCTCAAATTTTGTCATCGTTTTGATTAATCCGATTTTGTTAATCACTTATATGATTACGGACCGAACTGGGCTCCACTCGGCCCTATCACCATTACTAATCACGTCTTCCAATCGAAGAGTCCGTCATCAACTCCAGGGGCAACAAAATTAATATTCTTGAAGGATTCAGAGATCACATAATTTTTTCTTTTTAATCTTATGATGTGGCAAACATGTTGTATGACACCTTTTCACCCCTAATTCGTTACTGACGTCAGAGTTCTTAGGTACTGGGTAAAGTAAGGTTGCATACAGAGTATATTGGGTCCTGTTAGATGAGTTCTTAGATAGTCAGTTCACTCTGGCAAACTAAGTGAAGTTTAATTTATTAATCTGATATGGAAAAGAGGCGTCTGTTATGGCACAGATTCTGTGTTGTTATTTTCAGCTCTACTAGCAGATCAAGGAATTGATGATGACTCAGCATTAAAGATCTCCAACATGGCAGCTTTACCCAATGGAATGCCTCCAGGAGCTAATGCTGCTATTAAAGCCAAGATCAGTAGTAGCAGTGCGCATACTCCCCAGGATCAGTCAGCTGGACAACCGCAGAACTTAAACACTGGCTATGATCCAAATGCTTACTTGTATGACGCAAACTCTTGGCCAGAGTACACCATCCACGATTCAGATTACAGTCACTTCCGGTCAGTGGAAATGAACAACATGAATGGTGAGAACACAGATATGCCGCCACAGTACAACAAGCCTGACGGACATCCTGACTTCCAGAATATGGCGAATGATGAAAAAATAGAATTTCAGGGACAGAAATTCCAGCAAGAAAAAGGTGAAGATTCTGAATCGCTCAATGACGAAATGAAGCAAGAGGATGGGGAGGAGTTTCAGAAGAAACCGTCAAGCGAGGGAAGCCCGGCAACGCATAAAGTTAGTAGTGAGGGAGATGTAAATGACGCGAAGCCCGCTGTTAACAGCGGTGCCACTGAAGGAAGCAAATCTGAGAGTAGCCCAAAGCCACAAGTCACTCCGTCTCAACAGAAACCGCAAGTGGTAGTGCATAATGCTGAAGATGACGCTGCTCCCGCGAAAGATGCACCTTCGCAAAAGCAGCTACAACAACAACAGCAGCAGCAGCAGCAAACTCAAAAACAGCCGCAAGTGAAGACTTCTCCTGCAAAGATTGCTGCATCTGTGGCAGAGGCGGCGGCCTCACTGCCTCCCAAGGCCATTGCTTCTTTAGTGAGTAGTCTGGTCGGTGGCGGGAAAATTGTTACATCAGGTCAAGTCCAGGAACAAAGTCAAGCGAAAGGTCAAGGTCAGGGTCAAAGTAAAGGTCAAGGTCAAGGTCAAGGTCAAGCTAGGAGTGCAGCTCAGTCCCTCATACCTCAAGACATTAATCCGGCGCAAGAACAAACCACAATAGCTACGCAGTTACACGTTGTTGCGAAGCCAAAGAGACGATTATAAGATTACTATCTAGCTAATTATTTCGTAGTCTCTAGTGAAACAGAGGGAGTGTCAGCAAATAAAAAGATCTTTGTTCACTTGGAAGTCAAATACCAGATAACCTCACCTTCTCCAGACGGGGCCGAATGACCAATCTTTTCAATTGGCAAGCTGAACTCAATGTTGCAGAACAATGATTTGTACATTAACTCCATACATCATGAAGATAAGTGTAGTATCATTTAACTTCGTACATAACTTAATTTGAAGCAGCTGTTTTAGTTACACATGTGTAATAACCAACGTTCAGTTTGCCTGGTCAAACAACACTACTTGTCAGAGCACGGTATCATTAATTTGCCATAAGGAAGCTCAAGGCTAATATACATAGGGCTAAAACTTGTTATGAGAGAAAACACGTTTTATTATTGTATCCAAATCTAAATTCTTCTGACGGCGTTGATTGGTAAATAAAAGAGTATTGGTGGACAACGATCGTTTTCATTTGTCTAAAGAAAAATAAATCTAGCATTACTTAAAAGACTAAAATTCAAATTTAACATCTTGACTGATTTTACTTCAATTCCAACTCAGTCTAGTTTGCCAAAATGTCCAGAAAAGCAATAGTTTAAACTAAAAAAATACATTTAGAGCTGTGCGCTAGATAGAACCGCAAGTTAATACCGACTAGGGAGACAGGGGTGACGACCATGGAAAACAGCATAAATTGAATTCCTCACCCTCTGCTTTTGGCCAAGTTACGTTTTATTTATATTATCCTTAATTTCATATTTATGGGACAAGAAATTTAAAACATATTTCAATTTTGCCATGTATTTTTTCTGCAAATGTTACGCTCAAATGTAACAGTTTCTTACATCCTTTCAGGAGACGCACTCGTAAAATGGGAAAAGAGTCTCCGAGAGAGCTAAATCATGGTTAATAAATCTCAAAAATTTGGCAGATTATTTTCAAGTTTGTACACTCCCCGTCTTACTCCATTCAATTCTTCTTGTCTTTCAATTGTTTGTCTACCAAACCAAAGTAATATTCCCAGGTTTTTTTCCACTTACAGACGGTTCTCTAATCAAAATATTCAAGCATTGCGCTTTTAAGATAATTTTTCCCTGAATATATTTGTCCTAACCAATCAATTCTTTCTAATGACACAGACGTCAGTGAATGTGTCAGTACAGCTATTGATTTAAAATATCTAGACATAAGAAAGTGGAGCTTCGTTTCTCCCAAGGTATGGAGCTCCGCGGGTAGCGGGTGAGTCTGCGGCGCTAATTCAACGTGTGTGGTGGATGGTAAAGTGCATCAAAATTCAGGATATAAGTCGTACATAAGAGTAATGTGCCCTTTTAGAGATCAAATTTTCTCCTAAGACGTGCGATATACGCAAAAAAAATTTAACGGAAGATAACCAATAAAATAAAACTAACTAACAAGTGTCAAGTTTAATGACCATTTTTTCCACATACAAATGAACCGTAAGAAGGTTTCAGAAGACTGAACAAACATGGTTCAGTGATTTGGTTTTTCTCAGTTCTGTGTGCAGAGAATCCTTGATAATAAATTGATGATCTCATTTCCATAGTTAATTAGTTAAGCCTCAGGTTTGCCCGTAACAACTTAGCCCTCACGGGCCGCCAAAATGGCATAAATTCTTTCAATAGAGTGTTTACTTTCCACTCATAATCATTTAGAGGTAAGTTAAACAAAACTTTGTTTTAGTTACTTTTATTTTGAGCAAATGAAACTCGTCTCGACAGTTTTTCTTGCTACACTAAGCTTACGATTCTAATGAGTTCAAACATTTCTGTGTTTTGCGTTTACTGTCGTGAACATTTCGAGAGAAGAATCTCGATGGATTGTTGTTCGTCTTAGTGTGAAAAGAAAATTGAAGTTCGTATTATCGCTTTTATTTGTGTGTAGAATTGGCGCTCGTTTTAACTAACTGTTGAAAATTAACGTCGTAAGTTTAATTGGTTGACTGAATCTAAATGACAACAGGTTCCGGCTAGACATGTTTGCTTTTAAGATCGCTCTTCCTTGAATCTTACCTGATCGTTAACCGTTCCTTTAACTGGTTACAAAATATTTACCTTTCCCTTTCGGTTATGATTGAATTAATTTGAAAGCGGTTACCAGTGGTCTTATGTGCTGCACCCTAGAACTGACCTGGCAAAGCCCATGTTCGAGGTTCCTCATCCATATTGAACAGATTTAGAAAGTACAAGTTCAGGACCTCGTTATCCGACAACCGATCTAATCACCTTTGTTCAAAACCACCCTTGTTGAGTTGAAACGGAATCAATAACTCATGCTAAAATTAACATAATAGGATCACTGTCAAAAGGGAGATTACTAGAGTTCGACCATAACTTTCCTGTGAAGCTGACAAATACCACCATGAAAGGAAAAGCTAAGGAAAAAAAAGTTAAAATTTTGAGCTAACAGTGAGAAAAATGTTACCACAGCCCCTACAACTCCGGATTTCGCTGCCAAATGCTTTACCAGCTGACTCTCAGAAACAGCAAGATCAACTGACTAGGTTCATAACATGTCAAAACATGCCCTTTTCGCAACACTTCAAAACAAAGTGACTTTCTCAAATGTTTTACAACAGGTTGTTCTTTTCACAAATAAACGAGGAAGATATGCTTAGGGAAAGCTGGCTGGGTGCTGTGGTGCTTCTTGTGATATTTTGTGGTGAGTAATGTAACTGCAGTGAAAAGAAGTAATACATTTAAAAGCCAACCTACGTATAGTAGATCATGATTGCTATTAGCATCATGTCATCCTACAAGATAAGATCAGTTCGGTCTTTTTTCGTTCCTTGTTATCAGCGTCCTGTATGCCATGAAAAAGTTTAATCGAAGTGACCAGTGAAATTGATGCGATATTCAATTTTTTTCTTTTCTTAGTTGTTGGATTCGGCAACAAAGCACAAGGTACGTTTCCAAGTTTAATTAATTTGAATTTTAAGTGATGAAGAGGTTTGAAGCGGGAAGCTGTGCGTATCTCAGCTGAAATGTTTCTTAGAAAAACCACACAACCAGTAAAGATTTGTGCATGATATACGCTGTCGATTATTTAAATTCTCGACTTATTGCTTTACTTCCTGTTCAGAAACTACAATAAATGTATTACCGCACCGAGCATTGCTGGCTCACAACAAATACCGCGCAGTGCACCATTCTCCTGCTCTGAACTGGTCAGAAGGCCTAGCTGCAGAGGCACAAGCTCTTGCACAAAACTTAGCGACACAGAGCTCGCTCTCTGCAAGAAAAGATTCAGCTATGGACTTAGGTCAAAACTTGGCAAAACTGGCAGGTATATGACAAAAATTCATACGATACTCCAAGGAATGACATAATAATCTTTGATAGGCATGCTGCTGCAGCTGCATGCCATGCATGCACACTCCGATTTAATATCTCAGAGGCGTTTCTCATTTAAGTGACATCTTGGATTTTAAACTCTTTTATATACAAATTTATCTAACGTTCCTTTGTTAATAAAACACACCGATATTCAGGGTGGCCTATGTTTGTAAGAACAGGAAAACGTAACATTGCACGTGGTAAGATAGTTTTCAAAAATATTAATAAGAATTAGGCCCCTGAAGCGTAAAGAAAATCATAACCAATCATTGAAATGTTGTTTACCATCTATATCATGCTGCTGCAAAAATAGTTCCTTCAAAATCGTGTTATGAATGGCTGAGAAAAATTGTGCTTTATGTGATTCATTTAACTTCCCTCTCCCATCATAAAGGTTCCATGGCATGTGAGGATGCCGGAGAAATCGCAACAAACTTGTGGTACAGCCAGGCTAACAATTACAGCTACTCTGATCCAAGACTCAACGCAGACACTGACACTTTCACACAGGTTAAACAATCAGCATATTTACAACGTTCTTTGAATAATTTCTGGTAGCATGATAATTTGAAGAAGATTGTATTTCGAAACAAAAGGAAACTTAATCGCGAGGGTTTATAAGAGTAAAGTTAAATTTCACGAGGAGCCAGAGTGATCGCGTGAAAAACAAGCAAACTGCCAGAAGGGAGAGAAAACGCGAGTGACCAAGTCACCATTGATTTTAGTTTTCGATGGAATTGGTTAAGAGTGAAAATTCCGGATCAATCAAAGAGCGAAGTAGAGCAAAAGCATTGCGGCTCGGGATGAAGCTTGACACTCTGAAAATAGCTTTAATATTCATTAATCGTTGATTTTGATAGAAGGGAAATTTAATACTTTTTAGCTTTCACGTTGTAAAGACTATGTTTTGTGTAATCTTGTTCAAGGATGTTGTTAATTTTGACTCACAGGTTGTGTGGAAAGGCACACAAGAACTTGGAATTGGTTGCGCTAGAAGTTCCGCTGCACCTTCGGGACCTTTGTACGTAGTGGCTTTATATAAGCCAGCGGGAAATATCCCAAAGCTATTACGCAAGAATGTCTTTGAGCCGGGTCCTCGCGGAGATGATCCAGATGTGTACTCAACATTATTTAGACGTCAATTCGAAGGAAGTAAAAGCCTCAGAAAAGTCAAAAGCGTGGGGCGAATTCAACGGAAAAGCCGTCAACTTCGATTAATAACTTGACAGGAATAACCGAACGAGCTGCAATGAATACAATGCCAAGAAGGACATTATCTAAAATTTCTGAATTTAGAAAAAGCCGGGAGCTAACCTCGGTTTTATCAGGATTCTGTAGTTATTCGAACTCTTTTCACATAGTTGACGTGAGAGTTTTTATCCCTCGATACTTTAACTCCAAATAAATAATGGACACGAATATATTTTTCTCTCTTAAAGATAAAAAAGTTAGCCTTCTTTAAAATTTCTGTATTACAACTGGACAGCTTCCTTTATTTCTATAACCAGAGGCAGTCGGTAAACTACATTTTCTATATTTCCACTAATTTTACGCTTCAATCAAAAGAAGTAAACGTTTCTCAAATATCATTAACTCTAAAAGTTATGAAAATGTCTACTAGAAGGTTATTCGTTTTGACTAAGTGAATAGACAGCATCAAACATTTCAGTGCCTTTGTTGCGGATATGCTGAAGAAACACCCTGATATAAGCAGTCATTTAAACTTGTACCATATTTTTTAAATCGTCTCTGGGACTGGTTTAATCTAAGAACACAAGAGTGTTCCTATAGCTTCACTTAACGTTGAAAACAATGCACAGCAACCTCAGGCCGAACATTATTCAGGGGTTATCAGACCTTAGAGATCTAAAGTTAACTTAAACTGGCAAATGTTCCCTTGACGTTAACAGGCGTGTCAATATTGATATTTACCAATGGATGATTCAGTACGACACATTTTGATTAGTTGCCGTAATACACAAAAGTATTCACCAAAGTCAATCAGAACAAAGGTAAATAGCAGAAGGGACCAATAAACTCAACAGGAAATTGGCGCCTACAACGCGTGCGTCGGACTGATTTGCAATAACTTGCAGCTTTGCATAGCTTTAATTTAATTTGATCCGTTGAGTTATTCGGGAGTAAAAAGCAATCTTGAATTGTTTTCCACGCTGAATTTAACATTGCCCTAATACACTGTTTCATTAGTACATCACATTTATGACTACCATTTCTGTTACACAGGCAATTAAACATTAATAATCTAATTCATGCCTGCATAAAGTCACTAGTCAGTTTTAGGAGCTATTTCGGCTCTTCAGTTATTGCGGGTGTCAGTAACTTCTGGTCCCTCTGGATCGCGGTGGTCACCGGAAAATACACCTGCACAACGTGATCTGGTCTTTCTATAAATGTACCATGTCAAAGCAACAATAGGAACATAAGCCATGACTTGAATAACAATTTCCAACTGTGCTTTGTGCCTCTTTGAGATGTCATCGTTTTCAGCGGCCGTAGCAAGAACTGCCATTAAGGAGAGATTTAAGAGGAGGATGGTATCTGACTTGTTTTCCCAAGCATACTTTGGGTCGGCCTCACCTCCTTGCTCAGATCGCTTATAGGGTTTCACGTAGGTGAAGATGAACAGAACCGTAATACAAGTGACTTCTAGTAGGGACCTCTTTACAGGACCAGATGGGATATAAATGGAAATTACCAACACGACCAGGCGACAAACGAGGTAAAAAGCAGCAAAAGATCGATGTTGGTCTTTGAAACAGCTCTGAAGCACGTCAAAGAGTGGTTTAAAGCGATTCAAGTTGAACACCGGCTTGAGGAGACGTGTGAAGAATGGCCGGCACATCAGCACGAGTGGAAATGGGATTACGAAAAAGAACATAAACAAAATGGCGATGCTTCCGTAAATAGCGTGCTTGCCATGGAAGAATTCCGTGCTGCCACTGCTGAACAACACTGTCTTGTGGCCACGGGGTTCAGAAATACCACGGGGTTCAGAAGGCCTAAGCATGCTGATGTGATGCCAGTGTAACAAAGGACAAGGATGGTACAGATTGCACGGAAAGGGCCCCTCACTCTCCGACTAAAACACCAATTTGGATACTTTCCCACTAATTTGGCCAGAAAGACGACCACGAGCAAGGTGAGGACAGAAATGGTCAGATTAAAGAACAGCTTGTCTGCATAATCCAGATTAGATGAGAAGCAGAAGTAAGCTCCTATCCGAAGGCGAGAGTTGAGAAAATTGATCAAGAAGAACATGAAATGGTCTCTGAAGACGAACCGCTCTCCAACGATTTGCCACATGACTTGGTAGGAATATAAGAAGCCATTAAGAAAACCGGAAAACCAATCCACATCCAGGAGCATTGCCACCTTAACAAAGATTAAAATTTCCACCAAGTAGACTGGAATAAACGCCAAAAAGTAATATTTTCTACATTTGTAGCAGTTTGAGTGCCCAAACACTACACTGAGTCCTGGTTTACATTTCCCACACAAAATACTGTCTGGTTCTCTGCTTTTACTGCACATTTGCTTGACATTAAAGACACACTCGTCTTGTGCAATTAAAGTCACATTATCCCGTGAACAGTTGCAGAAACCTCGTGGACAAGGGTGAGTATAAAACGTTCCGTTCACCATACCACCCCAGTAACCGGCTTTAAGATAAACAGTCTTTCCGTTTTTGTCGCATCTCGAGATACCATCCAATTTATCCTGACAAACGCAGTTTCTATCTTTTGGATAGAATCCGGGATTGCAAGGTTTAAGACAAGGCACCGGTATGACTTTCCTGAGTACTTGTCGTCCAATGTGTTGAAGAACAACATTGAATTTCCTTCCAATGTGTCCTCCAAATTTGAGGTAAGAGATCTTTCCATGGGTAAGAAAAAGCGACGAATCTGTTTGTAAATAAACTGAAGATAGATTATCTTCCTGCTGGCTAGAGCTGTTCCACATCAGAATTTTTATGATACCATTGACAGAATTATTTTTCTCGTCTCGAAGGTGAACAGTGGGGCTAAAAACCTCACCAGGCGAAACATGCCACTCCTGCGCATTGTACATGATATCCACAGGGCTTGTGGCAATCTCTTTGGTATTTCTATTGGCTTTTGTTCGATGAAATCTTATAAACTTCCATTCTAATACTGAGTTGTTTAAACGAGTTTCTCCCTGCATGCGGCATTTCTTAAGAGTAGTGGCGAAAACGGAATGTCCTGAGGAATCATCTGGAGCATTATTCTGTTGAAAAATAACTTCCGTGTCCCACTGGTTGAAGCTTATTCGATCGTCTTCGTATGCAAAGAAGCAAATGTTCGGATTATTTTTACTTAAGCCGTAGCTTATTCGTGGTGATCCAGGAGTCTGTATAAACATAGCTCCTCCTTTTTCCTTGCAAGAATTTTCCTTGAACAGAAGCCGAGAATTGTTCATCAATATTATTTGAGAATATCCGTACATTGCGATCGCTCCCCCATGGACTCCTTTATTTTCAACAAATTCGACATCGTCGTAAAGTTCTAATGTCCCCCCATCTAAGGCAAGGGCAGTAAAGGTGTTGTTCTTAATGATCGTTTTTCCTCGGAAGACAATCGATACACCGACGTTATAAATCGCCCCTTCCCCGATCTGAACATTTTCCTCCCGAATGTCGATTGCGTTGTTCTCCACTCGACTGTCTACAAATTCTACATGGAAAGGCACTTCAGGACCGATGTTTTCTCTGTTTTGATTAAACAGAAAAGTATCGATGGCCGAGCCCACAATCGCCTTGTTAGCAAACCAGTGGCAAGACTGAAAACTGAAAATTTTCCTGCTATTGAAATCTTGCTTGCATTTGCAGAAGATTGAGGAGCCATACACAGATACACCTCCTCCCCAATTTCCCTGGTTGCCCCTGAAGACAGAATCTACGAAACGAATTTTATTGTTTGGAACATAGACACCTTTTTCCCGCCAGTGGCCTACACGAGCCCCACCTCCAGCAGAATGTCCGATGTTACTTTGAAAAACGCTACTCTGAACGGTGAAGACGTTTTTGCTAGTGAGCTCAGAAAACTCAGCCTGCAGTCCCCCTCCCCAGTATGCCTGGTTGGCCAAAAATGTACAGTTCTGAATAAGCACCTTATTGCTTTTGGCTTTACCGACGAAAGATATTCCCAGACCACCTCCTCTGATACCTCTTCGCTGATCCAACGCGTGTCCTTGAAAATTGTCCTTGGGGGCCACTTCTCCAGAAATTCCGTTTCCAATAAAGCTACAGTTTGTGAATGTGTAACTGTTTCCTTGTATGTAAGATTCGTGACGAGCTCGCGTGACATTCACAAAATACGGCTGATTTCGAGTGTACTTGTTCAAAGTCACGAAAACTCCACCAACAGAATTAATGTAACCAACTACCTCAAGGGTTTGTTTATTACTCGTTGATATGTTCCGTAAGGTATCTGCGCTGACTGTGTTATTCTCAAACACGCAGTTTGTCACGTTCAGCACTCCACCGATTTCGTAAAAATTGGCCCCATGACCTTTGGAACCAACTATGTCCACGTTTCGCATCCAAATGTTTCTACAGTAATCAAAGTGAACGGCGGTCTTGAACTTGATAACTACAGCGTTTTGCTTCGAAATAGCACTTTCATGCCATCCTCCACAACTGACCATTTTCAGATCTTGAAGAGTGATATTATCACTTAAGAGGAAAGCCACGCTCACATTGGGTTCGCATATGATTTTGGCTTGATTATTTGACTCTAACGTATCACTGTTTACCCCAATTAAGCTCAGATCTTCCACTTTCGTAAAAACCATACTCTTCCGAAGACTGTACGTTCCTTTTTCAAGCAGCAAAGTTGTCGAGTTAAACCCGGAAGGCGACAACAGTTCGTAGACATGATCCAAAGTTTGACAGGGAACACTTTCGTTTCCACAAAACTTCGTGTCGCTACCTATAGCTGATGAGATGAACAATTTGGATTTTTCAGCAGCAGCTGTGCCTGGAAAAATGAACACCGTCAAGAAAACAATGATTAAATATATCATCGTGGGAGCGTTGATGTTTGAAGTATACATCTCTCTGTGGAATAAAATCATTCCAAAATCCATCTTAAATTTCAGGTCACGTGAAATTTGTGGAATTCTCAGAAAGCAAAGCGGAAAACGGAAACATTTTAGTTTAATCAAGAATATCCTGACTTTTCATGAATGTTAAAATCGACTTTGTTCCATTCCGAAATATTTTGGATCCATATTCGAGTCGCCCTCTGGCATCGTGTATTTCTCTTGCCTATTTTTCATCGCACATGATTCCCTTCCCCCTCGTATTTCCGGTCTTTCAAGAGAGCTGTTGCAGCATTATTTCTGGAGAGGAATTGAATTATTTATTCATTTTTCTTAATATCCCCTTTTTATCTTTCAAAATCAGTCCCGCGTGTTTTATGATATCCCTCGAGTATAGTATAGTATACTTACAGAGAAACCCCTCTCCCTCAAGGGCGCGAGACAAGCCTATAGGGATTTGTTTTGTAACTTGGGGTGACTTTTTTCAGTATTGTTTTCTTTCATCCTTTTCTCACTGAGTGAAGAGGAAAAAGGTGCTGTTTTTTGTCTCAGTTCAGACAGTTTTACAACGAAATTTACCAATTTTTATTATCTCATTAAAATGAAATATCCATCTTTCTTACATCTACCTAAGTTCTTCCTAACCATTCAATATTTGTAATCGGTGCAGTGTTTTCTCAGCTGGGATCGTAAATTATTTAAGCAGGTGTCTGGGTGACAATGTTGCTATGGAAGAAGTCAACAACTTTCAAGGTTGAAGGCCTGTTTAAAACCCATAGTTAAGGTTTTAAAATTCCGATTTACGGATTGTACGACAAGAGCTTTCCTGAGTGGGTTAGGAAGCTTTGAATCAGCTAGCAATAACCGTTGATATAAATTGTTTAGAGAGGACAAAAATTCCACCTATGTTTGAGACGTCGGGAGACTTTTCATGCATGCGTAATTGACGTCATCCGGGATTGTTACCAAAACAGTACGTGGCGCGACCGTGATGCATACTCTTTCTGAACTCAATCGTGCAAACCTTATTACCTAATACAATCGTGGCGATCTGACTAACAGTGTGGAGAATAACGCCGGTATTTCGTCATTCAGTTCGTTATTCTGATTTGTAAGGTCGTGGAGCGTCAAGTAACGCTTTGCTTCGTTAAAAGACTTTTCTAGAACAAGCGATCACTACTACTCTCTTTCGAAAGCTGAAGTCAAACATGGACGGTGGTGGAGGCGATTCGTTTGATCCATGTGAGTGTATATGCAGCCACGAAGGTGCAATGCGAAGACTTATTTCTTTGGTAAGTACTAACTATTTTTTTTGTTATAGCTTGATCTAGAAATATGTTTCTTTCTCGTGAGTTAAATTTTGTTCGCAAGGTATGTCAAATCTTGTGTGCTGAGATGTCCGGTTCATCTTTGCAGCTGAGATCCTCTCAGAGTTATTGTACAGATAACCAGTGCTTGCAAGAATGTAAGTTATCCTTTTTTTCTTGCTTGGGCTATTTGGGAATGAATAATGTATTTTAGAATCTCGACAAGGGCGATTGATTTCAGAAAAGGTCTGGTCGCTTGATGATTTATCTGCGAATTGGTAGCTCTTAACACTCGTTGACATACACGGAATAACGGTGTACAAGCAAGCAAACGAAGGAACAGTGTTTGTCATGATTATTCGGTGAACTACAAGTTTTAAAACGTAAAGTTGTGATAAATTTATGTGCCCAAACCCTAAGAAGCAAGTGAATTGCTGTTGTCTTTACCCTTCGTCCTTGAGCTTCAATTTGTTTTGAATTCTTCTGATAACAATTTGAAGCCGTTAGTGTTTTTCAAGGCAAATTAATTATTTATGGAAAATAAAGTCTCCTAAAAAGTTGGAAGTCAAGGGTCATTTCCAAACATTTTCTATTTGAGGAATCTGTCCACTGATATGCAAAACCATTGTTACTAAACGTACAAAGTGGAAATGTTTCCTAGTTGGAATTTTAAACTCTCACGTGATGTGCGTGTGCGAATAGAATTTTTAAATATAAGTATAATTTTTCAATATCGCAAAGTATCTATGAGTTAGAAGATATCTCAAATTACCTAGTAATTATGCAGATGAGAAACATTAAGTTTCCATTCAAACAACTAAGTGGTCCCAACTTAAAATTATAGTGGAGCTATATTCATTTGGCTTCTATAAGTTGTTTCTCCTCTCATTTAGTTGTTCTATTTTATGATTAATTATAATTTATCATTAGTTTGTGATCCATAGTACTTATTTTTGTTCTAAGTTTGGTTTTCTTGTATGCCACGCAGTACCAGGCCCACAGGGAAATGATACTGGAGGAGACAGTCACACTGCATTCTATATTATGATAGCCTGGTTGATTATTGCTTTTGTCTTGTATCTACTCAGGTAATAACTTCAGGTTTTATGTCTTAATGCATGATGAGAGTAATGTAATTTTTACATTACTTCCAGCTACATTTAGTCAATGTGTGAGAAGCAGAAAAATTGCATCATTAGTGGTGGTTGACCTACAAAAATCCAGTTTATAAGCAAACAAGATAGACTTGCATCAATGTAAATTGTTTTATCATTACTAAGGGGCATGATTACTTGTTTTCAGACCCCAGAGTATGAGACAAGGTCCAGAGAAACCAAGTCGCAGTGATGTAAGTTGAATAGTTAGCATTATACTCTATCAATCAACACCAAAAAAATTTACCCCAATTGATTTTCCCTTCATGTCCACCCTGATGAAAGCATTATTTTAAAATTTCATCTAAGATAAGGGAGAGTTTAGCTATTGTTACAGGAGGGGCATGTTTGTTCATAAGGTTGTACTAGAGAACACTGTAAAGTTTATATCTCATGCAGCACACTGTAAGCTGTTCATAAAAAAAATTTTCCTTGGGGGAAAAAGATGCTCCTATTTTTGTCCTTGGACTTCATCTGTTCCTTGAAGCTTACATTTCTCCTTGAGCTTGACATTTAGTAAACTGTTTGCATCTCGGAACACATGTTCGCAGACAAATTTGGGGTCAAATGGAGACTACTGTTTTTATATCTGTAATGGAAAGGTATTTTGATGTGTCTTTACAAGTTGTTCAAGTTATTGATTAAAATATATTTTCCAAATTTGCTAGGATCAGGGTCTAAGGTTAGGTGGTATTAGCGTTCAATTACTTTTTGGTTGTCAATACCCCATACTTCCCAGGTATCCCTTTACACCTCTATTAGCTGAAGAATATACATAATTTTGAGAGATTTTCTACCCCAAATCAGAAAATGGGTGCACTCTGTCTGGTAATTTGGTTCTTATGACGACTGAAATCATACTTCAAAAGAAAACAGGCACAGATTGGAACTGGATTGAATTTTGGTTCTTATGTGGCACCAAGGGTTATCTTTCTCTCTCTTTTTTTTCAATTGTTGCAATTTTTATCTTTATTCTCATCATTTTCAGAGAGATCCTGGCCCTCAACCTCCAGCACCTCCTGTGCATTAAATGGACCACACTCATTGACCTCTGATAACAAGGATTGACTTGTTACCATATAGTGACATTAATATTGGCAATTAGATTAGGCATAAACATGTAGTAAGCAAGATTATGTACAGGATGTGTTATTACCTTCAGTCAGATGAATTGTAAACTTAAGTTCTGTGTCTGAGAAGTGGGATTAAGGTTCATATGTAGTGATCCAAAGCACAATCTGTTATTAGCTGCAAGTTAAATGCTAAACAATTCTCTGAATATTTGTAAATAAGTGTTCCCCTCCTTAATGCAAGCCCAAGATGCATTTATTTAAATATGGGGACTGCTCAAGTTCATTGCGTTAGTTTGAGTGAATCATTTTGTAGTTTCCTAGTTCCATAAGATGTGAATAGATGATAGATTGGATTGATAATTCTTTAGAAGTACTGAATTTTGTTTTGTGTAACATAGGGGGGGATTGGACAGTACTTTGGGTAGGAGTGCAATATTATTGAAACTCTTGAAGAAACTTTAGAGGTTTATCCAAATGTTAAATGGTTTGTTTACTCAACTTGTTCCTCATGCTAATCAATGCACAAAAGCAAGGATTCATGGGGATTTTTGAACCAGTCATTGAACAGTACATGAATAAAAAGGAGGAATTGGTGGGAGGTTTGAAACAGAGAACAGAACACATACAAGTATCCATGCTGAAAAAGAAATTGTTTATCTGTGTAAATACTGAGATAATGGGTAAAAAGTGGGATAACTGTATCAATAATAACATAGTGCAAGTTATATTACAGAAGGCATTCTTTAAATTGGTACATGTAGATAAAAAATTAAACATTACCATTTAGGAATGTTATCTATTTATTGCTTTTCATAATGTAACATCATTCTTAAAGTGTAATTTTCAATTTGCTCTTTCTAACTTGTGTCTGCTGGGGTTAGTAACCCATCAACAAATTAAGAATTACTCCTGCAGTAAAAAAAATGGCAGTTTTATTATTATTACAATTGATTATTGATAAGTTATGCCAATGCCTACTAGTGTACAATTATTGTAATGCAAAAAAAAAAGAATAAAAAGTGTCATTTGATTTAAAATTGTGATGCTGTGCATTGTTTTTTATTTACTATTATTTTATCTTCCCTTTGTAGAAACCCTTCCTATGTAGACAGGCTAGTTATCAATCCTAATTATGATCTGGGCTCTGAAATTGTAGACTTCTGTCCAGGGATTGGTAAATTAATTCTTTGAAGATAGGTGTCAAATTTGCTATACCTGGCAAGTACCTTATTTTTCCAAACATACCAAAATACACATCAGAGTGTACATAATTAAGTCTAAAGGCACAATATTGAGAGTCAAGAGGCAGCTAAACAGAATTGTTTTTTTATTCCCTGTCAAGCACTCTAATTCATTGTTAAATCTGGTTGTTAGATGAGTTTTCAATTTGGATCAAAATTGGTTGATGTATCTTTTCCACATTGTAAAATATGCTTGTAATGACGAGTCATTCAAACTGAACCTTTCTGACCACATCAACAACCACTCAACAAGCAAATTCAAGTAAGAAGTCAACCAAAAAGATCTTAACATTAAATAAATATTTTAAAACCCAATTATTTTATAATCATTACAATAAGCACTTAGTTACCTTCATTATAAAAGAGTCTTGATTCACACTACACAAGTCAGTGACAACAAAGGATCATATTAGAAGAGCAACAAATTGTTGCAAAGTTTTGAAACAGTGTTAAAGTGTGTGAGCTGACAAAACAATTAAAAGTCTGAAAAGGTGGCTCCTGGCATTTATACACAGCACAAGAAGTTAACCAACAATTCAGAGAGAATTTGTCAGTGCTTGAACTCCCACTACCCAAGTAATGATGGTGATTTCTTCTATTCTTATCATCTGCTCCCTGAATGATGTATTGACATTGTAACAAGAAGTTACACATTGATCAGACGTGAGAGCTAGAAGGTTAAACCAAATATTGGCTGTGTATAAACAATTTTTGGAACATGAAAGTGAATTCACTGCAACATGAAGTGTAAGAAAGCTCAGGAGATGAACCACAATAAATAGAACACTGGAAAGTGTCATCAATAATTGTCAAGAGGGAATGGATCATGTTCTGACCACATTGATCAAAAAAAAAAAAGAGCAATCACATTGTTCAAGGTTGAAAATTTCACTATCAAACAAGTTCAAAACTATATGTGTCCATTGTCTGTCATCAAATATTTTGACAACCATTTCCAGAAACAATAAAAATTGATTAAAGGACTAAGAATTCCCTTAATTCTGTAACTAATAGACATGTTCAGTTACAAAAGAAATAATAATTGCAGTAATATAACACTTTACCAAGTGCACCCTTTCATTTCACATAAAATTGTGAACTTTCAAAGGTTCAAGCAAGGGCTGTCTAAATATGTTTGGACTGGGACTGCCTTCAAAACCTTCATTGATTAACTGGTAAATGACAAAATTCTACTTTCCCATCAACAAATGCATTTTAAAAAACATGTCCAACATAATTCAGTAACAAAACAGGGAGCCTTTAAGCAGTTGTTGCACGTTTGGTGCAAACATGGGTGAAACTCTAGCTTGCATTAAGTTAAAATCAAGACACAAACAAATGTGCTTGTTTAATCCATCTCCAAAACTGCAGCTTGGTTGCTACTGAGCACATCCTGAGCTGTGTCATTCTGGGCTATTTTTTTCACTTCTGCAGATGTATCCCTGGGTAGAAAAAAAATATATTAATACAAAACATTATTAAAGGGAGATAAAGAAGAAATGTCTTAAAATTCAGAGAAAATAAAATCAAGGTTTTAATAGGAGGCATAACCAAATATAATAATGGCAAAACTGGGCATTTCCTTAATTTATATTAGTGGTTCAGCCCTTCAACCACACAACAGATTAACATGTAACTTCTCTCTCCCATCTCATTATATATTATCCAGAACAAAGAGTAATAAGAACACAAAAACTATCAGCTAGAAGGTTTTTTCTTTAAATGAGGCCATCAGTTTATTATAAAAATGTATTGTATTCTAAAAAGAAATACAATAATAACATAAAGAGAGTTAAATGGCTAGGCAGTTACTACTGAAATCCATTTACAAACTGGAGAAGAAATTTGGGCAATGACAAGGATGATGCCATAGTGAAGTTCACTAAAATACAACATCTATTATTAGCATGTACATCTATTTCATGATACATGTATAAAAATATCAGTGGACATACTTTATGGGAGAAGTCCCAGAGGAAGGAACCCCCTGGAGACCAGATATTATTCCCATCAGCTGTGAGATGTTTTCATCATCAGGTGGCAACACAGGGATCTGCAAAACCCAATAATTTTAAATACTGTTATTGTGTATACAGTAAAAAGCGCATAAGGATGTCCTTTTTATAATCACTAGTTCAATACCTCTCTTTGGCTACAAACAAATGGTACTTTCCACTGTGAAAGGAACAACACTCCAGAATCTAGAACTTCAGTCCACAATTATCTAACATTACAAATAACCACAAAACATCTAGTCAAAAATTGTTGGGAACTTAAAAAGTTCCTACTCACCCCTGAAGATCTTTTGTTATCTCCATCTTTAGCTGTTCCTCTTCCTGAGATTTCATTTAACTTTTAAAAAACAAATGAGGATATTTCATACAAGCAGTTTGTTAAAAAAGCTAGCATATTTTCAATTCCAAAACAATCAATTTAGAAGTCTACAAATTGGGATTCACTGGACAAAAAGTTATTGTAACAATTGCCATCGTATATAAATAATGTTAATTTGCAGAAATCTTTATAGAGAAAGAAATTTCCCAACAGCAAGTAGGGCATATACAAAAATTAATCTGTTTTATGCTTATATCAGTGAAGCCATAAAATTAGTTAACAGGACTTGTTTTGGAAGCAACACAAACAGAACTCTTTGTTACAGAGATCTGTCACAGAAAGTATTCACATATAATGTGTGCTGACCTGAAGGAAGTTAGTGATCTTTACCAGTTACCTTTTTCTGTATAAGAACAGCCTGCTGTGTGCAGTGCTTGAGATATTCCAAGCTCTCCTTAGTGCGACTGTCTGCTTCACCAAACTATGAAAATGAGAACCTTATTACCAGTTATTGCATACAGGGTTTGTATAAACAGCGACAGTGCTCCAAAATATGCTTGAAACACCTCCAAACTTTTTCTCTCAAAATAGGAGTTGAGGAAAATCTCAGGGAAGTTTGTATTTTAGAGGAATAACCTCCAGAGATTATGTTGCTTTGCATCTGTTCAATTACACCACTGACAACATCAAAATGTGTGAAGGACAAGATTTCCTTGGGCCTCAAGAAACTTTTTTTTTACATCCTTATCGACCAATACTCAACCAATGCAAGGCATTTTGTATCCAATTGTTTATACAATAAAGAGACAATTAATTGCTGATAATGATGTTTTCTACAAATCCTTTTTTCTAACAGGTCATAGTTTACTACCAGAAAGTAAATATCAACAGCATTATTGCCCACATGAAAATACCTTGCTGTTGTAAATAGCAAAAGCAGTCTTTTCTGCAGTGAGTGCTGCTCTGTAATCATTCACACAGGCCTTTGCTCTTGCAACCAGGTGATAGCTGTAAAGTAAAAACATCTTGACATAAACTTTTGAGGTAAATTTCATTTGCTATGAAAAAGTTTCATTTTTAATTAAACTGCAGGTATGACTGTGGGACACATTAAAAATTCCTTTACAGATTCACACCCAAGATAGGCAAATATTATCAATAAAGGTCAGTGATGTTTCCTGTGCTGTCATGTGGCCATTATCAAATTGAATTGATTAGAAAAAAGGGAAGAAATGGTTCAGTTAAGTTGACATGATAGAGAATCACTAACGCAAAGTCACTCAAATCTGATTTGGTCTTTTAGTGCATGGTCGTTACAAACTAAACGTAATCAATTTTAAATGATTATCGTTTGTTGGCCAATAAAAAAAGAGGAAATGTGACTTATCCAAATCAGAGCACTTACCTCATTGCTGTATGAACACTTTCTGGGCCATGGTACCTAGAAAGTCAACATAAAATTTCCAATTAATCACTTCAATTGCTACAACAGTTAAGGGAGCTGAATTGTATACCTGACACTGATAAAAATTATTAATGTAAGATCCTTTGTGGATGTCTTGCCCACTTTCTTTGCCTAAGTCTTCACCTTACTCAGGGGCAAAGAAACATTCATGCTGCAGTGCTAGCAAAGATGAGGGCCTATCCCTGGCTAGATATAATTTTCCCAGATAACATAATCAATGTTCTAACCATATTAGACATAAAACATGAAAGTTACTTCATTGCAATAAAATCCTGTTATAAACTCCATAAACTTTTATCAGTAAGGGGCTGATAAGTTGATTGGAAAGAAAAAGGAGAACACAGGGATATGTATAGCTTACTTCAGTTGTACATCAAGAGCTTTCTCAAGAAATTTTTCAGATATCTTGAACTCCCGCTGTCCATGTAGGATGAGCCCAATGTTGCTCTGATCAAATGAGGAATGGGATAAAAATAAGTGTTAGAGGCTGTAAATGTAGAATAAATTACTGGTAGATCAGGCGACACAAACAAAATTACATGTGGGTAGGTCACCCTCATAGTAACTGGCTTTGTTAAGGGTGATGGATGCTCAAATCACTTATAGTGTACATGTACATGGTAAATTAATGATTATTGACTTGAACTATGTGCTAAATGAGAATGTAGGCAGCTACACATTTGATAAAGGACTGTTAGAAAACATGATGCAATTATGCCACAAGTAAAATCAGCCCTTGATATTACAGAAACCATAAAATATTAGATTGGTAAGGTAGGAAAAAAGACCAATGTAGAAAATATCAACCCACAACAGTAAAAGATGGAAAAGAATGTTACAGATTACACATGAGCATATTGAAAAACTTCATAGCTTAAGTTTGGTTTTCTGGATAAGTTTTGTATGGTATAGGAATCTCTATTTTTTGTGGAAGGCAAAACTGTTATGTTTAACTATTCAACTTTTGAAGTTGGGTAAATATTTACATCAAAGGTAGCCATATCAGGATGTCCTTCTCCATACACCAACACTGCCAGGTGTCTTGCACGATACATCAGCTTCAATGCCACTGATGCCAGTCCTGCATTGTGACAATACAGAGCCAAGTGGACCTGTCATGTGAATACAAAAAGGCATTTATTAATTTGAAAAAGTAAACTAAAATAACCCCCAAGTAGTAAAACATGAATTTGTCAACTGTTTAACTGCAAAACAGGAACTAATTTTTTTTTGGAGTGGGGGAATAATCAATTTAGGAATTGATTTTTGTCTTACATAGGCAATAACTGTGTCTGGATGATCCACACCAAATACTCTCTCACAAACTATCACAGCCTTCTTCTGATAACTGACAGCCTGCAAAATAAAGAAACAAAAATTACACAGTCAACTTAGCAATAGTTGGCATTAAGCCTCATGAGCCTAATAACTGAAAGACAAATCAACTGGATAAAGGAGTATTGCTACTCCTCTCCAACTGAGTGAAAGTTTATTGAATGTAACTGCCTTGAATTCCACCAAATCTACCAGCAGTTTACCAGTATCCATTTATACTCTAAGGTAGAGAGAGGAACTGTGAGTAAAGTATCTTGGCTATGGAAACAATGCAATCAATTAGTTACACTGGCTGGGTCTCAAACTCAACCACTTGATCCAGGGTCCAAAATGCTAACTGCTACATTGCAGAACTTCTGACCATATTTATCATAAACTTGAATACGTAACACAACAATGTAACAAATAGTAAACACAAATCACAGTGGCTTACACTAACCTGAACAGCATCTTCAGCCAAGTAATGAAGCCTTGCAATTGCCCTATGGTTCAAAATAAATCCAATTTAAAAAAAGAAGGTGAAAAAAATAACCAAGAGCAAAATCATAAGAATTTTTGGGTTGATTAACAGACAGTATTTGTCACTGCTACAGGATCTAAAAAGAACTGTCATAGAAGCAAAATATTTGTAAAACCATTATCAAAAGCTGTCACAACATTTTCACTTAAATATTAGTCAAGCTTTAGTTATGTAACAATAAATACCTTTAAGATCCCTCCCAATCTTGCACCAAATGAAATAAGTGGCAGTGGACTTAACTACAGAGAAATATGAGTTATACCTGTAGCAAGTAGCAATATCAGCATGTAATGGACCATACACTTGATGGAAAAGATTGAGAGCTTCTACCATGAGTTCATGTGCTTCACCAAGAAGACCTGAACCAGACAATAATACATATACAATAAGTTCAACCATGTTATATTTACACATCATGAAGTTTGAGTATATATCTTCTGTAAAATCTACCTCCTTGAAGGCGGCCTTGGGCTGCTTCAAATATTGCTGATGCATCATATGCCTGCAAACACATTGAAGAAGTATTATTTAACAGATTTAGTGCTTTGATTCTACATGTGACATAATCTTTCACCCCTTTGACTGTTGGAACACAAGAAAAAAACATATACCTCTTATACTGACCTTTGGATTGGTGTGTTTTACTATCGGAAACAAATTCATTATGTCATCCTCTGTGAAAGTTGGGTGTTTCCTGCTCTCAAAATCATAATCTCGCAATAATATCTGGACACCTGCAGAAGACAAACAGAAGCAATTAACAAGTGAATGATTCATTCTTTATTTCTTGTCTATTACAGTTCACTATTGAAAGATGGAAACCTTGAGACATGCATTGCCATGATAATATCCTGGAGTCAATTTACCTGTTTTTAAGCAGAGTAACCTCAGCAGGGAAATTCTGTGTATGCGGTATGACAGGAGAACTTCATCACTGTTTTTGCTGCAAATAGGAAGCACAAGCAGATAATATTTTCAATTAACAATACCCAAAAATGACACCAAAAATATTGAACATGAATCCATACCATTTAAGCTCAAATCCAAATTGCTTTTCTGTGTCATCAACTATTGATTTCCAAAGTTCCTCTGGAGTAAGTGTTGCCCAGGCTACAGTGGATGCTAAAAAGGACATGAATAAACATAAAGAAAGGCCTCTAACGTTTATCAGGATAGTATGACAAAAATAAAGTCATGATGAAGATTTAGACCCTTGTCAGATACAAATCTGCAGTCATTTTCTCTACCAACTGAACCACAAATTAGTTGTTGGCTTTGTAAGAAATATTTTAGGTTTAAAAGTGTTTAACATTCTTCACACTGTTAAGATCGCCAATTCAAAATTTACAGAAACAAAAACAAAACAAAACCGTATGTTGAACTAAAACTATAGCAAAAATAGCAGTCACTGTCAGTGATACTTCATACTATATAAAAGAATCATTCTATTTTTTCATTTAATTTACCTCCATTTACTGATGTTTTCAGTGGTTTCCTTTTACTCTTTTTCTTCTTGTTTATAACCTTGAGGAGGAAATGAAATGATTAACAAAAGGCATGCATGTCAATTGGAAGGCTGCACCAGCCAGCATTCAAGTTAGTTTGCCTGACAATTTCCTAGTACCCATTTATATTCAGGAAGTGTGAGAGCTGCTTGCCTAACACTCATAAGACATTACCATGCCTCATCAGAAGTTTGATTAAACCCTTTTCCCTGTACTAGTCCACAATCCTTCTCACAAAGGAGTATGGGATCATTTCATTGACAGTGGCTGGTAACTGAGCCCAACACCAGGGGTTATGCTATAAACCTTCTCACCTCCAGTCTTGCAGGCTGATCATTAACTCAGGCCCCTTTAACTCCCACCACACAAAGCATACTGCCATAAATTCTGAAAAAATTAACTTAACAGATAGCATACTGTACCTCTTCAGCTGGGAGATGAGGCTGAGGATTGGGATATACACCCTGAAAATAAAGAAATTTGTCTTTAAGGCATGCATTTAAGCCACCATGTATTTGTGAATCAAGGAAAAGAGCTTGTTTCCCTTATTTTTACCACAAATGAACCACTTGTCGGAAACCTGTCACACTGGTTTTCTGCATGAAAATTCCTCAACCCTGTCAAAGTGCTTTCCCAACCTTATAAGACCTGTTAAACCAAGTTGCAAAATTGTGACAAATATGATCTCTCAAGATCAAAGAATCCTGTCACTTACCAGGTAGCAATTCAAAAAGTGACTAACTGCAACTGAAAGTGTCCTCAAATTTGCTGTCAACAAAAAAAGAACGAAAGCAAAGGTCAGTAACATTTCTGACTTGATATAACATGTCATCAAACACATACCTATCAAACAAAAATGACCAGAACATTGTGTGACCATGGGGTTAAAACAGAAGACTTCTGATTGCTTTGATTTGAAAATTTTGAAGCACCAACAAAATAATATCATGAATTGTTGGTAATATTACAAAAAAAAAACAATGTGAAACATTATAGATTTACCACTTTGCATGTGCAGTTTAAACAGTTGCTTCACAGTCCTGGTGATCATTTCCATTATTGCAATTTTCTACATGAAACAAAAACAAAGAATTTTAATTAACAGTCCCTTGATCATTTCACAAAGGGATGCAGTTTTTTTGGGTAAAAAGTTGCTGTTGTTGACCCACCCACTCAGTGGATAATCATCTCAGTAGCAATCAAGTGCACTTACATATACATGTTCAAGATCTGCCCGCAGAGCCAAAATCGATGCAACTTTACCTAAGTACCTCATGTTTATGCCCCTATCAAAAGAAAACAATTCATACAAAATTTAAAAACATTAATTACCTTAACCTTACAAAAAGGATTGCTATAACTAGGAGATCCCAAAATAAATAATATTTGAGACAACTGCTGAAAGATCACTCGCTCATCCCCTTCCAGCTTCCAAGGAGATACAGGGCCATAAAAAGGGTCACACTCTAACAGTTAATTTTTTAAAAAGGGGGGGGGGGGGGGACAGTTTTGATGCTATTAAATTAAGACCTGAGTTGTTCCTCAAGGGTATACTTTAATGACAACTTACCTACTGTGCATAATCTCTGATAACTGTGAGCCATCAAGTGGTGTCTGGGATAAACTTATAAAATCTTCCACCTAAAATGGTATGTAAGAGTGTGACAGGGTTACACAAAATACACTTCGATCCATGCCCAGGTTAACATTATTTTAGGAAAGTATGAAGCAACTACTAACCATTTTTATAATGACTGTTTCTGCTAAAAAGTCAGATGCATCCTGTACTAATAGCTTGTCACATGACAATGCCGCCTCCTAGATTAAAAGAATAGCATTAAGTAAATGAACTCCATATGTCATTGCCACACTCATTTAACAACTAATCGACATTTTTTTGCAGAATGTTGTGCACATTGATTGTAGAGCCATCAAATGTACAAATAATTATCCTTAGGAAGAAACAAACACTACCTCAGAAGGTGCATGCTTTATTCCAGGTGCGTAGATGTCAGGGTTAAATCTTACATCAAACTCTGTTGCAGAAAAACAACATCAGCTATGACTACAACTTTCTATCATTTACTTTTAAAAGTCACAAAAAGAAGTAAAAAAAAGATGAAGTGTTTTGCATAATGCCTAACCATAATTCAGGCTGTTAAATGATTCTATGTTAATAAAAAGCACAGCTATCAGTGATGAAACATGCCAAAGTGCCAACCTGATTCACTAATTGAACCAACAGCTTTGGAGGCTGATTTAATTGCATCTGATGAAATGTCACCTGCATCTGAGAGAAATTAGGATTGCAAAACAATAATCAAAAACTGATTTTACTCAGTCTTAACTGAGAACCAACAAAATATTCCGCCCAAATGTGACACCAGGTTTGGGAATAGAATCAGGGCCCTAACAGTGAAGGGTGATCACTCCTTCCAATGCATCATTCCTGCTCTGACACAAATTTGCTTCAAGTTTCCCATGTTTAACTGTTAAAATCTCTTTGTTATTATTACTTGATTTGCTTCTTTAACTAACCTGTGGAATTGTCAGATGATATAGATGTACTCTCCTCTGCCTCTTTCACAGTGTCTTCTAATTTGCTTCCACCCTCAACATTTCCTTCACTGATTTGTTTATTCTTGTATGGACACTCAATCTTCTCACCTTCTACATCATCCACAGGTTTTTCATCATTCTTGTTCTGCAATTAAATGAGGTTGAACAGTGAGTTTGTTCCATCTGTGGAACTGGGGAAGGGATATCTCCTTACTTGCATGCAACCCATTAACAAACTGCAAAACATGTATGTGCATTGATCTGGCAGTTTCTTTGCCGACAATGTTCCAAGTGGTTTCCTTTCATACCTTTGTTTTGGCAAACAGAGGGCTTTATCAGTTGGTCAATTTGTCAGTTTTGTCACACTGTATGTCTTAAACTTCATTTACATTGTGGAAAAATGCTTAGCTATGGACAAATATTTCCCATTTTGACAGTTACCTGCATTTCCTTCTGTTTAGCAGCTGACACATGCATGGCAACCAACTTCAGGAAAAGCACATAACGCAACCTATAAGAAAATTGATGAAAAAGCACTGGGTATTATTTAAATGACTACAACACGCTTTCAAAAACTCAACGTATTTTAAAGTACCAATACTTACGCAACAAATCCCTCAATAAGCTCCGGTCTCAAACAACAAAGTTTGTGCTTATATGGACGAGGAAACATGAACTTGTTCCCTTTTTCATCTTCATTATCACAGCTTTGTTTTCTCTCTAATAAAAGAAAAAAGATAGTTCAAATTTAATGCCTACAACTGTTGGAGAATACTCAAAATCCTTAGCATACACTGCTTACTAGACAGCAACAGATACTTTACAGTTTTCATCCCCTGCTAATTAACACTTAAAGAACATCAAAATCAATCACTTACCTCCCAAAAAGTTAGCATCTGGTGGAAAAGTTCTGAACAGATCCAATATATAATGTCGCCCATCAGACCCTATGATGCCCTGATTCAGAGATTTGGAGAGATGTTTAGTAAATCATCAACTTCCCAAACCAGAATCCTTTCCTACATTTCAGTTAGGGAAGAAGATCAGAGTTTACTCACTTTACATTCCACTGAAGAACAAAGTTCAACCTCCTCACCATCTGAGTTTAGAACCCTACCAAGCAATTCATATTAACAACTAATTGATATTGACAAATTAATCATCAGTACTGATAAAAAATAAATTTGTTGAGATAAATTATATCATTATAAAATGAGGTTTTGAGATTGTAAATTATAAGCACAACAGCTTGAGTAAGCTTCAAATCTAAGACAACACAGGCAATTAATTTTAATCTCGCTGCTGCACACTTGCACAGGGTGTGACTGTCAGAGGCCTCCATGCATAATCTACCCCTTTTACATTAAATAATGGATTAGCAATTGATCAAATATAATTAAGTTCAATTTTCCGGTAAAGAAACCAACTTGATTACTTCTATGTGCAATCCTAGTGTCTCCGTGTATGTTTTCGTTCTGCTTTTCTGTAATGACAATTCTCGTTTATCAGTGAACTCCTTTTTTAATCCAAGAGTCTGTAAAACCTAGCTTAGAAGTGCTGAGCCATCTGTTCCATTCTTTGCATTCATAGAAAAGAATACTTGAAACACATTGAATAGAATTTAAGAAATGAGAGGTTCCATACTTGTGAGGTCTTATCCGAATAGACTTGCCAGCATTGTGAAGCTGAAAGTGACATAAAACATTTAGTTATTATCATTAACCAAATAAAAAGCTAAGTTCATTCTACATTAAACATTTTAGCAGTAATCCTTATACACAAAGGATGCCTGATGACTACTAAAACAGAAGAATAACACATTACTAAGTATGTGTTTGGTAATTCTCTCACCAGCTCCAAAAACTTCCCATGACTTGAGACATTTTTCCCTGAGTCCACTGAACCATAAATAACTGACTGCTCCTGTTCACGCTGGAGAATTCCTGAAGAATACAGACTTGATATATTTAATGAACAGATGAAATCACATGTGCACCATGCAAACAAGGTCATACTGTTATTGTTTGCATGCTATAATTACTAAACAATAAATATTTCCCTGCTGTTAGAATGAGTGCTGACATATCCACAAAGTACATGACTCTTAGTCCTCTTATTCCAGGTTGATACAACAATTGAAGCATTTGTTTTAATGGAGAGAGTGAAACCACCGCACCTTTCAAAAAACTCTGAAAGCAGGGTGGAGAACAAACCACAAATTAGACCAACACATGACCCAATGTGAGAATAGATCATACTCAGACCACAGTGGTAAGGACACATCCTTGTTCCCCCAACACTAAGCCTAACAATCCTCAAATACAATTAAAATGAAAATTGAAATTTTACCTGGGATGATGGACTGACCAATGACCCTGTAGCCACGGTAATCTACTATAACTGTGCTAAGAGTGAAGAGACCCTGCAGAAAACAAACACCTATCTTGTATCAATTGGCCTGTTATAAAAATTGTGTTAAACATAAACACATATACTGATAGATCCATCAACTAAGGACAAGTACACTGTATTAACTATCCAAACTGAGAGAAACAAGCAACTTTTCTCTCTCTACTCTTCAAACAGAACTCTCAATGGCACCCACAGTTGTATCTTAAATCACAAACCTGTGTGTCCAATCTGTTATATGCCATAACTCCTCTGAGATCTCCTCCCTGTAGAAAATGTCATAAAATCACTTGCATGTTGTAATCCTCAAATAAATATCAAATGCTAGTTATAGAGTTATTACAAACTAAGCATACTCCCTTGATAAGTTGTAATAAGAGAAGAGTAAGATTTTTAAACAAGCAAGTAATAGACAATAACTGAGAACTTACAGCAGCAGCATATGCAGCCTCATCACCTGACAAAAGTAATGAAATGAACAAAAGTTAATGAGGTTTAATTTAATTTTTTTTTTCATGCTCAGAGATTACAGTTTAATGACTCAATGTTTTTCTTCCAGCAACTGGTTTTCTTTGTAAAGCTGTTTTTAATTCATCACGTCTGACTTTGAATTTTAATTTTCAAAGGAAGCCATCTGACTGATTTCATTAAATAAATCTCACATTAAAAAAATAAACAATTTCTGAGGGATAAGAAAGTTGAGTCTTCTCAGTGACAAAAGCTGAAATAAAGGAAAACAAAAATCAAACTAGTTCCATAACATTTCAACAAAAAAACCAAATTGAGCCACAAGAAATATATGCAATGTCTGAGTGACATTTTAAAAATACCAGTAGGGAGAAGTTTGGGCTGAATCTACAAACACGAAATTATCTTGTTGCTTTGAATCCTAGTTTAATGTTCCTTTTAAACTGTCAGCTTACCTCCTACAGCCTCAAAATGGTCTCTGCTATCAAATGCATAACTGAAGAAAATGTTGTTCCAGATGAACATCCTTTTCCTACACAAATAACACATCCATAAGTTTTTAGTTAGCACCATAAAACTAGCTACTTACTCAAGACACTATGTTACTATGCATCCTTACATCACTAAAGATTGAAACTGATCAATCACACACTCTGATAACAATGTCTCTTTGGGTTGTCAAAACATCAGTCAATGTCCCTGACAAACCCATTAAGGGCAACACTCACCCAGACCAGCAACCCTTGGGATTAACTGATCTTCTTTGATTCTCAACTCTGTTATGCTCTAATTTGTTTCCTACAGACCTATTAGGGTACTTGAAAAGTTCTATATCACTTAGTCTTTATCATCATTAGGTTTTGAAACTTACTTCTCATCTTCTCCTGGGTTTATTGCCATGACATTACCATCAACAACAGCCATTGCACCTCTGGTTGCAGCAGAAACAAAATCACTTGTGATCTAAAAGCAAATGACAGAAAACCTCAATTGGCAAATTCGAAATACAGTGTAATGTGTTCACTCCATACTCATGGTATATTTTGGTTCTACAGCTTAGCAAAATTTTCTCGGAGGTATTTCTTGCATTCTAAATAGTCTCACATACCTTAAAAATTGCCCTGTCTCTTAGAAGACGCTGTTGCATGGTTTCCTTTGGCAATTCCCTAGCAGACTGGAGTTCTTCATTCCAGTCACGAAGCTGAAAAATTTTAAAAACAGAGGTTCAGTTCATGTAGCACAATTTATGCTTAGAATATTCACATAAAAAAGTCATAGAAGGTTAGCAATATTTTGTAAAGTGAAAGAACTATAATAAGGGCGTAAAAAGGGGCTAATAAGAGAATGAATGCCATTGACGTCCAGGACTCTTCATACGGACTCAAGCCCACTTTTACAGGCTCAGGTATGAAACCCTAGCTACTCCAATGTAAAATAGTGGTGTTTCATAAAATTGAGGAGTGGTGTGGTTTTCTGCTAAAGTTAGGAGGTAAACAAAAACATTCAAATTAATCTTTTTACAACAGACCATCCATGAACTATACCTATAATAATTATTCTCACCTGTCCAGGCATGTGTTCTTCATATCCAATGCGAACTGCAGCGGCTGAAGAAGAAAAAAAAGTATTGGAATTGTACATATTAAATAATTCTTGGTATTAACATATTTCAATCAATGTGCTTTAGAAATCAAGGTCATTTGGTTATGGTTGGCTCAGCATGACTACCAGAAGATATGAGGAATTAAATTAAAATACCCACCATCTTCTGCCCTAAGAGTGTCACTGGTATGTTCTGTCTGAGGAACAGCCCAAGGAAACACTGAAAGGTAATAAAATGGTATTAGCAATGATTCGCAGTGACATGTGTCTCTTGTAGTCACATGCACTTTTATATGCTAGGTGGCTTGTGCTGCAAATGCTCCTCAATGGGACTCCATTCCATTGCAGCCCCCCCCCCCCCTCCACCTCCTTCACAACAGTTTGTCTCATTTCCCCTCAGTATTCTTATACCTATCCATCCTCAGGATTGGGAGGTAAATAGCGCTCGCTGAGTCAAATGTGCTTCCCACACCCTTAAATATGCGGTACAGTACACAACACAAAAGCCCACTGTGTCTACCATGTATAAGAGGCTTCTAAAGTACAAACATAAAAGAAATGTTTCACTGTTTCTTTATTAGAGAGTAACTGTGATAACTCTCTTGAAAAATCAAGCACAAAAGAGAGGAGTGGTGTCTGTGTAACTATACCTTGAAAAGGAGTTGGAATGACTTCAAGAGGATGTCTTTTTAAGCTGAAAAATTCACAGATAAATCAGTTGTAGCTAGTTGTTTGATGTAGAAACTGTTAAATTCTAATTGACCTCTAAAAAAGGAGAGCAAAGTCTTCATACCTTGTCTTCTGCAAAAGGGCAAAGTTCTTCCTAAACATAGGACTTAACTGAAAAAGGGAAGAAAGTGATTTGAGATTAGTAAACTTACTGAAAATAACAATTTCAACATGCTGAAATGTATACTACCATCTGTGCTAATATTGTACCAACGATGTATTTAGTACCACTGTCAAACTTCCCAAAAGCAAGTACAAAAGGGAACAGAAAGAGTGTGTAGCTTACAAATCAGAATTTTAATTATCCCACTGACAACCTTTCCATCTTTTCTTTCTCACACTACCCCCTGATATTTTTCTCATAATAACAGTTTGTTTGAATGTTGATGGACATTTTAAGGGCAAATAAACTACTGATCACTCCTACAAGTTCAGAATTAAGAAAGACATTTATTTGCATGTTAAATCCATCAGTAATTACTAAGTAATGTCAATATCTGATGGAGACTACTACTACAACTGCACACAGAAGCTTACCTGGTTTAAAAGTCCTACAAGTGTATGTGAACGACATGGCTCACTATGAGGTTGAGTATTAAATACTCCATCATGTGTTCTACAATAAATAAAGAAAACATACCCCTCAAATTCTCACACATGCAAATTAACATGATTCAACAACAACTTATAAGTGCAACATGTATCTCACTATGAGGTTGAGTATTAAATACTCCATCATGTGTTCTACAATAAATAAAGAAAACATACCCCTCAAATTCTCACACATGCAAATTAACATGATTCAACAACAACTTACAAGTGCAACATGTATCTAAGGGTTCATTCCTTTATCATTATCAACAAGTGCATTATCATCAGTATCATTACAGAGATTACCATGATTGTCATAATCATCATTATCATTACTATTTTTAGTTATTAGATACATAAGTAAAACTAACCTGTTCACAAAAAATCCACCTGTGGAAGCAGTAATGTTCACTTGAACATCTTCTAAAGTAACCACATCAATATATAGGAGGTCCCCTGATAGAAAATGCAGTTTAACCAACAACAGTCAGCACCATAAAAAAATCACTTTCAATTTTTGAGGGGGCTAAGGAAATCAACAGAAACATTCCTTTCAAAAGGGAACAAGTCCAAGTACTTGAGCACATTAAGGCACAAAAGAAAAAGATGTATTGGGCAAGGAAACAAAACCTCTTGCTACAATCACTTTTAAAAATTAATCAGGGTTCCCCTTATGAATCAATAGAGTCTATCCTATAACCCATTACTTGGTTTCTCCTTCAGTTGCACAAAGAGACTTTTAGCTTCTTGTTTCCTATAAGTATTCTGATTTTTTGTTTCCTTTCCAAGGCTGCATAAGGTCACCTTACATTCATGAGGGTGATAATGTGTCTCTAACCTGCAAGTCGTCTATTCCCAGGAGGAGGGTTCCATGCACTTGGAGATAACTGCTTCAAACATTGTGGAAGCTGAATATACAAACAAATAAATTGTAAATTGAACAGATAAATAAGGATGAGTAAAATTAACATTAAATAATGATAATTATAAACATTTATCAGGAACATGGGTTGCACAAAAGATCTGATTGATTCTGATAATTGACTAGCTAGACCATAAAGTGTTCCAGGAATATGATATTGCTTGAACAACATTCACTTTCACTGTCATCCTATCAGCAAAGCAGTACTCCTTTGCTAGTTCAAGGAAACACTGTTACCACATGATAAAACATTTGAGAAATTGACCCTGAAAACCATGTTACATATATGTCTTGAAACTCTCAGCCTTCAAACTTTGATTACCTTTGGTTCTGCATTGGATGGGAACAAAGGTTCCATTAGACAAGGAATTTCATCTGATGCAAACACATGAGTGGGAGGTAGACATTCCTCTGTAGAAACAGTACCCACATTTTGTCCCTTAACACGTAAAACTTCCTCTGCAATCACAAAAAGATACAAAACTTTAAAAAATTCAGGCATGTAAGTACACAGCAGCAACTGTGTATATAATCAGCAATGGTCAATTGTATGAAATATCAACTGCAGTTTTTTTATCATAACCAACCTCAAAGTTTTATGATATGTAATATAATTTGATAGAATTTAAACCAAGATCTTGCATGAGAGAAAACCAGAAAAAAGGTGCAGCATATCCCCATAGATTTCCTTAATGATTCAATTATTTTAAAAGTTAGCAGTTGCCAGAATCAAATTTCAAAATTTAGCATTCCTTCCAGCATAATAAGAAGCCTATGGAAGGCTACAACATCTCAACATTTATACAGTTACACAAGTCAGAATGGAGAAAGAGTCAGTGGAAAGTACAATTATATAACAATAAAAAACCTAATTGGGTTGGTAAGCTTTTGGTTTTTTGATCCACTTAATATCACATATAAAATAAAACTAAATTTTGAAATTTGATTCTGATGAAAACTGCTAGATAATGTAGGAATTTTGAATGGAAATATCCAGTCAATAAATCTGATCTGTGGATGTGTGCTAGACATAGTTTAACAGGCATATGTTAGATTCTCAATGAAGTAGTCAGTTCAAAATCACATGAATTTACCTTCTACATCAACACCAGCTACTGCAGACAGGAAGGATAAAGAAAGATGGTCTATTGCAGAATAGGCATTGACATGAAAATTGGTGCTGAGGAGATCTTTGATTCGTCGCAGATGTATGCGGGCTTCTCTTACAGAATATGGTTCTGTAATCAGAATATATTACACTTCTAAACTATTTTACATTGAGACATACAGAGTACTCACAGTACTGTTACACTATTCACCTATAATAACCGTATTAAAAAACTCTACACATTGTCAAAAATTATTCAATGTATCAAAACATGTGAGGGAAAATATGACACACCAAGGCTCAAAATCTGATTAAAAAAAAAAGTCAAAATAGCTTGAAAATTCTTAGTCTGGCCTTGCACAGAAACCAAGATACCAAGATCAGCAAATAAAGGATATCCTAGAGTCTATGGCATAAAACAACCAGGAGTATTGTTCCTTCCACTGAATGGTCCATTGACACCCCTGGTTTCCCAAACAGTTCATTCATTTTTACTAATAACATTGTACTCTTGAGCGAAGCACCATGATAGTGAAGTACTTTGCTCATGAACACATCACAATAACCCAAGCCATCACTTCAACTGGAAACCTTTAATATTCTATCCACTTTGCTGACAGGGATTTATCACAGTGCTGACAGAAGAAAACCAAAAGATAATGAAAACCTCAATGGTGGCTGATTTGCAGTCTTTCACAGCCAATAAAGTAGATGTTGTTAACTTGTATAATGTAATTAAATCATATGCACCATACCTTCTACAACCTTTATTGTAGCTTCATCCTTTAGGCCTTCAATCATGTTCAGTTCAGCAAAATCATCTAGTCGTACACCATCTATTTGAAGTGAGAAGCAAGTCCTATAACAGCTCTCTGGTCGATCAAGAACAATTTGTCTGAGGTCTTGAACATTGTCTTGTAAGGAAAACTGCAAAAAAAATTAGATACAGTAAATGGTTAGGTCCTCCCCTATTGACATTTCTTGTAACATATTGTTACACTGGATTGAGCTGTTGGTCACTTAATGTCAAATACATGTAAGATTGATGATCTTTCTTAACATGTTCAGTACTTTATTTGGTTTTCAAGAAATATTTTTCTGTCACTCAGTTCATTAATCAGAAATCTATACTTTAAGAGTATGTTGATTTATCTCATCTCTCCAATAACTGTGGATGTTTACTTACATAAATAATTCCAACCAAAACTCAACCTGAAACATACTGGTCCTGTACCTCTGTATTGTATCAAGGGTACAGAGAAAAAAACCTTTCCATATATCAAAATTTCAGAAAATTTAAGAGACAATAAAAAATAAGCACACTTTCAGAGTAAAACCCATGACAGAGCTCTGTATAAAGATCAAAACAACAATAAACTCTTTGTTTGAACACAGTCCAAAGGTCATATATGAATTATTGAATAAACTATTTTTAATTATCTATTTATGTCAGTATGAAATATATTACAAAAAACCAATGGGATGTCCTTTGAAAATATGTCAAATAAGCACACTTAGATATCTTTACACCCACTTACTGTGGCTGTGATTGGTTCACTTGATCCAGGAATCAGAAAGTGTAAGTTGACTGTTCCAGTTTGTACAATTGTACCATCCTTTGTTCCTAAGAGTTCAGATGTTGAAAATATGAGCCAACTGGTCTAAATACAATGAAACATTATGACTAAAATCAAGTAATCAGGTTGCTAGAAATCTTGAATCAACTAAAAATTTAAAATCTCAGCTATTTTGAAATTTGTAATTTCCATCATGTTACATCTTAAGTAAATTATGCCTCAAATATCATATTTAAATTTACCCTTAAAAAACACAGCACAAATGGAAATTTGATGGTCCATAATTCAGAGGCTGGTAAGGAAGGCTTTGAAATTCTCAAGGGTAACTTTCTGGTGTCCATCAGTCCAAGTCAGAATGCAAAAATGGACAAGACATTTTTGCATGCTCACCCTATTGTCAGTTGGAAAGTTTCTCCACTATCAACTTATCCCCTTTAAGTTAACAATAAGAGAGTAATGAAACAATATGGTCCAGCTTAGTACATATTAATAATTAAGAATGAGTATAGTAAACCGGCAAAAAAAAGCAACCAGAGTATCAATATTACTTTTTTTATAACAGAGAAATAAATCATATTAACAAATTTAAATACGCAGACAACTATTTGACAAAGACAGTGGTTTTCCGACATTTGAAAACAGAACTTTTATTCGAATATGCCTTAACATTTCACCAAGGCGAAAAGTTTTGGTTACATAATGCAATTCTATTAGACAAGAACGTAAGTTTGGCGCAATTTAAATAATTGCAGTGCTCAATACTGCGAATTTGGCACGATTCTCATGAGTTCCAAAGATTAAAATAAATAAATGCGTTTACGAGATGACAATTTTCAGTTTCACGAATTACTTAACAGTTAGACATAATAGTAATTTACAGTAACAAGGAATAAATCCAAACAAATCACTTTATGCAAATTGCCGAGTTGAGATTTCATTAATACTGCATAGAAAGATTAATAAATCCTACCTGTTTCGTCCAGTTGAGTGGCCTGCTCTTTGATTTCTTTTTCCTTCTTTTCCTCTATGTGTGGTGTTTCATCGCTTTTCTCTCTCAGATGAGGACAAGGTAATTTTCCTGTGTTCTCTGTCATATTTACCTCTTCGATACGTCCGGTAACAGATGGCATAATGTATTCTTCAAAGCTAATAGAACCAAATAAAAACACGGTAATTGAAATAATATTTCACCCTTGCATACTCAGTGAATAAAAAATACCAGAATAAATTTATTTACGTTGAGTAAGAATATCCTTTTCTCAGAGCAAGAAGTCACATTATATTGCATCATGACACTATTTAGAGGCAATCCTCCATGACCGGGTAACAAATATAACTCACTGGACGGCCACGTGAATTACATTTGCATATCCTTTCGTGGACATAATTGTTGGGTATTTTAAGATGGCAAGCAGTAGTCTTATGTTACCAATCATAAGATACACTAAAGATAAAGGGAATGACCTGCAAGCCTGAGTAACGCTTAGTAGTACGAACTTATCAGATCATTCATTACAAAACCTCTATCACTCCGAGCGAGATGTAAATCCTATGATGTAACTTTGAAATGCTCAGATGCCATTAATAGCTCACCAAAAATCAGCAGTGTTAAAATCAGAACGAAGAGACAGACAAGTGCCGGTTGTCGTGGTACATCAAGCCAGAAATCTCTACCCCAGTTGACGCACTCCGTGCCGTATATTCACCCTCGTGGTCCACTTGCCAACTCGTTAACTGCGCGGATTACGCAACAAGGGGGAGTGTCAGCGGTAGACTTAGGCTTCGTGTAAGTAGTGCTATTACTTCGTGCAAGTAGTGCTTACGTTGATATTATTTTGCTGGTAACAATCAGAAGGATTGGGGAAGATCTGTCTGGCAACTACACAGAAAATAGATGCACCGTTTCAACTTATCTTGAGATAGTAGCCATCCAGTTACCGACTGTACCCTCTGTTGTACCATACGCACCCATCGGCATAGAGGGCCAGGATGGGAGTTTGCAACAAAATTTTGTCTCATAGACAGATGCATTGAAATAATATAGCGCCTAAAGCGGTAAAATGAGGCAAAATGAGGCAAAATGAGGCAAAAAAGAAAAAAATGAGTTGAAGGAAATTTTAAAGAGTACCAATTCTTATTTGATAAGCCCACTTATCTAAATAAAATAACTGACAAACTTCCTTAAAAAGATAAATTCTGATTCAGCTGCTTCCTCCATCGACTTACGTTAAGAGAAGAAAAATAAGAAAAAAATTAAATCTCAAAAGCGACTGAAATAAATCAAAAGTGATAAAGAACTGACAAAAATATAAATGAAAAGATAATAGATTTAGCAAAATTGACATAAGAATTGTTTCGGAGGAGGAACAACTGAGCCCCGCCAGTTCGAGAGTGATTCCAATTAACTCAGCCGGGGAGAAGTTATTTTACCTGTCTTAGGTATAAACAAGAATCATTTGGGTCAATGAGAGTGATGTGCTCACAGACCTCTCAGCGTAAATAGGTGATTATTTATGCATGACTGGAAAGTGACTGTTCACTCGGATTGAATACTTGGTTAAAGAATACAACTTATCCTGGAGCGGTACAACTCTCAGTGTACTTTGAAAAATGGCACTGATAAACCTGAGTAAAACGTTTTTTTCCCTTCAATAGGGCCAATTTTTCGAAAATTTTTAAAAGATTTGTTGACATCTCCTCAAGAAGAAAAACTCTCAGAAACACTCAGCAGGTATAGTTGGACGTGACAATGACTTCATGTTGGAAAGGATGGCCGCAAATACTAACAAAATTGACTCTACTTTTTCCTCTTATTTTGATCCACGGTAAGGTGTTTGTTTGTTGTGATTTGGTATTAAGCAAGTTTGTCTTCCCTTTTTTATCTTGTTTCAGTATCTTCTTTCACACCAGCGCGTCAAAATAAATTAAGTTATCAACAGTCCAGACTGGTTTACCTTGAATAACCTTTTCTGACACGAGTGGCCAAAATATGTGCAAGTGGATCCAATTATGACAAATCTTACAAATCTGAGAGATCGGCTCTCAAAAGAAAATCAAATATCGCTTCATCCGTGGACTGGTATCTAATTCAAAAATTACCCAAAACAACACGCATGAAGATGCTACCTGCAGTTTTTATCTTCCGGTGGGTTCACACAACATATGCAAGTCATACTCAGTAAACAGCCATTTTCAATTAAGCTTGACTGCTCTTTGCTTCCTTTAATTTTTCATATTTTGACTTCCTGTTTACGGAACGTTCTCATTTTTGAACATATAACAAACCTCAAAGTTTCTCTGCTTTCCTGTTTTTCTTTCTTTTTCGTATTTTGGCTTCCTGTTGACGGAATGGTCACATTTGTGAACTTTTTACAAACCTCAGAAGCTACTCTGATTGTTAATCTTTATTTGATCTCTTACTTAACAACTGAATTGGTTGCTGCAGAGCTAATTTCTCCGATCTAGCTCCGGAGGGGTTAAGATAAGTAGTTCACAGGTTACATAGTTAGGGATAATATGAATTCGAAAGGACTTTCATTACTCTCCCCTACGTTTTTAGGTAGTATCAATAACGCTAACAAACATTCAGTGATATACAAGATGAATCACAGTAAAGCATTCGCAGCGCAGACTACTGAGCAAATATTTTTAACGGCACACTTTTTAACAACGTAACGAATGAAGGTTTTTGGGGCATGTGCATTGCGAATCGAGGGTACTGTGGCAGCAGTGGCAACATGGTGTGACTGTGGGTCCAGTACATCCGTATCGCTTGTACTTTCTACGAGGTGGGTTTAAATGGTGGAGCTGATTTTATTTCCTTTCCTCTGTTGTATTAAGGAATCAAGGATTGTACAGCACATGGGCCTCCATCGGAGGAAACAAGAAGAATGTTGCAAACGTCAGAAAATCCTATTCCACATCATGAAGAAAGTCGTATTCCTCACCCGGATACGATAAGTTTGAAAAAGTCATCAACATTAAATGGCCTGATTGACAGGTTTATCTGGTTAAACGAGAGGAGGCCAACCCAGCGTGCCACACCTCAGAAGCCCCGAGAGGAGATTGGAGTGGAGAAATCCAGAACAGCACAGAGACCTTTTGAAAGCAGGAGAGGGCTCGTCGCAGTACATAACTCCATCGAGTCCATTTTGAATTTCAAAACCAATCCGAACTTGGAAGAAGCGAAAGTCACTCTGCGAGGTAATGTATTTCCCAGAGTTCTTCGTGATCAAGACAAGATACTACATGGAAAGGGGGAATCGGTATCGAAAAAGTTATCAATACCAAATAAATATTGGGAGACTTTTCAACGAGAAAAAAAATACCGTGATTTAATACCGCGCCCTAAAAGACAGGAAGCTGCCGCAAATTTTCCTGGAAGAAAACGCACATTAGATTATTCGGAAGAAACTTCCACGATCTTAGGACGAAAAACCCTGTCGTACTCCGAGCCTACATACAGACCGAGCACTGGCACCCATTCAGGTGAAAAATTGTATACTGACCCACGGCGGCTAGTGTCGATCCTAGGCGACCCGTTACCGTATAAAAGAAGTAACATTGCCAATCAAAAGGCGCGTTCTGTGAGGTCTAAAAGGGTCCAGGTGAGCATAAAGGAACGTAAAAAGAAGGCGCATAGAAAAAAGCACTTCAAAAAACCCTTTTTGCATAGCTGGCGCTTAGAAAGCTCAGATTGGAACAAACAAGACATGGACGAGTTTTATTCCCAGGATTTTGATTCCAATTATTTGGATGGAGAATTAACCAGGAGAGATAAAAGTGAACATAAAATGTTAGAGCGTCTCTTAGATGACTCCTCGCCGTCTTTCGGGACAAGAGATGAGAAACTCGAGGAAGAGTCTACAATAAAACAGATTGAGGACCTGAGTAGGCAGAGTACAGCTCTGTCTAAAGAATACGACTTCACAGATCTACCGTCACAATTCGCCAACATGGAGGTCTCTGAAGGAGACTTACCTTGGTATGATCAAATCAATGATGGTGGAGTAAATGTTCGAAAATCGCGAGTTACGCGAAGGAAAGATAAAAAGCACCACCATACGAGGGCAAACTTGCGATTTGAGAAGCGTTTTACCCAGAAACGAGGAAAGAGAGAAAACTCTGCTAGATTTGCACTCAGATCTTACCGATACTCGCGTCGGAATTTGAAAGGAAATTTTCCCATTAAGTTAAAGACTAGGTCTAGTTATCACCAGGCCACCTCATTATCTCTTCCCAGGCAACGGCGAGACAAACGTTCTTTTCATCATCATCGTTATTATCACCATCACTTATGGCCACCATCAGCTCTGCAAGTGAGAATGTTCCCTTATTATGATTATCCCTATGCGATGGATAACAGTGAGTCAGGTTTTATACATTTTCACAGATTCCCCACCTTACAACGATATCCTAGCCTGCAGCGTTGGCCAGGATCCCCAATGTCATCGATGGCAGAGCGTTTCATTCCTTTCCCACGTTTACCAAAGATAAGTGAATTCTCACCAGATCCGCTGGAGAGACTAGAACGATTACCACCCCCTACACCAATCCCACCGGCCATAATGGACCAAGAAGAAGCTGGGACTCGAGAGGACGAACCCATTGACGAGTTAACTCCCTTACCCGAGCCTATTCCTGAGCCGGAACCGCCTCCGATACCTGAGCTTGCCTCTATAAAAGAGATCCCCCCCATTTCAGAGCCTCAGGAAAAAGCTCCTGATAATCTGGACCCTAAGAAGACGTTTGATACCGGAGAAAGCAATGGCGGTGTCAAAAAGAGCACTTCTCGTCAATAAACAGACGAACAACAGAAGAAACAGAAATGGTGACAAATAGTTTTGACAAAAATATCTTAGGATCGACTAGGAAGACTCACTCTTCAGGTGACAGTAGTCCTGAAAAGGTCTGTTTAACACGACAACGATTAATGTTTGGAAAAGCAGAGGAAGTCGTCAACAGTCAGGAAGAATCGTGAAAATAAAGAAAGTTCAGATTAACACAAAGACACGTTCAACGAGGGTGGTTTACGATAGTGACAAAGATTGTTTAGTATGTTTTCCAAAAATACACGAGTCTACTTCTTAGGCTCTTTTTTCATTCGCATTAAAAAAAAACCGGTAATTGCTCTACAAAGATCAGTACTTTAGAAAAACAAGTGACAAGGAGGGCGAGAGAAGACTAGGGACCATAATCAAAGGAACAGTCTCATCGATTAAATAGAAAGCTTCGGGGGCTAAGGTTTCTAGTAAACCACACTGGAAGCGAAGGTTTGGGATAAGGGAACAATTGAAGCTCAACTCGTTCCTGGTAGCATAAGGTGTCAGCCGTCTGTTCGCCCCAGTCCCTCATGAAGCTCCTAGGGATTAGGGGAAGAGATACCGGCGGCTGACGCTTCAGACAATGTTCCCGAGATCTTTGGCCATGAAATGAACGTTAGGCTCAGTGATACCTAAGAATGTCCCGACAGTAGGCTTGCGAAGTAGTAACCACTATAAAAGTTTTAAAGACTTTTATCGGAACTGAAACCAAGAGTCGGGATGCGAGCTATAGGCTTCAAATAATGGGGATCGAAGGATAGTTCTTATCACGCAAGGTAACCATCATGTTTCGGAATTTTCCCTTGCCCCTCACAGACTTCACTAACCATTTTGTAACTGCTAATTCTGTCATTATTTTCTCAATCCTGATGTCAATTAAACATTGCTCCATAGTGTAATTAATCTAAATATACAGTGAAAATATTCTTATTAAAGTTCTGCCTGTGCTGTAACTGTTGTGCTCAAAGCTAAATGTCTAACTACCTATCATTAAGTGTTAGTCGCGCTTTCCAATCAGTGGGAATTTCTTATCACACCAACTCCTCAGTGGCTTAGACGGTCTTTCTCTGAAAGAAAAAAAAATATATAAATTCAATGCAGTTTAGTAAGTTACAAAGAAGATTGTACGTTGCTCAGGGATATTTAGCATTTTAATTCGCGTACAGAGGTTATCCAAACAAAACAACCGAAGAAATGGACAAACAAGTCACCCACTGTGTGGGGCAATCGCCAGTCTGAGGAAGAGAACATTTCACTGGGGGCCCCCGATTTTTTATAAACGTCCTTTAAAAATCCAGGGGTAGATCCTGAGTTTAGTGTGATATGCAGATAAAAACACCAAAAGAAAAATTCTTTGACAACTGAACGTTACTCACCAGATCGTGTGTCCGATGTTCGACGTGCTTCATCTGTCGAAAAAAAGAAGAGAAATTAAAATAACATCATTTTCTCTGTTATCCTGTTTCAATCAACGCCGCCAGAATTCGAACAAACCAAAGGCTCAGTTAGATAAATGATATTTTTATAAAATAAAATTTCTTGAGAAACTTACAATTCCAAAGGAATTCTTGTATTTTGGATGGAATCTCGATGCCTCGATTGTGTGCTTCGCTCACCTCTAAGTACACGAAGAGAAAGGAAAGTAAATGACACAATATCCGGTTCGCTATTTGCACTATCCTCGTAGCATTAATCGAGGTCAAATAAACTAAAAAAAGCGCTGTGGTTTACATAGATGAACACATGTCTTACTTGACTTGAGCTTTTCCGCCAATAGGTCCGTAAGTAAACGCTTGCGCTTCTCTGTCTCTGTCAGTCCTGCAAAAAAAAAAGTTAAACTTACAATAGTTTTCCTTTTTTTAACGCTGACTATGCAGCCTTCTCTCGTATTTTACTCGATGTCGACTAAATCCAAAGGAAGTCCTCGTCTATCATTTCAACGTGTGCTCGTACCTTCTTTACCACGGATCAGGTCTTCAGTCTCTTTCTCGTCCATCTTTCCATGGAAGCTGTTGTATGACCGAGTATCGACATCTACAATGAGATAATCAGAAAAGGAGCTATAACTACCTCCTCCCGAACGCTCTGACACAACTGGAATGTCTCGACTGAGAGTAGCGAGCGAGAAGAGCGGTGACTAGTGACAAGCAAGAAGGGCAAGCTACCATTATAAGATAAGAGAAATGACTCCTCCCTTGCCTGGCCACTGTTTCATAGGGAAGAGGCTTCTAGGTAGGACCAGGAGGGAGCAGGCATTCATTATTTTCCCTCAGGGTGGGTGTTTCATGGAGGATTGCTGGCGAGCGTAATGAAATGAGGTATGTTTTGGTGATGAATCGGCCGAGTAACGAAATCAACAATCACGCGACAATGTCTCTCTTCTCGTAACTTTATCTGAACTACGTTTAATTCAGTCAATCAAGCATTTGGATGTAATAAGAACTCGATCGTGAATCAACTTGAACAAACTAAGGACGACTGAAAACAGGCTAAGCATCTACGCTGAGGCCCAACATACTAAATCTTCCTACCTGGATAACTTGGGGGAGGCAGTATATGCGGAACTTTTACAGCCCGAGAACCTAAGTGAAAAGACAGTTTCAAAGCAAAACCACTTGATGATTTCTATCTATTTCGAATCGTCACAGCTGTTTCAAGTACCTATTACAACTAGAGTCCTACCTGGCAGCCATTTTCCGCCAGAAAGAAGCGCCATGCGTTCTGCTCTGGTCATGTCTGGGGAGAAATGAGAAGTAACAGTGAGCATTCGGTAGTTTTGTGAATGGGGAATGCGGCGGCCGGGAAATTTGCGCGCTGAAAACAAAACCAAATCAAGATGTTCAAGCTCCGGCAGGGTCATTGTGCTTTGTTTTCTTACTTCTTCGTTCTTACAGAAAAAAAAGAGACCTTTATTTTCACAATACCTTCCTCCTCACTGAAACACAAGTAAGTACCTGAAAACTGTAAGGGGAGGTCGAAAAATTGCGACGGACAGGCACCTTATCGAGGAGAAAAAGCAGAAGTTATAGGCCTTTTCAGTCTTGACGGCAGATACAACCTTTATCGAGGAAAAAGCGCCTTTAAAGTAAATATGGTCTTACCGTATGGCATTCCTCTCATCCCTGCTGATGAGTCAGAATTTGATTCGAATCCAGTACGATCCCATGGCGCGTAGAGGTCCTCTGCATAAAATGAAATGACACGTCAGGTATGATAGCTGAGCTTGCAGAGCGTAGCCCCATAATTATACAAAATAGTAGTAACCCATCAAGCCGAAAAAATTTGGATGTACGACCGAACGACCGTACGACCGTACAAGGTGCTACTTTTGACATGCGTGGTCAACTGTACCGCCGCGTAGTTCGTGCACTGGGCTCCCGAGTTGGACGACCCGGGTTGTGGTCCTGGCCGGGGCAAGGCGTTGTGCCCTTGAGACGTGCGGGGAAAAAAAAATGCGAGCTCCGCTTTTAGGCTTGGCTAAATGTATATATTAGTCCATAATTTCAGGTATGAAATCAAGTCCAGTATCTTTAGCAGAAGCTCTTGCGAGATAACGCATGATTCCAGTTCCATAGTGGCTTTTCTTCTCCAGTTTTACAAAGTCGATTCAACCTCTACCTCTTAGAGGGTAGGAATTGAAAGGAATTAAGATATGACTATCAATAACATACTTGTGGTCATGTGTATGTGAACGGTGTCTAAAACCTTCAACCAGGATTATAGACGTTGACGATTTACCATCTAAAGACTTCTTACTTACTTGGAATATAATCATAATTCTTACGATAGGTGTCTAAAAAACAAAAACAATAATAAAATCAAATAAACAAGAGACGTATTAGGGTGTACCACACTTTACAATAAAGCTCTGTTGGTTTGAGTACACTAATACACCGCGCAGTTGTAAAATTTGTCATGAAATGAACGTTTAGAAGAAAATCTGGTGTTAAATTCTTGCAATTGTTCTGATGTAAATACTTATTAAGAAAATTAATTGTTGGGGAATGCGGGCGGTATAAAAAAATTAAGACTCATGTTAAAAGCAATGAAGAAGGAAGGTGAACGAAATCAGTTACCATATGTTCTCCTGTGGGGAGCTTCGGGAAAATCTGTAAAGAAAGAAAAACATGAGGCCTCAAGCGACCAACAAGTAAAATAAAATAGTTGAGGGAATAGATGGGTGCTAGAACACATGGGGTTGTGTAAAAGCATTGCAAAACAGACATTTGGTGCTATGTACAGAAAAAAGGAACACTAAGATAATTTTCAGAAATTAAACGGATATTACAGAAATTGAAAATACGTTGATGGTATTGTTGGAATCGGCGGATAAGGATTGGGATGGTTATACTCATTGTAAAAAGTTGAATTATCTCACAGAAGTAGGTTGGGACACTATTATCTGTTTACCTGTTGTAATTATTTTTGGTCTTAGTTAAAAAGTTATGAATAACCACTGAGCTAGTAGTTGAAAATAAGACCTGAAAAAAAATTTCAGGCCCATACGGGATTTGAACCCATGACCTCTGCGATACTGGTGCAGTGCTCTACCAACTGAGCTAACAAGCCAACAATTATGTTGGGTCCAAATAAACCATCCAAGTGATGAATAATGATTGTAAATATATGAACAAAAATCTATTAAACTAATTAGATATAAGTTAAGTATCACATTCAGAGAGGCCACCTTTTAGGACAGTCTATTGGATACTGAACCATAAAAAAACTTACTAGGTCTTTTAAAAGGTGGAGGAGGGTATTCGTTATCATAGTCCTCACCTACAAGAAGAAATAACAAAATTATTAACTCTAACCATTGAAATTTCAATCCATAATGGAAAAAGGTCTTCATAATATCTCTTGGCCACTTACGTAGCTGAGACAACAATCGTGAATTTCTTGCTTCTGGAGAAACAAAGAAGGTAATTTTAAAGTTAGTAATAACATAAGAGAAATAGCAAACTTAGAAGACTACAGCATAATGTGTGGCTCTTGACAACCCCTCTCTTCCTGGTAGAAGTTCAAAAGAAGCTGTAGCTCACGGTTTGTTTATCTTGAGAAATTTACCCTTTATTCTTTTATAAGTTGTAACTTCAGTGCATCCCTAATGAAAACTTTTCCCTTTTTGTTTTCCCTTGCTTCCTTTGTATTTTTTTTAATTTCATAGTTTAATCTACTTCAGCAAGGGAATTATGTGACACAAAAATGTACATAAGTCTGTATTTTGTGACATAGAGGTGTGAACTTCAGAAAATACCCACCTATTAGTCTCCTGTAGGCTTCAGAATTTTTAAAGTCTAGAGTCAGAATAAAACAAGATATTAGATTTGTTTAGAGGATCAATCTATATCAGAACCCACTTGTTTAGATACTTTGCCTAATTGCTTGAAAGAGAGAAGATTTTTGTACTCGACAGGTACCCTAAAAGTCCTTAATGTGATACATCTCATCCATTCTATAAATCAAGAGTAATTTTCATTGAGAGGAGAATGTAAAACGTGTTGCATTGCTCTAAATTTGCTTGGGGTTTTTACTTTTTCTGATCAGCTGTTGTGATATATTAGGTTTTGGTTTTATAACACTCCCTCAAAATGTGATTGAACCACCAAATAAATGAGTACTGAGGTTAAAAAAATTAATGTATCTTACCATATTTAGCAGCATCACGGTGAGGAATCTCTGGAGGACCTAATTCATAAAGTAACAATTAAAAGAAAAGGCTCAGTAATTCTTTATCAAAAGAGGAGTAATCAGTTAAAAAATTATAATGGGAAAACCAAACATCATTCCAGGCTTCCAAGTAGTAACCAGCTGTGTGCTACAAGGAATAGAAGCTATTACCATTTAAACGCCTTGAACAGGAACATTCTTAGGTTGAAAGAATTTTGAGAGATAATAAAGGAAAAGGGATGCAGTTTGTATAAAGTTACCTGGTTTAACTGGTTTTCTTGGTGGTACCTCAAGATCTGTGGACAATATTAAACACAATCAATAATTTGGTGATATTCACACTAAAACATAAAGTTTTGGTTCACCATGTGAACACTAAGACTGTAAGACTCAGGCTCTATTCCATTTTAACTGATAACAGAAATCTAAACTGAGTTTCAAACCATTGTCACAAAAAGTTTCTGACAAAAACATGCCACAAAATAGGAGACACTTACAGTCAGATTTCTTTCTCTCAGTCTCTGCATCACTTTTCACCTCTACTTCTTTCTTCTCTGTTGCATCTAGAGAACCTGCAAGTAAACATTGGGTTTAGTGTAGGGTTCCCAATTATTTAACCTAATCTTAAAAAATAAACTATTGGGAAAAAAAGTCATGGAACCCTCTGACAGACTGTTTTGCTCTAACCACACTTACTTTTTATGAGACTTTCCTCGCTGTTTGTCTCCTCCTTTGTAGCCACATCTGAAGAAAACAATAGTGATTTAAATCAAACTAATGAGCTGTTGTAAGTTCAAGTCAACAAGATGCTGCTAAAAAAGGCAGGCAGTCTTAGAAGCTCTCAAAATTTTTGGGACATTGAGGTACAGTCAACTCTGATGGAAAAAAGGCCCTAAGAATTAAAGAGAAGATTTGTATGGTTGAAGTTTGAAATTTACCAGACTTTGTCTCTTTGGGCGTGTCTGCTTGATCAGTCTTCTTTACTGTTGTCTCTGATCACATGAAAACAAATCAATAATCAGTCAAAATTGTTTACCACAGATCCCTATACTTCCCTGTAGCTCTTCAAAACTGTTTTTTTTTTCTCAACAAGTGAAGGCAATCACAAGGGGCTCTAATGCTAGCCCGTCTGGCACCCTTTATATTTTGCTCCTTGCATGCCTTAATAGGCTACCCCTTGAGTAGGAAGTTTACCTTACAATAAAAATTAAGTTTAAGTTTACAAGAAGCTGATCTCAAGAACTAATTTGTAATTCCCCTTTCCAGCTGCTTTATGTACTTTACAGTTCTTTGTGAGTCAGTTCAGAGAACTTGGGGTTGTTCCAAGATAGCACACTCTAATTGATCAATTTGCCTTCTCTATTCCCTTCTTCTGTTCACATAATTTACATTTAGGAGTAAAATTAAAGGCAGTGAAATTACCTGAAGTATCATGTTCCTTTGCAGTTAACTCCTGAAGTTCTACAGAGAGAGAATTGACAATTAAGTTAAGCCAGGCATCCCTCATCATATCAAGCCAACAGGTACATTTTTAGCGAGCGAATGTCTGATTTCAGTGTTTCTTGATGAAATGTCTGACCGCCATGTTGAATTCTAAGAATTTTGGAAAGTTGGATAAAGAAACAAGACATGTACTAAGTGGGTGGGAGAGGGTAGTCAAAGGGCAGGGGAGGCGATGAGAGGTTGAGAGAGAAGAGAAAGACGACACCTTTCCTCACCCACTCATCCCTGCCCACTTTTTCTAAAAAGAATCTCACAGAAAAAAGGGTGCTGTACACGAACACTTTGCACATCCGCATTGAGAGTGCTATTTTATTTCTTTGAACACACTAATAACCGTGATTGGGTGTTTGCCGTACTCTTGAAAACGAAAACGCTGTCGGCAGCATAAAAGATTTGATGAATCGGAAAAATTTCATAGGGACGAAAAAAATGTCAAATGTATTTGTTAATCTGGATCAGTACTTCTATTGTGTTGATCCTAAAAGCTTCACTGTTTTTAAAGACTTTTGAGGGGGCATCAAAAGATGGCAATCGTCTTAAGAAGACAGAGTTGAGATAATTTCCTTAAACTTTTTTTTCAGATGCAGCGCTCTAGGTAGCAGGTGTCTTATACCTTCCGAAAGAGGCGATTTGAACGCTTAAATATTTGCAATTTGTTTCCAAATGTTTTTGTTTTAATACTTCAGGAATGATGAGTGGACTTATAATACTTCGCAATGCGTGAGAAAAACATCATAATGGCTTACACGTATCCTATTTATCAGATAAAGGAATTCGCTTTGTTAATAAAAAAAAAATCGTTTTATCTTTTGTTTTCCAACACTCCCAAAATCACGTCGCGTCTAAGCAAAACGATTTTAAGACTTTTGAAAGAATGAATATTGGAAAACACGGAAGCGAGCTTTAAACGGTTTCTGAATTTTAGGGAAGAAAATCTGTATCCTCTCTCAGGCAAGCATCAAACTTAACTTGTTACTTGCTAACGCAATAAATGATTACGTGTTTCTGTGTGTTGTTGTTTACCTTGAGACACCAAAATCCCTTTATCATAAGGTTTTTTGTCACAATGAAAAAGTTCACCTTAACGTTCTTAATGAAAAATGATTTTGGTACTTTTCACAACGCACCCAAAACTACCGCAATAACATTATGAAAGACAATAATAATTAAACGAAACCAAAAATGTCTGGCATTGCCTCTATTATCACTTTGCGCTAGAAATTACTGAGGTCATAACTTCACCTACGGTGATTTTTTCAGACGGAACCCAAAGGGTAGATATTTCCTTTGTTTCCGAGTGTCCTGCGCGCTTACGAAACTTTTAATAAGTTTCATAACGTGTCGCAAAATCGTCCGAATCCTACCTTACTTGGGGAGAAAAGTTATAAAATATTCTGCAGACTCCAGAAATGCGCCGCGCCCAACCGTACCCATAAACAACACATTACTGCAACTGGATACTTAGTCTTTTGTTTCAGGTCAAAGGTGTTATACGTGAGAGAGGCAAATGAACAAACGAGCGAGAAAGATAATAACTTTCATTTCTCCTCCTATTCTGTTTTAAATATGGTTCTACTACGACTTATTATCAATGTTTGCTCAGTGATTAAGGACCTAACCTTGCAACATGAAAGTTTGAAATAAAAAAAGGTCATCAGTATGTTTCCCCCGCGCGGCTTGTCAAGGACCCTACCCGAAAATCAACCGCCGCATTGTTTCGTATTTTGTTCTGTTTTCCTCTCTGGCCTTACAGAACTGTCAACTACAAAGCTAAATGCGTAAACACAACGACAGAAAATTTCATCAACTCCAGTTCGAGCTGTAATTTTTCTTTAAAGCTCGTAGATGGGTATAAAATTGGAACAATGGTATGTCGAGCTGTTACGTTAGAAAGATCAGGCTTCCCTACAACAAGCATGAATTCTATCAAATAGGGCTACGATCAACTGAACGAAAGGCGAGGGAATGAAAAGCATTACAGTGGAATCGTTGGCTGTACAAAATTTTGAAATAAGGAGAAATGCAACACAAACATGAAAGCAAATTCGTTGAGCTATTTCAAGTCAGTTAACGACTGTACTCACCTTTCTCTATCTCTTGGAGGCTAATTTCTGGCACCGGTTTCGCAGAAACCAACCCAAGCATTAAAAGGAAAGGTAATCTTGTCCACATTCTCTTTACGATAGACCTATTGTAAATCAAAGGGAATGTTCTGGGTTGCTTGTTATGGAGTGAAAAATGTCTTCGATCACCGCCGTAAGCATCTAAAGCATATGTATTTATATCCAAATTTCGCATTCAACGGTTTCCGCGGCTCAGTCAACTAACCAATCAGTGGCCTTTCAATTCAACGATTATCGTGTGCCAAGAGTTAAATATAAATTAAATTAACTTCATAAACTCATCAAGATCTGGTCATTTGATATATCCTAATCAGTTTTAAACCATTTCTTTGCTATAGGGTTGTCGTATGGTAGTTGCTAAAATGTGGTCATTCCAGTACAACCATTTCTCTCCTAAATCCCTAAAGTTAAGACACTTAACGTGATAAAATATAAAACGCACCCCGATAATACTGAAGAACTGTTATTTTTTTAGTTACCTTTACTAATAAAGGGCTTTTCCGAAGTTTAAAATCTTGCAATTTATCGCAGAGGAACAGGAAGCGAAAAAGAAAAGGAAATTTTTGTTTTGGCCATTTGTGAAAACTTGGTAATTTGATATTCCCGCTTACCCTCTGAAAATCTATTGCTATTTTACGATAACACATTTCACCATTTGCCTGCAAGTTGCAATTAGTGAATTAGGGCTGGTTGACAAAGCATGGTAATAGCAAACATTTTGAAAAAAATTCCCCAAAAATGTCGCACTATTTTAGAATTTTTGAACTTTCGTGCGCTTTGACAATGACCTACATGAGTAAGTGAAATTGGTAACCAATCTGGCGACAAGAACGAATGGTATTTAGTGGGTCACGTAATCTTGCTAAATATTTGCTTGTTGAACTGTTTCATCCATAGAAACTGACCCGATTGGTCCTTACAATCATACAGATCTGCGGATCAGATTCCTAATTATTATAATGGATGAATATCTTAGAAAGATTTATTATCAGTGCGAAAATAGAATTTCTAAATAGCAGATGAAAGAAATTTCTGAATTGCGACCGATCTACCGTGCGGGTCAGGCCGCACATAATTTTTATGCGCGTACGGTGGGAAAAGTCCTGACTAATGCATTTGGAGACATTTTTTGAGCGGGATGTTGGTGAAACACCTACCATCTGTTTGTTGTTATTTTGGTATCCAGTCTTAACGCCAGCTCAGCTTCATTGACGTCAACAGAAATATCGACCGGTACTTAACATAATGCCTACGCATTCACACGTATTTTCTTAAATGCAAAAGCCCCGTAAACCGCATTTTTCCTTTTTCTCATTTTTTCCCAACTAATTCTTCAGTTGGTACACGAGTGTGATCTTTGCTTGTTTGTTTGTTTCGCAGTAGGAGTCCGAACAACGTGTCATTTGTACAGCGGGTTCGTATGGAAAGAAAGATAGTAATATTAAAAGAAAAGCCACTCAAAGAATAAGTTGCACGTCCAAACACGGATTCTCGAACTAGTGAGAAAGTGAAGACTCTTTCAGTTTTCCACAATCTAATCTCTATCTAGTTTCTTAAGATGTACATTTAAAACTATGGTTCGTCACCCTCAACGTCCCTACAAAGAAGAGCACATAATCAGAAAAGCGGTTTAAGGGGTCGCACGTCACAAAACGTTGAAACTATAACTATTACGTGACTCGTGGTACACCTTGAAAGCGAACCACGTAGATACCTCAAAATCGAAAGAAACTAATAAAATGAATAAGCTTGATTGTCATCTAATCGATCTCTGCTGTGCTCTATTTCACATCTCTAGAACGTGATGAGTCATTTTTAAGGGATCTTTTCAATTATTGTAACTACCCTGCATTGTAAATGAAGTTACTGAAGGTCATTTCTCACTTAGAACAGACTTTGGCCTTCAAACTGAGTTATAGAGGATAAGTTTCATATGTTGCCATTTGATATCATCGGAATCTAAAGGGCAAATGGCACACCACACTTCTCATTAACGAATTCTTAATTTTTATGTTTAGTTTCTTGCGACTTTTATCTCCCAGGAAAAGAGAAATAATTTCAACGAATGGCTGAAAGGGGTAGGAGACCCTCCACCCCTCTTGCGATAAACATTCAATCCAAGAGGAAACTTAAGAGGAAACTTAAGGAGGAACTTAAGAACACCTACACAGGTCTACGGTTCAATTTAGCCCGCACAATCTTATCGTAATCCTCTCCTCTGGTTGCTTTGCATTTCCTTATCAACGGGTTCGATGAATTGGATATTACATCAAAGTAACCTCCTCTGTCTTCTACCTTTGTCTATTTTCGTAATCTGTTTGTGAGATGTCTTGTTTGAAATTATCAGGGATACTTTCATTCTGATTACGTCAAGCCCTCAAAGGGTGCATCCATATTAAAAATATAATATTTATCTTGGTTGTATCGTATGCCTTAACTCAAAGCTTCCTGTTAGTTCCTTTGTTTTATTACCGTCTGTTATTTTTCTTACGATCCGTCAGCCTGAATCTCTTTTTTTTCTTTTTACCCTGATTACCAATGATGTTTGGAATTTTGTCGATTAAAACTGGTTTTGTCAGGAAATCTTAATTCAGACCGCGAACACTTAACTTGAGTTAATCCATTATATTGCGTCTTCATAATTAAAAAGGTCAGATACAGTAGCGTCTATGGTTGGCTTTGTTTATTCAGTGGATTGAACTGCAAACACTCAGACGGTCGAGCAGCATTCGGAAATATAACGCTTGGAAACTTAAAACTACCTGCACGAAACTTAAAGAGCATCCTAAAAACAATCAGGTAAGACTTGTTAAAATCCTGGCTCGAAATAATATGCTTCGTAAATATACTTAAGTTGTAATCGATGCAAGTGATATGAAATAAGGAAACTGCATGTGGTTTCATTGAATGGCTGATGTAAAGCTTATGACGAGGAAATCGTTCTAAGAAACGTTTCAATATTCACTACCGCAGAATTCCTAGAACTGAAAAACAGATTGAAGACCAGTATAGGTGTTCTTAACAGTTACTGTAAGCCCACATAACGAAATCTGAAGAAACACTATAACCGAAACTCACAGCTTCTTCCGGTTAAAAAAAATTGTCTACAAATCCATTGAGAATCTTAGCAGAGTTTGGTATTGAAAGATAAGCAGGAAAAGATTACAAGCACTGAGAAAGATCTGCTGCTATCGACGATTTTTTCCTGATCCGAAAAGGATAAATATATGTTATTCTGATATAAGTCGTAATTTTAAGAACATATACTGAAGCGCATTCTCAACATATTTTGAGAATACTTATCACGGGAATGAGTCGTAAGATCGTCATTACAATATTTTGAATCACTCTTTCCGATAAGCAAAACTACATGATATCGGTTGGGGACCGAGATAGACAAATTCAAAAGCAGAAATAATAAAGCAAGGAGGAGAAAGACTGGTGAAGAGTTGGAAAAGATTGACTATAGCTGCAAATGTAAAACTTGAAAAACAAGGCTGAATTTTTCAAAATGTGAAAATTTTGACATAGAATGACAGGAATGTAGTAGTTTAAATTGAATTACGCTGTTTCAATGTATGGTGAGAATTTTGTGGTCTTATCATTTAAAACTGTAGATACTAAAGTGACTAATTTCACCCAAGCTCAACTCGATTTCTCCGCGTATACAAACAGCCATATTGAACAGATTGGCATAACGTTACTAGTGTTATTCAATAGATAAATAAAATTTGTTGATCGCTTATTTCTCCTCGATGTCATCAGCGAATTGTTTGTCATCTGAGATAATCCACTAATCCACTTACTGCTTTTCGTTCGATGTCGATGAGACGGGATCTTACAACCACACAAGACTCCTGACTTACAACCAAGAACTTTTTTTTTTTTCACGCTTTTCCCATACGGAACTAGATATAGGGAAAAAACACCAACTTCTGTAAATTTTTAGCTCAGAAATTTAACAAGCTGGCAGACGACACGTTCCTTTTAGGTAGTGAAAATCAAGGAAATATGCTAAGCGATGGAATGGAGACTTTTCGTGATTTTTAAGGTCTTGAGTCACCCAGGCATATATTTTTTCGTGAGAAAATAAATTTTTTTGGTTAGCCTACACGCACAGCCTCCCCTAGGAAGAAACTCGGAGAGGAGGCTAAGTTTTGGTCAAAAGCACTCGTCTAATTTGGACGACTTGCGGACCCCCAAGGCCAAGGGAAACTTGGGCTCGAGTTTGATACCAATTAGCTTTTGCGCCTTGCGTTCATTTTCTATCTCTATAACACAGCTGGATTTGCCTTTTTTCGTTCGTTATCGACCATTGTTTAATGTATTCACCTTCAAACAATAGTCTAGGAGAAATGTATTATCAAACTAATTGCAATATAATGAGATTGGTTGTTCGGAAGCGACCAATTGTTCTTAGTTATTATGCGGGAAAGTTATTGAGTCATCGAGTGTTTTTATTATGCAAAAGAGATACTTTGTCGCTTAGGTGTTCCATTTACCACAAGGAAAGTTATTTCAAGAGAAAAAGCATCAGCTTTAAGGTGAGTTGTTATAAATACGGTGGATAGAACATGATGTACAACATATTTCACGACTTAATTAGATTTTTTAGGAGCATGCCTTCTGCTTTCAATTCAAGGGTTGATTTTAATTTGAAGAGTATGTTAACCAACTCAAATATCTCGGAAAGCTTTGAAAAGTCAGTGTTTGAAATTCGTTAAAGAGTTGAGGTCAATGACAGTCAGTAAAAGTTGGCAGAGTTTCAGTCTCCAAAAAATGATTCCTACATATTTTGTGTTGATTAACTTTCACAAAAGCTTTACCGGTGAACTTAAAATTTCCAATCTGTGTCGCTTTGCTCCTCATTTAGCTTTGGTTGACTTATTGTCATTGTTTGTGAAGGAATACTCAAATAAAGCATTAAGAATCTTAACAGCTTGTCTTGTGAAATTATTTAGAGATGTCCTTTCGCGTTCTTAAGAAATGCCTGAGGATAATACTGCTTCCTCCATACAAGCATTTTCCTTTTATTTTCGATAACAGACAGATGGGATTGAATATCATAACAAATCCTTCGGCAGTGAAAAGACTTTCGTACCTTATGTGGATCTTTTTACTAATAACAGATACAGAATACAAGACAAAGATCGTCATTTTATGTTAATTGAACAAATTAAGGAATTTTTTGTTTAGCAGTAAGATAATTATGATAAACAATATAATAGCCTCATGTTCAATATATTATATGTATTACGTTGTCGTGATGAGTTTCACTCTTCAGGCTATAAGTGCTTGTGAGGTCCTTTTGAAATGGTTGTAGAATATGCTAGGAATTTGTCATACATGCCACAATGTAAAATGGCACACTCACAAAACTTGTCGTGATGGTCACGAGGAAGTGTGGCCAATATTTTTACATCAACATTGAATGTGGAATGAATTTAAAATTACTGAGCAGTAAAGTTATTTTTCCTGTTATAATTATTTTTCCGGTTGTATCAGTTTTGTTATTACTATAGTAGTAATGGATTGCCATGGTTAATGATTCTTATGCTTATTTTGTTGGTTTTGGTCAGATCTACATCATATAAAGGATGAATAATTTGAGTTCAGGTAACAGGCAAGCCTCATTGAATCTGGGGCAGACAAATGCCAAGTGTGCAAGATGTGGAAAGACTGTGTACTTTGCTGAACAAGTTTTTGGTTGTGGAAAGAAATGGCACAAACAGTGTTTTAAGTGTGTGGCTTGTAGCAAAACTGTAAACAGTTCAACCATGCGAGATAAAGATGGTAAGAGTGTGCCTCATGTTTGAAATTGTCACTATCTTGGGTTAATTTCCTTCTGCACCATCACTATCTTGGGTTAATTTCCTTCTCCATCAGTAGGCTGCAAAGAACCTAAATTTTGAGTTGTGTTGCATCTTCCTTTGCTCTTTAGTTCCTCTGTTTTTGCCCAGGCGTTACCTTTCAACAATGGACAAATGTTGTGTTGAAAACTCAAGTCAACTCCCTGTAGTTAAAGTTTCCTTGAATTATATTACCTCTCCTGTTTTGGAAAGGTTTATATCAATTACTGAGACTTTTCTTAATTGTATGTATCCTTATAAATGTATACAGTTTGGCTCTGAATCATAAAATTATTCTTCTATCCAGAGCATTTTCTTAAAAGAAAGTCTTTTCAAAGAAAGACAAAAATAGTTCTGTGGGGAACCTGATTGTCTTGCTTTTTTTTTTAGCAGAGTGCTATTTTCACAATACCCCTTTCTATCCAAGGGTTTAAAAGTGAGCCGTGAAACTGTCAGAAAACCAAGTATTATTAGCAGTTTTTATTTGATAGAGTGATACCCACACAGATGGAGTACAAATACATTCATATGCTTCATGTTGTAGAAACTAGGATTACCTTCAGCAGGTAATGAGCTAATACCAAGATTTAATGCTAATATATATTTGATGTTTACAGGTGAGCTGTACTGTGCCAGTTGTCACACCAGGTTGTTTGGTCCAAAGGGTTATGGTTATGGCGTTGGCAGTGGTGTGCTTAGTACTGACACTGGCAAGGCAGGGGAGACTGTTTCCACAGCTCCAAAAACTGCCCCCATCAATTCTGGTCTGTTGGGACAAGGGAAACTTTGTCCAAGATGCAGTCAAGTTGTGTATGATGCTGAAAAGGTTCGGGCAGTTGGAAAGGTAAGTGCTATGAGAGGCTGAGTCTCAGTACAGTATGGCACTCAATTCTGACTTTTGTATAGAGGATCTTCTTTAAATTATAATATCTTGCCTCTTATCACCTGTTTGTTTGTCAATGTCTGAAAATAGTGTAGAATTAAATTGCTGGTCCCAAGTACGGGGATTGATCAATAATCTAATGTGACTGCTGATATTTAAATTTTTTTGTAGTTCCTCCTATATACCACAGTAATTGAGAATTTTCTTTCTATCTGAATAGTACACAAAAAGTGTGTTATCTTCATTAATTTTCTAAACATCTTGTATACAGGTTTTTCACAAGTTATGTTTCAAGTGTGTAACATGTAGCAAGGGTCTGACTCCAACAACCAGGAGAGACCATGAGGAAGAAATCTACTGCAGAGGTATAATGGCATATCGTTCTGCCAATACTTGTCTTCAATTTCTTAACTAAAGTTAAGTAGCTGCCAGCAAGAGTTGATGTAAGAGAGGATTTTGATGTTAGTTTGTTTGGCATAAATGACTAGGATGTATGTTGGTCCATTGTAGGTTAGTCCCCCACCTCTTAGCAGTTAATAAGGTTTTCATGTTGGTTAATGCTGGTGTCTAGCAATATTCCTAGGTGAAGAGAGGCACTGTGAGAGTAAACTGCCCTGCTACTACAAAATGCCTTAATATTGGGCTTAGACCCTCTTTATCTGGAGTTCACTATGCTAACACATCTCCCCACAATGTTCGTATTATTGGTGGACAGATTTGACTGACATTCTATTTGTTTGGTACTTTCATTTTTTTAGCCTGCTATGAAAAGAACTTTGCCCCAAAAGGATTTGGATTTGGTTCAGCACTAATGAGGACATGAATATCATCTAAAAAATACCAAAAACAAAAAAAATAAATGTCACAGGGTAAAATGAGTTACCACTTACAGCACTGACATTCCCACTAATTCTATTTTTTAAGTTTTCTTAAATTTTTTTTTAACCTCAATGGCAATTATTTTTCTGAGATGATACTGTTAACTGTGTTTTGGAGAATAAGGTTTCCTATATCAGGACTGTAATATATTTTTCTCATATAGTTTTGTTAGCTTTGCTTTTTTACTACACTTCTGATCCATCTTTTAATAGTCTTTATGAAATAGGGATCAAAGTTGAAAATTTTAACAGAGAATGCATTGTCAACAAAAGCCTTGCAGATAATGGAGAGGTCTGCAAGGTTGATAGAAAGGTGATTTGAAGATTGAATTGGGGGTAGTTTTTAATGTAGTGTAACCAAGGGGTGCTACTTAAACTATTTTTCTATCACTCCCTGGAAAATTTACCTATTATTTAAACAGTTTACGTCATAGCTATGTCTGGGCTTTTTCCAGTTTATAGAATAATATATTTGTCAACTTAGTGTTCTACTAGACTTCTCTAATGCATCATGATGTCAGTGAGAAAGGGACGTTTTTTTTGTAATAAAATTCATGATAATCTTTTCCGTTACTACTTAATAGTTATTGGTGCCATGGTATGTCTGGTGCCTATCTAAGTAACTTCAAGGCTTGGGGTAGTTTTTTTAATAAGCTTCGAACAGATGCGTTTCTATTGAATTACTACCATAAATGCAATACATCATTTGCTTTCATTTTTTTTGTGCGTAGGTCCCAAAAGGTACCTAAACATGGTACAATGTAATTTGGTTACACACTTCAGACTGTCTAAAAAAACTGAAATACTGAAGGTGCAGGTCAAACACCATGATTTGCAATATGCCAATTTACTGTGTGACATCTTGTCATTGGTGGAATTCAAATTTCCAAAAGTTGGTTTTGTGTTTTATTCTGATTTTCTTCTGATTTGCTTGTGTTAATCACTCGTCAAACGAGTACCAGGTGCACGCGGCAGAAAAAATGGCGCGGCAGGGAACAGAACACTGGTCACCAGAGCGCGCAGATGATTATTAAATATTTATAGGTTATTAATCTTCCCTTTAGTTTTAATTAAGTGGATATGTTATGATACTCAGATCTGATCAAATATCACAAAGACGTGAATCACGGTTTTTACACGTCGAAGGAGGAGGCGAAGTCGTTAGATTGCACACTCATTGCCACGATGCAGCGAGAACTGACTAAGAACGCACCAAAAGTTGCACTGAAGTAAAAGACGAACGATGCGTCTCTGGTACCTGCTATTGGCTTTGATTTGCCAATTTTTGTTTTGCTGTAAAGCTCAAGACAAAGGTTTGTAAACTATCCTATTGAAGTATCGTGTGAGAATTTCATACCCGGACAGTAGAAACTACCCAAGGTTTACACAAACACGTTTAACCGCCGAACTACAGTAAAATTTATACAGTCATAAGATCATCAGAGCATTTACAATAGTGGCTGAGAAATTAGAATAACTTTTCTATAGAAATTGACTTACTGCACATTAGTAGACTTTCAAGCGAGCCTGAGGAATTTAGATAGTTGCCATCAAAGGAAAGGTCAAATACTCTTAACATCTGAAAACACCTGACTTCCTTGTGTACATCTCCGAAACCGACAAAACCAGCTCCAACATACACTCCCCAGAAGCTTGGCCACATTGCCCAAAGTTGTAACTGAACAAATAATGGAACATAACTTCTTGAGATTGTTGCTAATTAAACAGTATTAAAGTAACATCAACTCTATTTAAATCAAAATAAATATCTACCGCAGAGTAGTCGTGTTAATTTGTTACCGGTATCTGCTCGCGTCGGTCGCGGATAAATCTATATCCCTTTGCCTCTAAAATTTGTGAAAATATATTCCTCACTTACATTTCAAGAGAAGCACTTTTCAATTGAGTGTCGTCAAACCAAATCCAAAGAAAAAGACAACAGTTGATCAAGTGAAAGGTGAACATCACGCACATGGTAACAATCAATATTCAAATAAAATACATGCAAACTGCTGAAGCGCGGGAAAACGCGCCGTGTGTGACAAAGCTACCATCGGTTGAAGCCTTGCATCTGACTAATTGAAAAGATGTAAGCAAGTTCGCAAAATCATGGATAAGGCTAAGAGGAGTAAAACCCGAAATACTGTTGACATTCAAATCAAATTGGCTTTATCTGTTTCTTTCACCATAACACACCTTTTATAAGGGTTTTCAAATAGCTCTTCAGTATTCAACTTTCCCCTGATTATATTCTTTCCGAGTAAAAGAAAAGAAGTTTTTCCTGTATGTATATTGTCCTATCAAAATGAAATTTTCTCTTGAATCTGATTATCGACACACAGGATCAACTACTGTGCAACAGGAAGCATCACTGCTAAAATTTTTCAAACTAAATGGCGATAACTACGTTGCAAGAAACACGGCAATCAACTTCACAAACAAGAACGAGACGTTCAACCATTCACGAAACTGTAATCTCTTCATCAAGGGAATGTGCGTTCACAAACTCAAGAGTAAAAGTAACAATGTGAAAAAGTCGTTCCGCCCCAATGATTATGATGACGATGATTATGATGATGACGACGACGAAGCTCCCGACGACGAGGAATTTTCGGAGGAGACACGTGATCACGAAAAGTTATACGACGAGGAACCAGAGGATATTGAGAATTACGTGCCACGGCATGGCAGGCCTGGGTTCGAGGATGGTATAGACAACGATATGGACGCAGATTGGGACTGGGAGTCACAAAGACGATATTACGGAAGACATGGTAATGAACCCAAAGTTGATTTATGCAAATGACCTCAAACGTAGGAAAGGTTGATGAAGAAGTCGTGACTGCTTTTATGTTTACAGATAATGAATTTGGAGGGTTTCGCGAGCTTTTTAATCACAGAGTGCAATGGAACAAAACCAATCCTAGATTACTAAGAATTGCTTTGAGGTAGCAGGTAATTTAGTGTTAACAACTGGGTTGAAAACGTAAATTAGCCACCGTAAAGGGTAAAAAAGCTGACGTTTCGAGCATGACGAAGGGCTAAGGCTCGAAACGTCAGCTTTTTTACCCTTTACGGTGGCTAATTTACGTTTTCAACCCAGTTGTCAACACTAAATTACCTGCTATACTCCCCCACCGACGCAGCACCACAGTTTCTTTAGAAACTTACCCCTTTATGCTTTGAGGTAGGTTTGATTACAAATCAAAATTATTTTATATCCCCACAGACAGGGAAAGATGGAGACTTCGTCACCCACCGGACTATGACGATGACTACGAACCTATTTATTCCCCTTATTACTACCATTATCCAAGACACACTCGTCATCATCATCATCGTCGTCGTCATCATTATCAAGCTCCCGCACATGCGAACTACAGAACATTCAGCCACACGGTACCTTCTTGGTACACGTATCCTCAGGGATATCCGGGCGGTACTCCCATATCAACTCCACCTCTTTCCTCGTATGTTTCAAATTCCGCAGGCGCGGGTTGGATACAAGCTCCTGCCTCTTCTAATGCGGGGTGGCAGCCTCGATTTTATCTTAATCAGGGACCTGCAACGAATATGTTTAAATCCCAACTTGCAGGAACCAGCAGCTGGGGCACTTATCAACAAAACGTGTACAACTATCCACACCGAGAATCCAACTCCTTTTTCATTCCACCATATTCTGCATCGTCAAATCCACATCTACAAGTTACGACGCAGAACAGCGTGCAATTTTCTCCTGCAAACTTTCTCCATGGGATAGCAACCTCTGTTACCCCACTATCTAGCCATATCTATCAATACCCTCGGGTAATTTATAGCTCTAGACATTTTGCTGGTCCATTTTCCAGATCATTCCCGAAGCATCGAGAGTTTTCTGACGCTGTTCTTAACAGAATTAGAGACCAAAACCTTCACTAAGTAGATCAGTGTACCCAACCCTTCCTTTTTGGACTGCGATGCTGGCAACAGAAATATTTAATAACAATATTTGCTACAACTGTGTCTCAAGGAAGGAACTTGAAGTTGGCCTGACTTTTCTAAAAACTTGTTTAAAACTCTGACAATGCCACCACAAGAGACAACTGTTACGAATAAATCCTTCACCAAGTATGTGACACTATTAAATGTCGGGGAAAACTAACTATCAAGCACACTTTGCCCGGCGAACTTTGTGATATTTTTCTGCTTTCTTTAATCACTCGGTACTCGAGTACACAATTCCACTTACATCCAAGCTTATTTTATTATGTGTAACTCTGGCTAATCTCTCACACTTTGATTCTCACTGAATACTTCTTCTTAACTGCAGAATTTTGACTCTACTCTACCGCGCACTGTCTACATTCTTTGAGTCTTTTCTTCTCTTATTCTCTCTACTCCTTTTTTCTCTCTTCTGTCCACTCTCTTCTACGTAAACTATAAAGAACATGCTCATACATTCACTACTGACAGACACGAGTGGGCATATCAACTGGCTGATCTCGGGAGATCAAACATTTGTTGATACTGAGAACGTTAAACCCAACAATTTCATGGGACCTTTGAACTGAAGAACAAAGAACTCAATCATAATGCTTCCGATCAACTTCTGACTACGTTAGTCAAAACAAGAACTTTCATGTGGGTCCAAAGCAAGGTCAGTAAACAAACCAAGCACGTCCACTTGAGGAATTTAGAAAAGGCTCTCACAATTCGGAAACTCATCACGACAGCTCAAACCTAAATAAAGTCGGAATTCGAATTCATACGTTAAATTCTAAATATGTATCATGCTGAACTGACTAACTAACTTTACTGTTTTTTACTTTATTGTTAATTAACTGAATGCTTCATAACAGTACCATGCGAAATTAGAGGGAACCGCCCAAACCACAACAAAGCATTTGTATGGAGGCGAACTTATAGATGAATGAGACGTTATTTTCTTTGACATTGTCGCAGAAAGACCGGAAAAAAAAAACAAACAAACAAAAATATAAGATATGATATAAGTATTTTCCCTCAAATCGCAAAGTTATTTTCAGAGCGAAAGAAACCAGCATATGTGATCAATTTTGATGTACTAAGATTGTCGTGAATTGCATTAACATCATACATGTATAAACATATATGCAAATTTTTTTGATGAAGTAAAATATTTCGAGACTAGGTGTTCTCCTTTCGGTACTAAAACCCTGGCTATCAAAGTATTTATGTCCTGCTTCTAGCTTTGTACCCTTAGACGTAAACGTTTTTCGCGACGTGGTAACAAGCAGACTCAAAGCTAGGCGGATGAGGCACAGTTGGCTTCAAAATGGGCGGAGTGGCCCCTGAGAACAGATGTGCATGAGCTGGACTGATCATTTTAACATCCGCTGAGCAGGATGTGCTAAATATCGTAGATTCAGTAGGCCGCGTTGGTTGAATTGTGGAGCTTGAGATTGGCAACGAGGCCTTGGGATTTGGTTGTAGAAGAGGGTGCAGTAAGGGTGTAGACATAACAGTCGTCCGGGGAAGCCCTGTCGAACCTGTTTGCATGGCAGATGGCGGAGATGACGCGTTACTCGTTAGACATTCTGTGGCAAAAATTAAGATATTAATGAACGGTGAACCTTTTAAAGTTCGCACGCAAACGGAAACGTCCACCGTGCACACATTTCTCTAATTAGTGAGAATTCTCCCCAGTGCTAGATGAATTTAAAGTGTACAGGTGTCTATCCGCTCTAATTTACATATCGAAATACAGCAGAACTTCAACAGAAAGCGTCCTGGGAGCAGAGTCGTCTCTTCGGTCAAGGTTACTGTAACAAATTTTGAGGGGTATTCGACTCAGTTGGGACCAAATGTTTGTTTCTCTTTAATGGAAGGGTTTTTTTGGGTACAGTGTCCCAATTGAGAGATTCTTCTCTAAAGTGTTGTTTTGGAGACCTGCTTTCTTTTGCTCCAGGCTCCATTCCAAACGGAACTTAACTCGGTCATGCGTGTCCGAAAGAAAATCATTGAGAGACAAAAAGGGAATGATAAAGTTATCATTAATGATGATCATTTGGTAATCAAAGTTTTTAAAATAAGTGAGTTTTACTTACTGACAATATGAAGGCCCGGAAAACATAAAAAGACCACGGTTATAAAAACAAAGGCATGAAACTTTGCATCCATTCCACGTGTTTCAACGAGAACCAGTTTAGAATGACAAAGGCCCAGCTGGTACGACGAAACTATGAAATAACAATGAAGAACACAAAATTTGAAAGTTTCTCGTAAGTTTTGGCAAAATCTGAAATATTTCCTCTCTTAAGTTTCAAATAATCGATTTGATTATACTTACCGTAGTGTGTGTGCTGTGACAAGTTCCGAGTTAGATATGGATCGTGATTTGTGTTAGACGCCCACGATAACTGTGTTTTGACCCAAAAAGTTATCAGGTTATCCGAGTTCTCCAGAAAAACCACCCTATAATACCTTGCGGGCCTTATCTTTTCTCAGTTCGTGCCCAGGATGCTTTTCTCAACTCGGTTGTAAATATTATTTTCCTTGATTGAGGGGCTGAGTTCCAGACTCAGCCACAAAACTAATTCTCACTGTTTCGATGTGATCGTCATGATTTATCTGGCAACCCGATTTTCTGTAATTTTTATTATTATTTTTTTTTATGATTGAGAATAGCTCACTAATTTCTTTAATTTGTAACCTTTCTATCATATCATCCTTGTTCATGATGTAGAATATCGACCTTTTGTTAGAAAATATTTGTTATATGAGGTTGACATTTCTTTGAAACCTCAGCGAAGAAGAAAAGTAAAAACTCAAATAGGCAAAGAGCATTTTCTTTCGTGGTTTGACTAGTCTCATTCGACTCCTCTCTATATTCAAGCCCAGTATATAACTAATATTTTTTTATCGAATGTCACCAACAAGATTTGTTTGAATGTTTTTTTTTTCGTTGATTTATCCGACAGGCTTGTCGAGTATTGACAGGAGCAGTGGCCCAAAACTAGTGGTCTCTCGGCAAAAGCAGTGTGCCGTTACTAATAGGCCCCCATGACTCTCAGGGGGCAGGAAGATAGTGGTAACCAATATGCGGGCTTGTGTCACGTGACCTCCTGCGTGTTTCATAAAGTTTTTCCGTCATTATCTCGAAATCTCTTTATCGCATGTCTCCAAAGTCATCTTAAAGCCGCTCGGATTGAGACAAAACAGATTTCATTCCATGAAATTTAAGAATTATTTATCATACACGTTTTCAGACATCAAAGGTGAAAATAAACAGGACGCGAAATGGATTCAAATAAAGGGAACGTGTTTACATTCTCTTTTGATTTAATGAATTGTTGATAGCGTTGGAGTTACCACAAAGAGATTCGTGCTTCCCATGTAACAATCGAGTTAAATCGAAAAGGAAGGTTAATTTGACAGGATGATTTAATCATTTATGTTTAAAATGAACACTTGTAATTATCTATAAATGTTTTGTTAAAAAAATCACGCAAAAATACATCGAGTTCATAAGTTGACTGCTAAACCCCAAAATCTCCACGTGCAAAACGGTTCCGAACAGCGGGACATCGATCTTGATAGCGAGATCACCGATTACACGAAAATGAAAAGATCGATTGAAACTGAAAAGGAAAAACCTCGCCTTTTTAAGATAAAAACGAAAAGGAAATGCATAAAAATCGTGATCATTATCCATCTTCATTGTATGAAAATTGGCTCGCTACACCACACTAGTCCAAGGAAAAATTGACTTTGATGTAAAGTCACTCATCTTTGGAAAGTGGCAGATTTTCTTGACTAGAATGAAATCACACGACAAAAGAAAGCTTTTGTTGCTCTTATAATCAGAGGATCAGATATAAACTCGTTTTCTATAAGCAAAGCGATAGAGTTTGCTGTGGACGTGAGGCTTGAACTTCCGGTTTAATGGTTCAAAACTTCCGGTTTGGTTTTAATATTGTAAGGATAGTAAGAATTCCTGTTTTCCACTCGCTTAGAATGGCGAGGTGCGTATGAGTGATAACCTACGACTGAAACAGCTTCTATTTTCTCAATTAGCGCCAACAGACAATAAGTCTCAGCCGAACATTGGCAGGCGACCTCCCAATCCCAATCCCTATACCCCCTGCAGCGTGCCTCGATTCCCTGAGAGCGCTTGACCTGAAACTTATGTTGTTACTTGGAGTGGGTGACTCGACAGTCAAGATGGCCTGCTGTCGAAAAATTCATTGTTGTCTCGTCTTCATTGCTTTACTGCCAGCTCTTGTTAGCTGTATTCGCCCGTTTAGAGTGCCAAGGAATCTTTTTCGGCAAGGTACATCATCACTAACTTTACCAGAGGGAGTACGCATAATACGGCGGGAAACAAGTGATGATCCAATTCTGGAAGCCACTCATGACTTGGAAGAACAACACATTAGAAGCCGCTTTCGTCGGAATTCGCAGCCTGACATAGATACTACAACCGTGAGTTTAAACTTTGATTTATAATTTCTGACCGGCTTACGTTTTTGATGAGCCATTTCAATGGGCATCCCAATGAACCACCGTGTGCACACTTAAATTAGTTAAGTCATTATCTTTTTTTTACTATTTCTTTCAGCAAGCTCTAGGTACCTACGACAACATGTATATGTATTGGCCTGATAGTAAGGAACACGAACACTATGTGTTTTTGCTTGCCAAAGAGCCAAACCCTCCAATTAGTAAAGCTTCGAATCCTGTGTACGTGTCGACCAATTATGGAAGGAACTTTACCAAGAAAGAATTTATAAACTCGAACAATTCAACGGCTGTTATTGACCAGATATATTTCAGCAAAGTTGATCCTACCTTGGTAAGGGAAAGAATTTTCGCTCTTTTGATATCCTGTGTTTTGTTCATATTATGATAGTGTTGTTAAACTTTGTTGTGGTCTGACCACGTGTTATTTAGGACAGACATATGTTTGCTATGAGATGTCAATGGAGCTGCTATTTTTTTGCGGATTGCTGCGATCTGTAGACTACCTTCGTTCTTGTGTTTTGTTTTCGCGTATGTTTATTACCTCAAGTGCACTTTTTACATATCATTTGGACTGTGAAATTATTTTAAGTAGATGGTCGCATATGTGTAAGATGTACGTTCTTAATGTAACGATATCGTTGCGTGCTTTTCTTGATCTTCTTTTCCTTCAGCGAAGCATGTTTATTAATGTGAGAATTTTTTGATTCAGATACCTTTTCCCCTAAATACGTTCAAAACGTGTCTTTTCTTTTGCGATACGGGACTGTTTTACCATTGATGTTATTTATTTCGTCACTTATACGCAATAGACAATTGTTCTACTTCGTGCTGTTTATGTACACAATCTCCCATGCTGTTGGTATTCAAAACAGCTCCAATGTATATTTCTCTTCAGCTCAGAGGTAGAGGAAGTCTTTACAATAAAAGTTTTGGTATGCGTGGAAGACGTAGGAGTCCACCGTAACCACAATTTCCATAGTGTTAATAATCGGTCTTATTATGTGGACATGGCGTGATGTGCTGTTTGCATAATTAACTAACCTTAATCTTCGTCTTTTAATTTATCAAGAATCTCTCTGTGATTCTAACACGTGTACATTTAACAGTTCTTTGAAAAATACAAGCGCGTTTGACAGTTTTATGATAAAATTGGAGATTTTCCAAGATATAACAGATGCCTTTATCACAAGTCACAATTAAAATTTAAATTTGTGCATAAATAGTTTTTGGTGTTTTATCTGTAGCATAAACAAGTTTTGACTTGTTTTGTTTCTTGCTTCCAATTTTTTGAGATTTCACAATGTTCCCTGATTCTGGACAAATAATTAGTGTAATTTAGTGTATGACTGGCTCCCAACTATTTGAATGGATGCAACTGTTGTCACAAATCTATGTTTATATCCTTCAGGCAAATAATTAACCTTCAAACCACAATAGCGACAAAAATAGTAACTTTTTGCTGTTATTTTAGACCTACTGTCAGCTCTGGGAATTTCGAAAATGAAGTCAATGAAATAGATTTGGCTTTACATGAAAAACTTTTATTTTTAGTTATACAAGCAGTCCAAGAAGGAAAATTAGCCGGTAGACAATATGGAGCCATATTACATAATAAAGAGTTAATCTGCGCCAGCTGGAATATCAGATGTCAACATAAATAATATCTTTTGTTATTCTGCTTTGATGACTTTGTCTATTCTTTTCTTTGTGCTTTATCATGATGTTGTCTTTTCAAGAATGATTTATACCACTTCAAAATTGCTTTCAATTGGCTGCTCTTGACTAAATATTCAAATGATAATTTTCTGCCAATAATGTCTCCTCTACTTTTTCGCTTTGGGCTTAAAATGTGCTACAAAAAAGGATATATTGAAATACCTCTCCCACTTCCTATCTAGAAAAAAGAATTAAAAAATTAAAAAAAAATTAAAAAAAAAGAACAGAAGAAAAAAAACATGCTGGCATTTGCTAGTCAGTCAAGTTAAAACTTAATTGAAGCGTGTCAATATATTAGTCAGAGAAATTTTTATTGACTCACTGTATGAATTTTGATATGTTAGTTATGCTCATGAGGAGGGGCATCAAGAATTTTCTGGAACTTTTCTTTTGGCAGTAATAAATTTTTTAAAAGGATGAATTTGGTGTGCTGCAAGGTTTAGCGTCTGATATTTTAACACACTAGCAGGCTGAGATGCAGTTATTTAGATGAGTTTGATGATAGTAATTTTGAAAGGTACAAGCTTAGAGCAAACTTTGAACTGCTTGGCATATGCAAATACAGAAAAATTTTTCACTTTAGTCAAAAGTAATTCCTGTAAGCTTCCTTTAAGTGCCTATGACATAAATTCTTTTTGTGTGTATTTACTTAGCTTATCATGTAGTAGTGTAGTTTGATCGTCCAGGTGAGTGTAGTCCTGAGAAGGACTGTTGTCGGTAGTGGTGACTGACGTTTCGACAACCTGAGCGGAAGTCATCGTCAGAGTCAAGTGAAAGGTTGTTGTCAGTTGAATGTACTTAGTCCACTTTGTGTACACTGATTGGTCAGTTTTGCCATGATGTTATTGGAAAATGCCAAAAAAAAATTGTCATAGGCCCTTAAATATGTGTTAAGGCATGAATGGAAATTTGTTGTAAGATAAATAAAAATCCAATGCATAATGATCAAAATCCCATTTCTCTTTGCGTTTTGTGAATCTCTAAAGGTCATGTAGTTTCACTCAAATTTGTTACATGACTTTTCAAGAACAGTGGAAGAATTTGGATGCAGTTGCCTTTTTGGGCACTTTTTTTGTGTTTGTGCACAATATTTTGTGTAATATATCAAACATGAGGAAGAGTATTTCATCTGATATCTAAACACCGAGAAGTGGTTAAAAAAAACAAGGTGCAGCAGAGTTTTTTTTTAACTAACTTCAAGGTGTTTGGATATTGGATGAAACAGCCTTTCGAATGTTTGATATAGCTTCTCAAACTATTAATAATTCTTGGAGAAAATTAAAGCAAAAGTTTGCCAAATTTTATGATAAGTAAGATCACGTATCCAAACCTCCTTCATGGTTGTAATTTCCTTTGTTTTCTCAGCATGAATTATTAATAAGTTTGAGAAGTTTATTTGAACATGCCTCAATAATAACACTATGATTTATTGTACCCTTGACACCTTTGCAAGAACATCACAAGCATCAAAATAGAATAGATTTTAAATATAAGGTTACCTAACTAGCTCCCTGAAATAACTATAATGAGTTGGAGCTAATATGAACTTACAAGGAACAGTTGATTATTTTACTCTGATGTTTTGATCTGATGTAGCTGGTTACATCACATTTAGTGTGATGTTACCAACATGGAGATGGTAGCACCTATAGGACATGTTTCTAATTTCAATTCAAGAAGGAAAAAGACATTTGAACAGATACATGTATTAACTATGGATTTACTTGGTTTAATTGCTAATTAATTAAAATCATTTTTTTCCAATTTTCCATCAGGCTATTTTCACAGATGTCATAAACAAGGTTCTTCACAGAACAGATGACTTACAGACATTTAACAACTCTAACATCACTTGGGTGCCAACGTATATCACTTTTCATCCATGGAATCCTAAGTATGTTATGGGATATGATAACACAACTGAGAAGGTACAACACAATGTTATAGCATTGTTTGAATTTTATAAGCAATTGTGAGCTCACCACTGTTGATACCTGTGATTGTTGTTGAGTAGCTGTCTTCAGTATTTGGTTTTATACTGCAACAGATATTGATAATCATGATATAAATTATCTAACAGGAGTTTATTGATGGTTTGATGTCTGTTTTTTGCCTAGGGCAATTACCCAAACTTAATGAATAATGTCCTCTGTCTCAGCCAGCCAGTATTTTCTTCTTTAAGTTATAAGGATTTGTATCAATGAGAAAGTGCTTTGAAATAAATGATTTTTCACCCCTGGGTTTTTTTGAAATGAGATTTTTAGTTTATGTTTAGCATATCATAAAGCATATCAAAAGTATTGTCTGCTTTTCGTTGTTCAGGTCTGATATTATAGTATAATAGCAAAAACTGTGAACATGGATATTGACACAAGTTCAACTAAAGTTAGCTGTTAGTAGTGAAGAGATTAATTTTTCATTGTTCACTTTCTTTTCTGCACTTTTTTATGGTACCTTGAAGGCTCACATTGTAATGTTGTCTTTTGAAACATATTTGACAGCTCTATGTGTCATCAGACGAGGGAAAATCCTTCAGTGAAATACAAGGAGGAGGAAATGTTAAGTCATTCAATTGGTAAGTATGGAACCAGTACCTATTCATGCTCTCTCAGGATTGGTTGGGGGAAGGGGAAAGGTATATTTCAGATATGGCCAATTGTCAGTAACTTCCTTTTTTGTTTCAACTTAAAACAGGGGAGTGGAACATATTGATGCAGTAGATGTGATTTTTGTTGAGCAATTTCAAAGGTCTCTGCAAGAGCGATGTGAGTATATGGTTTTTGTAATAGTTGTGAGCACTGAATCACTGGTGAAGAAAATCATTCAGTTTAGTCTTAGTCTTCTCTTGGCTTCTTCTTGAACTATATCAAGCATTCTACATGCTTTGTAATATGTGCACAGGAAGTTTTTGTAATGCTGCCTTCCTAAGACCATGCAGTAGGTGGTTTAATATATTCTTAATTTAATTCTTATCTATGGGTCAGCTTTACCAGATTTAGTTGTGAAAATATTGAACTAGTAAGTTTTATCTTCTTTGAATTTCATTTCAAGACAGTGATGTGTTGTTTCTCATTTGCTTGCAGTGAAAACAAAGGATAACAGAACCAAAGTTACCAGAATGAACATAGACGGGAAAAATACGCCGTCAAAAGTGATTGCAAAAGATGTGGATGAATTTGAAATGATGAAAAACTATCAGTTTTACACCACCAAATTGGTTCGCAAGTTTTGTTTTGAAATAAAATAACTCTTAAGGATATAAGCAATTTTTGATAAATTAAAGATCAATCCCACTTACCTGAGGTGATTATTTTTCCCTTTGTGAGATTAGGTTATAGAATATTATCATTTTTTTACTATCCATAAGTTAACTGAAACTCCTAGCAAATCACCTTTTTTCATCAACATTCAAGTCACCTGTTCATGACTTTTAAAAAATGAAATTAATTGCTATTAATCAATGGAAAGGTTAATTTTACAAACTGAAAAGCTTCTCTGGAGGAAACTGGAATAAGAGTCAATCCAAGTGGCCTCTCCTCAAATATTATAAAATCACTGTTAACTGTAAGTTTACTTTACTCCTTTCTAGAAACCTAGTGATAAGAATCCTGTCTTGAAAGTTTCTAAAGAGCGTAGGGACTTTAAGTTGGCAACATTCCCTAGTAATGAAGAGAGCAGAGTGAGTAAATGGCTTCTTTTTACAGTACTGATGATATGTCAGATGCTTATGACAGTTATTAAATTGTTGACTTCAACAGTATCACCTTCATGCTGAAAATCTTGCCAGCTATAGAAAGGATTTTATAAGTTGTTTGTTTGAATGTATTTATGTGTATTTAAGATAATATTAATTCATAGACATGGTTGCAGTCATAACAATTACATGATCATTCAACCATTTGATATAGCCATTTATTTATGGTTTTGCAGGACTTTTTTGTGTTTGATGTGGTGGAAGATCGTGTTTTTGTAGTCATCAACCACTTGAGAAATCTCTCCAATATGTATCAGTCTGATTCATTGGGTGTCAGGTACCAGTTATCCTTACCGAGAGTTCTGTATCACAACCCATATACTGATGTTTCGTCTGCTTGGCTTAGGTAAGATCAAAATTCACTACGAAATAATAGATATCATTAAAAGTGACTGGAGTTCATGCAAAATGAGTTAAAAAATCACTTATTAACAGATGCCTGCCAAGTGAGAGTCTGATTGTTAATCACATGACAATAGGATCACAGACGTAATTGAATGATACAAAATTTGATTCAAAGTATTATTTTGTGCACTTCATATCGTCAACTTTTGTTTTGTTTTGTTTTTACCTCTTGTAGAACTGTAGTGCCATATGCTTTTGTTGATGTGGATAGAATCAAATCTGTGAGGGGTGTTTATGTTGCCACCCAGTTGACGCCAGGCCCAGTGGGTAGGAGACATCTTCTCTCTCTTATCACATACAACAATGGTGGAAAGTGGCAGCGGATACGTTCTCCAACTGTGGATAACCGTGGTGTCAAAATAAATTGTTATCTGGTAAATATCATGATATTGTTTGTGATAGTGATATTATATCATCTGATTGATGGGAAGCTTGGAGAGGTGTGATAGGCTAATGGTGAGCAGGCAAGACCAGAGCTGGTAGAAGGCAAATGAGAAATAATTGTGTGATTTTTTTGTCAGCAATTATGGTTAAAAATGAGGTGAAAATAGTGTACTAAAGAAGGCAGACTAACTGGAAGTTTTGGGTTGCCATGGCAGCTCTTACTGACTGTTCAGGAGTGGAGTATACACTCTGATTGAAAAGTCTGTTTTTTGAACCTCTCATGGCTAGAATTTCTTATTGTGTTGTTGCAAGACACTTAACTTTCATCAATCCTCTCTCTAACCAGAGGAATAGAATGGGTGCCTTCTAAGAGGACAACCTAACGCAAAGGGAAGTAATGGGTGGGGCATTCAATTTCACTAGGAGAAGCAATGCTCTTATATGTAGTTGCATTTTTGTGGCAATAACATTGATAAGTTCTGATAACATTAAATGTCCTTTTGAATTAATCCAGAAAGCATTTTATTTTTTTATATCAAGGCACCACACTCTTGTTGATAAGTTGATGTAATCTCATCACCTGTCTGATAAATGATTTATTGAGAATGTGAGGAGAAATTATAATTTAATAACTCACTTTTTGAGGAAAAGGAGAGTTACTATATTTGTGGAAAACCCTGTAGCTGCTTAAATAATTGTCAAAACACAACTTGGATCTTTTACTCAGCTGTTCAAGTAATTAAAATCTATTTTGACTCGGCAGCCAAGCTGTTCCATTCATGTGAATCTACTCTATGGTGCTGTCTATCGTGTTTCTCCATCAGAGCGTTTGCTCTCCAGTGAGTCAGCCCCTGGTTTGGTGTTAGCTTTAGGTATGCAATAACTCTGTGTTTATATAACTATTTTATAAACTTTAAAATGATTGAACCCATGATTTAAAGCCATTAGTGTGAGTGATAGTTTATACAAGGGTATAGTCCTGAGAGGGATTTTACTTGTTGCCCAAAATTTGACTATTTGTAGGGCAGATGTCATCAATGTTAATTAGAGAGTTGTAGGTTTTTAACTGTGTTATGTGTCAGGTTCATAATTAGTTAGCTTTGGCTTTATTATTATTTTCCATGAGATTTTTCTAATTAGATGGAGAAAGAAGTATCAAAAGTTAATGTCTTGATTCTAAACCTTCTTTGGGTCTAGTGTGTAGCAACTACACTGTAGACACCTTGCAAAAGCAGAAGAGATAGCTTATTAAGTGCTTCATATCAGGCAACAAATAATATAAATAAATGCTGTCATGGTTTCTGTGAATTTATGTTATGTAACAAGCTACATGTAATTCATCTTTAGCTACTTCTAATGCTCTATGTACATTATGTTAGGTGTGGCTAGCACTAATCTTAAGATATATCCAGATGTGTTTGTGTCTTCGGATGGTGGAGTGGTTTGGAACAGGGTAAGACTTGATTTATAGAATGTATGATTTAAAATTTTGTGACATTTCCAAAGATCTTAGTTAATACAGTACATTTTTGACATAGTACTGACTTCTTAGAGACTTGAGTTATTTCCTGTTAGATGAAGTTTATCAAAAAGTTCCTTTTTCAAACTGTTAGGTAAACAATTCATATGTAATGCTGTTAGATTTATGGTCATCCTTGTTACATATGGTATTAATTGATGATTGACAGTAATTATTGTGTGGTTATATCTAGAGCAATGTAGAAATATATTTATTGATGTCCTATTTGATCAGGCTCTACGGGGGAAACACTTGTTTACGTATGGAGATCATGGAGGAGTTATTGTTGCTGTGCCATACAGACGTTACACAAGGTCACTTAAGTAAGTCAACATGGAATTGTTTTGATTTTGCTAGGATGTCATCAGCAGCAACAAAATGTTTGGACCTTGCATTTGTAGTTTTGATTCAATCAAGTATTTCATGAACTAAAGAGTTTTATCTGCTCTAATTTATACTATGATCCTAGATAAACAGGATAGTCATACATTACATTTTGCCACATTGCTATAGAAAACAGTAAATTTCTGTAGGGACTTTTCTTTCTAAAGACAGCTTTTGCTTAAGTTACAGCTCCTATGGCTAGAGGTGCTTAAAAATGTTTTTTGATCAGTAAGAGAAAAATAATTTTTCACTTGTCTGTTGCTGGCGAAAATGGTCTATTGGCCTTTCCTTCATACAAGTTTGCTCCAACTTTGATAAACAGTTGGTTGGCTGGACTGATTAAAACAATCAGTGAGACAGGTACATAGAAAGTTGAGAGTTAGTCAGTTAGATATATAACTGGAACATCAGACAGACATAGAGACAGCCAGAAATGATAGGTAGGTGAGTAATATAAAGACACGCACACCCACACAGACAGTCAGTTGGAAGGAAGAAAGACAGATAGCTAGATAGGACAGACGGACAGAAAAAGACACAAATACAGACAACACAACCAAGCGCATGAGATTCTAAAGTTTGATCATTTGCAAGTTGTACCTTTTACACTGCGATTAAATCATGTCGCAGGTACAGTACTGATGGTGGGTTTACATGGAAAACACATGTCTTCAGTCCTAATACGGCCATCCTAGCACGCGACATTGTCACTCAGCCTGGAGAACGACTCCCAGTCTTTGTAGTTCTTGCAAGTCGCTATGGCCGTAACCGTGTTCAAAACTGGACAGTGTTTTATCTCAACATGACAAACATTATGGGTTAGTAGTAAACATTAGATTGTATGGTAAAATTTTAAGAGGCTTTGCCAGTCAGGTTTTGTTGATGATATATTCAGATAAAGAGACATCTCGTGTTTCAGCTGGCTTTTGCTCACAGTTTTTTGCTGACTATTTTCCAAAAACTGTAGCTGTGCTCTTTTCAGGATTTTCTTATTTAAAGTCAGAATCACAGAGAGTGCCTCTTAAAACAGAGCACAAGCCACCAGATAGTGTCTCACACTACCAAACAAAAGCTAAAACACAGCGGTGGTATATTTAAGAAAGTGACCGCAGAAAGTGTTAACAATTTTTGGGTTATATTTTGTTTTTAAATAAGTCTATTAATAATAAAGCCTGTGTTATCAAGACAGCTGAAATTTATGCTCGTTCTCTTTGGGATATTTATGGATCTAAACTATGTTTTGGTCAATACTAAAACACAGAAACATGGAGTGAATATTTAAGCCAGTAAATAACGTGCTTGATCAATACTTTGTGTCTGACTTTTTTCTCAGGTCCAGTTTGTACTTCTTCTGCTTTCTCCACCTTCAAGGATGGATGTATTTTGGGCCAGCAACAGGAGTTTGAGACCAGGAATTGGACTGTACAATGCCAAATGGGTAGAGACTACAATCGATCTTACTATATAAGGAGTTGTCCATGTAGTAGAGATGATTTTACATGGTAAGGAACTTGGAATAATGTCAAATCACTACAGTCACTGTAGTAATAGTAACTGCATGTATATAACCCCAACTTAAGTCTTTCTTAAAAGAATCACTGAAATTTGATGATTTTGATATTTTCCTTATCTTTTTTTTTTAACATAGGTTTCATTGTGATGAAATTTATTTATGAAGTTGTAGCCAATATTTTTCTATCCTGGTAGTTCTCTTGTGTTTAGCAACCAACATACATTTAACTGCCAATCTTGATGAGCTTTTGATCTGTAGTATTAGGCAACCAGGAATTAATGTGTTACCTCTAAGAATGAAATGTTTTTACCACTAGTACATCAATGCATATAATTTTTAACACAAGTCTTAAAATTGTTTGTTTCTTCTTCTTAAAATATCCACTGCAGAACAACAACAGTCCTTCCTGAATTAAAAGTTAATTTGTTTCTTTCATTGTATGTAGTGACTATGGTTTTCAAAGAAAGAATTTTGATGAAGAGTGTACACCTATCAGATCTAATGACCTCAATAATGAACTTATTCCAAAGGAATGCCCAGAGGGATCATTCTACAACAGAACCCAAGGGTAGGAATTTCTGTAGAGTTAAACTCATATTTATTCCAATATTCAAACCATGGTTTACTCTAAAAAAGTAATTTTAGTTGAAGACAATTCTTAATCAATTCTCATCTGTGCTCTATGATGTTTGCTGTGAAACTGTTTTTTGCATTTTATTTATTCTTTGCATCAGGCTAACAATTTGCCATGTTTATTTCTCTAATCAGTGTGTTGTGTGAAGTCTGATCCTTTATATATATATATATATATATATATAGGAAGTCTGCAAGTCGATTTTCGCGTGGAACAGTGCTCAATACGTTGAAGCAGAGCAGGATAAATATTATGAGAGGAAAAAAGGGATGTAACTACATTTCCCGACAAGCCTGTTTCATGAATCGCTTCACTCTTAAACCCCTGAAGAGTGAAGTGATTCACGAAACAGGCTTGTCGGGAAATGTAGTTACGTCCCTTTTTTCCTCTCATAATATTTATATATATATATATATATATATATAAGTACCAATTTTTTTTAGGGATGTTCACCATATAACTCTCTCTACCTTACATTGTGCAGGTTCTTTTAAAGTTGTTTTTTCTTTCTATTTTCATTCTATTTCATTCTTCTAGTTTTCGAAAGATAGAGGGCAATAAATGTGTAGGTGGAACTGAGAAGGACTTTTTTCCAGTGCGAACACCCTGTCCTGTGCAAGGTAAAGGATGCACCACATGCATGTATGGTGTATATAATGGCTGAATGAATCACTTGATGAATTCTAGGTGGATATTTGATCTAATAAAATAAAAAAGACGTGGTACATTTTGAGCTGGGTTAAGCTAATTGTTTTGGCAGGAGCACAATAAAAAGAGTTAAATTTTATGGTTTAATGCTCCTAATTGCTAAGCTGTAGAAACTGGGTCTGAGTGATAAACTATTACAAGGTTACTATGAACTGAGAAAAGTCCTGTTTACCAATTCAAGTGTTGTGTAGGATGTGTGTCTCACATATCTAGAAAATAGCCTCTGGTAAATTTTCCCTGTAACTTGGTGGTAGAGCATCATATCTTGAATTCTGTGAAACAGCTATCAAAGAGACTGTGTAATATAACCATGCAAGGTTTTTTTCTCACACAAATAGGTTACAGGAAACATAATGTAAAATTTGTCAGGGAAAGGTGAGATTTAAAAAACTGATGGAGTTGTGCCATTTTTTTTACAGAGCTGGAAAATTTTACATTAAGTAGTCCTAATGTGACAGATGATGGTATAGTCGCAGTGGAGACTGGAGGCACTGTGTTTTTCAACACAACTTTTGTCAAAGGAAATCAGGCAAATGTATATTACAAGTGAGTGGTATTTAACGTGAATGGTGGCAAAAAAAAATGCTGATTGGTTCCAAGTCATTGAACTGCATAAAAAGTGGATTTCTGAGGGTCAGTTACATTTGTTACATATTTGTATCAGAGCAGGAATCAGGTCATGAATTACTTCGAGCGATTTCTTTGAGAGAAATTTTATATTCATCAGAAGAAGAAACCTGTCTTAGAGTTTAAGTGTTGAGCAGAAAACAAAAAACACACTCTATGACAATGGAGAAGAAATGGCTTATATTATATGGTCATGATAGGCTATGAAAGGGATAATCATGATATGCAAATGCAAAGGCTCATTGTGAAGTTCACAGGGGTTGCCAGGCAGGCTTTCCACTGTTACTTGGTTGCATTCAAGCATAAGGATATTCTTCCATCAGATCATCCCATAAGATAAGAGATCCCTGCCAATGCTTTCACTTTGTGCTTGAACTAATTGGTGTCTCTGTTATATAGGCTTTGGAGGTAGTGATTTTAAAATATTTCCTAGGTGGTACTTTGGAGATGAACATGATGATAAAGGTGATGGAGTACAGTTTGCCAGTCGGAGCCACTTATATCATAAGTAAGAAAAATTGTCTACTTAACCCTTTACATCATAACATCAGTTTGCCTGTGCTCCATACTGTTCTCTATACATTACCCATGGTGCCCATGGTGTGCTTACAAGGAGAATTTGTCAAACCATCAAGAAGTTGAGTTGTGGTCATATCTTTCATTCTCATAACCCTACATGTAATGTTTGATTCAGAGTTGATACAGTTAGGAGAAATTAGATGCTAATCACTCTTAGGGGTTAAAAGGTTGAATTATCCTTTAACCACTGAAACTCTTAAGAGAATTAAATAATTTATAAAGACAGTGGGAAGGAAATATTATCTTTATGTAGTATATTTGCAAATGTCTTAAAATTAAAACTGAAAACTAGAAGATGATTGCGAGCTGTTACAAGGTTGTGCTTCTTTTTTAGTACGTTTTTTTGGTAAAGTCTGCATACATCATTTTAGGCCATGTGACCTCTGATCTGAGTGGAATAAGGGAATGTGAGAATAAAATACCTCATCCAATCACACAACAGGATGACTTGGCAGATTTTAAATTGTGCACCTTTCAATCAGAAGTTTGGCATGTAATAATTGTTAGACTCCTAACTCCTCAGACTTCCCGTATGGACTGGTAATTTAGATCTTATTTGAATTGTATTATATTTTTAACCTGTCATCATTTTTTCAGGGCTGGAAGGTACCATGTGGTAGTGGTAGCACACAATGAGCGGAGCACTTTGGTGGAGAAAATGGAAGTGTATGTTCAAGGTAACTTGATATCTGTGAGTTAAGGTTTCTTCCCGCCTTTGTGGGTGTCCACGCAGATTATGATAAAAATATAATTTAAGTGACTTTTCTTTAAAGGAAGTTTCAAGAGCCAGTAAGGCATGAAATGACTGAAGCTTCTTCTATTGAATTTATTGGGTATCAGATGTTGCAGCACAAGCAAAATGGCTGTACAGTCTCATTCACAAGGCATCATTCAACAAAAGTGTGTCAGGCCTTTTCTATATTATGATTAGTCGTGTTGTATAAAAGGATGCCACAGGACAAATATTTCAAATATCAAAATTTCCCAACACACTTTGGTTTGTCATTATTCCTAGGACGTTTCAGCTATCTGTCTATATACCCTATAAGTTTGCTCAAAGTAGTGATATTCTTCCCAAAATCAAATGGGAGATTTAGCTCATAAAAGTTCGCAAACAACTCGTGCCATGCCAGGAGATTACCTCGTCCCATGAAACTGCAACCCAATAGGACAATGGGACCTCCTGGCATCAATGACAATGGATCAAGATTTCCCAGTAAAAGTAGCCCATTGTGGACATTTTTTTTTTTTTTTAAATCTTGATTGCTCAGTGGAGCTTTGAGGAGGACGACACAATAATGAGCAAAGTTGTCAAAGGCAAAGGAAAAACCTTTGGCAAAAATTAAAAACCGCAAAGCTGAGGAGCAAGACAATAAATGGACATAAAGTTTTCAAAATTATGATTTGAGGTGATTTTTAATGTTTTCATATCAAGGCTGGTACTTGCATAAAAGGAAACTTTGTTTTTAACATCAAGTATGGCAAATTTTGGTTGAATGGCAACTTCTTTGTTCGAAATCTGGGCACCAGCGTTTTTCTGCCTCTGAAGGTGGGAAGTAACCTTAAAGTGTAAGTTCTCCATCCATGTGGAATTTAACTTTTGCTACCTTGCCAGATTCGAAGCTTGAAATAGCACTCATTTATCCAGCATATAAAACTCACAGACTCAGAAAGGTTATGCAAAGAATATTGATAGTCAATGGGCTAACCTGTGTTGACCTGTGTTAGTGGTTCAATTCACCCAAAGTTACTTTTGTCAGTGCAATTTTTTTTAATTGATGAATTTTTATCTCTTGAAGATAAACTCATGGATGATAGAGTATCAGTCAACTTCCATCCTAAAAATCCTGGCATGGATGAGGACGTCATATTTTCCTTAAACTTGAATTACTCAGTGGTAAGTATCATTTGCTGAATTTAGTATGGTTTCATTGGCCAGGAAAAGCAATGGAACTCAAATCAGTGAAAATATAACATTTGCAAATGTACCCTTGGACCCAGAGTTTGGACATGGTTTGTGAGTTATTAATTTAGTAGCAATGTAGATTTCATCAAGTTCATTTGGATATTCTTACTTCCAACTGATAATTTTCAGGGAGACTTTGGAAAAGTTAAGTATAAATGGAAATATGATACTCAAGAAATTGACAGTTGGCAACAAGTTGTTACTCTTGGCTTTAATAAAGCTCAGAAGTAAGTAAGCAGGATAACGATTGATTCTCTTGTCTCACTATTTTGAAATAAATATTTTGATTGCATTGCATTGTTATCATTTTCAACTCCAAACCCAGCACATGATTAATGATACATCTGTTGGTTTTAAGGTATGATGTTAACATCACAGCAATGAATCTTGTGAGTTCTGTTACGAAGGTGGTTCATATTGAAGTCATAAACAAAGGTTTGTTTTGTTTTTAACTTTGGGGCTTTGTGCAGTTGTGTATTTTTTATAATTCCTTTTGATAAGAATGTGACTATATATTTAAAAGTACTTAAATACATATTATTTTACAATGCAATTGGTCTATTCTTACAGTACATATCAGCAAGACAGTTTTTGCTCAAAATTGATAGTTCACAATATTTGAAGGTCTCTAAGTAATTATTTGCAGGAAGAAATTTTCCAAAGAGGTAAAGGACAATAGGTGACCCTGAAGTTTGACAACAGCAATTTTCCTCTGTCTTAGCCATCTTTGTCTGTGTGCTTTGAAATTGTCTCAAGTAAAGATGTATAACAAGTAATGTATGCTTGAATGTGAAACATCAGCTTAAGTCAATCATCTTCTTTCTTAATTTCTCCCAACAGATGTTGTACCACAGAATGTTGCAGCAAGATTTCTTGGGCCTACAAAAATAAAAATTACTTGGAAACATGCTGGAAAGACTGGCAGTTACGTCATAAGACACAAAGTTTTTATGAGGTAAATAGTTTTTCCTTAAAATGATTTCATATTTAATGAAAGGAAATGGATTTGGCACTCAGCTCAGTTTGATGAAATCTGCATGCTTCTATTAGTTTTATTAGTTCTATTTTAAACCTCTGCGTGGATAATTGGCCATAGTGCTCAGTAGCACCCTAAGATTGTTTATCATGATACTGGCAATGATGAAGATAATGATGACGACAATCAAATGATAATGATGTTGATAATGGCCATGATGATGATAATGATGATGTGCAATGATGAAGATAATGATGATGACAATCAAATAATAATGATGTTGATAATGGCCATGATGATGATGATGATGATGATGATGATGATGATGATGTGGATGTATGAACGTCAATGATTTTTGCTTGATTCTGTTTTAGTTCCTCAGGCAATACTGGCTTCAGAAATATTACATGTGCATCTTTTACAGCACTATCGTGTATAGTGGGCAATTTATTACCAGCTACCACTTATTACTTCAAGGTTTCATCAGTTACTGCAGATAAAGAATCTCTAATGTCAAACATTGCATTTGCCACAACTAACACAAGTGGTAAGTCACAATTTCCGCCTTTTCTATACAAGTGATATCAAACTTAGGTAGATTTTTCATGATTATTTTCTGATTTACTGGGTGATCATAATCCAAATTGCAGAAAAACATGATGTTTATGACACGGCAGCATTTTTATTGATTTTGTGTAATTTTGATTTTTACTCAGCTCCTGGAGCACCAAGGGATTTGCGAGTTTACCCTGTAAATTCTTCAGCCATCCAAGTGTTATGGATAGCTCCAGAAAACTCTAATGGAAAAATCACAAGTTACACAGTAAGACACCAAAAAAAATTAGGACATTATTAGTAATGCAGCAAAATATTAATAAAATTTGCCTTTGCCATTTACCTTCCTTTATCAACTTACCATCCTATAACATACCAACTGTGTTAATTTACATCATGAGAGTTACTAAGATTATTGTTTGCAAGGAGATAAGTTGCAGATGCAGGTACCTGCTACAATTACTTTGTATTTCTTGCAAGTAAGATAGTCTTAGAGTGACTAACTATCTCACTATGAGTTTGATTTTGTCACTTTTTTTGGCCAGAACATTTTTTCATGGCTGGGACAGAGATCTTCACAGAGACTCTCCTTGTAATATAAAGAGAGTTGTCATTGCCACTGGCTGGGCATAGAGTAAAGGGCATCTTAAAAAGGAAAAAAATTTGTTTTGTTTTTTGTTGAGGCTCAGCCAGCTTGTTCAATTGCAGTAATGAAATTTGGTTTGAAATTTGTCAGATAAATAAATACACTGATATACCTAATTTTTTTCTATGAATTTTAGTGCAGTTGTTTGGGATTGATTACAGCACAATAATTACTGGTACTTTTGTTGAGGTGCTCAGTTTTAAAGTATTTTCCTTTTTAGATCAGATATTGGCCCTACACTAATACCAAAGTGCAGTCTATTGATAATGGTCTTAAGAGAACAAAACTACTTACTGGCTTAGCACAGGACACTGTATATTTCTTTGAGGTAAGTTATACTTTGCAGTATGCATGGGTCGTCATTGTTTGATCAGGAATGAATATCAGAATGAAATATTGCATTATTTAATAGTATGTAAAGCATTAATGCTAGGACTTCGCACCCCACTAAACATTTAACTTTTCTGCTTAATGCTTTGACCCTTAAAGAGTGACTATGACATCTAATTTTTTTCCTTTCAATATCACCCACTGAATCTTACATTAAGGTAACAAGAAAAAAGGAACTGATCACCAGCTTAAGAAGTTTTTTATTGTTAACTCTTTAACTCCTGTGGGTGACCAAGACAGAATTTCTCCTTACTTTATCTGTACAATATCATGCAAACAAGTGATGAGAATAAAGAAAAATGTAAATTATGGGATTACCAATGATCCAATACCAAATTCTCCAAACTAACATAATGAGAATCAATCTGAAGACAGTAAGGAGAATTAGTAATGAGGTCTTGGGAATTAATAATGGTAATTGAGCTGAGTGGAATGTAATTTGGGCTAAAATCGTACATGTGATTTCAAAATTGAACAAGTGCACAGCACAAGTTTGATTTGAAATCACAAGTATGATTTCAGACCAAAATTGCATGACCCAAGGTTCAATTACCACTTTATTAAATCCATTTTGAAATTGCCCAAATACAGGACTTGGTCAGGTCAAATATTCTATTGATGCAGTACTGAGCCAGTCTGAAATTAAATTAATCCATTTTTGGAGGGGGGAAAGTAAGAGTTTTAGAAGCAAAAGTTGCTAAATTTGCTACATGATACTCTGTCTTTCATTTTCCTGCAATTTGATTGGTTACTTTAAACAAGCCCTGAAATCTGATTAATTGTTTTGTTTTTAATGTAGCCTCATTGGCTGGGAAAAAGATGCGATTTAAAGCAAAAAATGGTGCAATTTTTGAATAAATCGCATTAATTAGAGCCAATCAGATTACAGGGACCACAAGTGATTTCAAAATGGGGGTAATAAAAGGGTTAAACAAACTTTTGTTGTCAGCACCCTTAAAAATGTTTGGAGAACAGTTTGGTAAATATGCTTACTGATGTTAGGGTATAAAGGGTTAAGTAATTGCAAAAGTAGATGTTGATATGCCTGAATGAGTATGGCTGCAAATTTTTTCCATCTGTTTTTTTCATGTAAATGTTTGATGTGCAAAAGGAGGAAACCAGGCATATCAGGAGAATAAATCAATCAATTATTCAAATCTGAATGTTACTTCCTTCCACCATTCATTGCAGGTTTACGCAAACAGTGGATCTGGTCGTAGCATAGCTGCAGGTCCAAAGCAAGCACTGACAAAACTGTCTAGTAAGTATTGAGAACTATCAACCTGGTAAAGAAATAAACATAATCTGTGGTGGGAGTTTTTGGGAGACATGGTAACCTAACTGGCACTGGACTTTGGGTCAAAAGGTTTAGGTTGGAGATCTGGATGGGTTATAAAGTTTTGTTCTTGGGCAAGATACCCTATTCTTACAGTGTCTTTTCCCACCAAGGGGTGTAAATGAGCAATAGTGACCTGTTAGGAGAACCTGGCAAAGTGGTGGGGGTTAAACCTGCAATGGACAAGCAAACCATCCAGGGGGGAATAGCAGTACTTGCCTTTAGTCTAAATTACTGACTCTTTCCTCTCTTGTTGGAGTAAACCCCTAGGATCCTGTGATCTAATCAACACTTAACATCATTCCCTTAGAACCGGTCCTTCCACCTCAGAACATTCAAATGATTTCCGACAATGGAACATGTGCATGGATGCGATGGAGCCCACCTAACATATCAGCAATTGATCAAAGGCCATTTCCAGCCAAGGTGAACAAACTAAAACCAATCATGGTTTGGTGATCGTATTTGTATGTTACCCCTGCATTGAAGTTAGTTTTTTTTTTTTTTCGTTGGACTTTTTGCAAGCCATCTCCATAATTTTCTGAAATTAAGGGTGGCTAATGAAGCAAGCTGTGTTGTGTATAAATTGCAGGGTTACAAAGTGCAGCTTCAAGACAAGCGTCTCAATGATGTAGGATCAAGCTTTGCAATGATCTGCGGTCTAACTCCAGGACAAAAGTCAGAAATAACAATTTGGGCTTACTCAGAAGCTGGTGAAGGACCAAAGGCAACAGTTCACATAACCACGCAAGTTACAAGTAAGTTAGTGATTTGATTAATAAATAAATTAATGGAGATGGATAAGGATTCTATTTGTGAGAACAAGCATAAGAACAAGCTCTAGTTTAAAAGGAGTATTACATATGAACCAAGTAGTGGCCTGCCTCACTGCTAAGTTTTTGTCTGACAGAACCTGGTGCTCCTCGAAACTTGAAGGCTTCAGCCATCTCCTCTGCTGCAATAAAGTTAACATGGGAACCACCTTTACAGCATGGTAGAATCACTGGATATATAATTAATCAGGTATAAAATCATGATTTATACTATAGTGGCTTCCATTAACATAGTAACTGTAAGGGTTGGAGCCATACTTGTGCCTTTTATTTGATACTGCTGTCAGTTGCTGCAGTGGACATCTTAAAGCAGAAACTGCACCCTGAGCACATTTGAATGTGATAGAATTTTAAATTTCTATTAAATATGGAAGTAACCACATACTCCCCATTTATTTTACCTCTTGAATTAAACAAACCAAGGTTAAAACAGTTACTACATGTTCATATTTGAAAGCAAAGATTTGCTGTTCTTGTATTGGTAACAGCTTTGCCTTGAGATGCAACAAAGTAGCTTTCATAGTCAATTGTTTAAAAAAGTTTAGTTGGTTCACTGAACTTATGTCATATTTTCAGCTAAGCCCTTTCCCAGATACTAAGCCTATTGAAGTTGTTCCAGTCCGAACCAGTTTTGTTGTTAAGAAACTGGAGGCATACGTTATCTACAAGTTTGTCATTTCTGCTAAAAACCAGCAAGGGTCAAGTGTGAAGAGCTCCCCAGCATCAGCAAGAACTTATGAAAAAAGTAAGATACCTTTTGTGTTGAAAAAAATGAGAGAATTCTGTTAGTTAATTTTTCATAATTTTTCTGTTGCATGTGACTCTTTTGTTCCTGGGAGAATGAAATTCAGCCATCAGTTCTCATGGCTGACAGTCTTGGTACTGATTGCTTTTCTTAAGGTCCTGATATTGTGGAGTATGTGACGACAGAAACCATTCCACCTACCTCGGCAAGTATCAAAGTCACATGGTCCAAACCGTCCAAACCAAATGGAAAAATTACTTACTACAAGGTAGTCTTTTTTACATTTACATGGTTAGGAGGTTGTTTTGTCTGTCTATCAGCTGTCAATTTATTATTCTGTTTAGCTAGTTGCTTATTTAGTCTGTTAGCCCTTTATCAGTCAGTGAATCAAGTCACTTGTCACTCAGTTTGTCTGTTATTTAGTCAATTTCAGATGGTTTAATTTTATTAATGTATCAGCCAGTTGGACCATCTTATTGTCAATTAGTCAATGTTTGTTAGTCAGCTATTTTTTTAGGAGTCTGTCAGTTCAGCTGTCAGTCGATCAGTTGTTCAACCAATAGGTTCATAAGTCAGTCGTGGTAATCGTCAAGAAGTCTGTCAGTTAATTATTTTGTTATTTTAGGTGGTTAGATTTATTGTTCTTAATCAATAAGGAATTGATGGCAGACCAAGCTAGCTTTGAAATTCAGTGGTGTCCATTGTGTTTGGTTTTCAGATTAGGTGGGGAAAAACTGTTGTGGAAAACGTTGAAAATACTCTAGGAGATCCAATCGAGCCTCTAGAAAAATTAGTGGAAGCCAGTCACACAGCATACACATTTAAACATCTATCCAACAATACATACTATTCCTTTGTTGTGATTGCTGGAAATGCAGCTGGAGAGGGTATCAAGCATATAAATCCAAAGAGGCAACGGACAGATGCTGGTAGGCAGAATGGACATTTCTTTTCCCTTTCTTGCTTTATTTTGCTTTCCTTTTCTACCCTTCTATTATACTTGGTTTTGGAGTTGATTTCAAAATAGCTGCTTTAATTAGCAGAATTTTTGGCATGTCTAAAGGCAATTTCTGAAGGATTGGATCATTTTTGTTGTCTCAAATGCAATTATTTTGAATTTTTTTAACACAGTTTTAAGTGGTGGAGATAATTATTAGATTTATGGTTTCTGAAGCATTTAATTGCTCTTTTGAAATCCACCATAATTGTTTCTCCTCATTTTATAGCCATTTATGGCACAGAAAGACTGAAAATGATCATTGAAGGTGCAGTCATGACTGGTGATGAAGCCATAAAGATTTTTACTCCAAAGTTTTATTCAGAGGCCAGTCGGATTGCGAACATTGCAGAGTAAGTAATCTTCCTCTATAAGAGATTCATCAATTGAAACAAGTTGTTTCTCCGAACTCTTTATACAAATTTGCTCTGCATGAAAATTCAAACAAAGTGAAGTTTTTGTGTGCTTTCTGTCATAACTTGCATGTACCTCACTTTTGCCAATAGTCAGAATTCACCTGAACTTGACAAAACAGGGTAGTAACACATCAGATACAATGGCGTTGTTGACCAAGAGTGAGGTCAAGATGGCTAGACATTGGCAGAGTTCTTTTTCTACATTTTTATGGGCCCAGATGAAGTTAAGGTACATAAAAAATGCAAAAAAAACAAAAAACAAAACAAAACAAAACAAAAAAACAAGAAATAGAGGCCATCTCACTCACCCATGTATATTGATATTTCCCACTGCTGGGTGCTGCCAGCTACATGATTTGAGAACAGACTTGAACGGACTTGAACTTCCTGGTCATGTGTGGTGATGTTCTTGACTATCTATTCATTTTTATAAACATTCCATAAGGCACATGAAAAGTGGAGGACTGTATTCCTTTTTGTGCATTTTTTGCATGACACTTTGAAAATATTCTATTCTAGTGATCGCATCGCTGATGTTGTTGTCAAAGAAAGAGGAAGTGAAATTGCAGTTTACTTTGATCTCATTCCACGCTTCAACAAGTCCGGTGAGAAGTCATTTGAAAGGAGTGAATATTATGTCAAAACACATTTCAGTGTTTTGAGTAATGCCCAGTAATATTTTCAGATAATTCTATGAATTGTGGATTATAGATTTACTGGTCTGACAAAATGTGGTCTGCCAGGATTTTAATTAGCAATAACTATATTAGAAATGGAATTTTAATTGATCATCAAATTTTGCTTTTATAAATGTGGTCTGCCAGGATTATAATTAACAATAACTATATTAGAAAAAGAATTTCAATTGATCATCAATTTTTACTTTTATACTTTCGACCTTAGTCATGGCAATCCATCAGGATAACCAAAGGAAAAACTTTTTTTTTTGCTTTGCATGTAGGTGTTCCATTAGAAACTGCCAAGGAATCTATTAATGAAGGATTCAAGATAGATGATTGGTTACTTGCCAGTGGTTCATTGAGGTATATTTCTGGTTAAATGTGTGGTGTTAGAGTGGATGCCTGATGTATGAATAACAAGCCCTTTCACTGTTTATCTTAAAATGGTGTAGATGATTGGTTACTTGCCAGTGGTTCATTGAGGTATATTTCTGGTTAAATGTGTGGTGTTAGAGTGGATGCCTGATGTATGAATAACAAGCCCTTTCACTGTTTATCTTAAAATGGTGTTTTTTTTTTCTTAGTCTTGTGAGTAAAGTGGGAAAAAAAACACGACCAACAGGGGAGCCATCAGTTGGTGCCCGCAAAGATGACCAACCTGAGGATGCTCAAAGCAAAGTATCTCTGGCTGTTTTGATTCCCCTTGTTATAATAGGTAAGAACAGCATTCTTCTGTTAAGTTATTACCTGGGTTTTTGCCAAAGCAAGTGGGGCACAGCTGCTACAATCACTGACATGGTGAATTTAGTGATAAATCCACATTTTTTAAAACACACATACATTCCAATTGTTTCTTATTGTGTCTGTTAAAACCTAGTTGATCACTTTGCTGTCCTGTTCAAGAAAACATAATCCACCCACAGGAATGAGAACAACAATGAGAACAATCTTTCTACATTTCCATGCTGATCAAAGCACCTATTTAAGTGGCTTTTATCGAAAAAGAACTCTGACTTTGTTGGGAAGTGTAAGGATATCAACAGTAGTTGCCTGAATGAGACTGAGCTAATAATTTTTGAGCTAATATTTCCCTTTGTGACTTACACTAACTGGTTTCACATGCAATCAGTTGTATTTCCCTTGTTTCCATTTACCAAAATATACAGATATTATTATCCTCTCTAAACTCACACCTTTCTTGTGACATATCTTTTATTAGTAAATATCTTTTACCGAAGGCAATAGCTGTTCAATAAAAAATAGATCAAAGGATGAAAGATGAAAGGAAAAACCTACAATATTTTGTTGATATAGCATTATGTATGCTCTTGGTTTTGCTTTACAGGGTTACTTTTGGGAGCTGGTTTGCTGTTCTTCTTCGTGAAATACAAGAACCTCCAAAAGAATTTCAGCAAATTGCATGAGAAAGAGCATGATGAGGATGAAATGACAGTTTACCATGAGGACATGCAAGCAGGTAACATGACATGTTTGTCTAGTTCAGACTCCTGTTGTAAGATATTAGCAATTACCAGCACCTTACAAATGCCTTGTCCACTACATAGCAAAGGAATCAAGCAGAAGAACCTGATTCTATGGACAGATCAAAACTGACCAATCACAACTAAATTATGTGGCTTGATTATAACAATCAATGATATCAGGGAAAAACTTGATAATCAGAATTCTCTGTATAGTATGCAGATGACTTCATTCATATCATGGAGACTGAAATCCACATTTTCTTTGATTTGTACCTTTTAACTCGACTTTTCATAAAGCTTTTGATATGCATGAGCAATTTTTTTTATTTTTTAAACCTTTCTAAATATGGATGAGGTTCAGTTAAAAAAAAAAGTTATTAATATTTGGGTTTTTTTTTTGTTTTTTTTTTTTGCAGACTCTCCAGATGTCATTTTCAGTGATCGTTCAAGAAAAGGAAAGAAGTTTTACAAGGATTCAGAGAAAGTTCCCCTTGGTGATCATGATGAGCTGTCCATGATTTAAGGCTTCAGTTCTTTACATTCTCTTCCTTTTCTTTTGTTTTGATGTGTTACAAATAGTTCATATTTTAAACTGAGGAATATTCTTGTTAGTTTTGTGTAATGTGTGTAGCAAGTAAATTCTTTGTGAAGCAGCTCAGGGGTTGTGTAAGCTTTCTGTACTTTTTTTTATCATTCTCTGATTGGGAGAAGCCTTTCTGAAGAAAACTTTATCTTACTTCATCACATGTCTTCATATGCTGATTATTAGAATCTGGAAAGGAAAAAAAGGTGAATCAATCACCCTGAGAAACTTGTGATCTCATCCTAAAATTCTTTTTTCTACCCAAAAGCCAAGTCTTTTCACTTTTCTATTATCAGGAGAAGTTGAATTCTGATACTTTAATGTACATTTTTCATTTGTATGTTATGTTGTGATGAGGGCAAAATTTTGCTGTGTTACTAAGTAAACCAAACATGGTTATGATAAAGACATCCATTGTGGTGATTCGTGCATTTATTTTGTTACACTAAATGGGGAAAAACCATTTTAAACTTTTCTGTCAATAAGGCAGAGCTTTTGTTTGATGTTGTAATCTTCTTGTTTTCAACTTTGGAAGCATCTGTGGAAGTTTTGCTTTAATTCAGGCAATTTTTGTAGTTAATGCAGAATGCACTGGAAATGCAGTTTTTGCAACTGTTTCATGTCAGTAGCCTCTTTGAGTACTTGTGCAAGAAAAACAGCAAAACAGAAAGTAGTCTTTGTCATGAGGAAATGGTTAGTACAGATGGGTACAAAGGCTCTTTAACTGCTTATACATTGTTGCTTTAGTAAACCATTGTATCAGGTAAATAAATTGTTTTTTCAGTCTAGATCTTGCAGTTTGTTATATCTAGTCCAGTGAAAAGAGCAAGGTGGTATCTGATACCTTTTTTAATGGTAGAACTTTGTTAGTTGCAATTGTAGCTTAATTGTTTTTGTAGTTGTGTAAAGCTTATGAGCTTAGGTCTTTAAGGCACATGTTTTTCTCTGTAAGCAACTGTTATGAAAAAAATGCTGGAGTGTGTTTGTCCACTCATTTGGTGACAAGAAAAATGCTATGCTTAATTTTTATAGCAAGATGTAATTAGTGGTGTATTTACTAGATTTGGAACAGGGCATGTGGGATACATTTTGGGTTGCACTATGTGTTTTTCTGGAAAAAAAGAAAAATATTAAATAAACCATTAGGTGTTGTAACATGTAGACCCACCTAAGTGAGTAACTGTAGTTTTCATTATGTGTGTTTGTTTGGCAAAGGTGCAATAAATAGGTTTTGCTATAAAGCTTTGAAATTGGTTAACTTTCAATAAAGTATGTTTGTAGTACCTGTGAGTGTCTCATATTCAGATATTATTAATTTAATGAGATGAACACAATTACAAATCTGAGTTTCCCTAAAAGATTCAAACCTCAATCTAATAGTTCCTGCCCACCAATACGGAAAACCCTTCTAGAGGACTCAGTTTTTCTTTGGTTGGGCTAAATGTTCATCCCCTTTTTAATTTTTTCAAGTGGATATGCAAAGCATGTAACAAGTAATGTGTGGGGTTTGCATGACTTTAGGAGTCTGGGTAGAGCATGCATCTCATTAAAGGTAGCAGACTAAATATTGAATCAAGGGCTGTTGCTAGGACGATGGTTCAATTCTTTTCCTTTGAATCACAGGATCACTGGCTTTTAGTAAATCACCGTAATCTAATTGTACTCTTCCAAGTAGATCCACTAGTTCACCACAGTGTTACTTAGATTGTACATTATTTTTTTTTGTACATTTGGTTTCCATGAAATAAAAACTGACCCAGGGAACACTGGGGAGGACATTGACACATCTGTGCTCTGTGTGAAATTAACTAAAAACTTTCCTGCAATTTCAGGATTCTTTTAATCAGTCATTTCTAAATGTTAAATAATCAAAGCCTCAAAATGCAATAGTAAGTACTTCACATGGCAAGTAGGAGTATCATAGAAAACATCTAGATTTAGAGTGGAAGCTAAAATATGCCACTATATACACAAAGTTTTTTGAAGTAGAAACAAGGAAACACATCTTACATCTGCAGACAACTATTCTTCCATGAGAGTTCTATCTAAAGATAAAGGAGTTTAAGAGGCCTGCATTTGTTTAAAGTTAAAGCACTAGAAGTTTAATAGCTTGGGTGAGCTGTGTCAGCATATTTCATATTTTTTCACTTATGATACAAGCCTGTTTTTGAATGTAAAATCTTCTTTGTTTTGCTTACTCTCAATAAGTTTCTTGTTGTTGCTTCATGATAAAGTACAAATTTAAAACATTTAGATGACACAATACTGATAAATGAGCATAACAGTTTCCAAAGGCAATCCAGAAAATTGAAAAATAGGGGGTTGAAATATCTTGTTGAGGGCACAACCTTATTCCATACCAACAACACATAAACATCTCAAGTTATAAGACCAAAACTTGCAAACTAAAAAAAGTAAGCAGGGTATTTAAGCACCTTTGGTAACACTCTAAATCTGCACATGGTTGTTACAACAGCAAGAAACATCAAATGTCAGCCATGCCATATGACATATATGAAATTATTAGTAAATGTTTTTGTAAGTCCTGAATTTATCTGAGTGGATTTTGACAATAGTTGCATGAGATTATCCCTTGGTAAATGAAAACATTTGCGAACTACTTGTAAATCCTTAGTATTTCCTAACAAGCAATATGGTGGAATTTGACATTTACAGCACATTTAACCCTTTAACTCCCAAGATCTGCTCAGTAATTCTTCTAACTGTCTTCCATTCAGTTCTTGTGAGGTTAGTTTGGAGAATTTGGTATTGGATCAACTTATAATCCCTAATTGATCTTTTTCTTTATTCTCATCACTTGTCTGCTTGATATTGTACTGATACTGTAAGGAGAAATTCTGTCTTGGTCACTCACGGGAGTAAAAGGGTTAAGTAACATGGCCTGTCTACAAAGGCAGAGGGAGATAAAAGAAATAGAGGTTCTGTCATCCTCAACTTCACATTTTCCATGAACTTATTGTGAAATAACTGTTTTTGTAACACTAACAAAACAGATAACTACAAAAAGCAGATGCTTATAAATATTGTTAAATGATGTGAATCTGTCAGTATATCCTTGCACAATAACAGCAACTAAGTTTGAAAACTGTTTACTTAACTGTAAAGTGAGGTGGTGTATCAAGTAAACTTAATTACCGTCTTGACTGCAAGTAGAGAAGATTGATGTTTGTCAGAATATCTGAATTTTGTCAGACCTCAATCTTCCTTAATTGAAAAAGTGAGGCTGATACTTCATTAACTCACCTCCCACTAAGGGAAATTCAATACAATTTTCTTGGAAGAAATTGTAATAAGTTCAAACTCCAAATGACAGATCTCTGAAATTTTCAGCAGCAGTTAATTCACCGAATCAACTTCAAGTTGAGAATCATTCATTTCCTTATATGACGTCTTACTGATTTCTTTCTAATGCCCTCTCCTGACTGTTCCTATGCTAGGAAAAGTTGATTCAAAGTTAATTATCAGCTACAGGCTTTTAGCCTGAAATCATGTACTCCATACCTGCAATAAGCTGATACATGCTTTACAACTCTATCTTAAAATATACAAGTGTTTCTTACTGTATTTAAGCTATTCAGGATAATCTGCATAATTTGTAGTGTCCATGACAAAGAAGTCCTCTAAACGCCACTGAAGAGTCTCAAATGTTGGCCTTGACATGGGATCTGCTTTCCAGCAATCCATCATTATTGTGTACAGACTTGGTGGACAGTTTGATGGGCAAGGCATGCGGTAGCCTCTTTCAACCTGAGCTAACACCTCTGCATTACCCATCCCTGGATAGGGGACACGTCCATAGGTGACCAGCTCTGTTAACAGAATTCCAAAAGCCCATACATCAGATTTGATGGTAAATTTATTGAACAAAGCTGCCTCTGGAGCTGTCCATTTGATGGGAAATTTGGCTCCAGCCCTTGCATTGTATTCACCCTCATCAATAATTCTTGAAAGACCAAAGTCACAAATCTTAACTACATTCTTTTTTCCTACTAGAATATTTCTAGCTGCTAAGTCACGATGTATGTAATTGTTTATTTCTAAATAAGCCATTCCAGCAGCAATTTGTGCAGCCATGTAAATCAACTCTGGAAGTTGAAGCTCTCGTCCAGCAGAACTTTTCAAGATATCCAAGAGGCTTCCATTCTCCATTAACTCAGTTACTATATAAATTGGTTCTTCCTGCGTGCACACTGCATAAAGTTGTACCAGGTTATCATGGCGAAGTCTTTTCATAATTTGCGCCTCTGAAAGGAATGCTTTTGGTGACATTGTTGCGGGACGTAATGTTTTCACTGCAACAGGAGTGGTGTTATTCCACAGTCCCATCCATACTTCTCCAAACTGCCCTTGGCCTAGTTTATTAACCAATCGAATTGATTCACGTGGAATTTCCCATTTGTCTTTTGTATTGTAAGCAAGGTCCTTAGGGGCAGGAGCCTGTAATGTGGGACAAGGTTTATCAAGTTTGATGACCAGTCCATCAGAATTTTCTTGGTAATGCTCGACAAGCTCACTAAGTGTTGGAAACTTAGCTCTGTGAGCAATATAGTAACCTCCACTATCCATGGATCGAATGCGGTAGTGTTTCACAATTTCCCCATCTCTCAGTGAAAGAGAGAAATCTCCTGGTTTACTTTCACTTTCTCGAATCAAAAATGATCCACTATCTCCATGCATTAGGAGCATTTTTTCTGCATCCACTCTTTTAATTGGGCCAAAAAACCAGCTAAAATAAGAAAATTACAAGTTAGATATAAACTAAGTACAATTAAAAATGTGTTTTAAATGGAAAAAATTGTTAGCTTTTCTGAACATGCAAAATGAAATTCATTCAATGATCTTGTACTTTTAGTTCATTCCAGAATAAATCTAATATACATTTGTCATTTAACACTGGTATCAAATCATCCTTCTGCTTGCATGGAACAGTGACCTTTTGTTTTAGACAAAGGTCAAAGTCCTGTCTTAGCAAAAAGCATGCCAATAATTCGAAATTAAAAAAGTTCTTTCTTATTCAAAATCATTAAAAAAAAAAATGTCTCTGCCTGGAATTATTTAAGGTACCACCAGCCCTTTATTTCCAAAAAGGTTAATCAATGATCCAACCTTTGCAGTCAAGCAGATAATTTTAAAAGAATAGCAAACAAAATTATAGGGATAAAATCTACAGCTGTCAAGAGGTTTATTAACCTTCCACTAACATAACCAGCCATTCATAAAACATTTACAGATCCATGTACATCTGTCTACGAGCAAGAGGCTTGGTGTGTGTCCATAATCTTGTTTACCCAAAACTATGTGTATTGTAAAGTAAATAAACCTTATCACAACTAATCACTACAAAATTGAATTTATGCACAATATTGGGTAATTGGAGACCATTGAATTCTGGCAATGGAGTGAGAGGTAAATAATGAACGACCGCATTGTTATTTTTGAGACTTAATAACGGAAACTGTGGTCCGCGCTGGTTAGAATTCATCATTCCTTTTTCTAGCTTATAAAGGTTTTACCAGTGTAATTGAATTAGCATATTTTCCGAGTCACGCAAAATTGGATGATGGGGTTTTAATTTCTTTTTTTTTTTTCACGAGATGTGTCGTATCTCTCTATCCAAGGCATACATTTCTTTTAGGTCTTAAAAAGAAAACAAATACCAATGAACTTGTTCAGGAGTGGTCGGTTGATGTACGTTTCGATGAAATTACCCACTGTGTTCCTTTTCGAAGTTTTAAGACAATGGTGCCGTCAGCAAATCAGTGCTAGTTTCGTCTGACTCTATTTGGCAGACTAAGTCCTTCCTTATACTCATAAATTGAGTTTTAAAGATTTAAGTTGACACAACGGCTTAGAAATAACAAATCTGTCTGTCATTAAAGTAAAGAAAGCGCTGTCCAACGCGCAAATTCTTATCGAGTTTCCGAAGAAATTGATCCTTCCGAAAGTATCTTAGCAAACGAATTTTTTGAATAAATTGTTGCGTGGAAAAAGAAAGTCTACAATTAGTTTTTTCTTAAGAAGAAAAATGTCAGATCTTTTGTTGTCCGAATCGGAACCATAAATTAAATAATTGCAGACCGCTATGTGATTGAGAGGAGTTTGTAAATGTGCATTTCCGCAGCTGTAAATTAACGTGCACTTACTCTTCGCTTTTCAGAGAAGCCGCTGGAGCAACATAGTTGCTAGGAATATATCCAACAGCATCTGTGACCAGAGAACGTGCCTGCCACCAATCCGCTCCGTTGATAGCATCATTGCCATTAATCACTTCGAGTTTCTCTCCTTTCCTGAAGCTAAGGTCTTCTGATGTGCGTGCTTCATAGTCGTACAGCGCCACATAAACGAGTTTCGGTTCGACCTGCTGCTGTGGGATTTCAGGCAGGTCAGGTAGAGCTGGTAAAGTTTGATTATTCCCTGTTTCCTTTTCATCAGCGTTCACATTATCAAAGCTCTGAGCTTTTTTCGAGGAAGTCTTAAAGTTCCCGTTTGCTTCTTGTCTTTTTCGTTTGCTGCAAACACAGCCCATGCCATCGACTAACTATTTTGCGAATCTTTCTTATTAAAACTTCACTTTAAAGCAAATGTTATGAATTCAACAAAGCCTCAAGTGCCCCTCGTGTAAAGCAATATAAATTCAGAGTTTCCTTTCTTTTTCTGCGCCGAACTCAGTGGATTGAAGATCAACATTACATAGGAAACTTCTCCGAGCGAGGCGGCTCCCATTACGTCATTGCCGATAATTTTTCCGAATGAAAGTCGTTACCGCCGGAGGCAACGATTACGCCCGATTAATTCTCTCATCCAGACTCTCTCGGCCGTTTCATCACCATTTTCTCAAACATGGCGGAAAGAGGTGGCTCTTCCTTTTCAAATTCAAGTTTGTCTGGGTCTTCAAGTCGAATCGATAGTGTTCAAGTTGAAGGACTGGTACGTGTCGACAAGAAAATTGTTTCTATGGATTTATCACAGACTAATCATCTTGATATGAAGGGGAAATTCATAAACTTTTGACACACGTGATCGGGCAATTCTGCTTTTCTATTAAGAAATAATTTAAGTCTCAGCGCATTTTTTTCCTCGTCTTCGTTGATTGTCAAGACATTGTCAACAGATCGCTCTTTTTCTCTTTCTTCTAAAGGGAATTCTCTTTGAAGACGTATTTAAGAACAGTCAAATGTTTGACTGCTGTCAACAATAATTGGTAACAAGAATAAATTATGTTGATTGGCAAAAGTGAAGAAAAACAGGTGTTCTTGTCATCTCTACCTGATGTTTAATTAACGTTCGGCACCATTTCTAAGAACTACCATCGGTATACTGACTCCTCTAAAGAGATATGAATGACTTCATTTTCTATCACTGTTTACTAATATACTTATTTACATTGTAGTGTGACCATTGCATGGAACCTGTCTTTACCAATGGTTCAAAACTGAACATTTACAACTGCTTACTGTTACTTGAGTCTTACTTACGAACATAATCACAAAACTGACCAATCAGCTTTCATGAAGTGGACATGTAATTATTTTATTTGAGTGGCTGACAACTGGGCCCTCAACTCTGAAGACTTTCAGTTCAGAACTAACCAAACATGTAGAGTTTTCATTGAAAGGTTAATGTTACCAGGTAAAAACCTATTGGTATCATATTAATACACATGTAGACTTGAATGTTTCTGAAATAACTTCCTTAAACTTTGAGAGTTAAAGTAATATTTCCTGTCAAAGTATCTTGCTATTAACTTGGTATGAATTCTTTCAGGTTGTGTTGAAAATTATCAAACACTGCCAAGATGAAAGATCAGCTGGCGAGGTTGTTCAAGGAGTTTTACTTGGATTGATTCAGAATAACAAACTTGAGATAACAAACTGCTTCCCTTTCCCCTCTTCGAGAGCTGGTGATGATGATGATGAGGATGATGGTGAGAATCAGCTGACAAGTTTCTTGTTAAATATTGTTGTGAAACTGACTTGATGATAACCCTGGACTGTACTGGTTTTGCTCTTCTTTAGTTGAGATTTGTCCTGGCACATCACACCACCTCTCACCCTATCAAAAGTTTAAAATGAAATCAATCAAGATGTGGTCTCCTGTACATTTCTGTGCATATGTTTTGGTTTACTTCACTCTGTAATTTATTGTGAGAACTTGTGCTAACCTCTGAACCAATATACCAGATACAAAACTGAGACCAGTTGTAAGTTGTTAATTCATATGTTCTAGCACTGAAGGGAATTTTGTTTTGAATTTGAGTTTTGATCAACTTTTAATATCTTCTTTTGATTTTATTTGCCCTGCTATTATTTTCAGTGATAAATTTGATGTTGCATTGTACTTTTTGGCACTCCTTCAAAATGTGCTTTTCACTGTTATAGATACTTTAGTTTAGTACTAGACATTTACTGACATAGTGAATGGCACAGGCTTGCTCTGTAGTCAAACCTAGGATCTAACTTTTCACTTCTTTCTCTCTTGATAGTAAACTACCAAATGGAGATGATGCGTCGGCTACGGGCTGTAAATGTGGACCATTTGCATGTTGGATGGTATCAATCAACATACCTTGGCTCATTTATCAATAGAAATTTACTTGACTCTCAGTTCAGTTATCAGAGTTCAATTGAAGAATCTGTCGTACTTATCTATGGTAAGATCAGACTGATCTGTTTTTTTTCCCTTATTAAAATGTTACAGCCACAACAATAAATTTCTTAGTGAGAGTAGTGGTTAGAGAGGAATTGTTTGTATCTCTTGATTAAGATGTTAACTAAGTAGGAGTTACAGGTTGTATTATTTTACAAGAAATGCTGATTAATAATGCTTAACTTTTGTTATTAATGCCACTGTGTTCATCTTTAGATCCACTCAAGACTTCACAAGGAATGTTGTCTCTCAAAGTATTCCGTTTGTCTGACAAAATGATGTCAATGTACAAAGATGAAGAATTTAGTGCTGAAAAGTAAGAGAATTTTCACTGAAATTTAAGTGGGGTATATATGGTTGTTAATTTACTTTTAACCTTTTGACCCCTTAGAGTGACTAGCTTCTAACAGTCTCAATAGGAGCAGAAATTCTGAGAAGCGATGTTATGTAAGGTTCATAGATAATTAGGTTACCGTATAGGGTTTATTAAGCTGAGGTTTTTAGAGTTAGCCTTTTTTTGTTTTGCTCTGATGAAGGGCTAACATTTGTAAGGTCAGCTTTAGAAACTCTCTACAGCGGCTAATGTACAATTTATCAAGTCAGTTATAAAACCAAAGTATCCCATAGTACCCCTCCACCAATGCTGCACCACAGTTTCTTTACAAACTCTTCCCTTTAGTTGTTTGTGAGATTCAAAGTTTACCTGGATTAATACGAGTTGCCCTTAACTCAGTTGATGACAGACGATGGTCTTAAAACAACTCGAACTTCTTAATGCCCAAATATTGCCTAGGGGACCAGAATTATAGGATTGATTTTTCCAGGTGGATTCAAGTCACACTGATTCCAATTTCTTTTTAGGCTTGCAAAGAGTGGTCTTAGTTTTGAAGCCATGTTTGAAGAGATTCCTCTTGTGATAAGGAATTCTTCCCTCATCAATTCTCTGTTGTGTGAAGTCGAGGTATTATCACCTCACACGCAAACAGACAATTTTCTGAGCCTCTCTACAGGGTATGGTAGTTTTGAATTTATTTTTAGTTGATATTAATTGCTCTAAAAACAAAAATGAAAACAAAATGTAACCATGAATAGTGGCAGCCCCACCAGGTTACCTAATTAATTTTTTTTACTTTTTCTTTATGTTGATGGAAGGGGTGGAGAAGTAAAACAATATCTTTATGCACCCCCACCCACCCCTCTCCATCTTTCTCCTTAATCTGGCCCTTTTCCAGTTTTCCTTATCAGGTTTCTGGTTTACATTAATTTTCTAGTTTCATGTTGCTGGGTGAAGTAGTCTTCACCAATGGCACTCTTTCAATAGATTACAAGAAATACTTCCTTCAAGGTATGCCAATGGTGTGTTCCATTTTTTCTTGAAATAGTTCCTATTTAGAAAAGAATGTTCGGCTGCTCATGGCAACTGTAGACGAACTTTGTCAAGATGCCAATAAATTCAACAATCATCTGCGAAATGTAGCAAGGCAACAACAACAGAAAGAAGCTTACATTCAGAGAAGGGTAATTTGCTTATGTTGTGTTGTAAATAGATGAGAGTAAAACATTTCCCTCTTCCAGAGGCCCTCTGGTTTTTTTTGAGGCAGTTATTTTGTCATATGTTACTGAAGTGTCCTACTTAAACACACTACAACCAGGGATGCTGCAGCTCTTTTCTTAGGCTCAATATTCTGAAACTGCTTAAAGTGCGTAATAAATTGCAACAGTGAACAATTCAAGTGAATCAGTGTCAAAAAAAAGGGTTTCCTTTTATGTCAAGATGTGCATGATGACAACTTTCTTTGTCCTTTTCAGCAAGGGGAAAATGCTCAGAGGAATTCTCGGGGAGACCCTCCCTTACCAGAGGAAGATTTGTCAAAGATATTTAAACCACTGCAGTCACCATCTCGACTTGATTACCTTCTGTTATCTCAACAAGTTAACACATACAGTAAACAAGTGAATCAGTTTGCCACTCACAGCTTTGGTAAGCTGTTTCTTGCACAAGCTCTGCAGGATAATGAAAAATAGATCTTGTATGGACTGAACTGGAAAATAAAAACCAACTTGTACCTCCAATACCTATAATTTTTGTCTGTCAAGGGATAAACTTACAAGTAAAAAAGTAATTAAGTCATAATCTTCAGTTAATGAGGGTAAACACATAGTTACAGACTTGGAAACTTATGGCCTTTAAAATAATGTAAGGCTATGATTATGATATAATACAGATTAATGGTACAAAATATGATCGGTTCCTATATAGGACAAATGTCTTCTTTAATTTGATGAAATAATATTTAAAAACTACATGTATGCTGGAGTTTGATCTCACAAACATGATGTTTTCTTTAAAAAAAAAACCAAAATACTGGGTTAACAAACATCTTTCAGGCTTTCACATGCTCTTAGTAGTTCTTTCTGATAAAAGTTGGCCATGAAAAAGATCCAGACCAGTTTTCCATCCCCCTCATGTTTTTCCATCCTGTGACAAAAGAGCACAGTTAACTCTCGCTCAGCAGACACCTCACTAATATGGATACCCCACTATTGTGGACAAGAGCTCCCTGGCAAAATGCATAAAGAAATGGTAAAAACAAATTCCCATTATTGCAGAATCTGCAGAAAGCTTCATGCCTCTCCAGCATGACATTTCACTTGTTTTTCTCCTGCCATGGTGGACACTTAAGTACTTCATCTGACATTACAACAAAGGAAAATAAGAAACCATTCTTCAATTAGGTGTGAACATGAGTATTTCCTGCTTGTGGCCAAATCTTTTCGCAGCCTTATATTTGTTTAGTTACACATTATTTCATGTGTTTAGAGTGTCAGCTATTACAAACTCTGGCCATTGTGGACACTAAATCTCCCTCCCCAGGGTGTCCTTGAATAATAAGAGGCTGCTGTACTCATTACAGGAAATTGACTCTTGTTTTAATCAGTGACTTGCAGTTGCAAATACCAGTACTTGTGTTGTATCTTGAGCTTAAAATTACTTTGAAAATTAAACAATGTAACAATTCGACACCGTCTGATAGATTATATATTCTCTAAATCACTTTGTCAAAAGAAATGCTTTACAACTACTAACACTTGTATTTGTCAGTGTACCTTAGTCATGATACTGACTGCCATATACACTGTTTCTGTGTACATATTCATACATGAGTACTAATATAACTGGCTATAAACATGCTGTAGTGTTTTGGTGTATGCCTCATGTTCATCTGGTGTCATTTGTTTTAACATTTCCTCAGTAACATCGTGCACTGGCACCATTTTGTCTCCTATTTTAATTTCATGTGCTTCTTCATCCTCCTGATCACTTTCTGAGTGAATCTCCATGGATTCTGTTACTTCACTTTCTTTTGTGGCAGGCCCTGGAGTTGGTGTCTCAAAGTCTGATTCATCACTTCCAGAGTCGCTATCATCATCTCCCCCCTCACCAAGGGCTTCATTGATGTCTAGGCGTGGTTTCTTGTTTACTGACTCATGCACTAATAATTCAGCAAGGATTTCATCATCTTTACCAGAACCAATCCGTTTTTTGTTCTGTAATTCACCAGGATGGGTTTGTCCAGTAGCAACTGTCTCGTTCTTAGCACCTGAAGCTGGTAATACTGTGCTCTGTGTAATCCATATTGGTGCCTCTTTAGTCCGTGGTTTAACATTTCCTAAATCTTCATCACCCTTCTCTCCCATGATGTCTATCTTGATACCTGGTCCACTAACATCACTACCTCCTGCTGCATCATTTGCCCAAGATGGTTTACTCCCACGGTGACCTGATGGGCGAGACACATGGCTCCCACCAGTAAACTGGGCAGCCTGTGGTTCTGGCTCTAGAATGGCTGGCGCCAGATTGATGTGTTCGCATTCCCTCAGCAGTTGAAAAATTGGCTCCATTTGTTCATTAAAGCGAGCCAAATTGGTTCGTGATGTGTTACTTTGTTTAATCATGGCAGAATCTTCTTCCACAAGTCCCTCGCAGAGAGTGCACTTTAATTGACCTGTCTCTAAATCGAACAAGCGATCAACCTCTAGATCAGAATATTTTTTCGAGCACTGTGTGCATAGAAATGACGGACGATTTTTGGCTTGCTTTTCTTCGCTTTCAATCTTCTTCCTCACGTGGTCAAGCTTGTATTTAACAACATTTACAAACACCTTGTAGTTAATGAAGTAGTAGTTGAAACTAATGAGAGCCCCGGTTTCTGGATTCTTTTCCTTGTGAACTCTTTGCTTTATGAGTTTTTCATTCTTTAAACGTACTAAACTTTGGCGAAGCTGCTTCTTGTCAAAGCTAAGCAGTCGGATCAAATCGTCTTCTTGTAAACATGGATATTGCGAGTTTGTTAATACATTGATAATAGCCACGTGTTCACTCTCGTAGAACCCTCGCACGACCTTTTTACAAAGCCGTTTGAGTTCTGGAGGAACCACAGTCAGTAATTCTTGCTCGTCAATAGTTGATCCATTCATATTTTCTAATATTTTCCAATATTTTCCATTGCCCTTTGCTCTTCCGAGGGAACTTGGTAGCCAGGCCTTATAAGAGATTCTTTTTTTTTTATTTAGTTCTCAGACCTCCTTTATAACCTTTAGCAGACCAGGTGGTGTAACCATTCATATAACCATATGGTAATTTGTTAGAAAAAAACATATGTATTGTCTTTTGTTTGTTTGCACTTCTTTTTCACTTGGTAATCCTTCCGGAATCCTACTGTGATCTTGCCAAAATCCTGCCAGGGTCTGATGTCCTCCTATACCCCCACCTGGATACCATCGGGCTCTTTTTGAGATCCATCCGATATCTACACAAGATCTCTGCATACGAAAAATATATTCGTCTGATGAAGGGCTAACACTCGAAACGTCAGCTTTAAAACTCTTTGCGGTGGCCAATTTACGTTTTTAACTCAGTTAATAATACTAAATCACCCTGTTATACTCTCTCACCGACGCAGCACCTCAGTTTCTTTAGAAACTTACCCCTCCCCCCCCTCCCCTTTATTCATCTACGAAAGGAAGGTTTATTATGTTCCATTGACGGCTTTCTTGTAATGATTATGTCCGCCCATTTCTATGTACCACCTGTTACTTTCTTTTGCCACCAGTAAGTATCAACTCCGCTGGTTATTCTTTATTTGTCCGTCGTCGCCTACACCAATTACCTCATTGTTAAGCACGAGTTAGGTGATATGATCTCGCCAGACCCTTGAAAGTGATTTTCAATATTTGCTATTTAACTCTTAATTGAATTTATTACTTGAGGTAATTTATCTGAGTCAATTTACCAGTTGTAATACTTTCAAGGCAAGGAAAGAAAGTCGTATCTAGGTGAGTTTCCTCTGATTTATCGTTTATAATCGCTTCATCTAGCAAAGTTGAGAGTTATCATATATTCCTGGTGTTCGCATTTTTGATTTGCCGGTCTTTAGACAATCACGCGGCAGTAGATCTCGTCCTGCTATGAAGCTTCCTGTTTTCAAGTATCTTTCAGTCGTTGCCCTGTTTGAAACTTTTTTTTTTAAGTTTTAGCTTTCATTACTGATATGCGACTTGGATGATTTTGCTTGCACCTGTTTATTTAATTGAAATAGTTTCATTTTTTTTTTATTTTAAACATCATTTGTCCGGGTTACGAATTTGATATTGATTACGTTTAAGCTAAATAGAGACAGTAAAAATTCTGCCATAATTTTCTTCATCACTTCTCAATCAAAGATCTCTTGTTTCTATTTTTCAATGAAAATGCTTTATTTCATACGACATTAGCTTTATGTGTTTAATTAGACACTAAAAGATCAATTTCGGTCACGGAGGTAAATTTTAGTGCTTTGAGACCTTTTAACTCATCAGTGGTCATAACTGTTTTTACTTTTAAAGAAACGATACACTCGTTTTAGTCAGCCGATACGAAAATCTATGAAAAATTTTTGCCACTCCAGCTGCTTATGTTATGTTATCTTTCAATAGTCATGACCCGTTTAGGACCACCAGTTGGTTTCTGATTGACGTTTTCTGTTGCAAAAACTTACATTTTTGGAAGAAAAACAAATCGATCCAATTTGAATTCTTGATTATGTCCTTATGCTATTTAAAAGCTAATTGTATTCTTCATTTCGTCAAGAAAGCCTGAATCTTAGGTCCATTTCAGATGTTATGATTCTCCTAGGGCTTCGTAACTTCTGCCAAACGAACGTAATTCGAGTTCAAATTGGGTCTAAAGAGCTGCAAAATAGAAACATAAAGAAAGATGTTTAAAAACATCTTGCATAAGCTTTAAAAGCAGGAAAATCCCCATCCCCCTACCAAGTTTTATTTAAGCGATCAGCCCCTCCATCAATTAAATTATTATTATTATTATGAGCCAAGCCATAGAGATTTTGTACTTAGTTCATATGAAACAATCGTCCTGCGTACCGTTAGGATCAGCAACATCTTAAGCCTTTGTTTTGGAGATGAGTGAGAAATATGATATAAGCATGTTTAAATATTTGTCTTTGTTTTCCCCACAGCGTAAGACGTTTTGTTGATATTAGAATACTGATGAGGGTCACGTAAGAAATCTACTTCACCATGAGCTGCACGCGGGTTGTTTTTGTTTCCTTCGTTTATCTGGCGGTCCTTCTTGGGCCGGTTGAGTCTGGTGGAAAATTTATGCTGAAAAAGAACAACGATGGAACATATCTGCTTGTACCAGCGCCTGCTAACGCCAGTACAGAATCGACTGTAGATCTTAACAACCTTCCTCCCATTGCTGTGGCGAGTAGTACCCCTATGGAGGCCCCTGGAGTAAATTCTCAGTCGCCTCCTGTACCCGGGCGGCAAAACAGCCCGGCCACACCGGTGCCTGCAGGAGTTAAGGTTGGTCTGTTTCCGTATCATGTCCTGTGTTTTAGGCAGATGGATGCCCAATAAAAATCCATGTTTCCAGCGGTTTATTACCGAAAATACTTGCTTCTAACCTGCTTAGGTAGTTCGTTACTCATGGCAACTTATTCTGGCAGTTTCTTTAACAAATGGACGTGCAGGACAAAAAAGCATATAGAGACAAAGAAGTCATTTTGGACAAAATCTGACCAACTTCTCCCATACAAGATTTATTTCGGCAAGCAACACCAACATACTTCATATGAGATTGTAACACTTTTGTTGATAGTTTCTGTATTTTGTTAGCCACCAGCACAACCAGCTCCCTCGCCACCTTCCCCTGTTGGATGTATCAGTGGCTCTCAGTGTAAAGTGAAGGTCTCACAGGTTGGTAGTGAACATCTTTATTGTTGTCCAAGATCTGTATTTCATTTAGCGGCTTTTAATCAATACCGAATGGACGGCGCTTACTGTTACTCCTCCTGTTTTGAATTTTGTTTTAGAATATGATGACTCTTGCTCTGAAGGGAAGAGACGGGGCGAGTGGAAAACCTGGTTCGAAGGTTTGCATTTTTAAGAGCTATAAAAGGCTGAATTGCTTATAGCTTGTTGATAGTGTGGTCCCAAAAGGGTGCACTTTTTGTCTCTTCTTCTCCCAGACTACTATGAGACCGAATGAAACCTTCAGTTTTCAACCATTCGCTGTTTTGATAATTAATAGATTTAGACAGGCCTTGAATTTCCCTAAGGTTTACCTCCATTTAGTTAAATTTTACTGGCCTTCACTATTCGAAATAATCCGGCCAGGGAATGGAATGGCTCACTTAGAATGAATCCAGGAAAAATCGTTAATACATGAGCTATGTATCGCACGCAGAGATTCACACAGACGGAACATACCGGCCAAGTTTCTCTGCCCGTAAGGATTACACTTCTTTAAGTATGGGTCTCCGCTTGTGCGCCTTCCTCTCACGACGTTCCCTATGAGTTGCCCAACTACACTTGTGCATATTTGAACGTACGCAACAAGTCCAGCTAAACTGATCGCGTGCTTTAAACCATAGGGAGCCCAAGGATCACCCGGACCTCCTGGACCAGCAGGACCTAAGGTGAGTGGAATAGCTTTTACTTCATGTACATGAAACAGGAAACAGTTTTCCCAAAGCACGATAATCGAGGACGCAAACTCATACCATGGGATCGTATCTTTTTTATTTTGGTGGTCGCACTTTTGGATGAGAGTATAAACAAACGACTTCATAATTTAGTAAAATACACGTTCAAGTCCTCTTAGTCAATGACGATGTTAAAACTGCATATATACAATGAATTTATGACCAGATCAGGATTAGCAAGTATATCACAATACTGAACGTGTTTTTTGTTCATTTTTTATATCATATTCGTTCTAAAATCATTTTAGGGCCCAAATGGTGAACCAGGTGTCTGTGCACCATCTCCGGTAAGTTTCTGTGGTGCCATTTTTGTCTGTTTTAATTTTTGTTCTTTCTGTTTTCCGTGCTGTTTTTACCATTTTAGGCGTTATTTCAAAAATGCACACTTCTGCTTTAACTAACAAGCTTATCCGGTACCTTTCCCATCAGTTTCAGTGTTCTCCTGGCGTGATAGCCACTCTTCAAAAAAAGATCATGGAGCTGGAAAAGATGTGCAAGGTATGTTCTTTGCATACGCTTAGTGAGATCTAACCTTCGTGATTGATGCGTTTGCGTCGTAAAGCCAAATCGATCGTAATCACAACGGAAAATTAGAGTTAAGAATTTTTGGGTTTACACATCAGCGAAGGAATAATCACTGAATAGAGGTGGAGCCAAGATGGGTGCCAAGATCCATATACTGACATGATACTACACTTATTACCAACAGAAGGGCGGCTTAGGCGGACCTGGTCACCCGGACAAACCAAAGTGTGGCTTGGGAAGATGGTAGGTTTATGATGCAAAAGTTCTTCCATTTATTATTAGAAATTAGGGAAATTTTTAGCCCATAAAGGTCTTCTTTACGTACACATTCACAAGCATCAAAAGTATTTCTTAACCATCGGCAAATCTAAAGAAATTTAGCAGTAATATAAAGTGACAACTTCACCTCTCGTGCCGCCAGAAACACTGGTGCATCGACTCATCTTGTAGAACAGGAGACTCGTCCCAAGCTTGCTGAAATTAAGTATCCCTCTTTAGCCTTAGTTTCTAGGGCAATTTTGAACCCCCCTAGGTTGTTTCCTAGATCATTCCTGTCTCTAGATGTCCGAACAGGATCTTCAAGAAACCCAAACATCTTAAGTTAAAAAGTAATTTAGGGACGTCAACCTTTGGAATTAGGTTTGATGGAAGATTAAAAGTCTCTAGGCTAATTCCTCTCTTGAAAGACAACAGATCTATGACTTAGACCAGCTGTGTGGTATTTTCAGTGCTGATAATCCAGCGACCAACTGCCAGGAGATATACACAAAGGACCGTGGGGCTGTAAGCGGGGCTTATTGGATAAAGGGCAAATCAAAACCCTTTCAGGTCAGTAAAAAATTACATTTGAACTGGTCCATCTGGACCATGTGTCAGGATTGTGCGGCCAGTTTTACAACCAACAGGGAGGAACCTTTGACCACGTTCATTTCCATTTCAATCGAACAGCTGAAGTATGATTTTCCTGAATGTCATAGCCGCACAAATATCAGCCAATGACATTTCTGAATTTCGTTCAGCCCTTGAAGTGTGAATTACAAAGAAGAGAATGTCATTCAGGGGATGTGCTTCTCTTGCCTAAACAAAGCGAAACGGTCGGTAAATTATCGATCATCCACTTTTCTGAATACTGTAAGTTGTATCTAAATTTCAGACCCACTGTGAGATTGAACCAATGGCGGTTCGTGGTTGGACTCTCGTTGCTCGGGTTCCGGGAAGTTCTAACGAGTTTTCTCCAGTCAGCAATACCTGGGCAACCGACAGCGTCATCAACGACGAAACTGCACCGGATACCAACACTCAAAAAGTTATGAAAAACGTGGGTTGGGCTGATTTGCGCAGTAATATTCTTCGAGTCTGCTTCGATGGTCCGAATACACATTGTGCAACATTCACGCACGATCGTAACATGTCTCTTGCGGAACTGTTTAATAATCAGTTTGGTGTGACTGTAGGTGAGAGATACACAATGGATAATTTATCGCGCGTGTTTGGAAAGAGTTGCGATCTGAGGCGCATGGCAAAACAGTGGTGTGGCTTGAATACTGCCAGTGTATGCCACCCACAAGACATCAACCCAAATCTGAATCCAACCAATCATATTGCAAGGATTGGCTGCCTAGGTGACCTGTTGAAGACCTGCGGACCGAATGATTATGCGCTTGGTATCGGTGTAACAAGCTGTTATGATGGCTACGGATGCTCTAAAGTTGGGCCGATGACACCAAATTTGCATTACGCATGCGTGCCGAGCTATGGCGCGTTTAATCAAACGTCATTTCTCTATGTCCTCTAGACTGAGGAGTTTTGTATTCTGTTTGTTACAAATGACATCTCATCGTTAGCGGACGTTTCAGGTTTGCCCAGTTATTGCTGACGGGATGGAAATCATCGCTAAAAATATCGTCTTTTGCAAAGCCGAAGGTAAAGATTTTATCTAAAAAAATGACTACAAATTCGCAGGAAAATTACCCAAGTTATACAGGGGGTATACGGCGAAAGCGTCGAAAGTGAGTAGGCCTGCTCACTTACATTTAGGATTTGTGATCGGATGAATAATGAACACTGTTCATTTACTTGCAGACTCATTGTGAAATGATTCGTGTGGAGCCAAAAGGAGACATTCTCAATCCAGATAAACCGGCCACAGCGCTGGGAGGCTGGACCCTGGTAGCTCGGATTAACGGTGGCAAAGACGAATTTTCTCCCGTCAGTGATAACTGGGCAAATACAAAAACGTTCAATGCTGAAAGTTCACCCGACACGACTCAAAAGACATCGATGAAAAACGAAGGCTGGTCAACAGTGACCTGTAACAAGATACTGGTATGCTTATCAGGTCCCACAACAAGCTGCGCACCGTTCACTCACAACAAAAACATGTCTCTGACACATCTGTTCAAAACACAGTTTGGCGTTGTTCCATCGGAGCAGTATACCTTCGCCACTCTTTTAAAAGCTTTTGGTAAAAGTTGCGACTTGTCCGTTCTTAGGCAAGGCTGGTGTGGGTTAAATTTAGCCAATACCTGTAATCCTCAAAAGGACAACCCTAACATCACTCCTGTTAAGACAACCCATATTGCCAGGATAGGTTGCATTGGCGACCAACAGGCTACATGCTTTCCTGATGATTTTGCCTTCGGTGTCGGAGTCAGCTCGTGCAAGGATGGCTATGGTTGCTCAGCGGTCGGAAAATCAAAAAATCTTCATTATCGTTGTAATTACGTTCATGGAACATTGATGGAGACCGCTTATCTTTATGTTCAATAATTGTTCGTCGCGCAAATTTCGCGTGAGTTTCTAATACGTGCGTGACTTGCTGATAGTTGCGTTACAAAGGGATATTGAGGATGGCGTGCTAGTAGTAGAGTTCTGAGCTTTAGCAAATTCGCTTTTTTACCGTAACTCGAGGAAATCTCAATGGACACAACAGTTTTTGTAAAGATAAAGTAGTTACATAGCAAGTAAACGTTCTTATAGAATGTATATATATATCGCATAATAAGCAGTGTTGAATTCTCGTAGTTTCCAGTTTTATAAAGACTTGTACTTTTTCACCTCAATGTCGTATTGTCCGCATGGATACATAAAGTATTTAAAGAATAAAGTATTTAAAAAATACCCACAGTGAGACTCTTTTTTATCAAGGGAATTTAAGTTATATTTTTGTTCAAGAATGTATCTTTTCATCCAAGCGGAAGACAGGTAATATAGTCTGACACATGGACGCCAAAAGGGATTATGGTTTAATAGAAGTTAACCATAGAGATTTGGCCACGCCTAAAATTGAAGTTGCGGTTGGGTAATTGTTAAAGTCTTCATTCATGTTCACCAGGAACAAGAAGATTTGAGAGAGAAAAACTCACACAAATGAATGAGGAGAAAGCGTCGTCGAATGCTAAGCAGGTCGGTCGGACTCGCAATATGGAAGTTATGAGTTTGAGTTCAAACCATTGTGCAGAGTAGTACAAAGTACAAATCCTGGCTGTTAATCTGCATTTACCAACATTTGAAAGAAAAAAGCAGGTAGAACATGTACTAAAGTTTCTGTTTAATCCCACAAGTCCTAGATAGGAAATACACAAGATACAGAAACATGGTCTACATTAACACTCCTAGTTATTACATGAACAAGTTCAATCTGTTTTACTTTTTAGGAAAATATGCCATTGAATTGCTTCAATGAAATTCTTGGAATATATTATAATTGCTACAAAACTAGACCCTCAAAGTTTCCCCACATTTATTATTTGTAAGTAAATTCTCTGATATTGAATAGTGCCACATGTTTTTGATATGCTTATTTCAAATTGATCAAATTCATAATGACCAGGTAATACAAGTGTCAGTATTGTCAACATTGTGGATAACAGCTTCCCATGTATGGTCCCATGTGATGTGCTTTAACAGTAACATCATAATCATCAATCTCCACTTGTACATCTTCTCCTTCTCCTGCCAGGTAACAAACAGTGTACAATGCCATCTCAAATTCAGGACTGGTGCCAATAAAACTACTGCCGATTGGCTTCACATCACCTTTCCAACTAAACTGAATTGTGATAAGCTGGTTTTTACTCTCCTCTTCAGCGCTAACATGCCGCTTCTGTTTTTAAATAGAAACAATGCATGATTGTGTCAGTCCTGACTGTAAAAACTGTCTCTTAAGTCTATGCTCTTCCTCTCATGGGTGAAACTCACTGAGATTCTATAGAGATAGGCGACACTAGAGGTAGTGCTAAGTGAAAAGACTAACTGCAACTCTCCCCTGAATGAGATGTTTAACCCTCAGCATTTTGTCAAGTTTCCCTGACAGGCACTCATTTTTACACAAAGGTGGACGAAGAAGGAATGAAGTGCCTTGCCCATGGACCCAACATTATGACCTGCTTAGGCTTTAACACAGCCCTCTTGACATGAAGTTTGAATAGAAAATGGAAAAGAATGAAAGAAAGAAAAAGAAAAGAAACGAAAAGAAGCATATGGCCAAAGGGTGGAGTCCTAGGATACATGTGAAGCATTTAACTCAAAGAATGTATTATATCTGAAGATGGACCTTATTGCCAAGCTTACCCTTCGACTAGGGAAAAAGCCTTTGTAGTCAACAAAGCCTCGTTTCTCTTGTAAGTAGAACTGTATCCAGTTGTGGAATCCAATTACTTCAGCCTTGTTTCTTGTCTCACCCACAAAGACATGTTCAAATCCAGAAGAGTCCAATTTCCTAGAAGGAATTTTCAATGTTACATGTACACAAATGACCTGATCAAGAAACTCTGATCTTCACACCTTTTCCACTGACCATTGTCACTCAATTCATCATTTTCTTTGAGATGTCATTATGGGCATCCATATCATAAACATCTCATTAATTTATGTTATTTTTTTCAATAGGTGTTTCCTACTTTTTCGGTAAATAAATGCCTGAAAAGCATTACATCAGCTTAAAATGCTGATCAAACCAACTATTTGGCAGGATACATGCACAGTGACAACACTCTGTCATCTTATAACCCTCCAAGGTATAGCCAAGGAGGTTTCCTAAGAGCGTGAGACACCTTCTTTGTTGTGGAAAATTAATAATTCATAACAGTACAGCATTCTGACATGCCTCCATATTTTGGTGGGATGTTCATACCAGACACCTTTTTAGGAACATCCTGCTTAAATTATGTCCTAGATTATTAATATTACTAGTATGTTGAGTATCTTCAACACAAGTGAACTCTACAATACATCTTTTCTAACACACCTTACTCCCTTTGTTCTTTGGAACATCTGAAACCAAATCTTGTAAAGTTCTCTCTTAAACTGTCCTCTGTCTTTAGGCATAAGACCTTTGTCAGCCAGGTATTCATGGGCAATTTTCATTGGCTCAGTTTCCATAATAGCATCAATGAAACACTGGTTTTCTTTAATTTCGTGTGGAGTGACAACTTCTCCCTGTCCACCTTCACTTTCATAGTTGTCCAGTAAAGCTATGAATCCTAAGCAAAAACAGACTTAAGTTTGACTTTTTGGCTATAAAAAATTAGCATGACTGATGATCCATTACTGCTGAAACTTCTTGCAGTCTCTCTAACAAAAAGCAATTTAAAGCATTGCTACTCTTGTTGTATGGAATACCAGTTCATCTCTGATTAAACCCGTTTAATAGCTTTTCCAGACAGTTTTCCACTTACTCAATCATATCCTGAGAAATAAAATGTTTTGCCCAATATCTAGAAGCAAAAACAAAAAAAACAACAACAAAATAATCCAGGTCTATTAGAAAAACTGGACCTGTCATCAAGTAACACCAATTTTCTCACTGGTTTGACCTGCTGTTACTTAAGTTAAATAGACCATGTAAAATTTTGAACTTGTTCAGCTTCAAAAATTTGTGACATTGAGGAAAAAAAAGCATGCAAATTGATCTGAAATTTTTAAAAAACAAACTCAAATAACCCATGTCACAAAGGAACACAACAAGAAAGACAAAAGCAGCCAGAATTTGCAGATATGCTAAATTCTGATCAATAAAATAACTGTATTATTTCTCAAGATCAAGGTTTCACTTTATCACAAATTCTTACTTCTAAATGTGACACGCTGAAAAACTTCTTCTTTAACAAAAGTAAAGAGAGGATCCCTGGCACGATCTTCACGTGAATGGTAGCGGGTTTTGCCTTGAGGATCGATTTCGTAATCAACTCCTGGTTCAAGACGATTTTCATCAGCATCCCACAATCTCTGGCATAATGAAGATAGTTCGGGATGAGGGTTAAAGCTATGATTGAAGGAAATTATTAAAAAGGTAAAAGAAGATTAAAAAAATATTGAATAAAATTGTAACAGCTATTTAAAAAAATCATTTTTTCATTCATCTTCCATCACCTTACCCATGTAGTTTCTAACGGGTCAAAGCGGTAAGCACCTAATTAAAACGGATCACGTACAAGATCTATACACTGATTAAAACACCCAGAGGAAACACGCAAGGCATCAAAAAAAGTTAAGACCGATCTCTTTCCAAAGTACACCATCTTTCCCTCTGTAGCAATGAGCAATAATTTTTTTATCAAAATTGTTCGGAAAAGAACTCATGGAATAACCTAGAAAAATTCCTGCAAGGTAATTTCGTGACTTGGGTTCCACCCTTCGGTCGAAAGCCACGTACTCATCAACAGTTTGAAATTATGGAGATTTGGCTTTACAAATTTCTCTCATGGTACCTATAACATTAGGCTACTTCACTGCAGAATGTATAAGGTTTCGTGTAAGAAAAATAGGTAGTTCGCAGTAAGAAAAATAGGCATCAAATTTGCAGAAGAGTGAAGTAATACTCACCGTCTGGAAGCCATGTTTGAAAGTTTGAAAGCGAGGGAGACTGGGACGTGCCTCGTATTCGTGTATTTAGAAAAAAACCCGGGAAAACTTTCAAGATGGCGGGAGCACCAAGGCAAGAAAAAAGATCTACGAATTTCTATCGTTTCCGCAATGATTTCCCAGTTCTTTGAGCGCACACTCCCTTACTCTCCCTTTCTTAACTTTCCACAGAAACCTCGAAGAAGTCAACCGTGTGGCTGATGCTGCAGGCCTTGTCAACAGAACAGGACCTGTACAAGTGCTGTATTTCTCTTCCACCTGCAACACTAACAAATATCAACTTTTAGAACTTCCAACAGGATTACTTGACACCCTTCAGGTTGGAAATAGGTATGATACTTGTTTAATTTACTCGGGAGTTTGGTTTCATGAGTTAAGTGAAGTACAATTCGAGAGCTTACCCCTATTTCTGTTACATGAAATATCTCGGAATTTATATATATATTATTTGGTGATATTTTGGTGTGAATATCCACAGTGTTGTTATTAGAGGCGACAAGGAAGACGATGCTGTCCTGTGTACAGATAGAGTAACCTTTGACCTGCGATTAGCTGATACATCAAACTCTCTTCTTTTAGTTCCTCAGTGCAGCCTATCCAAGGATGAAGGTATCATTTGTAGTATTTTAACTGCCTGTCTTGTCTCTAATTTGTGTGTGTTTTTTTCATCACTGAACCCATGCCATATTTAGCTTAACGAAACAGAAATCCATCAAAAATTTTGATTAATCAAGTAAAGATTAACAGCCCTATTTTGGTATTAAGAGTGCAACGCGATAAATCTGAATTACCGCAAGTTTCGGGCTAATAACCCAGGAAAATCTGACTATTGCTTATTCCCATGTGGCTTGAAATAGTCAGTCTGGACAGTTTGTACATATTGAAGGAAAAATTGCCTTTTGCTTTCTAGAATCTGTATGTTTGTAGTAATTATTTTGATTTAGAAATTTGATATTTCATGTCCTAATTGCTTATTCCCATGTGGCTTGAAATAGTCAGTCTGGACAGTTTGCACATATTGAAGGAAAAATTGCCTTTTGCTTTCTAGAATCTGTATGTTTGTAGTAATTATTTTGATTTAGAAATTTGATATTTCATGTCCTAATTGCTTATTCCCATGTGGCTTGAAATAGTCAGTCTGGACAATTTGCACATATTGAAGGGAAAATTGCTTTTTGCTTTTTGCTTTCTAGAATCTGTATGTTTGTAGTAATTATTTTGATTTAGAAATTTGATATTTCATGTCCTAAACAGTTATTGTATTGTGAATTTGAATTAATCTTTATGGGATATTTTGCATTTACAGGTTCTCTTTTTCATTTTATTCTTTGGTCATATGTTATGCATTGCAGAATTCAAGGCAGAAGTTTCTCCATTGGTTCTTCGAGAGGTGAGTAAATCACAATCATAAGGTAGGAAAACATGTCTAAGTATGAAGTTTAAATTCTAGTGTGTAACAAAGCAGAATATCTGTTCCAGTAGTGATGAGTCAGTGGGCTTTTAAGACTTACCATTATTGAAAACCTTACTCTTAATATAGGATATTCACAATGTGATAAGCTAGTTCATTTGTTTTACAGGTGGCCAGTTCTCACGCAAAATATTTTGAAGTCAAACATTGTAGGCCACGTTTGGAAAGGCTTAGGCATCTGCTTACTGAAACTTTGTATAAAGGAACTGAAAATGAAGTGGATCTCAATGATGAGACAGAAGGCAACACTACAAAGAGGAAAGATGTGGTGTGTTACTTAGGAAAAAATTGATAGGGCAGGAGTAAAAAGGGGGGTTTGTGTAATTTGGGTTCCATATTCTCAAGGCTAAGACTATAAGTAGAGAATAGTTACAGACAAGAGAATTCATATTTAGGTCCTGGAAGTGAAAGGTTTAATGAAATGCAGACAATTGGAGGGCTCAGAGCAAGAACGATCCCTTGATTTTTTGGCCATTTTTGAAAGTGTTCAGAAGTAGTTGAATTTTGGCATGTGGACACTTTCAAAAATGGCCGAAAAATCAAGGGATCGTTCTTGCTCTGAGCCCTCCAATTGTTGGCCATCATTTTTGAGAGGAAAACATCTGCCCACCTTTTTTCCTTGCAAAGTTCTTTGAGATCAACATTTTAATTTGTAGATGCATGTAAGACAATCCCTGTCCTCATAGATGCATCCTTGTCACTTAATCAAAGTATATTTTAATTATGCATTTGCTGAATATTAATTTTTTTTTCAATTTTCCAGTACACTTTTGTAGACCTACTCTCTTTAGTGCAAGCAAGTGAATCTGAACTTCGTGAAGGATTAAGGAATATTGGTGCTATAGAAATCAATGGTGGGTTTCAACTACTGAAACCATTCTTGACACCATGCAACAACTGCAAGTGACAAACAATTTTTTTTTTTTTTTATGGTGGCTAACTTGCAAGAAATGTATTGCTGAGGTATTGAGGTTTGTTACTGAGACCACTGGTGTGGTTAGAATAAGAAAAATAATATCTAATTCATAACAGTGAAAGGGTCTAACATTTTAGGATTCCCAAGGTAATTGTCAGTTTTACTGACATTATCATCTATTTTATTTAAGGAATTTGACCAATCTAGAGACCTGATTTAATGGGAAGAAGACTTTATTTCTTTATTGAAATTTATTGTCTTAACCAAGTCAGCAATATTATTCTTTGAAGGGCACTGGCGGCTGCTTGATGCAGATTACAGAGAAAAAGTTGTAGTAAGGATTTTGACTTTACTTGAAGAGATGGACTGGAGTTATGAAGCAGTGCCATTGAAGGAATGCTGTGATATACTGGAGGAACTTGAGCCAAGGTTTGATATAAAACAGTAGCAAGGTTATAGTATAGTTCAGGGTTTTCTTTAAGATTTGAATTATGCAGATTTGGTTGGAAAGTAGATGTCACTGGTTATCAAGCTTCACAGTCTGTTCACTTGTATATTATCTTCTCAGTTTGTATCTTGAGTTGGGCACTGAATTAAGGAGTCATCAAAATCCCTGTACATTAGCTTGCAGAGTCTACTGGTTGCTAGTCCTGAAGTACTATTCATAAGTTTGCAGAGTTTTTAGAAGCCAACTTAATATAGGTTTGAATTTTGAGGAGCACTTTCACATGGAAATAGAGAATCAAGTCATTTACATGTTCTGTTTCACAGAACATTCCTATTTTTTTTAACTGAATTAATTCTTTCATAGAAACATTCTTGAGCACTGTCTCAATTGTTATGGTGAGATAACAAGTATGGACACTGACTCAGGTTAGTTCTTTATCATACTCTTACTTTTTTATTTCTAATAATGATAATTTGTCATCGTTACAAGTCATGTATGACCTTTCCTGTGGCAGTTACTTCTCTGTGTTCTAGTAAATTTACTCTAGAGAATATTTTATCAAGGATGTAACAGCCTATAGTGCTTTTGGAGCTGCGCTTTAGGTCAAGAGGTTTGGAATTGAGTTCCAGCACCATTCCAGTAGGATTAGGAATACTTCTGGTCATTTTGTATGTGGACACCAACTCCATGCACCAACTCCATGCAGCAATAAGAGCCCCAAGGTTCACAATTCTTAACCTTACCTTCATACTTTGATATGCTGAGCAGGTCAGGTCCCTATGTTTTTTTTTTTTCAGAGTAAGTAAAGAAGACTAAGAAAGAAAATTTAAGAAAAATTTGCTTGCAAACTGCTATTTTACTTTTAGGTGACAATGCCATTCACTACAGGCTTTCAGAAGACAAAATTTGTAGATTTTATGCAGAATATCTCCTGAGACAAGCTGGGAAGGTAAAAAGATGATGTAATTCTAGCAAGATGCAAAATGATGACCAGTTTGGTGATCCCCATAAAATTTCTGGTGCATGTTTAATTAATAAGTTATCTCTAGCAGATATGGAGATGCATGTGTTCTGATCAGATGTAAATTGTATCCTATCTAGCAGTAACCATTCTGCTGTAATTTTTTGTGTAACCAGCTGTGAAAGATTGATAACCTTTACAGTTTTAAAGAGGCATTGCTCTATTCCAACATCATGACTCTTCTCTTTTCCTTAGTTTAATTACAATGAATTTATGGATTCCTGGTGTCAAAGTGTTCCAGAGGGAATGACCACAAAGTCTGAACACTTATCTGTAAGTATTCAATGTAGGTCCCTGACAATAGCTTTTATGCACCTCACATACCACAACATATCTATGGCTAGAGCAGAGAAACACCAAAAGGGTCAGAAAAGAAGAAACCAAAAAAAACACGAAGATGGGATGGTGAAGCTTTACACAGATTTTAAGCCAAAAGACATGAAAAATTTCAGCTGGGGACATGTGTTGACTGAGTCAGATATCAATAATATCTCAAAAATATATGTGAACAATCCAGTAGTGGTCATCAGATTTATTTTGTTGTCAGGGTATTGCCTTGATGGACTTGAAAAGTCTCCCACCAGTCATATGGCATTTTCCTGCTTCTGAGCTTTCAAATGACCCTGAATTACGGTAAGGTGACGGCTAAATCCTCTTTTCTACTTGCTATATATTTTTTTGTAACTGGTTAATAAAGAGAATGTAATGTTTTATTGAGATGAAACTCTGCAGCTCATAGGTTTGTTCATTCATTGTGTGTCAACTTTTAACAAGTGAGGCAAGGTCAAGAGGCCCAAAAAATGAAGCTAAAAATTTGTTTGTGAATAAAAGAATGACTTGTATTCTTCTTGTTTCTGATGAACTAAGGTACAAGAAGTCAGTGAAATATATCTATACTATTAAAAGTGTTTCTTCATCAAGGGTCAGCAACATGTAAGTTAATAATGTTTACTTATAGGTTTGGTGAACTTTTTAAAGTGAGAGCAAAGTGGACATTTGATGAAATACAGCCTTATTTAAGGTTAGTTTTCAATTGAAGGTGTGGGGATGTGTTGCACAGACGCATGCTTGTAAAAATCTGGCAAATTCCTTGTCATATCAACTAAATGTTTTTACTTTATATTTCTTATTGTTTAGAGACCTAGTGGCACCTGGACTGTCACTCAATGCTCTCCTTATGAAGTACTCTAGGTCCTCAATGGACGCCTCAGGTGTCAAGATCTATAACTCGAAAAAGCCCCTCTGAGCAAATTCAATTGCAGTTTTGTGGTTAGAACTAGAAGCTTTTCTGACATGCAGAAATGATCACAGTTTTAACATTTCTCTCAAGTACTTCAGAAGATACTTCACACAGTGGAAACTAAGACACTAGCAAAGAGAATATCACAGCTTAGACTCTTGTTCATAACTGTGATGTGTTGAAAGCCTTGGTTGTTGTAAAAGATTGGTCAGTTTTGTCATTTTAATTTGACACAACTTTTATTACCTTGGTTCAAGCTAAAAACTCTTGAATACTGAAGATGTGCTTAAGACAAACATTGCAAATTAACTGAAACATTATAGAACTGAACTGTTGTAAGGACAGTCTACTTAGAATTGATGTTATGCCACTCTTGAACAGAAGGGTTAACTCATGCAGCTGGAGATATTTTTGTGGGTGTGTATGAGAAAAGTAAAGTAAACACACTGAAGTTAATCCTTGATCAAGAACTTTTATTACCACTGACAATTTTAACTGCAAAATTTGCCTTGAATCAATGAAATACCAAATTGTACATCTTACAATATCCTGTAACTTTTTCAAATGAAAAGATCCTGATCATAGGCAGAACTCTATTAAAGAGTTAGGATGTAACAATTGCCACTAGCACCAAGAGTATTTAATATATTAAAACTCTCATTTATTTGACTCGCAGCAAATTAAACTAGTTCATGCAAAGAAAATCCATTTCAGATGATCAGTTTAATTGCGAGGTCTTTACGGGACCATGAAAGTGAAATTTAAGGTTGCTCTCCATTTATCAGGTCTAACCACACTGAAAGATGTGGTTTTTGCTAGTGTCTAGAAAACAGAAAACAAAATTCTAATCCTTTTAATTATTAGCTAAGCTGTTTTGTGCTAGAAATAACTTTGAGATAAATGTGCACTACTATTAGCAAAATTCAACACTAGAAACTACCATGAATTTGACAAGTAGTCTATGCAGAAGACTCACAGGACAGGGTCATGTTCAGAACCAGTTAAGCCAGTTCTCAGAACAGATCCACTCCATCTATAAAGTGAACAGTCAACTAAATGGAGAACAGCTTGAGAATAATGCAATAAATCCAAAAAGAACTAGGCAAGCTAACTTCAGAAAAAAGACAAAATTGCTTTTCTTTATATTGCCTTGTGTAATAGCACATCTGTTTCACATTCTTTTCTACTTTTTAACCCTTAAATCCCAGAAATGATTAACATGTAACCTCTCCCTGTGATATCCATACAATATGCAGTAAATAGGTAATGAGAATACTCAAACTTATCAGGTTGAAGCTGATTTAACACCAAACTCTCATAACTTATTACCGTGAAATTGTGTAGTAGCAAGAGGGGAGAATCAATTATCAGATCTTGGGATTTAAAGGGTTGAATGAAGATAACTTATATTTACCCAAAAAGCTACTTACACCCAGTTCTATTTCATAAGTCGAGAATTATGTCTACCAGATACATATTTTTTACAGAATTTTGTACAGATATATGTTAAATAAATGAATGATTTGGTATCAAGGAAAAATTTAAAAAGAAATAATTTTCCCTTTAGTAAATGGATAGCTATAAAGATAACCTGTATCTCTTTAGAACTGAAGATTTTCACCTTTCCCCATGCTTTGGGAAGAATTTTCAATAAAATAACTGAATTATATCCTGCTGGAAATAGTGCAATGTTTAGCACCCTGTTCTTTACTGTTCATGTATCTTGCAAACAAATAAATGATTCAATAATTTTAAGCTTTTTTCTGCCTTTGAGATGTCACAATTCCCTTAGGTAACACATAGCTGTATGAGGATTTAAAGGAAGTTTCCTAAGAAGGTTTACAAGAAAGCAATAAGAAAAAGTGCAAGAAATATGAAACAAGACTTTGCTTCTTGAAAAAAATTCAACAGAACAGTATGTTGATCTACTCTGCTGCTTCTAGTGGCTCCTTGATCTGCATTTAGCCTCACTTTCTCCCCCCCCCCTCACTTTCTCCCCCCCCCCCACTTTCAGTTTGTTTTCTGTGATTGTATAACATCAAATTGAGAAAGTAAGGTATTGTAGCAAACTGCAGTAAATTCTACAGTACTAGTACTCCCTTAAAAGTGGTTGCATGAATGTCATGTGACAATTACTTTTGTAGGGGGTTGTACCTTCTAATGTTGACTTGTCTGTGTTTAGGATCCCTACTTTTAATGAATATTATATATACTGAGACTACCTCACCTGCACATTGTCAAAAGATTATTTCTACAGTACAACAAAGCAGTATTCAGCTCTAATTGAGCTGAGAATAGAAATCCACAAGGATGTCTCAGGGAAGATGCAGGAAATCTTATAAGGTTGTATTTGTAAGGTTCGTAATTCCAATTTATCTCATCTATTTTGTGAGAGAGAAACAGCTGATGTTGAGGTGATTACACAGTTCACGAACCTAAAGTAAAAAGAAAACACTACTAAGTTAAAAATTGAAAGTGGTTACACATTGAGAGAAAGCAGAAATGGAGCAGAAATAGGAAAAGCATGATGAATTTAGATTTTATTTTCAATTTAGAGGTTGCTGACATTGACTAGTAAGGGTAAAGATAAGAGGACACATGGAAAGTCCACTTTTTTGAAAGTGGATGCTTAATTTCACAGTCTTATTGGTGTTTAATTTCTGGTAATCATTTTGAGTCATCTAGAAAGGATATTTTTCCACTTGCAAGTACATCTTTCAGAGGGCAGTGAAACATTCTCAAGGCTTTACTTCTTCCAGTTTTAATAACCAAGCTGTGACAATTTCTACTCACCAAAACAATTCCATAATGCAGGTGACAAATAGCTACAACCCCAGTGTAGAGACTGAGAATTCCCACCTCCATGTCAACTGATTTGGTAAAAGGTACAATGAATGTCAAGGCAAACAGAGGAAGTAACATGGCATTGATAGCTTGGCATCTCTGGCTGGTCATTGTACTCACAATCAGTCGGCACTAAAACAAATTGACAGTGTAAATTAAATCAATAATGTTACTGAGACTGAAAAAGAAGGGGTAAAAGGCTGTGATCACAAAATGTTATTTAACCTGTATTTGCTACCTTTGAGCCAAAAAACTTCAATTTATGTGTATATTAATATCTCCACTAAAAGTTTGTCTGGCTGACAAGGGTAACAAATGAAAAGGTCAAGAGATCAGATACAGTGTGGGACTTTCAGCATCACTGGGCAGGGGAGAAGGACATTGGGTTTTAAAAGGGCATGTAGTGTGTGAATACCACCAACATTGACCTCTCAATTGATTCTCCAGTGTGCCAGACATTAGGCAGAACATCTCTCACTTTTGGAAATGAAGTGTAACAGTTTTCAACCACTACATGTGAAGCACCTTACCGTCACATTAGAGAACACAATTCCAGTAGCTGTAAAAAATAGACGTGGTTGGATTTCAAGGATGTTGGCAGGAGAAAGAATGGCCCATGTGTAGAAGAGGAAAATCATCAGAAAGAATGACAACAGAGGGAGAAGTCCTTCAAATAATGAAAAACCTCGGTCTGTCTTAGAAACACGAGCCCTATGGAAAGAAAAACATGGTAAGCTAAGGGATTCACAATCTAGCCCAACTCAGAAGCACAGGAAAGATCAACAAGTGAGACTTAAAAAGATTGACTCAGATGTCCCTTTTTTCTAATGAGCAATTATGATGACTTTGGGATTGGTTTTACATCACATGATCAAAAACTGCTCCAACATTAAAAATGTACTTACTGGTACATATTGTACAATGTCATTGCCAGAGTGAGTACAATTGATGATCCTGGAAGACCAATAAATAACTCATATTTAGTTCCTGTCTGTTGCCCAGACTTTAAAAAAAAATTACAACTGGCATAAAGAGGTTTGTTCTAGGTTGCTTTCAACCCTTTCTTTTCCAGGGAAAAGTGATACTTGAAATTAATTAAAAAACAACAACAACAACAAAACAGGTAAACCCCCATTACCAGTAAGAAACCCCCCACAAAAAAAGAATCTCTTTTACAACCCTATATAATAAATCACTTCAGACTAGTTGAAAAAAATCTTTCAGAGTACCTCCATGCATGATAACAGGAGTCAGTAACAGTAACATCACAAGAAATATACGGTCATGCAACTAAAAGGAATTGACTGTTGTTAGCTTCAATGAGGAAGTGGAAGGGAAAATACAGATTCAAAAGTGAACATGCCATAAAAATTTTGCAAACCACTTATTTTGTATACTATAAACAAGTATTTTATTCAGTTCATGTATCTCATCAGTGCTAAAGGTCTACTTCAAAGGCTCCTTTTAAAACCTGAGGCATGATTCTACCTGCAATATGCTACTATCAATTATAATGTTACGGACAAATACATACCATAAACTGTGAAACGGAATACGAAGCATAGAGGAAAACCTTCTATTATTTGAAATTTCCACATGTCTACTCCAAAATAAAATGTTAGGAGGTACACAAATGAAATTGCCTACAAGAAGTCAAAATAAATTTAGTTATTAGTTTTCAGTTATCTTTGAAGTCCAATGTTGTCTGCTGTTCAATGACTATTTTACATAACAACTGTCAACCTGTTAAAAATAAACTTCATTATGGCTTTCATTGAAAAAAAACTTATGAGTGCATTTCCCCCTCCCACTTTCTGTCACCAACAACTTGCTATGTGGGGTGTGGCATAGAAATAATTTCCTCATAGCTGACACCCAGTTGACTCTAACTTAAATCGCACAGCATGGTAAAAAAAACTCACTATTTGACTGGCATCATAAGTCCATGGCAAGAACAATGTCCCGGTGTTGTATTTTTCCCAATGAGCCAGGTAAAATCCCAGCAAACAGGCCAACATCAGTTGATAAAGTTCCCACAATGTAACACTGTGAGGGCCATGACCAAAGAGTGAAAACAAACTTATAGGAATAAGAAATGCTGCTGAACTGTCCAGACCGTGGTCAAACAATTCACCCAGTGGAGAGCTGAAAATGAATAGAAGAAGATTGATGATACAATTATGGATCTATAGCTGCACAATAATCAAATAACTGCCCTGAAATAGACATACCAGAAGAAAATCAAACATTTCTTATGTACAAAAAATTTTAAAAAAACTTGTAACAGTTGATTTTGGAAAACTCCACAGTGACATTTAGAACATTGTGAAAGGTCTATCAATGTTACCTTGAAATCCTCAAAGATTTAAAAATTATCTCCTCAAGAATCTAAACAAAAGTCAATTTTCTTGTTTGGTGTAGGTTCTCTGTTTGTATTTGTTTTATAAATTTTTTTAAATTCACCTGCTGCTTGTTCTTCGAGCCTGTTTGCCATCACAACCATCAAGGGTGTGTGCTGCAAAGTGCAACACAGCAAAGACAAGCCACCATATTGATGGAATTTGTTTGCTCTTGTCCTTTTCACCTGCTGCTGTAAAGTGGGGGTCGTAATAACATGTAACAGCATAGATCATGAACAGGGACAACCAGCCGCTGAAGGTGAGCACATTGGGTGCAAGCCATCTGGGAAAAAACTGAGACAAAACAGAAAAAACCACAGTCACCCCATTTATGATAACATAGTAACAAACTCTGATTATGTACTGTCTATAGTTTCTGTCATAATTATGAAGGGGAGTCCAGAAAAATGTTTCCTTTTGTAGAGATTATAATTGACAAGATAGCAATCCAGTGAGAAATTAACTGTTCTGTGGGCACATAGCATTGAAACTACATCATTTGACATCAGTCATTCTCATGCATTGCCACTCTTTAATCTTCAACAAGAGACTGACTGACTTTACCTAAACAATCCTTTCACACTCAGTATATCATGCATGTGTTATCATCGAGAGTTTTGCTCAGATTTCAAAATCAGCTTTTTCAAATGTCAGTCTTGCCCACCTTCCTGTCTACCTTGCCCAAGTCTTCTTTCAATATGGCCACTTAAAGATTTCAGATATGATGATCAATGTTTGACACAAGTCTTTTGCCATTTTTTATATCTAAACTCTAAGAGGTGGGCAAGTTGTCAAGAAAAGCAAATGAGTTGACCAAGGATGTGGGCACATTTACTTAACCTGTGGGTGAGTTGTCTATAGACAAGTTGACAAATGGCAAGAATGATCGTAATTCATGTAAGGAATATTGACACAGTGTAAAATACTCAAATATCATATGTGAGAAGTTGTCTAGTTATACTTGAAAATTTCAGCATCAACTCAAGGTCTCTATTGGAAATGCCAGTTTCGAAAATTTACTGCAGTGTTATATTTTTGGGAATATGATCTAAAATATTTTATTATGCTTTCAAAATGTCTGCCAATAATAAGTAAACTTCAACTGAGCAAAGGAGATCATTTCCCAGATAACTGAAAAAGAAATTATCAAGTTCAAAAAAGATAACCATTTGTTTAACAAACAATCCCAAGATTTAGAAGCAGCTGACAGGTTAGCAAACATCCCTGACCAGCCCCCCTAAGGATTAACTATGCAAACATGCCACTCCCCCCCATGGCAAAGATTAGCATGAATGCCATCATTTGCTTTCAACAATATTGACTTGTCTTTTTTTTATTTCCACCATCTGAGGTCACTAATTCCTTATGAAAAACCAATACTAACCTTGAGCTCTAAAAACCAATTGATTTGTCATTGTTTATTACCGGCGTGAAATAAGAGAACTGTATTTTCATGCTTGCTCGAACAAAAACCCCACGGAATAACACATTGTCCACAATCCAATGCCTACCTCAACGACGAAATTCCAAAATGGATGAGTTATGTAGTTTGAAAGAGGTGAAGTATCTTCTGATTTGTACTAAATTAAAGAGAGATCAAAAAGTTATGAGATTGCAACAGATTTACGATAACTGTCGATCAACAAGCCTGTATCAAAAGGGAGTTACCTTATATTTGTCAAAGCCCCTAAGCTCTTCTTCTCCAAGATAAATCCCCTTCATTCTGTCTAGATCTGTAGCATGTAATCTATGAACCGAAGGAGACTTGTCCTTTGAAGAGGGCAGATCTTTCGAATCAGGTGGCATTTTCCCTTGCCCAAAGGCTGAGCTACTTCAGGATGTGCTGATTGATTGAGTTGGACACTGGGACCTAACACCACATCACACCGGTCACACCACAATACACGCGTGAACACGCGTGTTTCCCTTGAGTCCAGAAAATTTCCACTTCAGTCGCTTATTTCGCCCTCTAATTTTATTCCTAAACACTTTTCAACGTGTTGGAGGATTCTACATACGAAACCTTATCGAAAATACCTCTTTTGTCTCACGTTTAATGAACGCCGTAGATTACGATAAAATTTACAAAGAAATCCTAAACTGAGTCCGCATTACATAGATACAGCAGAAATACCAAAACAAAGAAGCTCCCGCGCATCTTTGCCCGCGAGTTTTGTGCCGCACACTTCGAGATCCAAAATTTTATCCACACTAGAGCACAGCTTATCCTCGTGGTCGCGGACCCATTCTTTATTTACCGAATTTCCAAGATACCATGGGTGCCTATCTGGCTAAACCAAAAACAGAGAAGATTTCCGAAGGCAGTGAAAATGGAAATGTTAGTTATGGAGTGTCCTGTATGCAAGGATGGCGTGTAACTATGGAGGTACAGTACAGCTGAACTAGCTGACCTTCGACGGGAAATCATATGCATGAGATAAATAAGCGTGTTTTAAACAAGGAATGTGAAAACTTGATCATGTAGCCTACTGGTATATTGTTCTAGTCATTTTAGCTTTCTTCAGCTAGAGCCAATGGTATTTATTAAATAAGATTACACTCGGCCACTATGAAAATCAGCCCACGAAATTTAACTTGAAACCATTTGAAGCCTACGAGACAGAAAATGCGATGGTTTTGTTATTTGAAAAGCAAACTTTAAATTAACTAAATCTAAAGTAAGTCGCATCTCTGCAGCTTCTTTTTTACTTGACTTCGACCGCTGAACTGGTTTGAAATGAAAATGAACCGCTGTCTTTCCATGTAACATTGATCGAGCGAGATTGGTTTTAATTTCAGAGAGAACCAAACATAACAAAATCTATATTTCGTTCGATTAAATCAATTGTATCCTTGATGCAGAGGTTTTTAGTCCATTAATGTATTATTTAAGTAGCTTGGATGGCGATTCTTTGTGTGAAAAAAGGCACGTAGTGTGTAATTTGAACATTGAAACAATGTTGCAGAAATGCACAAATGAACATATGGTTTCACTGAATGTATGCTATATAAATGACAGGAATTCTGAACTCAGCATCAACTGTAGCCGTGGATATTAGTGTTGATCAGGAATTCTTTTTGTTGTACAGGATGCCCACACATGTATGCTTGATTTTGATGAAAACTCCACACTGTTTGCTGTTTATGATGGCCATGGAGGTAAAATACATCCTAAAATCTGTGGTGTAAGCCCTCCTGGCTTATACCTTTTCCATGTTATGAAGGACTCCAGAAGGTTATCTTTAGGGTGAGGGAGCTGATAACAAGGAAGGAGGGGGGGGGGGGAGGGGGTTGAGGTGAAAGGTATAAAAGAACCTCATGGAACAAAATAATAATTTTGTTAGTTATTTCACTACAAGAGAAACCTCAAACCTTCTCTTAAATTGTGACTGGAGTATGACAAAGCAATATTGGACTTTGATCTCAGTTTTGCTTTCAACAGTGATGAGGTTTATTGTTATTTTCTTTGGGTTATAAATGGGTTACTTGTTATTAGAGGAGCACCTTTCTCATGGTTGTGTGAAAAGAAACAGGGATATATTTAAGGGTCATTTGTTATTGTGATTTTGCAAGATGATGACAATTTTTTTGTGAAATTGTTTTCTACAGATGGTTTTATTCATAGGTTATACATACTGCTTAACTTTTATTTTGTTTCTTGGTTAGGGTCTGAGGTAGCACAATACGTAGCAAAGCACTTCCCAGAAGTACTGAAAAGAATGGGAACTTACAAGAAAGGAGAAATTAAACAGTCAATGATTGATTCATTTTTGGAAATGGATCAACAAATCATCAGCGAGGAGGTTGGTTAAAAAAAATCAGTTAAGCAGTTAGAACTTCATCTCTTTGATAATATTGAAGAACATGTTAGAATTTTATTGTAATTACTGGAATATTTTACTGTAATATAAGTATTTCATTGAACGTATTGTATGTATTGCAAGTAACTGTATGCTCAGCAAGTAATGGAAGTAGGGTATTGCATTGTTAATAGTTTGAGTAGCCCATAATGCAAGTAATTGTATTTTCTGCAAATGATTTATTCAGTTACTGTATTTTATTGCCAGCATAAGTAACTGTATCGTAAGTAATGTAAATATTGTTCTGTAAGTAGAATATTGTAATGAGACCTGCATTGTAAGTAGGGTAATTGTGTTTTGTAAATTGAAATTGTTTAAAAAAAAACAACAAAATAAATAAATAAATAAACATAATCTGTTGTTCTCATAAGATCAGTGCTTTTCAAGTTACTTTTCTTTCAGAAATATCATCTTTACAAAAATGCTAGGATTATTTTGAGAGGATGTCAGCCTTAGCTAAAATTCCCCTACCTAGTTAACATACCATGTAAAGGTTTCCTTACCTGACTGGTGTTTGGAGATTGTTTTCATATGAGTTTTGTTCATTTCCAGGGTCTTGCAGAACTGAAAGAACTAGCAGGGCTTGATAAGGACCTTGATGAGGAAGAAGATCTTGGAATGTTAGAAAAAGAAGCAACAATGCCATTGCGTGAATTGCTGCTGAAAATGAAAGAGGTTGGTAAAAATAAATACAATATTTAATGGAAAAGTAATGAATGTATATGTTTTTTCTTCTATAAGTGTCTAGTTCTTTTTATTCTTCGTTGGTGTGTCGGTGATAACTCGTCAGCCTCATAACTGTCCTTACTAAAACAAAACCTTAAAGTTTGTAAAGCATTTATATCGTGTGAATGTGGCTTATTTAGTTGAATGTGGTTTATTCATAATGTCATTACATTGTCCTGCACTAATTTTTTTTTTTGTTGCCAACACAACAGATTAAGAAAGCAGGAGGTGCTAATGAAGAAGATGAAGATGTTGAATACTGGACAGAAAGTAGCGAAAAAGATGCAGATGAAGAACATGGTAATCAGACTGATGCAAAGAGTGGAAATGGTAAATAGCATTTGAAAATGGTAAATGGTAAATGGAAATGATAAATAGCATTTCTTATTTTTCACAAACAATTGTGGACAAAGTTTTTGACATAGTTAAGTTTTTCAAGGTTTGACAGGTCGCTTCTTTTGACCTGAAATTTGCAGCGATTGGCCTTGGCTGCTCTCTACTGGGAACTAATCTAAAGAGTCAAGACTTAGCTAAGAGGCCCACACTGCCTGAGATTATCTCAGTTTCTATAGCATGAAGGGACTTGAAGTGTTACCACTCCCAGTCAGTTATTCAGGTGGTCCATCAGTCAATCAGTCAGTCTATCAATCAGTCTCTCCGTTAGTAAGTCAGAATCTGTTAACTTTATCCAGGAAGATTATTAAAATTCTATTTCAAGGTCATTTCTTGTTTTCAAGAGGAAAATTTCAGCTTTCTTGTCTAACTATTTCTTCAGAGGAAGGAGAAGATAAGGTTAAAGAAAATGGCTCACAGAATGGAGAAGAAGGCTCCATGTCTAGCACAAAGTCTACTCAAGATGTTGCTAACAATGATAAGGAGAAGGAAAAAAGAGATTTGGATGATGAGAGTAAGAATGAGGAACAACCTGAACAAGAAGAAGCTGAAAACAAGTGTTCAAGTATGTATGGGAATAGTCACAATGAAAAAGAATTTGCTGGTGCATCAGCTGGGACTGAAGATAATAATGATGATGACAGTGATGATGACGATGATGATGATGATGATGATGATGATGATGATGATGAGGAGGATGACGACGAGGAGGATGATTCTAATGATGATGCAGATGATGGCAATGAAGTTCCTCCAGGCTCAGATGAGGTGAATAGAGGTTGTTTTTATCATTTTCCCCAAGGGCTGAAGATGACTTCCTACCAAGAATCAGGAGGAGTCTCTATCCCTTCATCCCTGCCCCCACTCTCTCGGGGGAAGGCAGGTACAGCTAGACCCTTCAACGGAGAAGGAGAAACTCTTAAGAACTCTTTTTGACACAGCCGCTATGTAACTTAAACCAGCGTTTTTGATGAACCACTGGTTGTTTAGACATATCTGCTTCTTTTTTTTTAGGTTGGATATGACAGTGGCACTACAGCAATTGTAGCTTTCTTACAGGAGAATCAATTAACTGTTGCCAACGTTGGTGATTCACGTTGTGTTTTGTGTAGAAATGGTAGGGCTTTAGAAATGTCCATGGACCACAAACCCGAGGATGAACATGAACTTAATAGAATCCACAAAGCAGGCGGAAAAGTAACTTGTGAAGGAAGAGTCAATGGAGGGTTAAATCTGTCCAGAGCATTAGGTTTGTTGAGAGAATACCCTGTTTAATTCTGTAATTGAAGGAGTTGAATTCATTTTACTGAGTTCTGTGGTTGGTCAAGAAAATTTGCACAGTGCTCTGGACCTAGGAGATGTAAAACTAAACCCAATAGCCACTTGATCACTGGCATTCATCTTGCTTGTGGCGACTGGCTTGTGTTTACTTTGAGTTCCCACTGGCTGCTTGTCATGTTTACTTTTGTTCTGATTGATTTTTGTAATTAAGAAGTATTTGGTGTAGAGATATTCTGTCTTCTTCAGCTAATTACGAAGCATTTGGTGTAGAGACACTTGGTCTCCTTCGGCTACAAGGTGACTGTGAAAAAGAGCTCTTAAGGTGTATGCAACCAGACATAAACTATTGGACTAAGTAGAACTTTGAACTGTAGTGTACACAGTTGTTTCAGACTGACAATTGATTAGGTGATATTGAAGTCCAAGTTTTTAAACAACTCACAACCTTGCAGTCTTTAATATTGAATTTAGAAAGAAAAAAAAAAAAGGTGCAAAACATTTCTTAGTTTTTTTTGTTTTTGTTTTTTTGAAGTTTTATTATTTTTTTCGTTTGTTTTGTTTCAGGTGATCATAGTTATAAACTACAAACAGAATTATCCGCACACGAACAGCAAATCACTGCAATGCCTGACGTCAAACAAACACAGTTAACTGAGTAAGGGCTTTGCTAAACTATAAAGTATATTATGTATAATTCTTTTACCAGCTCAATTTTCTTTAGTTGTTACTGATTTGAGACACTTTTCTTTCAGGGCTGATGAGTTTATGGTAATCGCTTGTGATGGAATATGGTAAGTAATACTACTGTCCATATTACTAGCGCACTAGACTCTAAATTGATAAGTCTGTGTTTAAACCTTGAGCTAAGGGTAGACAAGGTAGCTTAACGCTTAGTGTGCTGGACTCCAGATTGAGAGATTCGGGTTAGACACGTGGCGGGTTATTTTGGGGTGTCCTTACGCAAGACACTGTACTCTCTACAGCTAGGAGTATAAGTGTTAGAGGTGAATTTTCAGGAAGCCTTGTGAAATTTTAAGGAGTAACATTGCTATGGATCAGTATCCCATTTAGAGAAAGTACAAAAATACTACGTGTCGCTTCATGCTACTGAAACTGAGGTAAGCTCTGCATGGATGGGATACTGCGCTCACTTGCAGACTTAGTTAACATTCACATTGAGCCTCTAGCCCTTTCCGCGTGTTGTGTTCCTGAGCAAAACACTCTTTTTCCCAAAGTGCTTCTCTCCACCCAGAAGTATACATGGACTCTAACGAGTAGTCAGAGAATGGATGCAATAGATTAGCACTCCGTCCAGACAGAGAAGCAACATTTCTAGAACACTTCTTTCGAAACCGTGACAACCTCCACAGACGGGCTTCTAGGCGTGCAAAACGTACCTAACTTGTGTACCCTTTGTAACAAATGTAAGTTTTGAGTTAAGATGATTCCTTCAAGGCCTAATTTTTTTGTCCTCTAGGAATGTGAAAGGAAGTCAAGAAGTGGTAGATTTTGTGTCAGACAGATTACGAGAACAGAGGAAGAACGGTAAACCAAACCTTACACAGATTTGTGAGGAGGTAAACCTACGTGTTTATTCACTAAAGGGTTTGAAGCGAGAGGGGAACCAGCTAGTCCTGAGAAAGACTGGTGTCGGTAGCAATGACTGACAACCTAAAGTTATTACCTCGTAGTTGAGTGTATTGAGTCAGCTTTACATTTAAAAAAATGATTGGTCAGTTATATGGGCAAGTTAGACTTGAGTGGCATAAATTTGTCATGATTTATTAATGCTGATCCTTCGGTGGGGATAGGGTACTCTGTATCATTGACAACTATTCAGAACGCTATGCTCCAAGGCAGCAAACTAGTTTTCTAAGATCAGTCATGTGGTCCGAGTCTTAATCAGTGCTGTATATGCGTATAGTCAGCCGTGTGATCGTTCTATGGACGTAGCTTTGTAGAGTTGTAGGATCAGCGAGGTGGTTTCGGACGCGCCCTTTATGAAGGGCATAGTCCTTGTATTCTTAGAAGTTTCGTTGGCGTTCGTTTTAGAAATTTCAGTAAGTTTCTCGTCTGATGGAGTCGTCTTTGTTGTTCTTGGAAGAGACACAGAAAGGTATCCGGTGAGTTGCCTGCTCATTGTCGATTGAAAATATCCTTGGCATCATTTGTGTGGCTTGAGAGTGCGTTTTACCTCACAATTACTTTTATTGCTCTTTTTTTTCAGCTACTCGATTCTTGTTTGGCATCAGACACCGCAGGGGACGGGTCAGGGTGTGATAACATGACCACTATTATAGTGCTTTTTAACTCTGCTGGTAAAACAGATCAAAACAGTAAAAAGAGGAAACTGCAGAGCGAAACGACCGACGAGGATTCCGTGGACAAGCGACTCAAGACGGACGACTCATGATTCATACGTAACCGTACACAAAGTTTTCAAACTACACAGGGGTTCTTTTGTCACCTTTCACGTTCACAGACAGTTGGTGGTCGAGTATGTGGAGAGTTATTTCGCCAGATGGGAACATGTGCTTGGAACCGATTGGGATTCACACGGTCTGGGATTAATGGAGCAAGAATTGGATTACAAAATTGCCCGTTTTTCTGAGAAGTTTACTCACTAAAAACCCATTAAAAATATAACACTTTTGGGAGCATAAGGTTTAAATCAAACAGTTAGTTAACCGAAATATCGCTTCTTACATGGGGTAAATGCGCGTACCATTGAATGTACATGGCAATGTAAACTTAGTCCACAAAGTCGTGAGATTTCTCTGAAACTTTTTGCAAGTATATTTTGTTTCCATTTTCAACTGCCAGGAAAACTGGGGAGGAGATTCGAAACCCCCACGAGAAACTCCTCCCTCAGCTTGTCTTGTTCCCAAGAATGTTTTGAAATCTGATTTATTAGTCCCTCCATGGCTTTCTTAAAAATGACAAGGGCTGGAGAAATTTAGAGCTAATGACCGAAGCTCAAAAATGTGATCGTACAGTAACTGCTCTATTTCAGAGCGGCGTTTTAGCATTTGCATTTTGACTTAACAATTAATCAGTGTTCTTCGTAGCTTTGATATTCGTCTAATATCCGATGGGGATTACTCTTCTCAATCTGTTACTTTTATATTATACTTTTAAAACCTTTTCTAATGGTTGTGTTCTGTCAGTTAAACCTTAGTTTGTTCTCCTGAAAAGATGAACCTGAATTGTTTAAGTTCCTTATTTGTCACTAGCAACGAAAGAACTCGCTTTCATGAGAAAGTATTTATAAGTTAACTTTCGCTGGTGCTTTGTACATCATTCATCAATTCCGTTGCATGACGAGTGAAGGAGACCCAGCCTCCATTAATTCCCTCATTCTCTGACTGTTGCACTGGTTTTACTTATAAAAAGCAAACATGTCTTTCGTTTTTGACTTGCTTGAAAATATCAGTATTTTATGTTGTGTAGTTATTTGTTATTGTGCATTAAGGATTGCTCAAAATTTATAGATCACCTGGTAAGTGAAACAGTTATTCTTGCCGATACCCACAAGCTATCTTGCGTTAAAAAATTCCTTGACATTTCCAGAAAGTTACCTCTGGCGCTGAAATCGGACCTACCCCCTTAAAAAATCAAACCATAAAATTCTTGACGAGATGTGTGTTTAATTTAATCAACCATTCAAAGTACAGACCCTAACGTCTTGAAATAAAAACCACTAATTATGAAAAAAACAAGAAATTTATACCAGCGCCTAAATATGGGCATCCTTTATTTATTTATCTTACAATGTTTTATTCGTTGAATTTTTTTGTCTCAGAGGTGAATTCCAAAGATGATAAAGTAACATCTCTGTATGACTGGTGACACCTGTCAAACCTCCAGTCGTACAAACCTCTCTTTTTATGAACAATTTCAAATTGTCCTCTCTCCGATAATTTAAGTTGCAATAGCTTGAAAGTCTTCGGAAGGTTTACTTGGACTATTTTAAGTGTTGCTCTTTTTGGAGAATGGTTCAGTCCGCAACATGCCGGTTGCAACATGAAATTAACAGCGACTAACAGCCACAATAAACCATAATATTTAGCGTTTGAATTTCAGTCCTTGCTGAGCCTTAAATATATTTCATACACAACAGCAATAATGTGATACTAATTCGTCATGTGTACAATCCCCCTCCCACCCCTCCTTGTCAGTTTTTGTCAGATATCATTGTGTCAAGAAAGTATCGTAAATCTTGGCTCTGTTCTATGATTATAATATATTCTATACACGTTTATAGTCCTGGGACGGAAGCTTCGTAAGCCCATCTGTAATAATACACTATCTAAACTAGGAGATGGATACAAATTCTATTTCTTTTTTCTTCTAAATATACAGTGAATAATATTTATCTGTTGACTCAGGGCTCGCCGTTTTTTACAATGTTTTGATTTCTACTTCCGGTACTGACGCCGTTTCCTTCATGGAATTTAAGCAGTTCTCCTAGGTAAGCTTGAAAGGCATTCATGGCCGCGTTTATCGCCGGTGAACCAAAACCGTGGGTCACTAAGCCAAACTGGTTAAGACTACGTAATATGGAATCTGGTAGGTTACTGTTGGGTAACCTGGTCTTAGGATAGGGGTCCTGTGCAAGAATATCTTGTAGTTCCTTTGTCAATTGTCTACAAAAGAGAGAAAATAACGTCAATCAGACATCTTCCTCATGTCTCTTAAGTCATGATATCATCTAGAGAATGAATGAATTTAAATGTGACTTGCACCTATTTATATAGGAAGCCATTTTAAGGTCGAGTTATTTGAACTTTGGCATTAACTTTGTTCTAATTCCTGTTTGCTTGTTTCGCGCTTTGTCAGTTTCGCACTTCTTTCTGGCCTGCGTGAAATACTTCGTTTTCCGTTCTATGAAAAACACAAAGCGAAACGCGAAACAGAAAGCACGCGCTTCAAGGTGCGTTGACAAATATTTGGCCTAACATACCTAAAAACTTCGTATAAATCACTAAAATCAGTGAGAAAGACCCTCAGTGGTACATGAGACGTTATTCTCTTAGTATGCATATATTAGTTTCATTGGAAAGGCAACATTGAGGTAGAAAACTACATGGTGAACTAGGAACACACTACATGTATTTTATTTGAACTACGAAGTCTCGGTTAACAAAGTGTTACGTACTTTGCTGCAAGAATTGCGTTTTTTCTTGCTTGCTGTTCTGATGGTTCTGAATGTTGTCTGTACTGTCGCTCGGCCAGCTGAGCTGCGGGAAATTCTGATTCACACACGTAATCAAAATCAGCAGCTAAATGAGCTGCTTCACCTGTGACAAGGAAACAGAAATTACATAAAAAATAGGGCGGAAATTAAAAAAAAAAAATGTGGGCACATAGAAACAGAAAGTTAACGAAGCATATTTTGTTCAATAGTTATTTAAAATGAGATCCAACGTTCAAAAAATGCGTCTTTGCGATAGTTTTTGGTGGAAGTTTTGGTCAATAACCGCTGTGTGCACAACAGCAATCATGAAAATACTCACAGGTGCTTTAGCTAACTCAAAGTATGCGTAAGCATACAGAAGGCTGAGTCGCGATTGGTTTTAGTTTTATATCTGATTTTCCGACGAGTCATAGAGTGTAGTTGATCAGTTTTCAATTGATTGTCAAAAAACTGGAACTTAAGAGATCGCAAGGGCCAACTAATGGCCAATCATAACTAGGGATAACATAATAATTAGCCAATGAGAACTCATGGTAAAAACAAGCAAACTACCAAAAGCGCGGGAAAACGCGGGTGATCTATACACGACTGGTATCCGTTTTACGTCTGATTGGTTGAGGATGGCGCTAGTTTTCTGAACCAATCACAGAGCAAGGTAAAGCAAAATGAAAGTAATCCCGGATTGTTTCAACAATTAACAGAAAGTTCTCGCAACTAATTTAAAACTAGGTTATACATATTTAACTAAATTTAGTAAGTTCACTTATTTTCCAAAATTACCTTCTACAAGTGACGTAAGTAGCGTTACTTGAGCTGCTTTTCTTCTTCCAGCCGGAAGTGACAAACCGATCTTTTCTAACTTGTCACGCAGACTTTTACCACCATTCTTAGACTTCGCCCTAATTTAAAAATAAAACATGTTGGAGTTACTTTTAAGTTCTACTGAAAATATAGGTAGAGATAAAAGTACCTGTCTATCTTAAGTAATCCTAATCGTAACCTCTGTATCTTAAACAATTCGGCCCAACAAAAAAATTTCAAATTTGTCGTTGGTTATCCGAATTTACCTCCTAAGCACGCCACCCAACAGCGAAGCATTCAAACATTCGGGATGAGAAAGTCGCCGACGTATCTCTCCTACAGTGACTTTGTATTTTGAGGTGGAACTTAGAAGGGACAATCGGCCTGGAACACAACAGAACACGTCGGAAGGATGGACAGGACTGTCGGAATCTGCTTCCTCGCGGGAATCACGCTCAATGTGCTTTGCTTTATTGCTGTGACCTAAAGAAAAGATAACGGAAATCATGAGTGGAAGATATTCAAACCACGTTTTCATCATTAAGTTTTCCTTCATATGCTTTCACCTGTAGTGTAAATGGAAGATTCCTATGAGTTTATGTAAAAATTATGAACAAGTAGATTTGTCAGAGAAAAAAACTAGTACAGAAAGAATATGATGGTTTACAAGACTTGACAAATAATCTTAACAAGGCTAGTTGTGAAGGGCTTAAGACAAATTCTGTTCCAGACAAGTGTCCAAGTATCCTTTGCTAAGTGCTTTTACAAGCAAAGCTTGCGGCGGTTTATAGCTCAAATTAAATTTGAACAGGCTCTGAAAATTATTGCCACCTTGCATCGTTGTGTGAGTTTTAACATGGGGGACACCGATTATCACCCAAAAAGTGTATAGGAAAAATCTTATGCTGTTTTAAGATCATGTTGAAAAATAAAAATCACTGATTTACGAGTGAATGTATTTAGGGCTTCAGCTTTAATTACAAGAATCCAGGACCCCCAAATTGCTAATTTTGCTATAAAACCGTTTGGCAAGCCCATTTCTACATCATGTGAAATTCTAATGATTCCTCCCATTTTTTCAGCATAAATGTAAGATTTTTCTCTCATTGTTACATCTCAACTCTAATCCCGTTTTAAGTGAAATTCGTTTTTTTGCTTGCGTTCCCATTTCACTCACGTTTTATCGTACCATGGTAAACATCCCATTTCACATGATGTTATCAGTATAACGTTTTCGATTAGTTCTTCCAACTCTTTTTTGTTTTTGTTTGCTTGAATTGAAATTCGCGTTTTTTTGCGCTCCAAGTGTCGTTGTTTTTTTTTTTACATTTGCTCGATGTAAACTTCTGTTTTCACTTATCTTCAATTTTTTATTGCTGTAAAGCAAACTACATGAATACAACTCACGTTCTTGAACACTTTTTATTGTGGCTACTAACTTTTTGCAGGCTTTGTTTTCACGTTCTTTAATACGATTCACGTTTTTTACATCGGAATATTTTGTTTTTGTCCATTTTCCTTCTTAAAGAAACACCTTGAAGGTGCTTCTTTGAAACAATAAACACCTAATTAATCCTAAATTTTAAGTGAGGAAGCTTTTCCATGTGTTTTGAGCTGAGAACGCGGAAAAATTACTGGAACCAAGCGAAAAGTGATCGACTATGAAAAAAACATACGTACCATGTTTTTTAAATAAAGTAAAGTATGGCTGGAGGGAAAGTTAGAAAAATCAGGTGGAATCTGTAACTGTTATTTCTTTAACGTCAGGTTTATTTCAATATTTTTAATGATTTAAGATGCTTTAGGAACAAAGGCTGGTTACGCCTCTTCAATGTAATGGTGGCTTTTAAATCTGGAAAATATTGTCCGGCGGTGAGATTAAAGCCCTGTTTTAATATCCATAGGCTTTCACATATTACACTGTGTTTTTAATAAAGTTTTATAAAATAACGATCATTTGTAAGCCTGAGTCTGAGCTTAAAGAATAAAGCCCTCGGAACCGGTATTGATCAAAACAAACGACAAACACTCATCAACAACGAATTATATAGTTGTTGGTTTGACACAAATGGATAAACTCGGATGTATAGCAAAAAATTTATGGATTAGACTTTTTATTAGAGGGGCTATAGTTCGCTAGATTATTGATTTTTTTAATTCGTTTTTCTTAGTTTTTGAAGGAAATGAAAGGTAATGCGCCTGAAAGGAATAAAACAGTTCCGAAATCACAGTTTTATTCTGTAAAATGATTCCCGCATTTTTTCTAAACTGTGGTTCCAAACAACCAATAGTGATTTGTGAAATGTTCCCTCCTACTCCCTCAGGCCGTACTGCCCGATATTAATCTTTCAGAGAACTTGTATGAGAGACATAACTGACTCAAGACTGTCGTGATCGGTATTATATCAATCTCACTTGCACTGATGGAAACTAGTTAAAATGAACACATACTGAATGTGCACCTCAGATAAAAAATTGCAACGTATCTGATAAAAATTGAAATAAAATGGAAAATAATGCTACAGGCATTTTGTGGAAAATTATTTTATCGAGTCATGATTGGAACTTTCTCTAAAATCATTCGTTTGGAAATGTGTCGGGGAATGATGTCAAAACGCAGACTGGCAGAAGACAATGACACATGTAAAACCGGCGAGGTTCACCAAGCTCTCCCCCTACAGCTGAATTTACACATGTTGATCACTGAAGCATCTAATGGGCAGCGTTTTAACCAAACAAGTACCGTATTATAGCTGCAAGGCAAACTGGCTTAAAATAACACACTATAAAATATAAAGAACGTGGCGTTAAAATCTCGTCCAAAGTGGTTTTAATTTGAATCAACTCGTAGTACTTAGCACTTATCATAAATAACCTATAGTGTTGTGAAACATCAACACATTCAGCAAAACTTGTTGCAGAGTTACCAATTAACAACACCTACTGTGCGCGTAAAAGCAAGTAACGGTAATTTAGAACAATGAAGGCGAGAGGTGAAAGTGTCTCCATTTCAGTTTTGACACGTTACTAGGTAACACTTAGGTTTTAAAATATTGAAATGAATAAAGGGAGGCCTGAAAAAACATGGTGTTAATTTGAAAGGCTAAATTGGAGTTTTGTCTGCCGGCTGTGCTACACAACACTTGGCGACCGCACATACGGTAAAAAATGTGACTTTGTAAAATGGTTGCTTTCAAAATCAGACAAAGAAGAACTTCCTTTTTGTTCGACAAATGTGGTCAAACAGCGATGTAAGAAAACGTTCCGCCCCTGTCAGTATACAAACTATTAAGGAACACGAATAAGACATGTTGCAAGCACATAACGACGGCATTACAAATTCACAAAAGATGCCGACAACTTAGAGAGCCTTAATAACACTTGTTGTGGCGTCAGCTTGATTAAGCAGTGTTTTATAAAGGTATTTTTAGCACTTGAGTTGGTTTCACGGTTCAAGCAGTTCGAACATTGTGCACGAAATGCCAAACCGATAGAGACAATTATGTTTAAAGCACTTGATATGCAAACAAATAGTCTTTTATTTTAATTTTGTTGTTTTCGAGTTGTTTGCTTACTTATATGTGTAGGTGAATTGTATTAAAAGGAAAAGATGCGGCCATATTTTCTTGAAGAGATTTTCTGTTGTTGTGTTGTTTACCTGGTAAGATTTCTGGAGATACTATCAGTTACTCGAAATACTAAATTCCTTAAAATTAAATTGCGTAATAACTAGAGGTCCACTAAGCCAACTTTAACGAAACTGAGCTGTTTTATAACACTGGTTATATGACGCAGGCGAAAAGTGATCTGATTTTGGATGATTCTACTGCGGAAAGGATATGTTTTGTTTTAGTTCTCTTACTTTTTTGAACCCCCGGTGAGAAAAATTTGTGAGTCCCGATGATTTGTTTATGCAATAAACAATGTATCTTCAAGGTCATATAACTTTACCGGTCGGTCAGCAAGTGATGTTGAGGAAAAAAAAAGGAAAGTAAGTAAACACGTTTAATAAAGAAAATAAAATTTTAGCGTAGACTGGAAAGAACAAAAGGAAGTCGTGGAACAACAAGTCGAAAATGTGGATCCTCACGTAAATAACGTGATTTTTTTTGTACTCCGGGGCAGTTGGTGGTTTTTTGTCTAGAATTCACGTGTTGGCAATTTTATTTTCTTTAATTCTCCTGTAAAACGTGCTGTCACCCTCATGAACAACCTTGTATTCTCTCTCTGCCAAATATCCGGACAGACTTCAACTTAATCATGAAATATTTATAGCTCTGTCTCCCACCTGTACACTGATTCATTTCGACTTAAAAAGCGGCTTTCAACGGCTTCCGGGCGACTTTTCAGGCAGATGTTGTAATATTCTTTGGAATTACCACTGAAATAATACTAATTATACCAATAATAATAATAATAATAATAATAATATAATATAAAAAAGTCTCGCCTTGGAAAGACGAGAAGTGAAACCGCGGGTGGTAAATTAAAGGTTGTGAGGGTGCAGAATGAAATAATTGTCGAGTCGCGGCATTTGAGTGACAACTCTGTCACCTGAACTCCTTTCGGAAAAAGACACCGAGTTTCAATAAACTATTTAACGGAATAAAGTTTCAGTCAAGAAGCACTGATATAATTGTCGCCGATGGCGTTTACTCCGTATACTGACAGTTTTTGATAAGTTTTCTAAGACTCGTGACAATGTGCCAGCATGACAAAAGTAAATAAATGAAATGTCCAGTTGAGACTTCAGAGATAGATTGGGATATCATCAAAGATTTTGATGCACTGTTAATAAACTTGTGGTTTAACTCACGCTGTTCTTGACAGAATGTTAAGTCCACATCGACTACAGTCTGATTGCTCACTTACTTAATATGTTATTTCGTGGAGGAAAAAAAAAAACTCATAACTAGATTGTTTCTCGAAGTTCAAGGTGACTCATGCTTACAAATTTAAACAGCGTGTATTTCGAAAGCATTTTGTGAGTCTCGTTGATGACACTATTAGATAATACATAGAAGAAAAAATTTGAGTAAAATTTCCACAAACGGTTGCCTTCAAATACAAATATTTTGTCAGAGAACACTCCAAAATTGAAGTCAAATTTAACGCCCAAGAAATAATTATTTGAGAACAGTAAACACAAAATAGGCCAATTAAGATTTCAAGAGACGAAGCAAACTTTTAAATTACTTTTGTACGCCTCAGGAAAATCAGTTTTGCGTAAGTTCAAACCTTAAATTTTATACCGAAATAAATCGTCAGTATTATTTCACTTTTTAATAGCAATGAATGATGACGAAATTTCAAGGGAAGACTTTCCCCTCGAGTTATTAAATAGATAATACTGTTTCATCATAGCGGCTTAAAGTGCCCTGGGAAGTCGCAACTGTAAAGTTTATTTTTCAATTCAGTTGCCTCAGTTGGTGTGGGGATATCCATTCTTTCAATATTTTATGTTGTATTTCTCGTCAACGGAAGATCGATGACCAAAGCTAAATATTGTCTCTACACTAATGATTGAAAAGATAAATAATTTTACCGGATTATTTTATTTAAGAAAAATGGTATTGACGAAATTCGAGGTGTAGTTTTAGAAGCTTGGAATGATGCTATTGAAGAGGAAAGAAGTTCGATTTAAAAGTGACACGAAAACCTCTATGGACTTATAAATATCTTTGACAAGGAGCGAAAGATTGAAAAGATTGATGGTGTTTTTGTTTGGCATAAAATCTTTCTTTAATCACTAATATAAAACGAATGTCCTACGCAAAGTCTGCTGATAAACATTTTCCGTTTCCTCCGAGCTTATCTAATACGAATTCAAAGAGAGCTTTTTAATGATTTGAAATCAAGAAAGATTACTCAAGTTGTACTACAATTTTGAAAAACTTACAAAGGAGTTGAAGCTTTTTTGCCACGAGTAGGAAAACTCCTTGACCTAAATTTCTTATGTCCTTTGTAGTCACAAATACGAACATCAAGATTTAAATATTAATTTCATAGAACAAAGTTATTCATTTTAACTATCTGGTGGAAATTTGATCCCAACGTTGCTAAGTTTAAATGTTACAATATTTTTACCTCGTCGTACAATAACAGAGGCAACTTAGTTGTATCGAAGACTTACACGAGCACTCATGATTTTTCTCTTATATCAATTATTTTCTTAGACATAAACACCACAAATAAAAGCCTCGCTAATGTTAAAACTATAGGGAGTGGCTAAATGAAATTGAGCTTACTTTCTCGAGAATTGTGATGTCCATGTTGAAGTTCACCGTTCTTACTGCTCAGAGCTGAAGATCGATGGTTCTGTTGGATCAAGGAATAAAATTTTAATGAAACTCGTATTTGAGGTTTTGTGCATAACATATCTTAAGTCTTTATCTAATTACAGAGAATACCCTCGCGTAGTTTTAAAATTTCTGTTCTGAGAAATACTTCTGATATTTATAAAAACTTTTCTTGTTTCTATAATACTTCACTTTCCTTTTTGTGCCACTGTTATTCGAAATATCATTCGCCTGAGTCAGTAGTCAAACTTTCTAAATTTGAGTGTCGCGCAAAAGCGCGCCAAGGAGATCAAAAGGAAACGTTTTTGCTTGAAGAAAAAATGTGTTATTGGGCTTGAAAATGGGTTCGCTAATCGCTTCGTTCTTATTTGAAAGCCTCAGATCTATTTAATGCTTTCCGCCCTTTTATTGTAATTTCTCGAGCGCGACTTGGCCGGATGCCTGAGACTTGCAATTTCTGTTTCGTAATTATCACGAAGGAATATTCGCAACGCTCTTCGCAGGCGATCAATAGATGGCTTTGTTCGCGTGCTTGAAAATCACTTTTAAAGCTTTACGCAAACTAAGTAAATGAGATTAGGAAACACAGTGGTATTTCACACTTTTAGAAGTGGCTGTGAAGTACTTTAGGGTCAAGATTTATGTCATTAAACGAAACACGAATGGAACAAACTGCTAAACACAGCCGTACGAGTGTAAACATCAGCTGGCGCATTGATCATTGAGAAGGAATTCTTTAAGCGCTTAAATTTTCCTGGTGACAGAATACGAAGGTGTCAAACAATCGATATGTCGGATATTTTGAGTGGAGTTTTTCACGGGGTGAGCAGTACTGTGGTTGTTTCATTAATTGCTCCCCACTGCGAGCCCAAAGTTAAGTCCGTCTAAACATAACTGAGCCATGAACCACGATACAGAAACTTATTGATTGCGCTACGCGCGCCATGGAAGCAAACTGAGAAGGCTGTTGAGAAAGACAAAAAGATTTGTAAAATGTAGTCAAAAGAATCCCCACCATGCTATATATTTTTATCGTTTTTAACACAAAACATCTTTCTTCATCCAACGTTTGCCATATAATAGTTCTTTGCGGTTATAAACGCCAAAAGAAAATCATTCGCTACGCTGATGTATCCTTCGTGTTCCTTACTGCTTGCTTTTCGCCCGTGTACTACCGGATCTCTTTCGCGTTCTTCTTTAAAAGAATCTTTGATAGGAAAGTGATTTTCACCTCGCTGTGTCGGTGTTTAAATTTTTCCGTTGTAAATTCTCGCTGATAACCGAGTGTTTCGAATTTATTTACGTCTCCTCCCCGCATGGGGTACTTTACGACTTCAAGATGTAAATTTTAGGCTTCGTTTAAATGCTTTTCCTATGAAATACTTTCTTTCATTTTGATCCCACAGTGTTGAGGAAGCCACGCATAAAATCTTTTGTTAGAGGATACTTATATCTTTTTTCTCTCCACGAGTAATATTCACCTGGAAGACCTATCACCTGGAGAACATTAAGTGAAGCAAATCGTTTGTCAGGGGTTGGTGAGCGAGTAGTTAGCATTTTGAAAGCTTTGTTTCCTATGAAAATAGCCCCCAGAAACTTCACTCATTAACATCAACAAAATCGCGGAGAAAACTGTTTGGAGCGAACAAAAGTGAAGAAAGCTATTCGTATTCAAACCACAGGATTTCAGGCTGTTCAATCCGTTTTGTTTCCATGCTTTAGAGAGTTCTTTGAGTAATGTTGTTGTCGTGACTTATGCAGTCCGGCTCTCGTGTTATTGATCACCGCAACTGTTTCACAAAAACACGCACATTGTTCCAAGTTGTGGGGAGCAAATTTCTCAGTCATCAAACTTTTACACGACTCCAGTAAACTCATAAAAACAAACTAACACCGCACGACTTTTCATCGCTTAACATAACGAATAAACTTCGAAGGCAACCCCAAAATGTGATAAGGCAGTCGAAGGGCTGACAAATATAGCCTCAGTTATGTGTAGATAGGAAAATAGAAAGGAAATTTGCGTTGAGTGTCGGCTATAACCGCGTCAGGAATAACGCTACAGGCTTTATAAGATAATATTGACCGGGGGACTCGAAATTGTCACTTGTCCCTGACCTTGAGATTGTCGTATCTCCGATGTAGTTTGCTTACATGTGCTAACTGTGAAACATCATTCACCACCTAACTGACATTTTTGATCGCAGATGTGTACATGTGGGCTTATTACTCGGCGGTATCTCGCAATGCTCTTTATCTCTCGCACAAATGTTACAGTTCTGTGACTGAGGAAAGGCTAAGATTATTATTTTGCGTGAAACGTTCTTTTGCGATTTTTTGCCGTCGCATTTTTGTTCCCGTGTTGCGTCACGAAGTGTGCAAATGGCGGAGAGGAAACAAGGAGCGTGGTTATCGCAAAGTTGATATTCTTGAGGCAAAGAATTAGAGGTAAAATACGTGGTGTGTGGCTAAAAGGGAAAAAGATGACACAGTACTTTACCTGAGATTCTTGAATGTTACCCGGTCCTATCATGTCAAACATATCAGGCCGCCTAACAGCTGAGTAAAGTTCTTCTCTACTCCTTCTCGCGTGTTCCATGGCCGCTCCAGCAAATTGGTTCATGTGTACTTGTTGTAAAGCTTCCACCTCAGAGCGGGCTCGGAGAGGATGCCTTGCTTGATGCTGTGAAGGTTGAGGATGTGTTGGGCCAGCTAAGGGTTGATGTGCTCCTCCTGCTGATACTGGGTGAAATCCTGCTGGACCATTGCCGAATTGTGATGAATGTGCTGCTTGGAAAGGTTCGAGAGGGTGCGTGAAGTCGAACCTTGGCTGCTGTTGTTGTTGATAATGCAAAGGGTTGTATTGCGGGGCATAATATTGGTGCGTTTGTGGCTGCATCGGCGAGGAGAGGACAAAGTCGTGAGGTGGTGTGTGTGAAAGACGAGGAGCGCACGAAGACACTAAACCAGCGCTAGTCACATTGGCTGATGGCGAAGAAACGACTCCTGTTCCACTAACTGTGCTTACACCATGGAGCCCAAGGACTCGATCCTAGCAAGACAGGAAACACATATGGATTTAATAACTCTATTATCTTATGAAAATAGCACGCGATGTATTATTGCTACTGATGTGACCCTCACTAGCTAGGCGCACTTACGACATCGGCTCGCAATTGAGGGAAGCTTTCAAAGCTGTTGGGAAATTTTCTCACCGCCATAGGATGAATCGAAGAGACGTCAGTTAGAGAGTCTGTGAAATGATCGAACACCTCTTTACAGGTTCTACTGAGCGGATCAAGTGTATTTTGACAAGTGCAAACAGCGATCGGCGCACCACTTGACTTAGTTTATAGAATATACAGCTTATATCCTTACCTCGGAATCGATCAGTTCAAAGGCGGATGTAGCGTTCTCTGTTCTCTTTGAATGAGATGAGGAAGGAGATAGAGGAGTCAATGGTGGCGACAGGTCACGAGTTTGCGAGCGTTTTCTCTTACTACCTGCTTGTCTAGGCGCTGCTTGCGTTGTACTGTTCGTACCTATAGGGCCCAACTGGGACGTCATAATTAAGCTTAATTCACGGTCGGTGCTAAATGTTTTATAACCCCGGGCTCTACCAGTCGGTGGCACAAAACGTTAGTCAGTCACGGTAGGTTATGCCTTCCACACACTCACTCCACTCCACAGCGGCCAAAGTGTTCGATTTTGCGCCAATTATCGCCTGAGGGAAATCTACTTCACGAACGCACTTCAAATACGGTTTAAATTTCGTGCAGCGGCGAAGCTTTGTGATCCATCAGGTCGCACCGATCACTTTTCAAAAGATGCTTCTGGGAATTGACAAGGGCTTGAGTGGCAAGCCAGACAGATTTTAATTATTTTCTGTCGTATTAAAGTTTCCAATTATTTGCAAATCAATTGAGGCCCCCCGATGCTTTATAGTACTTGTGTACACTTCACCTTGTTGGCGATTGGCAGATTAAGAAAGCAAATCGTATAATAATGCTATCCAACACCCAATAATCTATGGTATATAAACAGGCAGGCGGAGCCTTGTCACAATTTTCACTGATCCTTTTGTATGTTTGCTGTCTTTGTTTGCCCAAGCAGTGGGCGTGAGAGAGCCGTCAAACGCTTAACCGAAAAGTATTCGCGCACCTCGATCCTACCTAACCATGTCCGGGAAGGTAGACGCTGTCAGGATGCGGCGATTTTCACGTGGAGTAGAACGACAGCGCGGATGATGTACAGCTCGCTCGGCTACGCGTGATTAAATTGGCAAATGAAAAGTGACAAATGCTTCCTGAATCGTGACTTAGAGCAGGGTACGGTTTGTGCTCTGAATTATACCAGATTAGATGTCGGTTCCCTTTGATGTTCACATGCGAACCATAACAAAATGAAGCTTCTGAGACTTTTAACTCTAGGTCAAAGAAAATTGCAAAGGCCCCCCAAAAGAACGCCCACTTGAGGAACAGGCCATATGTTTACATCAGTTAAAATGATCGGCTTTTCTGGAGTGATGAGAAGTTAGTTGGTAGACCGTAACACACTTGTTAATGCTTGAGTTGGGCGACGCTCTGAAAGCTTTCTGTGAGGTCATTTATCTTTTGATAATCTTTATTTTGAAGTGCTTGTAAACATAAAGTAGATTTGAGGCTAAACATGGCTAGTTTTCTGTTGGGTGAGTTTCCAACTTAAAGCGTAAAATTTTGAACAGATTTGATTAATTATTCAATAAATGGCTTCTTTTATTTCATTATGTCAGCGAGATGTCTTAATGACTTTTACACCCGATGCAAGGAAACTCTGAGACCGGTGAAATCCCTCAAGTAAAAGAAAGCGCTTACTCCTTGCAATGTTATCCTCTCTATGGCAGAGGCAAACACATCTGTTGTAGTTTCGAAACTGACCTTTAGAAATACTGAATTTTCATCTTTCAAGAGCTTCTTTCCACGCGCGTTTAGCCAGCTCTAGCAAGATCTCACAGTAATTGTGTCTTGTTTACAAGTGCTTAGAATTTGGAAAGGCGAGAAAATTGCTCGATATAATTAACCCCATAGGATAAACCGGATATTTTGAACCCAAACAGATCAATATTGAACAGAACATCACCAATATTTGAGATTGAGTTACACGACGGCGAAGCCTCTGTTTGCCAACAAATACTTAAAGTGAATTCTCAGCAAACATTAAGAGCAAACTTTAAATCAACAAGTTCGTGCGCGGTGTAAGAAAGCTAAATAATGTTTTTATAAAGAGCACTCGCTAAGCAGCTCCAATATGATGATACCTTCGACGAAGTTCTTGCGTGTTATTCAAATTATAATTCTCATTGAAAGAACCCCGCAGATGTAAGCTTTTGTCGTGGGACTCCAAGATCATGTTATTTATTTTAGAGCATAAGCCCCATGCTGCTCTAACATGTCTACACTCAATTTGCTATCGAGCTCAAGTTCCCTAACATTTTTCTGCTAAAGTCGCCAGAAATACGAAGTTCTTTGTTTCTTAAAAGCTTAAGAAAATTACATAGCGGCAACTTTCGTTGAAATAATCTATATGCTAATTATTTCTTTTCAGTAAGGCTCTATGGTTTGGGTTGTAGTCACGAAACCTTAGACAACTTCGCGGACATATTTTAGATCATTCTGAATTATAGATAACAATAAGGCGCTGATGAAGACATTTTCATGAACAAAACTAAAAGAACAAAAAATTTTTTTGTTAAAACTTGCCTTTTCTTCGTTCTTTTTAGAGCTATTTGCATATTTCTCCGACACGTAGACAATGTTTAAAATGTTTTGGCTTCTACGAATGACGCTGGTATAAAGAGAATTCAAAAATGTTTTTTGTTCCAAGATTTTAAGAGGTACCAATTATTGGCACAAAGTTGGTTTCCTTCCGATTTGAAAATACTTATTTTTTTTCTCGCCTCTTCCTTATAAGTTACTTGATTGGAAAAAGGTAGTAAAAGTAAAGTGAATCCAATAAACACGATGAAGTTTGCTCTCGCGTCACGGGTCCTTTCGTGTACAGGAAAAACTTGAGCTGTACAAGTCTTTATCAATCACCAGGATTCCTTGCCCCGAAAAATGAGTCAGATTTTCTTTAAGCGTGATGATCTATGATGATTCTCTGCTTTATGCTTCAGTGACTGACTCCAAGCGTTATTTTTGCGGTTCGGAATTGTTACCACGTTTTCTCGCAATCATTTAAAATTTTGATACATTGTTTATACGCGTAGAGTGATATGCAAAATATCTTTTTTTACGTGCGAAACATCAGACTGACAAATGGCTTGCTGCACTGATCGATCGGAAGGCCACCGGAAAGGCTTTAAAGTATCGACTTACACACTGGATTTATATGCTAAAGTGTAACCTCTTATGTTTCAATGAGACACTCCTCTGCACCAAAACACTCGCATGAAAAGGTTTGCGACATAGCACGCTATACTTCACGTGCGAATCATACAATGATTGTTCCCGAACGAACGAGCGAGGGTTACAAGGTTGAAGATCGAAGTATCATGTATCAGTCAGTTGAATGCATGTTACAACAGCCGGACTTTTGATATTGTTTGCTTAACACTTGTTGTCACTTCGTAATAGATTATACAATCAAACAACATGCGCCTAATCGTGAGCAAATTATGAGAAAATCGATCGCGTGTGGTGCGAAGTGGTTGTCACAACGCTTCACGAGGATTCCTAGGGTTGGAGAAATTCAATTTTTCGCTGGAACTTTTAACAAAAGAGAGAATTTTTGTGCGTCTTAAAATAGAAGCTGTTGTTGATTGAGAAACGTGGGCAATGCGAATAAAAGTTATTGGTATCACAGAGGGACAGGTTTATAAGACTAATATTTAACATATATATTTGAATTAGCAGTCAAGACTTCTTGGAAAAACAATGTAATAGGTGTCGAGTTTTAATACTTGACACGTAACATTTTGAAACTTTTGACATCGCTTCGGTGACAAAATTTTTTTTTATGCAATAGCTAAATGTGCATAAGAAAGGAGAGAATTCTTTTATTGTATTTCGAATGAAAAAAAAAGTGTTAAATGTCTAACTCTGTATAGTTTTTTGTGCGGGCTTTTTATCTTTACCCCTCATAACTGTGGCTTGTCTTTAACCACACAAAGTACGAAACTATTCAAACCACACAGTTTCAAGTTTCATAATTAGCCGAAGTTCTTTCCCTGCCACACTTTTCTAGCAAGGACAGACTATTGTTTGAAGGCGACATACGAGTTTTTAAGCCGGAACACAATGCGGAATCTTTGCTTGAACCAGCTGGACATAGAAAACGCCATGACGAGGAAAAAGGGTAGAAAATTGTTGAAGTATGCTATTTCAATCCCTCATGGCCACTGGCCATGGACTGTGAACATACGCAAATTGGGTACGGAAGTCGAAGAGGGATAAGGCTTTTGCGACTAAATCACCTTGGAATCCTGTTAGCACACGCGGTAAGGAATAAATACCGGAATGATTCAAGATTTATGTCTTCAAAACAAGGTACCTCGTAGACATCAACAGAGAATTCGCAACTCGCGACAAGCAAGCACACGTATCTAGCAAGTATTTTCTTTCATTAATCTTCATCACCTAATGGATGCAATGTAATTCACCTCTGAGATACAATTCAGTTGTTTTAAACTTCGATGAATTTCGTCTCACTTCCCCTAGTTTTCAATGAATGAATGAATGACGTTCCAATAGAAAACCGGAAAAACATAACAACAAGCCGCCACGACTCACTTCAGTTCAATGCTAAGAGCGTGACCAAATTGCTCGAATCTCTGAGCGCCTTGAAGGCATTTTGAATTGAAGGATAACTTTGACACTATCCATAGATCAAGAGGGATTCTTCAAAAAATTTTAATAGCTATCAAAATATAAACAGTTGATTAAGTGGTGTGGCAGTTAAGCTGTCTTTTAACGATCTGTTTTTAGCGTTTTCGTGTCGCAAGATAAAACAACTGGGACGAGAAAAGGCGGTTTGCAAGAGACGTCATTACACAAGCTAACGCAACGGAAACAGCGTGTATTAAGCTATCCCGGACAGTTTCAAATGAGATTAGCGCTTACACTAACAAATTCTTGTAAAAATAAATGTCTGAAATACTGTCGGGGCCAAAAATGTGGTTTTTTAGACCTTTCTTACCTTTCGAGGGATCTTGACCGCTTTCATCGACTTGCAACTGTAATCAGCGGCCTCAACACCGCGGGCTCCAAGAGCACTTGGAAAAATGTTCACATGCATCGCGGAAAAAAAAACTCGAAAAGCAGCGGTAGTGGTTTGTGCACCTCTTTTGCTTTGGAAGTGAATTGGTTGTCAAGCCTTTATGGGCTTCTCTGAAAAGTACCAGCTCGGCAATACACCGCAGTCGAAAAAAATTTCCAGAGCTGAATTAGAGAATTGCGTTGTGCTTATAACAGACGGGTTCACTTTGCATATCCATTCAACGTGGGTCAAATGAATCACCTCGTGTCCTAATACTGAATATTTATAAGCAATACATCTTTAGACCTGATCAAAAACACCCTCTCCACTAAGAAAACAAATACAGCTTTCAAACACAAATTCGTCAACTGAATAAACACCACTAGCAGTGTTAAATTCACCCATTTAACATGCCTTTTCTCCCTGGACCACGCCGAAAAGACCTGAGTGAGAAGAAAAATTTTGTTTTGCATCTAAAAATCTAGAAAGGGGGACGAAAGCTGTCTAGCCATAAATACTATTTCTTTTGATGTAAAATGCAGATTATCGACGGAGAAATACTAGTGGGGAAATTTTCCCCTAAATCTTTATCACCAAGTATTACCATTAAGGAGGAACTTTCGCAACCAATTAATCACGCTCACGTTTGAAATTTAGTAGCACGCAACCAAACCAGGGTCCAAAGTTGTTTGATGCACATGCATGATTCATTCTCTAAAAGTTTACATCGACCACCTTCACATTTTCTAGCGGTGTTAGATTTCAAGCGGTTAAAAGATTTAAAACAGATAATACCTGGTAATTCTTATTGATCAGACTAATTTTTGACGGTGGTGTCGTTTACTTAACCGGATCAACACCGACAGTATTCAACACTTGTCATGGTAAACGATATTTGCACACATCTGTTAGCTGGATTTCTCACTCTTTTTAAAATTTGACTGTTCAGCTGTTATCTCTCTAACGAAGTGGATTTAAAAAAAGTGCAAACAACCCACTTAGGTTGGGAACCATGAAAAAAAAATGGATTTTTTTTTCTGATACTTACCAACAGGTGATCCATAGTCTTGAACTATGCTTTGCTTGAGTGGATATCTTAGCAAAAAACCACCACAGTTCGGTGACAGGTTGATAAGTCGAGAGTACGAGATTTAGATGTTGTGATAAGAAAGAATGAAATATTGTTGGGAACACGTTGGGACGGTGTCTAGGGTACAGAGTTGGCATGGACATTAATTTGTCGCCATAAAAATGAGGACAATACTTATTTCCCAAATGCTAATACAAGTAGAAATCAAACATTCAGTTTTTAAGTAAAGCAACGATTATTTGTCCAAAAAAAATAGTTTTTTCTCTAAGTTTTATTAAAAGCGGTTTTGAAAAAATTTCAACGTCAATCTTCTTACAGACTGTACCAAACGTCGATTGGGATATCATTTTTCAACAGCCAGCTTTTTCCTCACCAATTTCTCAGTAGATTTCGCTGATTGTTTATGCCAAGGTTTTAAGTGTCGAATTTCCACTTTGTTTTGACTTTTTCTCTCTTTAATTTTTTTAAACCAAGATTAGTCATTCTATACTGTTTGCTTTTGTTTTGAAATGAATCCACGCTTACTAAATTACTTTTGTTGCGTATTACAACACGCGTGGTTTTTGACGGGTTTCCGCAAGCTAAGATATCTCTGCCCGCATAAAATCTAGAGGTGAATTGAATTGGATGTTGCCTTATTTTTCCCGGAGTAACACCAGCTAACATTGCGTGACTGTCTCAGATATATTATTACCAAACATCGTATTTAACAGCTTCCCTCAGGTCAACAAGAAGTGATAAGTACTCTGAATATGAACGGATATGGTTGAGAGACATCCACTTTAAAATTTTTAATCGCTTTAAGGTCCGCCTGCGGTAAATTAGCTGACAATTTGGCAAGCCTAAACTTTACAAGTGGGCTTCCTATTGAAGTGAAATTTAGCTGGTGCAAGAATTCAGTTCAGCTTCCCCTCTGGCCATGCAGACTAGTCTAAAAATATGACCAATTTATTGCTCCCTTCAAGTCTAAGGTTGGTTTTTTTAGCAGGAATGACACGCAAAGGGAAAATGGATAAGCTATTGCGTCTGTCTTCGTTTACACCGCCAAAAACGTTTTTGGTGATATTAAACACTCAAGAGTGGAGGATCCCATCCGGGCGGGATTCCAGAAATGGCTCCAAAAGGATCCCGGGTGGCATTTGTACATGTAGTGATAATAGTAAAATTCCACCAACTCAAACTGGCGAGGGAAATAAACGTTTTGAGATACTGAGTTCTAATTAGTTGATAGTAATTGACTAAATATGCGATTCAAGAGAGGAATTGAGAAAAGTGAGATAAATCCCCAGAGAGCAGGAAGTTCTTACGAGTTGACCGAATTTTAGGTTGCGAGGCTCTGTTGTAAGAATGAATTGCCCCACACTCACAGTTAAATTATCAGAGACCACAAAGACCACTGAGGAACAAATTGGAAAGAATCGTTCCCTTTCGAGATGAGGAGTTTACAGTATCCCTTTGAATTGGAATTAATTACCAATCTCCAACGTATTTTCTTTTAAGGTAATGACATAAAGGGCTATGGTCCAAAAATATGTATTTATTTACTTAAATTCCTTTTTCGATTTACTCACACGGAAGTTTTCGTATTTCATTTAATGTCTACTTACCGCTAATTTGTTTGAAATCCGAAATCGTTCTTCTTACCCAACTAATGAGAAAGTTATTAACCAGTCTCACTTGTGAGTTATGTAGACGGCAAAAGACGTAACACCTAAAATACGGTAATCTTCAGTTAATGCTTCCTCGCTTTATGGCCATTGTTACCTGTTTCTTAGTTTCTCCCTTTTAAAAGGAAGTCTCAACAAAATTACCGTCGAGGAAAATAAAACATTTTTTCAGAGAAAAGGTGCACACAGATGACATGACCTGCACGCGATATTGCATGCATGCAACGTTTTGAGACAAGGCGACTACACGGTACATGGTTAATTTTCTATTAACGGAGCGTGTGAAAATTTGATTTTAGTTAATGGAATCCATTACAATACCCTTTATTTTCATCTCTACACATTTCTGCATATTGTACCTTTTTCAAGACAAAAGGTTAATTCTATTTGATTTCAAGCAGCGTTACAAAACATTTCAGATTATTGCTGAATTACATTCCGTGATGTTACTAACTGAATTGAGCATTAGGGGAAATGTGACTCGAATTTACTCTTTCCACTAACTGTTTTGCTCTCATAGCCTTCAATTACCCTTAACAAAGAAGCAAATTTCTATAACTTAAAAGTATTTTTTTTCTTATTGTCATGGAGGACAATTCGATGGCAAACTGAGTTCAGTGGGTAATTAGTACCAAGCTTATACCCCATTCACACCAAAGCTTAAACATGTTTTAAAGCTTCCTTGTTACACACGGTTGAAATTTGTTTTCTTCATAGAAGCTGCTTCACTTCAAATTAAGCTCATTGAAAAGGCAAGTCAGTTTTCCAGTTCTCTGCTTCTGTTCTGCATTCAGTGAAACCCGGTTTAACTAAATATGGTTTGCTAGTGTGAGTAAGGCATTAGCAAGACAATATATTTATTTTCTCTCGATATTAGACAGCCAAGATGGTGGAGTAGAAACTGGGTACGATATTATCGGTTAACACCAGATGGTAACTCAAGCTTTATGAGCCCGCTTTCTGTGATGGACAGCATGTTGGTAAGAGGACTTCTTATGGCCGCGCTTAGCTTTAGGAGCACCTTTCGTTGCAATACTGTTGAAAAAGAAGAAGTAGTAAAAACATAACTTTGACTAATTTAATTGTGGAACCCCAGAAGAGTCCTTCAAAGCACAACATGAGAACAGACAATGGCCACTGTGTGGATGTTTAGAGAGGGACAGTATGGCATAGCCTGCGCATGCGTACACTGGCACTGATTGCGGAGAGAACCGACATTCTTAAACTTCGTATTCAGTAACGTGCTCATGACTGAGTGTTTATTAAAGACAAGATAATACAGCGTGGATGAGACAAAGTTACCAAGAACAATATAAAGACAACATTTTTCGTGCGCTCCTCTACACAGTTTCTCAGACATTTTGCACTGAACTATCCCAAAAATTCATTAAATCAACTTACAGGGGCTATCCCTTTAATTTCCAACAAACCTGCTCTTCTTAAATGAATTTCCTGGTTGATTAAAACCTTGTACGGATACCTGCGGGGTAACAATTCCCTGGAGGAAAAATACAAAGGAAGAAGTTGCCTGAGAAATAGCGAAGGTTAGAGGAAGCATCACACTCAGGTTTAAGTGTTACGTTACATTTAATTTGCTTTCACGAATTACGGAATTGTGTATCACTGACCTCTGTGCTACAGCTTGGATCAAGAAAAACCTAGCCCAAATCACGAATCACGGATCACAAATCACAAATCACAATCGTCATCAATCTGCTTATTTGAAATCCGCTTCACCCTCAGCCATGATCTATCATCTTTGTTTTGTTTGTTGCTGTTTTTCTTTGACGTTTTACTTATTCTTCTTTAGCTTTATAGGAAGCAAGGGGTATGGCTGGTCACATGCTGCATTCCTACCTCTATCTGAACTTGACCACCAGGAAAGGTTGAAGGTGCCTCTACTGTGCTTTGAACAGTTACACCGACTGGTACTGGTGCGGGTGCCGCAGCCGGACTGGCCCATAGGTTCTGTACAGGACTAGCGGCTGGAATGACAATAGGAGGAGGTGCCTGGTTCTGGGCAGGCGAAGGAGCTGGTGCAGCAGCTGGAAATTGGACAGGACCATTCACAGGTGCTCCAGCGGGGGGAGCAGAAACTTTCGGTGACTGGTTGGGAGTTGGCTTCACTGGTGGAGTAGTTGGCGTAATTGTAGTTGGTGTTGAGCAAATCTTAGCCCCGCTAGGTATGACTTGTGGTGTGGGGTTAACACAAGGCTGTCCTCCAGTTTTATTCTGATTGTCTTTGACGTACTTTTCGAGCGCAGCCAAGCGTTGGATCAGTAGTTTAAGTTCAGTTGACTCGCACTAAGAGAAGGAAAATGAAATGTGTATGGCTTTGCTAAGTCGTGCAGACCTGTTTAGAATACTATAGAGCAATTTTCGTTGAATCTGTGTCGAGGGTAGTCCCTGACTGCATTGGTTTTGTTTCTGTCACCTTACGCTGGAATGGTCTAGAAAACTGGTACCATTTTCTCGATAAATTTGATGCAAAGCCAAGAACCATCTTGACTTTTTCACTTGCGTTTCCCGCACTTCAGACAGTTTCTGGATTTACTTTGATCACTCATTAGCTTCGGGTGATGTTTTCCCTTTGCTCTGAGCAGTTGATGTTACTCCTTTGGTTTGGTTTTGCGACACTCAATCGAACATGCCTTCCCAGCATGGATCTCAACACCCTTCACTTATCTCTTATCTCATACATTCTTGAACATATTCTTGAAACTGTATGTTTTCTTATTCCGTTAAGAGAGTTGATGCTTCTGACACTGGTCTGATTAACGAGAGATCATTGTTAGTCACCTGTTCTTTGGTGCATACTCCTGGTGTTCCCTTCAGACCCTACAACATTAAAATTTATTCTTGGTTATTGAGTTGCTTTGTTGAAGCTGAGAGGCGTTGAAATATCAATGAGAAATCATGCTTTTAAACGAAATACCGAGGCCATCAGCGTAAACTTGTAACACATGATTATCAAACTTACCGGCAATCCCGGCGGCCCACGGGGTCCTTGTGAGCCAACATCACCCTGAAAGTAACGCAAAATTGCTCTTGTCATTTTTGCTGCCATGATATTAAAAACGGGGCATAGCGTCTTTCTCTCTCTGAACGCACGATGGACATAAAAAATGAGCCATGGTGCTTAGAAATACTCATTCAGCGGAGATAGATACAGATATCGTTCTGCAGCGACAAATCATCTCCTGCAAGACTCATCAGTATCCCATACACGGCTTAAGGACCTTGAGTATCAACTTTTTTATTGCTTTATTGTTGCCGTTTAAATTTGGGATCAAGATGACAAACCTGTGTGCCATTTTGTCCATCTGATCCATCGTTACCCTTCAAAAACACCATCATGTTGTCCTTGAATAAAAAAACAGACAAGACACGTAACTCGAAATTTGAAGATCGCCAAAATCGTTTCGAAATGGGGAAGCGAAAAGGATGGTAGGAAAAATGACAAAACACGTCATGTGTTTGGGTTTTGATAACAGGCAGAAGACATATTTTGATTGTTTATCCTCAATTTTCTCTTGCAAAGTTCAAATTCAAACGACTTTCTTATAGCTTGGGCTGTGGTTTTGTGGCGACATAGATTTTTTTTATCAGGAAACAAACGGCATATGAGGTCCCTCTTGCAATCGTGTATCATGCAATGGAATATTCATGAAAGTACCTCGTCTTTGGAACTGGACACTATGTTAAACTTCTTAACTGGTTGTGCCTCTTTCAGATTTGTGGCATGCACTCTGCATGATATACCGCTGACCAGCGCCAGAAGGATGACCAGTTCCATTGTCCTCTAAAAAAAAGACGATGGAAAGGATCTAACTTGCTGAAGATTTTAGCAGTAGTTGCTTTCTATTCCTTCGGTTAAGACAGAATCTAAAATCACTTAGTCGCTACAAAAGCACTTTAGGAGATTTTCTGTGTTAATAACTCTTTAGTGGCACCAGTAATACTTAAAGGCTTTTCCTGCCAGAACAGAGAAATTAGCGACAGGTGTCAACTGGTGGATTTTGGGAGCAAACACAAACTGGCGAAAGACTGTCATGCGAAAATCTCGATCAAGTCTTTTCATCTCAAAATCGCCAATAAAACAATGAGTTCGCTTTTACAACGCTCTGTCTGACGAGGAGAAGATTTATTCCTGCATTTGGTGAAAACTCAAATTTCGTTAATTCCAATGTCAGTTTCAAATCCTTCTTTTGTAAAAAAACAAACAAGATTTATTGCGATCTTTTTTGAGTGAAATGTTACAAGAGTAAAGTGACGCATTAACTTCAAGATGGAATTATCTTTGACTACAGAGTAACCAAGAGATAATCGTATGTAACTCACCGCTTTTATAGGGGATATTGTACCAAAGTACCTCGTGTTTCTAGAAAACTGACAGAAAGAAATTTCGACACCAACAAAATTGGATCCTTCAATAATGGCAACAATTTCCTTTCAGCTTGAAAAAAACGTTGCACTCCCTTACCTTTCGCTCACAGGGATGCGACAAACGAATGCTAAGGTCCTGGGAATGATCGTATCATAGAGGTCAATATTATTTGTTTGAAGTTGTCAAGATTTCAGAGCTGTGATCGTCACGTGACTGTCCTTTCAAAACAAGTTGAGGCTAGCAGCCTCGTTTTGAGTCTCGCAGTTCTTAATTTTTTTTCCTTCTCAAAAGAATGGAGATCAATAGACTTAATGAAAACACTTCATGATAAGAGGGGTGAAGAACAAAGGCGTAATCTCTCATGGGAGGGTAGGAGGAGACGAACCAATGACCTGCAATATATCACTGCACTATGAAAACAATAGATTTTACTTCAATTCATTGATGTTATATACGTCAGAACAAGATTCTTGGCAAAATGTCTTCGTATAGGCTGTGATGCATTCTTACATGGCGTGTAGGTACATGGAATGTTAAATTTGTCTTCTGTGCCGATTATATTGGCAAAGGTATCAAGTTGTTATCACAGGCCCTTTAATTGAGCATGAACGTGACTCTCAGACGATCAGGGGTTGGTCGCTAAGTTCCTTGCCTACTGTCTCGTCGAGGGAGCTGGATGACCGATCTCGCACCGTCTGAGAACCAAGCCACTGTCGAGCTTTCTATGCGCATGTCTGAAGCATTGAACGAAACTTTGATGGGCAGTCGGCTCAGGCCATGCGCAGTAACGCAAGTCATGTGTCAAACTGTCTGTGAGGTGATGCTTGCGTTCCTGTTACACATAGCTTCTATGGGGAGGTTTTGGCGGCTGTTTTTCTTCAAATTCTATTTCCTTCTTTGACACTTGTTCTTCATCGCTAAGTTCATCAGAGTATCTCAGAATGTCAGCGCAATATTTAGGTTCTATTTTCTTTTTCTCGCAGTCTATGTATTTATCAATATGATTTTGGAGGTATCCAAGTGGAGCAGACCCTTGACTAAGGAGATGATAATGAAAATCCCGCAAATTAAACGACTTCTTCAGTTCCTTCTCAACCTTTGTGCGCATGTCCATAAGCGCCAGTTTCCCTAACATGTAGGCTGTAGCCTGACCAGGAACACTTTGGTATCTAGTTACTTCCTTTACAGCAAAGTCTGTGGTATCCCAAGTAGAGTTTTCAAAGTATTTAAGTGCTTCGGACCTATCATAAAAACAAACTGTTATTGTTTTCCCACAAGCAACAAGAAAAGGGGAGAATATCAATTACCCAGCTAGTTTAGACTGGAGAGTACTAAGTTCAATTGCCTAAAAGCTAATGGAGACATAAACTGGAATATTTTTCACCTCGTCATGCCTCTGTAATGAAGTCCGGTGTCCACCACAAGTCTCACAGCTCGCCAAACCTAACCAGCAAGATGTCATATCAAAATACTGAGAACTCTACTTTTGATTAAATAAGTAGAAGAAAGAGTTGATCTTAAGACGATTGAAAGACAGAAGGGCTGCGACAGCCGAGGGCCCTACTGTGCCCACTATTCAGCCCCAAGCCCCGTCGAATTTTCAAACATACCTGCCATTTGATCATGCCATAAAACTGTAAGTAATTCTCTTCATACAGTCTAGCATCGTGGGATAGAAGAGGACTCTCAGCATACAGAGCCCACCCCTCCTGAAAAGCTACGTAGGACGTTTGCTTGTCCAGCCATCGTGGAACACCACCACATCTGTCACGGAAATGCTCAACTAAGCCTGTCAGTCAAGACCATGATTGTCAACGATTAGTTCGCGTTGCGACAAGATGGCATGTGCCTTTTTGCTACCAAGATATTACTCTCCACCGCTTGGCAGAGGGAAGCTTTGAGGGTTCAAGAAGAGCGCTTGCACCCTGATGATATTAGGAAAGCGGTAACTTGAAAGACAAAGTGATCATCCGAGAAATAACCGATCAACCGGGAAACAAGTAAGTTATTTACCTTGCATTTGAGTGTGGTGCCCAGGCCTTGACTCGTGGCCAATCACAGACCATTCCTGGAACTTTGGACCATACTCCTTCAGGAAAAACGGTAGGCCGAAATGACATGGCGTTGTACAGTTACTGTCGCTTGACCGGAAATACATGGCGCCGTTAGAGGGGTTGTAATGCGGCCACATCTGTATTGGGCAGTTAGGCGCCGTGATCTTGGGACCACTAAAGTAAAACATCGATCGAATCTTGGGAGCTATCATACTCATTACTTCATTAATGTATTCGCCCCATTTCACAACGGCCGCCCAGCGCCGAGGACAATTCTTCTTTGCAGAATCTGGGTCGCGACAAGCTTGGTGCGCACGCTCGTCACTTTCATTCGCCGGAAATGGTGCAGAATTGTGCCACTGTTCGGGACCATTTAGGAGAATTTTAAATTCTTCGATTGCTTTGGATCTCTTATTCCTGCCAGTCAGAAGTTTTGCAATTTTATAGACCTAAAACAATATGGAAGAAATATCTGATAAATAACAATTATATCAATCATCACAGTTTTTAATTTAAATCATTATCAATTATCAACTGTCTATTATCAAATATAAACTATCAATTGTCACTAATCAATGATCAACGGTCGATGATCCAATGTCCACCATCGATTATCAATGGACACATGTCTTGATTGTACAGAACCTCAAGTCTCGTGAAAAACCAGTCTGCGTCTTCATGTGAGAAAAAAAGGGTTCTTAAACACACAAATATTTTACTTCTTGCACCAAAAGAGAAGAGACCAACCTGGGGCATAAGGGTTTTGAGTTGTTTTCTTCCCTCCTGGTATATGGTTTCCGCTGAAATGTTAGTCGTTGTGAAGTATGATAAAATCATACTGTACGTTTTAGTGCCATTCAACTCCCGTGCAGTACCTGGAAGAACTTTCTTTGTTTTATTCTTAACATCCGGAACACCATCGGTGTACACGTAATCGACGGGCAAATTAGCAAGTCCGCTGGCCACTTTTATCGGCAGGCAATGACGGCTATGTTCATATTCAAGATAATGAATTAGGCTGAGAACTGGTTCGCCAAAACCCTTCACCAAGGCCTCTTTAATAGCTTCTTGCACACTCTGACCAGAGTGTTTGGTTTTCCATAGATCATCCACTTTCGAGTTCAACCTCTCCAGGTACTGAGACTTGAGATACTGTGCGACGTACCACTCGTGTAATACACCTGTAGAGGCATTGTTCTGTGCTATTTTGGGATAGGTTTCTTTGATAGCGTCAAGACCCGCCCTACAATCAATGTCCGATCGAACCATACCTGCTTTGACTCCCATGGCAATGTTATTTCTGTTGATGTCAAGTTGGATACAGGTCACATGACTTGGGGGAAGCGAATATAAGATTATAGCTACGCTGTTCAAAAGGCAGTTGGCATCTTATCGAGGGTTGAGATTTCAGCATGGGTCTTATTTCTCTTGAAGAAACGTATTGCATGACGAGAGTTGTTTCACGCAAAACTGAAGGGAACATAAATTAATCAGTGAAACTGTCTTCAAAGCTTCTGAAATTGATTTTGAGCTCCACGAAATTTTTCAGTGCAACAGTGAGGTTTACAAGCAGGCTCTTCGATCTTGAAGACTTTTTTTAACTACCAGAAAGAAAAGTGTCAAAAACCCATGAGGCTGCACCAGATCTCAGCTAGTGCGAGTAGTTTAGACTGTCGAACGCGAGCAAGAAAAACGCGCGCGACGGCGCGGTAATCCCGCGTGTCTGCTCTCTCACGAGCGTGACACTCGCCTCCTCGCCGAGCGTCTGTTACACAGGCAACAAAACCATTTCCGTCACCCACCTGTACTGATCAAACGTATTCTTGTGCATCATGATGATGTCAATCACAAGTTGTACATCGTTGTAGGAACGTGGCTTGACGTACCAAGCAAAAGAATTCAAGTCATACGGCACGCTGCAGATTGGCTGCCAGCAGAAGTAGTTTGGTCCCATTAGCCAATCACCTGCATAATAGTTGACATCAAACGGCGAACCAAACACGTGCTGAAGGAAATGCTTTGCCTGTTGACATGACAGCACCAACAAAAGCGAGTCAGATAACCCATAGCAAGCCCTTTAGGGGTGGAAAGGATTCTGTCACAGAAATTTAAGAGAAGAACTTGAAAATTCCTAGCATTGAAAAGCTGAGAGAAACAGCTTTCGAAAATATCTCAACCTATCAAACTGGTTAACAGCCATTTGTCTCTTATCACTATACCGTCTCCCTTTTAGTATCTTCAATGATCATTAGCGGGCCTCGCAGAACTTGTGCTCAGAAATTGAGAAAGTCTTTACCCATATTGTATGAGATAAAGCTCCTTCATACTGACCTTAGAACAAAAGAGGATGGTCCAATTAAGATTTCTATTCATACCTGCCACAAAGCTTTAGCCTCCCGAGCTTTCAGCTTCCTTTCGTCCACCTTGGTTTCTTTCAGCTTTTCCAACAGAGCAAGAGCAGCGTCAGTCTTTCGCTTAAGAACCTCAGGGGATGGGTCGTAGGGGCGGTACCTATGAAGTAAAAGAGTTTTTTTTTGATCGAGATGTTGTTCTGGTGTGTCTGAGGACTTCAGTCTGGGAAATAAGATATCGATCATTTAATTTTGGTCTCAAAGATATGCTAAAACACTAACAATCATGTCAATCATGCCTCAGTATGCGTCCACCCTCGTGAGTGATCACAACTCTGTGCCTTCGTCTAAGTCCACTTGCCCGAAACAAAACCAAATTAATCTCGTCCAATCAATACCCGACTGACCCGCGCCCCTTGTACACCTAACAGGGAAATAATTACTAACCAGGAGGCTGTTAATGTGCCAGCATTATCACCATAATCCAATCAGTTTGTATCAACTTCATCGACCTCGGGACTTTTGCCAGACTATACTTCGCGTTTGTAAGTCCAACTAAGATTACGAAGCCTAATCGACGCGAATCCTCTTAAGCTGCCATTTACTTAGCGCATAAATGGACCGATTCTGTGCAGACGGATTTGTAAGGGTAAATACCAAAGATTATTTTCTCGGCAAAAAATCGATGCGATTAGTTAGTTGTCAATAAATCGCAGCGTTATCTCAAAAATATCTCATAGAATTTACAAACATGCATGCCAGCTGACGCATCGTACTCTCCTGAAAGAAGGAAAAAAATCCCACAAGGTTCACTAAAAAACCAATAAGGGACGATGATAGCCACAGAGCAGTGAGAGAGGGAGGCGATTAAAACGAAGTTACTAAATTTAGGCAAAATTTCCCAAATTGCTCAGTTAAACACCTATTTAATCACTTGTAAAAACAGGAAGAAGGTCTTAGGCCTAAAACCTCAAGGGCCTGGAACTCCTACCTGCCCTGCAGACGATCTGCAAATGATAACAACAAGACAGTTCGTAGGACATTACCTACTTTACCCAAGAATTTCTATCCTTCTATTTATCTCGTTAACGTTGCCGACAGTTTCTCACCGCTAAACCTTCATCCCTTTATCGGTTTTTAGAGAGCCAATCCAAGCTTCCTTTCGATAAATACGATCAAAAAACCTAGCGGTTATAATAACATTACCCTGCTGTACTTCATCCGTTTTCTTTATTTTCCGGAAAGAGTCTTAAAATTACCTTTCCAAGGGAATCAAGGGGCAAGCAATGAATGTTCTGCCAAAAACATTCTCCAGCTGCGGTACCGTGTCATCGTCATTACTGATAACATTAAGCACTTGAGAAATATGTCGAGTCGTGTCTGTGGTTGTTTTTCTTTTAGTTTGGGGGAGCTTAAAATTTGGCACTCAAACGAAATGTTTGACTTTCAATTTACGTTAGCGTTGGTAAACATTTAAATGGCATTAACGCAGTAGCTTACGTCAGCTTACGTGACATCTGGAGAGGATAATACGGGGGCAGACCAGTAAGACATTATTATTGCAGGGTATATGTAGACCACTTTCCAACTATAAGACTTCTTATCATTTATCCTCTAGTATAAAGTAGATTTTGTGACTTTCACTGGATAATTAACAAATATTCAGCACTCGTTCACTTGAAAGAAACCAGGTTCCTATTCGATTTTAGCGTCACAGCAAAAATAGCACTAACTTTGACATAGTAGTTTACTAATATAAAGCTGACAAACTTCGGCATGGCAAGAAAGAATGAACCTGATAGGAGCGAGTATGGTTCAGATTAAGGGACATTGACAAGGACTCCAATAACTTACGATTAAGGGTAAGATTTTCGACCCGCACAAGCCCTAGCGTCGATCTTTACATACAATTTGACGTATTTGGATGATAGAAGACGTAGAAATGACCTTAAATGCTCCCCGAAGGGCGCAAATTACTCATAAAAGTATGGTTAATTTCCTTACCTTGTTTTCATATATTGCTCCTTTTCGGATTCTTTTGTCATGTCCGGATTCCAAGCGGCTTTATTCGGAGTGTGTAAAAAATACGCAGTTTTTACTTCTTCTAGCAAACGAGGCAAACCGACGCCAACAGCTTCGGATGAGAAGTCGCAAGAAGGCGACTGAGGCGATGCGATGCTCTCCGCAGTGGAAGGCGCTTGAGTTGAGCAGTCTTCATATGCAGAGTGAATCTTCGCCGCGCCTACAAACACCATCACAATACCGATTATCAAAGACAGCAAACCAAAAACAAAAAGCACTGCGTTATTACAGATTATAATGCCTTCTTTACGCTTAGGTTCCATTGTTGAATGTTACGCGACACAGTGATGACTATCGCTTTGTAAGTTGTCTGTAGCTGTGAAAATTGACACCTTGATTGACAAGGTTATGTCAACTAACCAGCTGTCTGTCTGTGTGTACTTTATAAATCAAGTATTATTGATGACAACAGCTTACCTGCTATTTCCCTCGCACTGGACTTACGACCACAAAATCATATACATCAATATCAAATATGTCACTATTGAGCTATCAGTAAACGCAGTGAGCTGTATGGTTATATTTTGAAGGCAGAAATAACCTTAGCTAATTCTTCCCTCAATGTTACACCCCGTGGTTGGAAGGAAATGGGAGTCAAATGATGTCCCAAATTACTGACACATTGCCAAACTTCAATCGGTTCACATCGGTTTAATTTGCTGGGAAATCTAGAAAAATTTTTGTACGCAAAAAAAATTTCGACACTGTTCATATGATGCCTGCCTGTGTTCGCAAAATGCGTTGAGAATTGTCGATTTGAAATGTTTCTGGTTTGCAATTGAAGCTCACTGACTCTCTAGATCAAGAGTCGTTTCCTCACTCTGCGGGGGATGTAATATCTCAAGCTCAGCAAGGGGGACAGGCGGTTTTCCGGTATGAGTCATTTCTCATATCGATGTTACGCTGTTTGGACTCAAATTCTGCTGTGTTTTCGAGTTTGGTAGTCATTGCGCTTTGCGGTTTTTTTTACCTTCTATTTTCAGTTTTACGGTGTCCCACAGGTGTCACATTGTAACAACTGAATTACTCGCGTCAAAAGCAAATTGCTGACATCGAATACAGATTGCTCACATCAAAAACAACTGAGTTGCTCCCAAGTTTTATGACGTCTATGTTTTTTAGTATGGTGCGTTCAAATTTGACCACTTGAAAACTAACGCAATTCTTAGAATCGCTTGACATTTCTAAATAAACATCTAGTATACATAATAGGTTTTATGAAGTTTTCAGTGGCATTTTGGAGAAAATTTCTAACTGCCGGGCATTGAATCTATCCGAGACCGCGCCTGGCAGTCTGATCAGAAACGTAGAATTTCCAAGGGTCCACAACCGAGCGGTATTATGGAATGCAGAAACTCGCATAATTTGTCCACTAGAAAAAACAAATTGATTTTCGGAGTTGCTTGACATTTCTAAACAAGCATCTGTCATTCTTAGGAAGTTTGAAAGAACCTTTCGGCTGAAATTGTGAAATTTTCTGACTACCAAACATTTTGCCACAACGTCGAAAACAAATTGCTCACATCAAAAACAAATTGTTCACATCAAAAACAAATTGCTTATATAAAAAACAAATCACCATGCTAAAAAACAAATTTCTCAGATTAACATCAAAAGCAAAATCGATTTATAGCCGCTAGTCAACGGCTAGGTTAATGAAACGGTCCCCAGTTTTTACTCGGTCTAAAACGCGTTGCCCGATTTGTTGTGCCAACTGCCAGTGCCTTCTTTCTGGAGGAACTGCAGATTATTTTTTTAGAGCTCAGCCTCTTCCCAAAACGAGTGAGCAAATTCATGTTTACCGGTACTACTTACATTTCGCGTTATTCCCAGCCCCTGTTTTTGCGCCGCTGAACAGGCATCTGAGGAAAAATTAGTACTTATGTGACTCTAATACAAAAGTTCAGCTTGTGAGGCGAACAAGTGAAAAAAGGTGAAGAGTATAAAAAAAAGAGTATAAAAAAGGGCAGCGCCTTTGAGCAAGACTGCAAACTAAAAAACTGATATTAAAAATATGCCAACGGATGTGATAATTGTTTGGAACACCTGTTCTTGGGTGGTTAGCCGTGTTTCTGTTCAAAGCAGCACTTTTAGTCTTTAAATTTGAGTGGTCAAGTGGTAACCAAAATTTCACACTAACGCTCTACTCAATGTAGGCCGAAGATTAATCATGTTGTCATCGTAAACTGATGTAGTCTCTTGGGGCGCTAGGTGTATCACGACATTACAAGTGGCAAATTGTGACGAAAATCATCTTAGAATTGAGGGAAACCACAAACTATTTACTTGGTTCTCAAAACAAAACTATAATATCAACCAAAAAGCAACGAGGACTGACAAGGATACAGAAGACCAGCACAAACTCTAAATGACCCATTGGCACAATTTCTCAAGATTTGCAAATCATGATGTAACGGTTTTAGTGTCGTTTGTTAATTAGTGAAATATACATACTATCTAAAATTAGATTTAAGACTTATAAGTCCCATTAAAACTTCAGAATCATCAGCGACAGTTTTAGTAAGAAAATGCAATACTTACATTTGAAAAGTAAACGCAAACACGGATGAATAAGATATCTGCGCCATACTTCACTTTATTTTAAACTAACTCGACTGTGAACAGAAACCGGTAAAAAGCATACTCGGATACTTGCAATGTTTATAGATAACCATTTGTTTAAATTCAAAGCGAACGGGTTCCTTTGTCACCCTATGTAACGCATTACCGTGCGAGAGACTCGTATCTTACCGCTAAAATTTGTTTGTTATGAGTCTATAGCTAATTTGATGTTTAACGTTCGAAACAGAACAGCTCCATCCAATATTCAAGATCTATTTCAAGATGTATCTAAAGTTCATTATTACAATACACGTTCTTCTGCCTCTAATAACTTCTATACCAAATCTTCTAGGCTGTCCGTTCAAGCGAATTCCTTCTCTCGAATAGGAGTAAAAGTGTGGGATGCAATACCTCAAGAATTAAGAAATCTTTCTAAAAAATGCGTTTAAAAGAAAACTCAAACAAATTTTATTCAACATATTAGGTTCACAAGACTCTTATACAGATTTATCTGAGATTATACAAAATGTAAAATCCTGGTAATACTTCTCCTGATCTGTCCTGACTATTGTTATAAACAGTAGCTGTACCGTTAATATTTTAAATTAGGTCAATGTCACGGTTTTTCTTGTTGTTATTCAATACTGTCTCTTTCCCTTCTACTTTATTAGTTAATTTCTGTTTTTAATATATTTTTGTAATTCGACTATTAAGGCATGGCCCGCTTAGATTAGCCTTTGCTAATTGCGGGCATGCCCTTTTCTGTAAAAATTTAATTGGAAATAAATAAAGTGTGTGTGTGTTTGTGAGAGAGACAATGCCGTAACAAAGAACAACTCTCTGGAATCTGGAATCGGATACACTTTACGCTCTGCAATTTAATCTTCTGCAGGCCTTCAACACGTTTTTTATTATTTCAGTTACTTAAAACCAGTCATAAGTCACGTTCTCACCCACTAGCCAGTCCGTAACCGCTATTCCGACCAAAGGTCAAACCGGTTTTGGAAAATTCCAAAACTTGTCAAAGTGATCTTGAGAAAGACGAGAAACCCATCCTTGAAAAACTTGTTTTCTAGTGAGTCTTCTTGGTTACACAACCATTCCCATGGTATATCCGGTTCACCCCATAAAATTAAGCAAATGTACTATTTTCAGTTTCTTGTGGAACAACTTCACGTCCTAACTTTTGTCTTTATGCAATGGTTTCCAAGTTTTTTTTCCCTTCTAAGGTAAAAAAACTTGGAATATACAACTAGTAGTTGGCTGTTACAACACATATCATGCAATAATTTGTTGAAAAAAAAATCAGGAAGGTTTATCTTTCAAAAGTTGTTTAATTTTAATTGGATAAATGCCCTCTCTCCCACACAAAAAGCTTCTATAGATGACATAAACCAATACAGGCAAGGCAGTGATTTGTTTTAAAATTGGTAATTTTAATTGCAATCAAAAAAATCAAGACAACAAATTTCCATATAATTAAAGAGCTGAAGTCCTGGAAGAGGCTGAAGTGGTTGAATACTACAATACCAAGAGAAAAACTATAAAACATCAGCATACAACACAAAATGCATTCTCTCCTTGTTAGAATTTAGTTACAATTTGACTGAAAAGAAAACCTTGACAGAAGTGCTAATGGTGACCAGGACCATGGTCCATCTCAATTTTAATAGGATTGCCTCGTCTAAGGACAAAAAAGTGACCACATTCACATCGAGTTACTTCATTTAAGTGCAGTTTGTTCCACACAATTGAAGTTGCCTCTGGTTCACCTTTAGATAAGAGTAAAAAAAAATTAACTTTCAAATTCAAAAAGTAATGTATTGGTGACCTTCACAATCTTACAACTTTGCATGAATCACTGGTCTGTGTTCATTATGTGTGGATGTTTCAAGTAAACCAAGTGTGCTACACAAAGTCCAAGCTCAATTTTAAATTTCCAAATCTCATTGGTTTGACAACTATGAAATATTCCTGAAGGGAATTTTACTGCTCTTTCCATTCATCTTTTACAACAAGCTTACCCATAAGCCAAAACTAGCTCCACTTGACCCAGTTTTGTGGGAAGACTTACATTCATACTGAATATGGGCTTTTTCCAGAATCTAAAACTTTGTTTCCCTGCACACCTGGTATTCCACTACTTCAGATATGTTTTTAAACAATGAATAGTACATTTACCCTCATAGGTCAATAGCTATATCCTGATATGTAATCATAATTGTGACATTTTAGATTCTGGCTCATTTTTGATAAATTTTTCTCGGAGAATTGTCTTGTGAATAAGGCTGACAAGCATTAAAAAATATCAACAATGACCTGGAGTTTTATCCTAAGGTATGTCACCTACAAGAATGAATTTGATGACAGCCTTAACTCCATAAAACTCTCATTAAAAAGTTAGGCACTCACAGATGCATCCAATAATTCGCTCATCAAACATGGACAACACTTCAAGGGGTTTGTCTTTTGTTCCAGGTGGTCCTTCATAAGGCTTCATGTTAAATGGATCCTGTTGGTTTAAACGATGACCACACATACATTATTACTGTAAAATAATTCCACAAGTACTATTGTGAGTGCATGCGTCTAGAGTTCTCCAGTTTGTTATCATGGTGAGGAAAAAATTTAGTACTTGCACCTAAAAGTCAAAAGAAAACCTATGTTTTGCAAAAAAGTGGCTAGCCATTACTCTGTCTTAGGATCATGCGAGATAAAAATCCAAATAAAATCAGAAATATCCTGTTTCCTTTCATGTGCCAAGTTGTTGTGTGATCTTCTTAATGATCAGGAAGGCTGAGCAGCAGCTTTTCTCATTCCACCCACAACAGTTTGGTCATGGGTATATATAAGTGCACAAAATGCCCCCACTCTTTAATTTAGCCATCCACAATTTGCTCCTAAGGACTGTTTTCTACCTTAAGATAGCCAAATAGTGGCTTGTTGTAAGTCATGGATACCATTTATATATATTCAATATTGCGAGTTGTGTTGTTAAGCTTGTGATCCTGTGACATACAACTATAAATTTTAATTAAACTTACATCAATGCCAGCAGCCAAAGCATCATATTCTTTCTTCTCTAAACCAGTGGCTTGTTCTGCATCAGTTGGTATTCCGCCATTACTCAGCCTTGTGCCTGGTAAATAATGCATACAACAGATAACTAAATTTGCCTACCATCAAATATCAATAAAGGATGACTTTTGATGAATATGGTTATTTGAAGAATTAGCTATTGCAGAATAAACTCATTTACCAGAAGGAGCTGTTGGTACCTTCCAACATGGATGGTTTGGTGAAAATAAATAGCTCACTAGGTCAACCAATGATAAATAAGTAATATGTAAAGTGGGTTTCATGCCACACTCCTCAAAGTAATTTGAAATCTAGAAGCTCTGGAATTCCATTTATGGCAATGGCCATTACATAAAAGATAATTGCAAAATTGTAACTACTTAAGTGGTATTCTCTAATGATGATTTTTCTTTCCAGCTGGGTATCCCTGTGAGGCAAGGGGGGGTGGGGGGTGGGGAGAGGAGGAGGTTAATGGGTTCATGTTTTTTTAGTTGATCATTATATCAGTACTCTGAAATGAAACACTTAGTAAAATGACTAACCTTGTGTAGTTAAAATAATGCAATAAGCAGGAAAAAGTGTGCGATGAAATCCATGTATTTAACCGATAAATAGTGATAATTAGTAGCAATGATACATGACATTTTCCACGTCTCATCAAACTTTTCCAACCTATCTTTCTCACGTATTTCATGAGGACCACAAAGCTTGAACATTTAAATTTGACACACGAAAGTTCAAGTAACATTGAAGTTAACAGATATATTTATCGTGATTCTCTGGCGAATATGAGACCCGGCAAATAGGCAAGATGGAAGGTGAATCCTTGATAAATATTGTCTTCTATTTCATACCAGGCATACTATGAAGAGATTTCTACCACACTCACTTGTTACAGAGAGTCCCCTAGAGAGAAGTACAGGGCATGTTCTAGTTATAATTGCCTTCAAAGCCGGCTGCATCGTAGACAACTTCCCTTTCGCCAATATACGGAGTGAAGCCGCCATGTTTCTCTAACTTGCATTCCCGGATGAAGCTTGAGAAGTAGATATCCCGTATATCTCAGCTTCAATCGTGACATATGCAATACATTGTGTCTCATACATGACCTACTACATGAAACACACAGCCATCACAATAATTGAGGATGTTGAGGAGAAACGGGCACAATCTCCGAATTAATCTTCTCTTGTTTCTGTTGACCTTTCATAGTTATGTAGAAACTCTTGCTGACTCAGGTTTGCAAAGAGATAGCAAGACCGTCGTTGGAAAACCAAAACTTGGTAAGAAAAAACTGTTATTTCCGGGGCTTTCAAGAATGCATTCTAGTATTTTGGCTTAGGAAAAAAACTCGTTACTGATTTTTGAGAGGGAGCCTTTATGCCCAGAATGAAATTATAATATTATCAATGGCAGGGAAGAAACACGGGGCCAATTGGGTACAAAGGGGTCCGAGGATGCTTGATAAATCTCGTGCTATTGGAGGGCGGGGGTGAGTGTGTCCCCTTGCCCATAAAATCCTATGAGTGACTAACATGTAACCTCTCCCCACAATATGAATACATTATGCACCAAGCAGGTGATGAGAATAGACTAAATTATCAGCCAGAAGCCCGACCTTGACATAACATGCCTTTCGATTGGTTCTTATTAGTGGACAGATGTTCAGCTGACATCACCTTTAACAACTTTTTGCTTTTTTCTCACACAAATCAAATAAATTCAATGTTGCTGTGGGTCTGTACAGTAATGGATCACAGAAACTGTCAAAATGCAGTAAGAACATCCGTTGGCTGCACCTTGTGTGCCTCTTTTATGCTCTTACTACATTTTGATGTGATCTGTGATCTATTATTACTGAACAGACACACAGCAACATGAAATTCATCTGTTAATCAGAATTGTGGCTCATGATGATGAGTAATGGGTTTGACTTCTTGGTAAAGTTATGTGTTGTTCTTGGGCAATAATGTTTCAAAGTGCCTCTCTCCACCTATGAGTATCAAAGTTTACCAACAGACTGTACAAGTGAAACTGACTGAAAAAAAATGGGAGGTGGTTACCTGAAATGGACTAGTCTGCAGTCAGTCCCCCAGTCGCTTAGTGGTATGGGAAGTGGGAAACCCTCCAAGCAACAGTTGGCATCTAGTCTTGGGAGACTCAATCTTTACCTATGTCACATGGCTCATTTTCGAATAAATTATTAAATTTCAGATTTGACAGTAGGGATCAGTGTTGGACTTTTTGTGTTGTTTGTTGGGATGGCAGTTTATATTTACAAACCAAGAAAGAGATCTCCAAGAGGACAGTACATATCTTTTGAGCAGGCAATGCCTGTTTGAACCATGTATAAAGATGCTGGTTGAACCTGACTTGAGCTTAAATGTCTGCATTACCTTCCCCTGTGCTACTGACAGTGACTTAAAAGATGTAAGCTGACATGAATGTTGATGTTTTACAGGAGCATTCATAGATTTTAAGTTCAAATGTGTGATAACCTGTATTGAAAGACATTCTCTGCAAATGGTTAGATGATTTTCCACCAAGATCTCTGGCACAATGAGAGCTCATTTGGTTGTCCAACACTCTCAGGTTTAGACTTTGGATCTACTTTGCTCTCCTGATAATTGTATGTTGATAATGTATCACTTCAATCTCAACACCTGTAGAAAGAAACAAGTCAAGGGAGGAGTTTTGTGAATATCATATAGGGCTGTGAGTTAGGTGAACCCTGTAGCTGACTCCTGGGGTCGATGGATACATAAATTATCACTTGCAGAATTGTTTTTAATCTATCAACAGTAAATGTAGTTTGTAAAGAATACTCTCCTTGTAAAATTCACGAGAAAAAAAACAACAAGAATTAAAGGTTCTTTTATTTACAGCCTGATACAAAAATAAACTAAATGGAAATATTTCCAATATTGGTAACCCACTATTCAAGTTTGATATATGTTGTGCTTATATTATCTCTTATTATAAAAAGCTTCAGCTGCTGCATTAGTAAATAAATTGTGCTCAATTGCAAATACGGCAAAAACGAAACATAGAAAAACACAACAAAACTTTTGTTTTATTCTCCTAAATTATTTAATTATATCTATCTCATCTTATAAATTTCTTTGCAAACATCTAAGAATTGAGTTGTAACAAATAAAAAACTGAGCAAATAAAAAACGATATAATTACAAATAAGATCCCTTCCCATACATCTCTGATACTAAAAAAAAATTGTGCCAGGTCAGGTTTGACTGGTGATAGTTGAAGAGGGCAGGTACAAACTTCTATGGGTGCCAACTGTAATTTACTCTTTCTCTTGCTTAAGAATGTGAGACTTGGTTGGCTTCAGTATCAAAACATGACCAAAAACACATAAATGCAAAAATTTAGAGACAATTTTTCCCATCTTTGCATCAACTTAACTAATTTTAATATGTGTATTATGCTGGATAATGTGAGGAAATTAAATGCAAGGCAAAATGTAATTTTTGAAATTTGTAGTATGAGAAGTAAACTGAATTTCATCTGACTTTGCACATACATAGACAGCAGTCAAGTTGCTTATTTCCTCCAACATTGTGAACAAAGTAGCATATTTACTCCTCTTGTAATCTTAGTGGGTCAGCTTTTAACATATACCTCTACCAACTATGAGATTCTAAAGGCCAGTTTGGTTAATATCAAATTTATATATGTAGCTCGTGTAACTAACAATGTTAACCCTTAAGAAGACTCTATAATTTTTAACATTTGTCTTTCAAGTGTAATTTAGAAAAAAAAAGCAAAAAGAAGAGGAAAGAAAACTTTGGACTAACAAACAACCATAAAAGCACTTCCCTGTAAATGCCCTTTCTAATAAATTCAATTTGTTATGGTAATCACTGCCCAAGTTACTTATGACATGACAATGTTTCAATGAAATAAAACATGCAATTACTAAATTGAAACTTGAATATGACCAGACCTACAATCAGGTACAATTCTGATAACTCACTGATCATGAAATACTGCAATTATCAATATTATTTCTCCACTAAGTTAACAAATTGAACCCTAATTAAGAGTTGCAATGGCAATTTACAAAGTAACCAGTCTTATAAGGTTAAGCCATTTTGTAATATTTAGATGAAAACCTTGTAATTTTTGTTGCCCTCTATATCAAAGCTCCAAACGGTTTGGCTATCTTGCTCACAATAATTTGGAATAGGTTGTTGCCATTATAGGTGTATCTATAATACACCAAGTTACCTTCTCATTATGGTAAGTGCAATCTCTACCAGTAATTGAGTAAATTTCTTATCAGCTATTTGATTGAAAGCTTTTTATGTCATGCTATATACTTTCTGTAGTTTCCCTTAACCTACATATACTGGTAATAAAAAGTTTATCTCTTGACAGCCAAGACTTCATACTCTAAAGCTGCTAAACTAAAAAAATGTCTTTTTGCTTAATTGATATCAACTTGCTGGTAACTTATTTTAATTTAAAAATTTCTAAAATAGAAAGAGGGTTACTTAAAGTTTTTCCACATATCAAGAACTCACTCAAGAAATCTAAGTGCACCATAACTTCAGATTCTATCCTTGGTTACTTAAAAAGTTTTACCACCTTTTAGTTGGAAACATATCTTCAGGATTAGTTTGGTTAAAAAAAGGGCAACTGTTGTAAGGTATTATATTCCTGAATTTTTTTATTCCCTTAGTTATCCTTTGTTTTTCTAGGTGCAAGTAAAACTTCCAATCTGACCAAGTAATGTATAAAACTATTAGGTTGTTTACAGCAAATTGACAATAATGCAAAAAAATAAAAATAATGATAATGATTAAATGGAAACTGATCACTTTCCAATACATTTCACATTGATTCTCGAAACAAATCTCAACAGTCAAGATTTTGTGTAGTATTTTGTATGAGGGACTGGACAACATTACTATTGCAAACCCTTATTTTGCCAACTCCTTGTACTGCTTTCCATCTGTCTGGTAGAAATCTTCCAGCTGCCACTGTAACGTTTCAAATGTGGGTCGTTCTACAGATTCCTTTCTCCAGCAGGCCATCATGATATCATAGAGCTTGTCTGGGCAAAGATTTGGTTTGGGCATTCTGTAACCACGGTCTACTTCTTCAACAACCTACAACAACAAAGATATATTGAGAACTATGTGCTTTAACATAGCTAAGCTAAATGGTTAACAGTTTAAAGGGGAAGTAACTTTTTGTATAGGCAGTGTACTGGGCTCTGAATTAAAAGGACTAGTAACTTGCCTGGGGTTGCAAGTGATGTACTGGCATTCTGAAAAGGGGAGAAACAATACTCCACAATGCTACATTCAATCTAAATTGGAACCTGCTCTAACAAAGCCAATAAAACTTCTTTACTACACTATATGTAACTATGTTTAAGGTGCTACCTGTCTGTTATTCATCCCTGCATAAGGTACTCTTCCATAAGTTACCAGCTCTGTCAGTAGAATACCAAATGACCACACATCTGACTTGATGGAAAACTGGTTCTTAAGGCATGCCTCTGGTGCAGTCCATTTGATGGGGAATTTTGCTCCTTCATGGGCTTCATAGATATCTTCATCAATGGCCCGTGACAGACCAAAATCTGCCACCTTAACAGTATTATTGTTACCAACCAGAATGTTCCTGGCGGCCAAATCTCTATGGACATAATTATGCTTCTCTAGATAGGCCATGCCAGCGGCAATTTGGGAAGCCATGTCAATCAGCTCTTCCATCTTCTTCTTTCGTCCCTCTTCACTGCGCAGATAATCAAGTAGACTTCCTTTGGGCATCAGCTCAGTCACAATGTAAATTGGTTCCTCTTTAGAGCACACTGCATAAAGCTGAACCAGTTTGTCATGGATCAGTCTCTTCATGAGTTCAGCTTCTTCAAGGAATGCCTTGGGATTCATTGTGCCAGGCTTCAATGTCTTGATTGCCACAGGGGTGGTGTCATTCCATAGCCCTTGCCACACCTCACCAAAGTTGCCAGATCCAAGACGTGTGGTAAGTCTGAGTGTGTCGCGCGATATTTCCCACATGTCTACAGTGTCATGTGACAAACCAACAGTCTGTGGTTTTTCGACCTAAAAATATATGTAAATAAATAAATATCAAATAAACAAATTAATAAAACATAAAATTGTAACTAATAATCAGAAATGATAAGTAACAATAAGTAAAGTGCCAGTAATATTTCATGATTGGTACAAGAAGCCTTGAAAATAATATACTTATATAACCTGTAAACTAATGTCAGAACCAACTGGGTTAATTATTTCTCCTGGCTGATCATTATTAATTTGCATATACAAATAAAACAGATAATTTTGTACATTTAAACCAAAGGATCTTTTTCCCAAAAGGCCACTCGAAAGGTATCACTTTTCAAGACATGTTATCTCTTTCATAAACATGTTCTACGCATACATACTAGAGACAAAACAAAAACATGAATATCCCATCTATTGTGAGAATCAAGACCCAGGACTCTAAGGAATGTATTTAACATTTAACCCCTAAATCAACTTGTAAGTAATTTCATCTTATACCACCAATGCTGAATCATATATTGTGGTCATAAGAATAAAGGCAGTGATTCTCAGCTTAAAAGATTCTTGATTGGTAAACATGTCCTCCTTCTCAAGACCATAGGAGATGTACAGGAAACAGTATGGGGAATGTTCATTCTGATGTTGGAGTTTAAAGAGGTAACTTCTTAGCAGGATTGTCTGCTACTGGTGATGTATCATTTTACAGGGAAATAAGATGGCAAAACTATTTAACAAAGAGAGTTTCTTAGCACTCACTACAACAAACTCGTTGTTGTTGTTTTTTTGAAAGTAAAATCAACAATGTTGCTTATCAAACCTAATTGCAAAATGTTGACTTGAGTTGATATCTTACCTTGACACATGGCTTTTTAAGGACATCACATAGTCCATCGGCATTTTGGGTATAATGCTGAACCAGATCTGACAGGGTGCTGAATGGATTATTGTGGGCAATAAAGAAACTACCAGATTCTGTTTTGCGGATCTTGTAATGCTTGACCATGTCACCATCTTTGACGGACAAAGCATAACCACCTTTATCACTTTCTCGGATCAAAAATGCTCCATGCTCATTGACAGGTGTCTTTAATAACTTGTCTGCCTCTGGTCGCTTTATTTCACCAAAATACCAACTGTGTAAAGAAAGGAAAATGCAATTGATTGAAGATAAAACAATTATACTCTTATAAGGTATAAATTTGCATTCATGTTACCATAAACCCAGGTCTGATAAACTTGCTATTCTCCCTTCAAACTGTAACATATTTCTTTTACAGTATAAAACTAGATGAGAGGATTGTGTGGTCATTAGCCAGTTAAGAATTATATTGTGATATCACTCCCTAGCTGGAAAGGATGTCTATTACCCCAACTTGTTTAAAAGATAATGTATCAATATTGTAAGGAGAACTAAATGCTTATCAATTTGGAGTAATAGGGGTTAATAATAATTTTTGAAAAATTAAAATGTCTTCTTAAAGACAGGATACTTGACTAATAATTACATCTTATATTTGAGAACTTTTTGAGTCAGTGAGAATTGTTCCATCCCTCAGGAGAGTTCATACCCCTCTCCTTGTGCAAGATACACTGTATATAATTGTTGTGAGTAAAGAAAATGTTCAGACTAGCAATTAGATAACATGTAATCAATTATGTGATAATCACTACAACACTGTCTGGAAAAAAGTTTGACATGGGGGCATGAGAAATGGATCTGTCTTTTTGTTATGCAGTCTGAAAAATGATATTTACTCTTTTATGATTCTTATGTAAATCTCTCACGACCTCAGATGATTTGCATCACAAGGAAGCGAGGGTGCCTGAGGCAATGTGTTAATTATGAATTAAAAATCATTGCTATTTTCATCTTCCTTGGGATTTCTTTTCCACACTGAATATGAGAAACTCAGTCCACATCTGATAAAAGCATGCTTTGCTATCGATCTACATATATAATACACTGACTATTTGCTTAACTAAGTGCTGAAAATATTAGGTAATCTCACATAACATGGCACGTTTCAATCACGCATAGTTAAATTTAAATTTTGGATTGACAATTATGTGGTGCATCGGTACTATACAATCCAACTTGAATTTGGTAAATAGAATTAGTTGTAAACGAAAGGCTGTGTCGATGTAAAAATTGGTCAGCCAACCAACTTTGCGGCAGTTTCCGGGTGCTCGTTCAAGCAATAACTTCATTTCACTAGTTGACGAAACACTCTGACATTACATTTTAACATTGAATCATATTTTGGGTTGAAATTTGCAAGGGCAGATCTAACCCTTAAAGCAGTGCTAAAGCAAACAATTCAATGCCGCGACAAAATGAAACTGCTGATTCAAGCTGCTACATGAATTCTTTCAAGCATTAATTAGAGGAATTTATGTGACCTCTTGGCCAATCTGGCCCACACGATTCACATAACATTCCAGAGCAAATCTAAATTTCATTTTTGCATTGATTGCTTCTCGCACAATTTATAAATGATGCTTGATCATACATTCTGGTACAATTGCCATTACACTTCACTTACTCTTCGGCTTCCAAAGTTTCATGAGCAGCTACATAGTTGCTTGGAATGAAACCCGATTTGCCAGAATCACGAGATTTAGCCCTCCACCAATCGTTCTTCAAATCGTCGGGGTCTACCTCAAGAATCTCGCCCTTTGCAAAGCTCAAGTCGTCCTCTGTTCGAGCATCGTAATCATAAAGAGCAATATAGAGGGGTTTCACAGCAGTTGGACTGGGTTCAGGAGGCGGTGAGCTCGGTGGCGGCTCCGGCACATATCGATCACTATGTTGTTGTACAGATCCGCAATTCACATCGATTTCCTTTAAACTTGCCGCAGATTTGTCCACATTTTGCCCGTCGTTTATATCCCTTTTTTGGTCCTCAGAGGACTTCTTGCCCATGCAGCACCCCATGGGTGAGAAGGAGCCAAGGTCTACACCAAAATGCTGTGTATTTGACTCTGAGTACGGATCGTTTTCGCGAAGGATCAAACTTCAGAAAGGTGTTGTACACAGTTCCGGGATTGCGCACTCCCATTCATATCTCTGCCCAGTCCTTTGGACTTTAATTTGCACGAGAGTCACTGGTAGCTAGTTCCCCTCCCAGACTTGCGCTCAACTAAGAAATTTCTTCGGTACGATCATCTTCGGTTTCCTCCCTCGCGATCAATAGATACCTTGGAAGTTATTTCATCAATCCAACCTTCTTCTGTCTCTATCATTCTTAAATATTCCATTTTCCGCAACGGACTAGAATCAGCTTGCGTGTTGTACTTTCTCAGCAACCATGGGTTGCTGTTGCGGGAAGTCAAACTCGAGGAAAAAGTATGAAGCGAAGGGTGAGTCTGGCCGAGACATGGCACCAACGAATGGACAAGCGAATGATCACATTGACAAACAGCAACGAAATGCTTCCCCTGCGGACAATATGAGCTTCCATACGCCTTCGTCCATTATGTCAAGCCACTCAGTGATGCAACCAACTAAAGGAATAACGGTGTTTATTGCTCTGTATGATTACGATGCACGAACCAACGAAGACTTGAGCTTCAAGAAGGGCGAACGGCTTCAAGTTGTCGACAACACGGATAGCGACTGGTGGTTGGCCAAATCTCTAGCAACTCACAAGGACGGTTATATTCCGAGCAATTATGTAGCGCCTGAGCTAAGCGTGAATGCCCAAGAGTAAGTAAAAGAGCTGAAGTTTTAAGCTCAAATTATTACTTTTTAATACAGAAAGCGCTAGATCATCTGTCACTTTGCCAGATCACCGGACGTAGAGTTTAGTGAATCTTTATGGCGTTCTCAGCATTAGCTAGTCTTCCAGTAGACGAATTAGTTGATATTTCGGGAAAGTGATGGTCTGTTTATTGTTTTGAAAATCTCTCTGAAAGAGGTGGTTTGTTTGTAATATATCGTCGCTTTGTGAGGTTAGTTGTTGTAAACCCTTTCAATGAATAATGAATTTCTTACGGTTCCTTCCTGCGCGGATTCTCGTGTGTGCGAAAATTGTTTCGTTTTCTGCACGCACATTTTTGAATTTGGCAGCTTTCCAGATGTTTGTCTGAATATATCATCAATTTTTGGAATTTTCGGTCTTGTTTTAGCGTTTCTACAACACAATCCCACTTCCGGGATGTAAACTGTCGCCAGTTCGTTTTTCCCTATTTTCTTGCTTGTTTTGTTATGATAATGAAACTGGTTTGTTTTTAAAGTCTATGGACTTAATCAGACTCTCAGCTCATGGGGAAGTTAAAATAAATGAGGGGCTTACAATGTGTATAGTTGAATGTTTGTGAGGTAGTGCAAGTTTAATTCAAAGCCATAGCAATAATTAGCAACAGATAAACCTGACCTAATTCAGCTTTCTTATCTGCATCTTCTTCATTACATGTGCATGTTTTAAAAATTATCTACTCACTAAGAATTGAACTATTAAGTTTGGCTCTATGAATGATCAGTGTAAGTAGTGTTCCAGTTGGTGAGTTAATTTTAGATGCTTAAAAGGAAATGAAGACACTGAAGTAGAACATTTGGCACATGATTAGCAGGTGACTTCTAGATATATGTGCAAACATAAAACAAATTATTTTGACTAATTATATTGCCATAACCTTTTCAACTCAATAATTATATGCAGAAGTATAGTGACTTTTGGATGAATTCTGGATTGTGGAAGGTCTTGGGACTTTGAGCCTTAATTAGGTCACTGTGCTTTGTTCTTATGGAAAAACTCTGCTCTCACAGTGCCTCTCTTCACTCAGTAGTTCTACTGGATATGAGCACACTCTCAAGGAAATTTGATAATTTGCAAGGGGATAATCTGTACTGAACTTGCATCTCATTCATGAAGTGGGATAGGATACTTTTCATTTCATGCCACATTAACATGTAATGGGCTGTAAAGTTTATAAAGCTTAATCTTCTATTTTCTTAGTGAGAGTGTATGTTTGTTGTTGTTATGTTTCCTCTATTTTTTTCAACATTCTTGTTTTTCTGTAGCTGGTTCTTTGGTAAGATCAAGCGTGCTGATGCAGAGAAGAAGCTACTTTCTCCAGGAAGTCCTTCTGGTTCATTTCTTATCCGTGACTCAGAAACCATGCCTGGTAACTATTCCTTATCTATTCGAGATGGAGAGAGCGTCAGACACTATCGTATACGTAAGCTTGACAATGGGGGCTACTATATTACCACAAGAGCACCTTTCACAACTCTCGGTGAGCTAGTTGAGCACTACAGTGAGGATGCAGATGGTCTGTGTTGCAAGCTGACTCTTGCATGCAAAGCAGAGAAGCCCACCACTTCTGGCCTTTCGTATAACACCAAAGATGCTTGGGAGATTTCCCGTGAATCCTTGAGATTGAACAGAAGGTTGGGAGCAGGACAGTTTGGTGAAGTGTGGGCAGGAGTTTGGAATGGAACAACCCCAGTTGCTGTGAAAACACTCAAGACTGGTACAATGTCACCACAAGCATTCTTAACAGAAGCAGCAATAATGAAGAAATTAAGGCATGCAAATCTTATACAGGTATGTTAATATAGAAAAGGAATCTTTGATGGTATAGAAATGTAATTTTACAGTACTTCTTTTTTTCAGGACTGTATTTCCCCATTGTACTGGGTTTTTTTTACATTTTATTTACAATGCTATGAGTAATTTACTGTGAAGTAACTCTCATTTAGCATTTTACCCAGTAGGCATTATCTCCTCACTATACTTAAACATGCTCTTACAGAGTCTTACAGTATACTTAATATATTTCTGTTATTTATGTTCACAGCTTTATGCAGTTTGCACAAATGAGGAGCCGATCTACATTGTAACAGAATTAATGAAACATGGCAGCTTGTTAGAGTATTTGAAGGGAGATGGTCAGTATTTGAAATTGGAAGATTTGATTGACATGGGTGCACAAGTTGCTGCTGGAATGGCTTACTTGGAAAGAATGAACTACATTCACCGAGATTTAGCTGCGAGAAACATCTTGGTTGGTGAAGGAAATGTCTGTAAAGTTGCAGATTTTGGTCTTGCAAGATTGATTGAAGATGACGAGTATAATCCTCATCAAGGGGCAAAGTTTCCAATAAAGTGGACAGCACCTGAAGCAGCACTGTACAACAAATTTACCATCAAGTCAGATGTATGGTCATTTGGAATTTTGCTGACCGAGTTGGTGACAAAAGGACGTGTACCATACCCAGGCATGACAAATGCTGAAGTGCTGGCCCAAGTAGAGCGTGGATATCGCATGCCTCAACCCAGGGATACTCCTGATGCTCTCTATGGAATTATGCTGGAATGTTGGAAGGCAAATGAATATGACAGACCAACATTTGAATATCTTCAATCGCTGTTAGAGGACTACTTTGTTTCAACAGAGCCTAATTATAAAAAACTGGACCCTTAATCTCCTGGTAAGTATTAAAACTACTGTATAATTTAACCAACCTACCAACACATCTCTCCACTCTAGAATGTTAAAACATGGGTGAAAGAAACCTGTCAGGGAAATGTGAAAAATGCTGTGAGGTGGATTACAATTTTTGAAGGGTTAGCATATCATCCAGGCAAATAAGTAATTCTCATTGAAACTTCAAGCTATCAGATGGGTCACTGGATTGAACTTGATCCATCATCAAATGATACCTGTTTAATTTCTTTTTCATTCTTGCAGAAGTAAACAAGACCAGTCGTTTGTATAGAATGAAAGCAAATAAAGAAGTACCAACAGAACACTATTTTTACATATTGGTAGTTATTATCCTTTTTAGCAAAGTATATGCATTTTTTTAATACCAAGGTTCTCATTGCAGTCACAGGATGGGATGAAAAACTATTTTAGAATAGAAAAATTAAATTTTGCAATTACTGTTTGCAGCCTTAGTGACTTCAAACTAACCATTTATTAACTTAATAGGGTTTATTTTTTAGAACTGTAGCAACTTGTGATTCAATTATGATACATGGCACACATATTTTCTATTTATTTCATAAACGGAGGGACTTGCATATCTTATCTGTACACGTGTGTAGAGATTTTGTTAGCATTGCGTACTGGTATTGTTTGGATGCAGCAAAAGAAAACAGAAAAATTGTTTCATGTAGTGCATTTTTTAACAATTACTCAGTGCTCACAATTTAGTATCTTCAAGAAAGCAATGAATAATCAGGGATAGAAGAACAAAACTTCATTTGTGAGGGCTGAAAAAAACTTACACCATATGCATATTTCGCCCAAGGAAATTTGTTTTCATTGTGTAATAGATTGGGGAAGGGGAGCTTCAACTATACCACACCTCCCTTGCCTCAATCTGGCCATGCTATCTTTTAGAATCACATTTTCTCTTGGTAGGAAAGACTTAGTTTAGGTCTAAATATCAACTCAACCTTCTCCTTTGGTATTTCTGAAACCAATTTTGCCAAATCTGTCAATGAGCTGGCAGAAAAGAAACTGCAACAGGAGAGTGGTGGTATTTTATCATATCATGTTAAACAGGGTTAGTTTTTATCATTTTAATTTGTCATCATTGTTCAAGCTTTTAAACTTGTGACCTGGCATGTGTGAACTGCTTAGTTACCTTGGTTTTTAACTTTATGAGTCTAGAGTTTCAAACAAGTTTTCTTTCTTTCACTTGCTAATTTTTTATTTTCATTTTAAGATTATGCATCGAACAGTTGTTTTCTCTATAGAACACTGATATAAAATGGATAACATATTTTCCTCCACAATGCAGTATGAATCACTGTAATTTCATTTTGCTATGTGAAAATTTTGTATTAAAATTAATATTTCTTTAACACATTTTCAAAGCAGGTTCTTAAGATGAAAATTTTAAAACTAATAATTCTCTCGAAGGCCAACTTGTCAATGAGTCATTTTCGTGTGTGGATCAGTTTTTATGCTTGCATTAATTAGCTTAAGTGGTTTTCTAGAAGTTAAGTTATTTATCAGAAGTTATCCCTTTACAACAAATTTTCTGTCTACATTATCTGTTGAATATTGCTGTGCAAGGTTTGTTTTATTCAAAGTTTTTCCATTTTGTGTCTATCAACAGCTTATGTTGAATGTAATCAGTTACAATTTGTATTGCACATGAGTGATTCTGTTTATCAGAACTTGCAACCATATTTTCTATAAGTCATCCAAAACTCTTCTAGTAATCAAACCTGATTACATTTTGAATTTCCAGTGGAGTCATATGGGTGAGACTTTTTGGGGAGGATTCAGATGCCTGAAGGTTTTGAAACACGTTATGAAAAATTTGAAAGCTTTCTCATAAGATTTTTATACAAACGTTTCTTTATTAGTGTCCCTTCTAGAATTGGAGTGTTGGGGAAAAGGAGAATCTTTAGCAAAGCCTTGTCTTTTCTCCAATTGTTTCAACTTATTTCTCTTTGATTGTTTAGCCAATTGTGTCGGTCATAGTGGGGAGAGTGCAGTATGTGTGAGTCGAAGGTCTGTAGGTGTGAACCAGGGTGAGACCAATGTTTGGCAACCTCTGGTGTGAGTATCATGCTGAAGGAATGAGAGCTGGCAGGCAAATATTCATTGAAAAACTGAATTGTATATCTGCTGAGGGGTATGGTAAATAAATCCTGAAACAAAATGTTGAAAGGTGCTATGTCACAATGTTTTGCTTCCTTTTTTTCTGTCATCAAAATGGAGAAACCTTAGATTAAAACATAAGAAGATAGAAAAAATGAAGGAATATTAATAAATCAAGTGGGAATGACTTTGAATTGCAATGTGGAATATTGCAGAGGATTGTGACAGGAACAAAAATTTTGAAAGATGAAGGATATATGCTGTGAAATGTAAAGCGACCTAGTCCCTTGAACAGAAATGTTGAGGTTCTAGTTTGATTTCTTTTTTATTTTTAACATTCAGTGAATTAAAAGTTTTTTTTAATATTCACTTGTATACAGTGTAAATAATATGATAAGATTTACTTTGAATTTTTGGTACAAAAATTAAACTGTGTCATCTGGACTTTTTTTGGTTTTCTTTAGGTTTCTTTAGGGAAAATAATGTCTTTGGTTTGATGTTTCTGAATCAGTGTCTTATGATATTTTGTGAATGACTAACTTTGATGTTTGAGAAGCTGGATCAATGAAGTATTGAATTTTTAAATAACATCAAAAGAAGTGTGAGATTTATATACTGTACTTATCACTGCATATTTTGTCATGTAAGTCTGGATTATTTTGCACATAACCTAGGAATTTTTAAAATGTGAGCAGCTATGGTGTAAAAAGTGTAAACAACTAAAATAGTTTTTTGTCATGATAGATAGCTATTGCCCTTAAGAGTTTTCCAGCATTTCTTAAGTTATCTCTACAACATTATACTGTTTAAGTGAAGGAGGTTGATGTTAAAGTCACATGTTGGTCATATTCCAGATGTGTAAAAACTAAACTTTGTTGTATGATACAGATCTATTTCAAACTGATAATAATTCTTTGTGAACCTTAAAGAGTTTGAACATGATAAGATCTCAAAACATCTCGGTAACATGTTAGTGGGCCATTGTGATTACTGAAAGGTTTCTTTTTATGTCACTATAACAGTCAGAAAGTGATCATTAACATCCACAAAACCATTTCTTAAAATGCAAGTAGTATTTCTAAGCACTGGGTCTATTGTGTGGTGCCAAACTTAACTTTTCTGAAATATAAAACTTTGGGATTAAATGCTGTTGTGGAGAGGTTTCCTGTTTAACAAGAGCAGAGATTAAAAGATAACTGACAGTTTTTAGCAGAAGGTGCCCACTTTGTGTCTGTTTTAAAGAGGTATTAATCTTATAAGGCATGAAAATATTGAGATAAAATAAATATTGATTCAGACAATGTTACTGTGTTACCTATTTGTTAAAAGAGGTTTTTGATATTTTTGTAAATTAATTACTTTTATAGTGTGACAAGAACCTAGAGTTTTATTGTATCATTACTATATTCAAAGAAATACATCTTACAGTGAAAATCCCTTCTCTTATAATTATTATAAGACACCTTTTTAGTGAATAAAATTTTGTAAAATGTAAGTGTGCCTGATCAGTCTTATGACATTTCTACCTGAAGGGTTGTGATATAACATAGTTGGTAGTGTAGGGTCAACCCTCATGTAGCCTCAGCAATCAGAATACAAGTTGATTAAATTATGAATGATAGTTAAGAGTGACATCTTGTTTTCCCTCAGCCATCAAAGGTTAATAATGCGCAATGGGAACATTGCAAAGAGAGACAACTTACATTTCATTTTGTATGGTCATGGTGTTGTGATGATTTTCTCAAAGCCTGAATGGATTATCATTCAATGTTATTACTTCAACATCAAACAACACAAAAAATTTATACCAGTGCTTAAATTAACACCATTTATTAAATCAGTTTTACAAGCTTTTGATTGGCCATGTGTTGTTTCTGTCTAGGAAATGAACCTTCAAATTTGAAAAACCGTGATAGATATTGGAATGTTTTTGGTTTATTGGGCAACCAATTATGTGAAACAACTCACGGTTCACTTGTTAGGGTTTTCCCTGGGAACATACCAGGTGTATGAAGCGACGCTCTAAGTGTATTTTGGGATATACATTAATAAACAAAGGAAATGGCCGCCGCAATGGACGGAGAAAGCTTGATGGAAGTCCTCAATTACAAGGACTCATTCCACGCTTGCCATGTTCTGGAGATGCTAAAGAAATTGTATATAAAAAGGGAACTCTGTGACGTAGTTTTGATCGTCGATGAACAAGAAATCAGAGCTCACCGTGTGATTTTAGCCGCGAATAGTGCGTACTTTTATTCAATGTTTACCACGGACATGTGTGAGAGCGTTCAAGAGAGGATTTCCCTCAAAGGAATAGACTACGAAGCCCTAGATCTTATTGTCAACTTTTGCTACACATCGACCATAACAATCACGGAGAAAAACGTGCAAAATCTTCTATCGGTGTCGAATTTACTGCAGTTCAGTACAATCATCGAATCGTGTTGTGGATTTTTGAAGAATCAATTACATCCCACTAATTGTCTTGGGATCGGAGATTTTGCGGACCATCACGGCTTTTATAAACTCAAAAATGCCGCTCAGTCCTACGCAGAAAAACATTTCCTCGAGGTCATCAAGTCTGAGGAATTTCTCAACGCCACCAGCGAGCAGATATCAACCATGTCGAAGAGTGATTTCCTTGATGTAGCAAGTGAAAAAGAAGTATTCGATGCTGTTATACAATGGATTCGTTACGATGAACCCAGACGGAAGCAACACCTACCACAATTTCTTAAAGACATTAGACTCCCGTTACTACCACCGAAAATATTAGGTAAGAATATCATACAAAGATATATCAGCTAAATTACGAGATAATTTAATATACACATTTAACCCAAAATGCAAATAATATTTCCGTATGAAATATTTTCTTTTTTATATTGAAAAATTGTTAATATTTTATTATTTTCGTTTTTATTATATTTTTACTTCAGTCAGGATGTTCCAGATTTATTTCAAGTCATGTTGTTTATTTGCTTAAGGAAAGAAAAATTCTCGTGATATTCTCGTGTTAGAAATTCTCGTTTTCGAATGTCCTGCTGATATGGAAGTTCGATTTCACAAGTCACGCAAGTAGGTTATCGTTTCACTTTCATCGAAAAAAAAAAACTGTTTAATTTCTGTAGCTGTTCTAAATTCCTTTTGAGACTTTTAAACGTGTCCACCTTAAAAATCTATTTCCGTGATTTTTTATAATGAGAGTCAATTTTGATATCAAGGAAATGAAATTAAAACTGAACAGAACGAAACGAGGAAATTACTGAAATGAAACTTTTCAGTTTTATATCACCAAAATTGCTTTTAGCGGATGGAATCGACATTTTTTAATATTTTGACTACTTTGAGTCTGCAGTATGGCTTAAACGAAAAATGTTATTATTCTTTGTGATAGATGTTTATTACCGATTCTGCTTAAATTTTTCATTGAAAATGTTTACTGCATTTCCTTTTTATTCCTTTTGTAAATTTGAAATCATGTTTATTCTTCTTCTGTAGTCTTATGTTACTAAATAAACCAAAGCTAAATGTTATTATAATAATTATGATTATAATAATGGTAATTAATTTTTATGCAATCAAGTATTAATATTATTATTATGATTACACGTGATACAACACTATCCTCTTCCTTCCATTAAAAGCAATTTTTTATTTTCAGTTGACTGTATTGAAAGTGAGAAACTGGTGGAATGCAATGACTCCTGTATAAGGTTAATCAGTGAGGCAAAAAACTATCACCTGCTTCCTGAGAGGCGTGACCAGATTTCATTTGTGACAGAGGCAAGGCGCAAGGCTGGGAGCACAATGATATACATTGTTGGGGGAGAAATACACAATAGAGTATTCAACAGTGTTAGACGGTTTAACTTTGAGACTAACACATGGGATGAGGTTGCACCCATGAACAAGCATAGGGATGGAGTAGGTGTCGCTGTATACAGTGGACATATTTATGCTGCAGGAGGTTAGCAAGTTAGCTTTTTGTAGACATGAAAGTTCTGGTTTCAGCTGCAGTTGCAGTACACATGCAAATAAACTACCCAGTTGGCATCTTATCAGACATGTGGATGACCATGAACTCTAAGGATTTAACATGACCCCATTGTTATAGATTTGCACTACAATCTTTATTTCAACACCACAATCTTTAGTTTTAGACCCACTATTTTCAAACTTTATAAAGTTAAAGCAACTTTTAGAAATAAATAATGTACAATATTAACAAGTAGAAATTAGAAAGTTGTATTAGTACTATGTTAACTTAATTCAAAACTCCTTGATAATCTTACATTTGGCTGTTAAACTTATTAATTTGATAGTTATTATAAATAAGATGTCTTGAATAATTTCATTTCTTGTTTAGGATGTGATGGTGATGTTGCTCTCAGCTCTGTAGAATGTTACCATCCTGCAACAGATAAATGGACATATGTTCAGCCTATGGCATGTGGAAGACACGCCTTTGGTTTGGTAGAATTAGATGGTTGGTTGTATGCATCTGGAGGAAGTGACTTTTCCCGTTCTGAATACAACAGTTTGGAACGATATGACCCAGTCAGGTTGATGTTAATTTGATCGTTTTTGAAAAGAAATTCTTAGTCACCAATTAGATTACTATGATATATCCATTGCACAGTGTTAAATACAGTTTTTATACAGATATCATAGCCTGGAAAAAGAGGAAAAATAAATAAATGAGCGCTATCCCTAATAAAATGTGTGGTTAAGCAGCAAGGTTTTGAAGCCTAACTTCTTGGACACCCTTTGTGAATTTTTCATAGATTCATCAGTATCAACCCAATATTTTCAATAATTAGCAGAGACTAAATTTGACGAGCTTACCCCCCCCCCCCCCCCACCTTTAAACTTCCTACAAGTGAAAATCTGTCTTGTTTCTTTCTCCAGAGATGTTTGGACTCACATGAAGCCCATGAGCACAATGAGAGAGGGTGTTGCCATGGTAACTCTAGATGGCGCTATCTATGCAATTGGAGGTGATAATGGTGTGTCAATCTTAAACACAGTTGAGAGGTATGATCCACGCCTGGATCGCTGGAGTGCTTGTGTTGCTATGAGCTATCGACGGAGGTATTTTGGTGCTGCAGTATTAAAGAACAAAATATTTGTGGTTGGTGGTAGTGATTATGACGAGGATCACAATTCTGTTGAATGTTTTGATCCACGGATGAACAGATGGTTATCTTTACCCCCCATGCTGACGCGACGAGAGAGTCCAGGAGTGGTGGCAGTTGATGACAGACTATATGCCATAGGTGGTGCTTGCTTAAATGTTGAAACAGAAAAGATTGATTGCTATGATCCCTTGAGTAACAAGTGGGAGGAATTTTCCTCATTACCTCTTGCCATAGAAGGGATGGGTGTGGCTGTTATATAAAGCAATCAGAGCATCAAGCATCAATATGCCTGAAGTGAACCTTTGTCATTTTATTTAGCAGCAAGTACTGGTAGTTTTACCTTTTGACCCTCATGAGCTAGGTAGTAATTCTCCTCTCTGGCTGCACTCAATAGAAATTCCAGGAAAAGATCATATGGCTGGTGAGTCAGGCCATTAGATATGTCAGTTCCATGTAAATTAATAAGAGACATGTAGGGAAGTCTGTTTTTTGGGAATTTTGCATGAAGAATAAACTTGTGTTGATTCTCTGATATTTTTAAGTTTAAAATTGTTTAGGTAATCTTGTTTGGCAATCACTGTATTAAAGTTGTAGGAGAAAGTTATATGCTTATCATTTCTGGGGGTTCAAGATTTAATGAAAAAAAAAAAGATACTTGTGGTATAAAAATTATGCAAAATTTACCCAGGATATGGGTTTCTCCTTTGCTAGATTGAGTCTTAATAGTATTTAAACAGAAATATTAAACAGCTTTGCCTAGAATTATGCATGTAAAATGAAGAAAGAAAACTTGCCACATCTTAATAACTTTATCACATGAATTTGGTCCATTAACCTGGTTATGCACAGATAGTATAAGGTTTTAATGGCCTTATTAACAGTAATTAATTCACTGTGTAAATATTGTTACAAGAGAAAATCAATTTAAAAACTAGCACAAAATCAACATTTTTTATGTGAAAATTAGGTGTTTCATTTGTTATTTACATAACATTTTGTCAGTTACTAAATTATAAGAGTGTGAAAAAAAAGATTAAGAAATATGATTATATATATATATGTACATACGATAATTATTTAACTCTAGTCATTCAGAAAAGAAGAGGAACATCATCAAACCGTAAAAGAAACAGAGCAGAATACTACTTCACATTTCAATAAAATTTTTTATCATAGTTAGAGCAATAACAAAAATGTTTTAGATGCCAAGAATTTATAAGTTATTTGTATAGTTTGACTAGTATAAAATAGCATGTTAATGTGTATGTCCCAAATATATTTTAATAACTTATTATAGTGGCGAAGGGCAATAATAAAGTATGGTGTTTTGTCTTAAAAGAAAGTTCCTTGAAACGTGACCTGTGACATGAAGATTAAAATGTTTTGGCCATTTACTCTCAGTTTTCATCTAACTATAAGGTTTACTGGTTATACATCACCTATCACAGCTTAATGCTGCACTTTTGTTGGTTTGTTTCCAACAGATTCAGCTGGGGCATTTAGATTCTTTGGTTTTGAAGGGTTGTTCCATGATGTTCACTGATGGATGGAACATCATCTGACAAGAAACCCAACAAAAACTCACCAAAATGGAGGAAAGAAATGCAATAAGCACACACACACAAGACAAACAAACAAACATGCAAAACAACACAAAAAAGCAAACCAAAACAACAGGGATTGTCACGCTTTTTAATGTGATATCCTCAAAGATGCTACCACACTACTACCTAAAATGTGAAAAGTGGAAAGAAAGAAAAATGTCATTTAACACTGGAACTCTCAGTATAAATATTGTTTTATTAAGAACATCAGTATAAATTTTTGGCATACATTCAAGTAAAAAGGGAAAACAATTTTGGAGTATTCAGGCTTATAAATGTAATAACTTAAAATGTTCCAACTACCACTATAATTGACTGTTGATGCAGATTAGCTGAGTATAATTTAGTTTTACATGAAGAGCGTGGTGAAACTGCTGGTGGAAATTTTCACAATTCCCTGTGCTCTTAACATGAAAGTCTAATATTCCTAATTTTTTAAATCAATTTTCTGTTTGTCTCCTCATATATCAAAGTCTGTGTTACTTTGTATTCTTTCTCCTCTTTTTGTGATGCCTTCCAGCTGCGGCATTACTTTCACCTTGAACACACAATAGCATACATTAGTTATGCCTGTTTTGCTATACACTTCTTAATTTTTTTCCAGCATAGAGAATTAAGAACTACATCAGTACTGTTACCTGACTTAAAATATCAATTTGCAAGCAAGTCCTCTGATATTTAAAAGGTCTCTCCATTTCTTTGTTGCAAAATGTTCAAATTTTATCAGGAGATTTTTCTAGCCTTCCCAAACACACCTCTGTCTATAAAGCATATGCCAAAATCAAGAAAAATTTCAAAATTGAATTCTAACAATCTCTTTAACTAGTGTTATATCAAGATAACACCATTGATGATGATGATACAGTGAGAAGTTTGTTGTGACTCACAGGCACGAAATGAAAATTTTCATCATCAAAGCACAATCCTTGCTCTGATACTTGTAAACAATTTCTTAATGACAGAAATAGGTAACTGCTTTTACAACCAGAAAATAACAATCTTTAAAATAGTTTTACATGATTTAACTTACCATTCACTTGAGAAGGAGATGACGTTGACAACTGAGGAACTCTATGTGTCCACATAGCACCACACTGTTTGTTTGGACACGTCTTCTGAGCTCTGTTGGGTTTAATCAAACAACACAAGGATTTTTTACCAGCAGATTAAGGGTTCCTCAAAAGACCTAAATCTACTAAGCTAGATCAGCATCTGAGATCCTGCCTTACAATTCTTTACTTCTCTGTCAAAATTGTTATCTCCTTAAACACAAAGTTCAGCTGGCTCTTCATCCTGACAATAATTCTTCCCATGTGAACATTCCAATCTTTTTTTTTGAAGGATGCAACTATACCCTTTCGTTTCCAAGATTCAAAATTGTCTATCCTTACTCTGCTTTACATTTTGTATAATTAGTTGCCAGAATTTAGAGTTTAATCAAGTTACGTTCCCAAGTTCATGTTTTTCCTCATTTTCATTGCCTATACTGTACTGATATTTTAGAGCAGAATTACTTCTTCATGATGTGTGAGAGTGAAATGGTTAAAATGTTTATTTCATGATGTGTCACTTTTAAACTTCAAGGGTTACATAAATGTCTAATCAAAGTACTCAAATACATCAGTCTGAACACACTACCTAAGCTGGCTCTATTCAAAGTGATCACTAAATCTCACTACATTTGATCCAAAGTGCACCACACCTCACACTTGTAATCTGTATTTTTTTAAAAATGTACATTAATTACCTTCCATTAAAGAAGCGAGCTGCACAATGATTATGAAGCTTGCCATCACACTGAGTGCAACACTGTCCCTGACATAAAATTAAACAGTCGCACTTCAAAAGTGGTTTGTCAAAAGATAAAAGAGATAAACCCTTGCAAAATCTAACAACTATCGACCAAAAACCGTATGAGTAGAGGCACTAACCCTTACAGCTATGTCATGACAAATCATACAGTCCACTATTTCATCTTCATAAACTCGCTTTAGATATGGACGTAGTTCCAACATTGCTCTTGGTCCTAGAGAGTATGACCCTGAAAACTGAAATGAAAAAAACCAGTTCCATGAATTGAATACTGTTCATATATATTCTGTTGTGATGTCAGAGTTAGTTCCTGTCACTAGCAACTGTTTCTTTTTTTTCAACAACTACATCTACCTTTGACTGAATAATCATATGGCTTGGTCAAATGTGAAAGCCATCAAGTAACCTTTGAATCCAGTACCAAGATCTACTGACAATTCTACAAACTAATGATCATCAATTCCTCTCTACAGCATCCCTTAGAATATTTATAGTCCTTGATTTATAATTTTATTTATTATCATCACCTATCTGCCACTCTTAAAATTCTTAGGAGAAACTATTTCCTTATAACTTTGGAAAATCAGAGAGTTGATTAAATTTAAGTCTCAACATTGTTAATAAGTATGGACTGACCTCTGACATCCATTTATCTTTAATAAGTCTTTCAACCAGGTTCTCAGCATGAGTCATACTCATCTTTATTTTGATGGTTTTCTCCAACTCATGTGCAGCATTGAGTATCTCCACAGATGATGCCAACCCACCTGGAGAGGCAACTATCAGGTCCATCTGCACAGACATACAAACACAAGCTTTGAACCTAAGTGTTTTTCCATAATTCAAGCATTACTTATTCATGAAGCAGCTTTGAAGGGAAAACATTCATATCATTGAAGTCATCTCATATTCGTCTGTTTGGTCCTTGAAGGTTATGAAAATTTTCATATCTGAACCAAATTCAATTTGTTCATCTGCATAGAATTAGGAAAAGTTAATTTCAAGATGCTCTTATATCGTGGTAAATGAATTCTACATGTATTCTTACAGCTTTCTTGAAGAATGCAATATCACTTGGAGAAAAATCTGTGGCCAGTTTTGAAGCGTCGTCCTCTGTAGTATTGACCTTGGGAGGAAGGAACAGATAGTTCCAACAATTATTTCCCTGAAAGCATGCAGTTTTTCCTTCTTACATACCTTGTGTAAACACAACACCGTCATATTAGAACTTTCATTAAAAAACTTATTTCCTATATTTAGAATTGGTGTAGCAAAATAAAATAAAAATATCACATTCCTTTATTGATTACTGCAAGATACAAAACAAAACAAAACAAATAGCATGCCACAATCCCGTTGACCTGAAGCATTTTAGTCTCCATTTAAATTGGCTGTTAGTTTGCAGCTCCAGTCTGATTGGTGCAAGATACACAAAAAAGAAAATAAACAAAAACAACAATAACAAAAAAAAAAACAAAAACAAAAACAATGTGATTGGTCCCTGCAATTTAAAATTTGTGATCTGTGTATTGCAAGACACTCAAAATTATTTTTAGCAAAAAAAAAAAAAAAAAACCAAATCAGGGTGCTTTAGTGGGTAAAAAAAAGTTGCAGAGGCCTGTCGTGTTGAGTCAACGATCATAAATAAAAAAGTTTCCAACACAACAACAATCACCAACACATTACCAAACCGAAATGGACGGCTCCATCTTCTTCCGAAACTCCTCGTCTAATCTCCATGAAGAAAGGTTTCAAATTTTTGTTAACAGTTGCTAAGAATGCTTCAAAATCTTCTGGAAGGCTTTCATCTGAAATCGTTTTAAAACGCTTGATGAGGTTATTTCTAACGTATGATAAATTTCGACCAGTATTCGTGCAGATTTTCTAAAACTAATATAAGGTAGGAAAAGCAACTGAGACCTTTTTCTTACCTCCAAAGACGCTGTAAGATTTCTGGTAGAGAGTCTTAGTCTCCTTCTCAGAAAGAAACTGTTTAGACATCAGGCTTTTCAAGAAAAGTCGATGGGAGTCTCTCATCGTGATTCGATTGAACGAACTGCGCAAGAGAGCAAGAGGTTGTTAATTTCACTAAGACGGAAGTCAGATAAAGGCGGGAAATTCAAACAGGTGAATCCTGGGAAGTATATATCCGGGATATGTAGTACATTTATTGAGTACCAGTCTCTCGGAAAAACCGAGCGAGCCAAAATGGCGGCCACCAAAACCTCTGTCCCTGCGAACAATCCACCTTTCGACGTTCCCGGCTGGTAAGGTTTTAGAGATCACCTGGTTTATTATTTGGTGATTATATGAACACACAAATGATATCTCTCTCAGGGCAGGAAAACCACCACAGGGACTTCATCTAGATGTTATGAAACAGACGAATTTAGTGGAGGTAAACCTCTTAGATCAAAACAAATACCAAAGATCATGCTATAGACACAAACACGTGTTAAGTTTTATAGCTCAATTATTGAGAAGTAAGCTACTCTTTTTTCAGAATTCAACAACGCAACACAATACGGTAGTTTTGTTGTGGATTATACAGTGCTTTAGTTAATTTAAAGTCATATTGAAGGATTTATATCCATTAAAACATTAAGCTGAATTATACATGCATTTTGATTGATTGCTAGTTATATACATTGAAGGACAGACGCACATATCGTGTCACCACGAACGAAGTTTTGCTCCCTTCCATAAAACAATTAGACTCCATGGTTATGTGCTTCTGTTCTGCAATAATCGTGAAGATGTCATTGTGTGTTAGAACAGCAGTAGTATGTGCACTCTTGTGCTACTTTTTTGTTCTTCAATCAATTACTGAAAAGATGCACTGTAACTTGGAATTTCTCTGTCATTTACTATGGAGAGTCTGGGGAAAAATAAAGTTAAAATGTCCATGAATGAATTTGATACATTGCACTAGAACAGACTGTGCTTCCATATCAGCTGGTTTGCATGGTTTAAATGTGCTAGATCAGCAGTGGGCGAGCTTTAGGCATCTCATCTTGAGTGTAGATGGGTGTTATTACTCCTCAGACAGACTTACAGAGTAATCTTTAAGCTTTGATTATGACACTGGGAGAGATACTAACCCATATGGTTGGTCATGAACAAGAGCCAAATATTTTCTTGTTATTTCATGCCAAGGAACTGAAATGACTGCCAAGATTAGTGGGTCACTTGGCACAATAAAATAAACCTTTTGAAATATTTTTGGTGACAACATGATTCATTTCTATGATTACTAATTATGCTCTTTTAGTTTTGTCATGAAAATATTTATGCAATTTTGAATATATCTTGATATAGAAACTGATTATTGATCAGAAGCCATACTACTTATTTGGAAGAAACAAAGAGGCTTGTGATTTTAATTTGGAACATACATCATGTTCCCGAGTCCACGCAGCTCTGGTCTTTCACAAACACCTGAATAGATCATTTTTGATTGATCTTAAAAGCAGTGAGTAGCTTTCAGTGTATAAGGTATAAATCTGAGAGAAGTTCTGCAAGCTTAATCAAATGTCCCCAACTAGTCAAATGTAACCTGTCTTATTCTTTCTCATTACTTACTTGTTAGCTAGTGTTGAGAAGACAGCGTCCCTGTAGTTGTTATTTCTTATTTCTCATTTCCTTCTCTGTTGAAGCCTTAATTTTGAAATGTTAAGGAGAAGTAAGGTGCTGATCATTCACTGATAGGAGTTTTTGAGTTCATAATACTGAGGCAAGGTCAGAAACAGTGTACTAAGGCAGTCCAATTGATGAGGCTGATATTAGGAGGCCCTTAAACTCTTCTGACTGTTATGAAAGGGCAATTTGTACAACTTGTTAAAAATTTTACAGGCCGGGACTATTTTACAATAATTCTTAACAAAGATGTGTTTTTGGTTTCTGTTTTCATATTCTTCAGCACACGGTACTTTTATTGGCACAATACGTTTGGAGCCTCAAAAACCAACACAAGTTCAGGTAGATAGTGTGATAAGGTTTGGTGCATCTTCAAGAAGCTATGTTCTACGAGAAAAGCCAGCAATTCCAAATACTGGACTTAAACAAGCAGATGATTCAGGAAAAATGGAGGATGATAATGAAGAAAGTTCAAAAGGAGGATTACTGGGACTTCCTGAATCAGACACAGAATTAGATGTGAGAATTAACATTTTGATTTTCTTTCAAACAACTACTTCAAAACCTGTAGTGAGAAAACCTTAAATTAATCCTCCCCAAGCTAACATTGGTATGCGCATTCTCCACTCTGTTCTTCATTGATTTCCTAGAGTACTGATCAGGAGAATTTGTGTAACAATCAAGGGATTATTCAGCTGTTGATCATTTCATTTATTCTTTTGACATTGATTCAGGGGTGATATTGTAAGAAGAAATAAAATGCTGGTCACTCGTAAGGGTCAGTGAGTTGAACAAACACCCTGTTTTTAGTAAACATAAGTCTGAGTCATGGATGTTTCCTTTATTATTTATAAAAAAGAGAACCTATACTCAGCTCACCCTTCTATAAAGTGAATGCAGAACCATATTAATTGATAATTAATATATATTTTTAAAAGTCTGTCAACACAAGCAGCTAGTTTGCAAAGTTCAGACCAGCCTTTTATGTATTGAGAGGTCAAAAAGGTGAAATTTGGTAGTTAAGCACTCAGTGAACCAAGAGCATATTCAAGATAAGTAAGCTGGTAAATAAACCACAAGGGCAGTGTATCTGATTGTCAATGACCAAGTACACTATGCAAAAATACATTGATTACCACCATATTTATAAAATTCAATGACCAACATTGTGTCCTTTTATTTGCTTGAAATTGTACCAGTAACTGTGATAAAAAAAATTGTTTCGGGAAAATATTTGCCTATGAGACGCACCCAAACTTTGGCAGTAATTTTTAGTAGAAATTAGTAATATCTTGAAAAAAACAGTATGCCTTATAACCGAATAATTACAGTATTTTTACTTATGTCTGGTAACATCTCACTGCTTTGGACATTTTGTGAAATGACTTAAATAACAGAAGATAATGTGTAAATTAATGTAAATAGCAATTGTAGATATAATTTTGTTCTTAGCTATGCTATATTTTTTGGATGGAAACAGGACTTAACAGAGTTTAACACAGCACATAACAAAAGGATTTCATCTCTTGGCATAGAGGAAGGAAGTACAAAGTTAACAGGTGTCACGTCCTTAAAACGGAAACGGAGGTCCTCATTATCTGTCCAGTTTAGAGAAGGAGAAGAAATTATTAATCCAGGTAAAGATCTAGGTCGAATTGATTAATTTTGACATTGAATACCTTCTGATATAAAAAATCAGGTTGGTGTATGAATTGCTTATGAGGATTCAAACTTTTACTAGTTCCAAGTGGGTGGGTGTATTTTCTACCAGCTATGGTGCAGAGTTCACTGCCAGGATACATTACACATTCAGATACTTTAACATTCAGTGTCCTAACAACTGTAAGGGTAGCAATGTTAAAAGCAACTTATGTAGAGACAGAGTTCAAAATAACTGGAACTTGGCTATCAAATTAATTTACACAATGAAATATTGAAAAAATTTAATGGTATTTATCACAAGCGTAAGACGAAGAAAACCTCAGCCTATAAAATCAGATGCTCCACTAACTGAGATTTACATGTATGCTGAGTTCACAGGTTTACTTATAGCCTGGTCTTCTAAATATGATCAGATTACTGATTCAGCATCTTACTTTCATATTACTTTCATATTCAGACATTCCTAAGAAGTATCTTTGTTCATAATCTGTAAAAGTTGAGTTCACTCAGAAACATTGAAAACAATAACTCCACTTGATTTTTTTTCTTATTTCAGAGGATATTGATCCCACAGTGGGAAAGTTCAGAAATATGGTTCAAACATCTATTGTTATTCCAAACAAGGTACTGTACATTTTAAATGTTAATTTTTATCTGGTCATATATCATGGTCATTGGTAAATTATCTTATCTTTTACTGGAGCTGTTGAAGGGAGAGCTAGATGCAACCTCTGCCTAAAAGAAAAATTCCTGATAATTTACCGACCTGACCTCTCATCACTAAATAAGCGTAACAAACTTGTATCTTCACGCCGACACAGAAACAAAGCGTTGCTACGCAACAGCTGAACTTTAAAGTTTTTAAGTTTACTTCATATTATGTAAATTTTCCTGATATATACACGATAGTCACATGAATATTCTTTCATTAAATCCCTGAAGAGTGAAGCGATTCACAAAACAGGCTTGTCGGGAAAATGTAGTTGCGTCCTTTTTTCCTCTTAAAAGATTTATTCTGCTCTGCTTCAATGTATTGAGCACTGTTCCACGGGAAAATCGACTTGCAGACTCCCTGTATATATATATATATATATATCTAAGTGTAAAGAAAATATTAAGGCCAATGTTTGATGGGGTTATATCTTAGTGTAAGGAAAAACTGAAGAAAACAAAAGATAAAAATCAATCTAACTGCAAAGCTTTAAAGCTGAATCTAAAATGTATACTAATTCTTGGTTAGCTTGATCATCTTTTGAACAGTGCAGTCAGGGCTCTTTCTCAGTATTTCAGTTAGACTGTTGTTTTACAGAAAATGCGAGGACCAGTTTCACCAGTTGGAAGCCTTACAGAGAATATTACGCGCCGCCTCCAAAGCTTTCCTTACTCTCAGGGTCTCTACTCCAATCTCCCTGGCACAGGAGGTGTACCAGAACCCACCAGCCCTACCTCACCCACTGCACAACATAAACCTCGAATGTCTATCACATCAGCCCCTGATGTATCCTCACCAGAGCTGGCTGAGGTCCCTGTCCATCATGCTCCAGAGCCCATCCCTACTGGGCCTGTTGTGCAAAATGCAACAATGATAATTGCAGAAGCCCCTAAAAAGAAGAAGTATGCTAAGGAAGCTTGGCCTGGAAAGAAACCAACGCCTTCTTTGCTCATTTAGCAACTATTTATAAGAAGACTTTTTAGCTTATTTCAAGATTCAAAATGGTTGAGTCTAGAGTTCATGTTTCATGCCAAGAAATCTTTAGTTTTAAACTTAGTGGAACATAGCTGTACTGTATCATGGGCCATGTCATGGCTTATGTCAAGCAAGATACAGAGACTAAAAGCACAGATTAAAGAGACTCCTGGATGCATTTTACATTCTCTCTTTGGCAACATGAGATAGGAACTACGAACACAAAATACTAGTGAGAGCTACAGAGTGTTTGGCATAAACACTTCAGCAGTAGAACAGTTACTGTTCATGGTGTGACATTTGGTTTGTGCATAAGGAAAGTCTGGTTTACCAAAAATTTCCTGGTTGGCCCCCAGAAGGAGTTGGTATTCATCATTGTCACAATTATTTCCCCATCTGGAACTGTGTACAAGAACTAAAAAAAAATTAGGGATGTACAAAAATATTATAACATTTTATTTTTAGCAGATTATTAACTGAAGACTTAGAAATGGTTTTTGCCGTAGGAACTTTTTGAATTTTACGTGCAAATAAATTGGCCTGAGACATTTACAAAGTGAGCAACTCACAGTGTTATACACTCTATGGAGCTTTGTTTGGCAGAGGTTTGTTTTGTTCCCCTTCCCCTCCTGGCCCTGAAGTTCAAAGCTGAGAAGTCGAGGTGAGAATCCAATTTGGATTGGACATGGATGGACTAAACAACAAGGCTTCTTCATAACTCTTTTTATTTCATTAACAATTAGTTGAAATAAAGTAATCCTTCAGTTTCCAATCTAATGAATTAAGTTTTACTTCATCCTGTATGTATAAACTTTAACTTTTCATATATTGAACGTATGGCAAGCACAATTTCAGCCAAAGTCCTCATCATGACCCAAAGGTCACACCCATAAAATATTCCTTGAAAAACACATGACTGTTGCATGCTTTTTTTCCAATAATGTTTACATATTCCAGGTGATACTCTTTCCAAGTCTTTCAAAACCTTATGCCAATTTCATGAAACATTGATTCAGACAGTTTCTGGAACTAGGGGGGAAACCATAACTGGTTTGATTCTTCATCTTGAAGTAATTTGCTGTCAAAATTATGCTTGTTAATTTGTTTGCCAAATAATTATGCCAATAACTCCACCAACGATCGCAATAATAACAAGTAAAATGCACATCTTCTTACGGGCTGATTTCTGTGAAAGGAAAAAAAAATCTGAAGTTCAGTATTTGCACATGTTACTGAAACAATTGCCTCAATACTTTCAAATCCTGTTTGACAGTCTCCCCTTACTTATCAGGAACATTGATAAGTTCAATTCCAGTTAAAACCCTTGAGACAGAGAAAACCAGTTAGCTCTCAAATATAAAGAGATTCTTCCATGGAAATTGCACACCAACCATTTTTAGTATTGAGTTGCCATGCATGAAAAAACAAATGATTGAGCACAGTGAACAAATGAGTTTGATGCATTGCAACAATTACATAAGAATTGTTCCAGCACTTTCCATGGTATGATGTTTCTTTTCATACATACTAAGATTTTTTCACATTTCATTTCAAAGATTGGAGTGAATGACTGAAAATACACCATTTGTCCAAGCCATGACACAAATAATAGTACTTCACACTGCAAATCTCAGTATTTACGAAATAAAAGAGGTAACCTCCAAAGGAATGATATCCTGTTCTGGAAATTAGCAATGCTTACAGTCAATTTATACTCAAAAAACCTGTTTTGGTTCTGAAAGCTACATGAGTCAGTCTTGTACCAGCAGACTATCACAAGGATATGCTTGCCCTAAACAATGATATCAAAAACAAACTTTCTAAATTTTTTTGATCCTTAACCGCTGCCTTACCTGGTATACACTGGCCTTACTGAGTTGGACATTAGCTCCCTCCACATAATTTTGTGCTTGTTCAACATTTGCTTCTATTGAATCTAAAATTAGAGCATACAAAAACATTTCAATCTTTTGTCATTCATTTTAGACATGGGCCTTTGGCTCAGATGTAAGGGTAACCTCATTGCATAATGTGAAATTGACAAGTTGCTTCATTAATTGATTGAATTCAATGTGAAAATCTCTAATTATATAGTATTTTAACTGGCTAGTTGATTCCAAAACTGCAAAAGGCTGTGTCATTTCTCCATCTGTTATATAAACAAATCAGAAAATTACTAAAAACTACATTCAAAACTTGACAAGATTATCTTTTTACCAACAAGATCTCCTTGTTCATAAACCATAGTTGCTAAGTCTCGGAATATTTCATTGATGTCTAGAATATCTCCCTACAAAATGAAGAAAGTAAAATACTTCAGCATAACTTGCATGGCCTGTATACAGCCAACCCTCCACTTAAAAGATTGCACTCAGGTAACAGTTCCAGAGTTTTACACAAATGTCAATAAATACATATCAAGTTATGAATAGAAACAAGAAGTTGGATTTTGTATTCTTTTGCACAATTTAATTGAATTGTTGCCAAACTTCACCTTTTAGTTGCTTATTTTATAGATTGAAATAACAATATAACCCAGACTTACTTCTATCTGTCGGATTCTGTCCTCTCTGTCTCTTATCAGTGATTGATCAATGTCAATCTGCATGTCCAACTGCTCTTGCTCTTGCCTGGTGTCAATGGTATTAGAATTGGATAAATTAAATAAGCAGAGATAAGGATGGTTGAAAATGTAGCAATGGACTGCCCAGAGGAAATCTTCCAAATTTGAAGCAATTTTCCACTAAAAATGAGGAAGCAAGGGCCATTTACAGGGAGAAACTATTTTGTGTCATTCTAGAACAACCCATGTACAACAAGTTAGAAAATATATTAAATGGGAAGGTTTAGTATCCAAACTTATGCAATGTTTACATTTTTTCTAATTGCCATAAAGTTATGGACAGAATGGTTGCCAGAAACATGAAGGAAAAATTGTCTTTTGCCTGCACTAGGAAATTAAAAATAGTTCAAGTAATTTTTTTATCATTATCATAATTTCTATGAGAAATGTGTAAATTCTCTATATTTACCTCCTACGATCATCCTCCATTAAGCCACTTTTCTCATTTCCAAACTCATCATCTCCATATCTTCTACTATCTTGCCTCTGTGGTTAACACATAAATTACCACAATCAGTAAAGGGTTTCTAAAAGTTTCAGTCCAGCTAACTGTAATTTAAACAAGGTTAAAACCAAGTCAGTGCTGTCAGCTGTGACTTGATTGCCATGGCGACCTCCTTACTACAGAGAAGTTGCTTCTCTGCACACACCCCCCCCCCCTCTAAAACTGATCAAAAAAAGGTAGGTGTTGCTAAAAACTGGATGATGCAAGGTATAATATAAAAAATTCATCTATTTAAAAGAATTTATGTTGGTTGATGATAGAAAAAACTGAATTGAGAGTTGTTACTTGAGCAATATTCACATGTTAGACTGTCTCATAATAAAACCAAAAAGTTAAAAAACAATTTTCTGATCACCTGTGAAAGTCCTGTTGAGCCCACCAGAAGCTTCTCCTTTTCAACCACTTTCTACAAGGGATAACAGCAGACAAGATTATAATAAAAAACTGGTCAAAACATTCTTTGTTTCTTGTAACAACTATAATAATTATTGGAGTATATGATTGTGTATAATTATATAATCATCATGTCAAGCAATTGAAGAAAGCAAAACGGTGGCAATTATCCACTACTTACATTTTGAACAGAGTAGTAACGTGAAACTGAATCTCTGAAATCTCCCTTTAATCTTTCATGTTGTAATCGCTGTTGCCTCTAAGTGTAAAATAAAAAAGAAAAATACAATAGTCTACAAGCAAGCAAATGCTATAAATAGTATTAGCTCGGTTAATAGTATGTCAAAACATGACATTAGTTCTTAATTTAGCTTGTTTCTTTTTTCAAAATAAGGGTAAGTACCAAACTTTTAAAAAAAGATGAATTTTTTTAATTGTGCAAATGAAACTTGTTTTTATACGAAATATTTAGTGACTAGTCTCGTTTCCAAAAGTAAGAGTTTTTGGAACTTGAAAACGACTCAATTAAGACACTACAGTCAATTTGGAACATTGAAAGGTCAAATCTTTACACCTTATTGGAGCAAAAATACCTCAATAAAGGAAGTTTCTATCTATTTTAACCAAAAAAGCTGACATTAACATGAATGAACTGTTATTTGCTCAAATTGCCACTTACCACTGTAGGACTATTTCCAACGCAATAAGAACTCATCTGTTTCAACATGGCAGTTGTTTTACCAGCAAGGTCATTTGTAGCTTTCTGTATTCTATGACTGTAAAGAGAAGAGAATTGTCAGGCTAATGGAGGATACTAAGAGTACAACTCTCATTGACTTCTTTTGAAACACTACCTCTCCTCTCAAGGTTGAGTTCCTTTTCCAAGGGTTGGCCAGGTCCATAAGGGTTCAACAGGACAACAGGCCACAGATTTCACCATCAGGTTTCTTAGCTTTCCTTATGTCTCATCATCAAACTTGTAACAATTAAATTTATTATATTTTTTTCTTTTGCTGATGGTAAAGCTATATGTGGTATATGAAACATTTTATCAACAAAGACAGAAATCAACTTACAGTTTTTCCTCTTGACCATCTTTTCCTGCTGTTAACTGTTTAAAGATGCGCTCCAATGCAGCAGCTAAAGTGGAAATCAAAATAAATTCAAAATTATCATACATTACAATTATTAGTGGCAGATTAATGTCACATGTAGTGTGAGACGTTAAAAGACAATAGCGCAACTAAGGCACTTAAAAGTATTGATTAAATAACCAGTTATTGGATACTTACTGTTGTTGTTAATTTGGAAGATGTTGCTACTAACATTGTCACTGAGAATCTGAAAATTTTCACCTAAATCACCTGAAATAAACAGAACAAAGAAATAATAAAGGAATGACTGTGCCTAGTGTATACTGAGTATGCTTGTCATTGTTACATCATTTTCCAACTTTACCTTCTGAGTATCTGGATGATGGCCTGTCAAAATTCACTCTAACACCTGAAGAAAGGGTACCATATGAGGGACTACCAAATTCACCACGAGACATGGTTGCAGAATAAACTATAAATTCAGAAATGAACAGAAAGGTTTACTCTATATGTTACTGACAACTAAAGTTAAGAATAAAATGTAAGCCTCACTCTAAACCATTAATGTCAATTTGTATGTTTGGTAGAGACACCAATCAGACATAAACCACACCACAGTATTAGTTTATACTGCTATTGTATTGTTAAAATGTTCCTTTTGGACCCGTTAACAAGGCACCTTTTAACAATTGAAAATATACAGGTTTTAATTGGTTTCCGAGGTCATTACCACAACCAGGAAGTAAAATAAGGCTTTTACTCAAACAGAAACTTACGTTTTACCAATGCCATCTTTATTTCAAAATAATTTTTTGGTCTTATACCTTCTTTCATATTCCACTTGATATTCTTTGGGCAAGGAGAAGTTGTTCAAGTTCTGTGACTCAAAACTCCCACATTGCAAATATATCAAAACTTGCATTGCTCGTAAAAACAAACCCTTGGCAATAAAAAGGCTACAAAATGTAATGAGATAAAATTGATTTTCAGTTTCATAGCGTAACTGCTTGTTGAGTCCTGCTAATCGACAACATCACGTGATAATATGCAGGCGGATCATTCTCCTGGAGTCAGCAAAAACAGAAAAAACACCTGATTTTTCACAGTACACTTTAACCCCTCACTTACCACAACAAAGCAAAAGCAAAGACAAATAAATTATGTTCGGACAAGCTTGCAACGGGCAACAAACATCCTGAAAATACAAGCATGTTTTTGCGGATGAAAACGAAAGGGCTACAAACCTTAACCGGAATCGTGTCTAGCTACGAATTTCCCGATCTCTTCAAGAATCTAGAAGCAGTGATGTATAACCTCAACCAGCAGTCCTCTAAATTTAAAGGTGATTTATTGAACTTGATCTTCGGAAGAATACAAGTTATCTAATCGACAACCGTGCAAGACCTGCGCCATTTCGCAACGAAAGACCTTCACTTAACCAGTACATTATGTAAGCTTCACGAGACATCCTAATCATTTCTTATTTTTTTTAGCCCCGAGCCTCCCTGAGCCTGCGTTTCTTTCGACCAAACAGTCAACTAGAACTCAGTCTTCATATTCATTCGCTCGTCAATACTATCTGCAGTCGGCCATTCTTCGAGAAGGTAAAATAATAATAGCGAAATGGCGAACAATTTAACACTTGGAATCAATGACGTTCGGAACGAGCATTCTGGAGATGAAAGTGATGAAGATGATGATGATGTAGTCGAGCAAAGTCCATGTGGACGATGGGAGAAGAGAAGGCAAGAGGTACGTATTGATATTAACGCCAGCAGCCTGTCCAGCTGAAAGCGTGTTTTCAGTACTCCCTGTACAATCATTAATCCAGTTCGATTGACCATACAACGAAAATAAAATTGGTTTTTTTTCTTTGTCCGTGTTTATTCAAGAATTCACAATACATGGGCTTCCAAAAGTAGTATGCCTCCAATAGTTGCCAAAGTGGTGTTGTACCCAACTTTCAAAAATGATTGATGCTACACTCGTAAGAGAAGAAAATATTGTATAACTGGAAACAATTTCAAGGATGCTTGTCCATAACATATACGCTGGGGCTAAAAGCCCGGCAGCGGGATGGACGAGCTCAGATAATTTATGTTCACTTAAACAAAAAATTGATTTTTGGAATTGCTTGACATGACATCTGTAAACAAACATCTGATATTCTCAAGAAGTTTGAAATAGCCTTTCAGTTGAAATGCTGTGGAAATTTCTGACTGCCGGGCATTTAGTCTATTTTAGACTGTGCCCGGCTGCAGGGCATTTAGTCACAGTGTGAAATATATCAATGGCGAGATAATGATAAATGTACAAATGTATAAATATTATTTGGGAAAATGTATCTTTGTTTAAATGAAAGCAGTACTATCTCAGATTTCTGTCAATACTCCACTGAAAAGTAAGTAAGACTTATTTTGATTTTTACTGCATCTTCTCAAGGTGATGCAGAGAGATGTCCCAGGTATTGACCATTCATTCTTAGCCATGGATACAGAGGAAGGCGTTGAAGTAGTTTGGAATGAAGTGCAGTTTTCTGAGAGAAAATCCTTCAAAAGTAAAGAGGTATATTTAAATGTTTACAAAGACTTATACTGACATGTATATCCAAGTTATTGCAGTTAAATGTATGAACTTAATGATTGTGTGATTATTACATTCTCAATGTACACTTTATTGAGAAATGTGTCAATATTCTTTAAAGATACTGTTGCAATTTTCAAGACTCAAGGGTATTTTGACCATTCCTTGTAAAATATAGTCTGAATTATTAATTTAATATGCTCTCCCTTCTATGTGTAGGAGAATGTCACAGCTGTCTTTGAAAATCTGATCCAGTTGGATGTAAGTCATAAAGGAAAAAGCTAATAACAATAACAATGATATTTATGATAATAGAAACAATGATAATTATAATTATAATATTATTATAGTTGTTATAATTATTATGATTTTTCTCTGTCTGATCAAAAAGTGCTTTACTCTTTTTTCAGTTTTTTATGTTCTTTAATTGATTTTCTGGAAATCCCTGTTCTCTGTGTGAAAGCTTTTGTAACAAACAATCTAAACCTTTTTTGTTATTTTCGACAGCATGCAAACATTGTTAAATTTCACAAGTTTTGGACAGATACCAGTCCTGAAAAACCTCGGGTCATCTTCATCACTGAGTACATGACTTCTGGATCATTGAAACAGTTCCTGAAGAAGACACGAAAGAGCTTAAAGACCTTGAATGAGAAGGTATTGCTTGTTAAAGATGAAATATTGCACTAATATTTTACAGAATATGCTTTTTAAATGGTGAGCAGCAGCTACAGATAAGTTACAAGAAAGCTTATTTTCAAGTCATAGCTTCTTGGAGTTTTGAAAAACCAATTCAATTTGAAAATATATATCTTTGAACTGTTTCATTTCAGGTATGGAAAAGATGGTTACGGCAAATTTTGTCAGCCTTGAGGTAGAAAATTCACAGATTTTTGTCTTTAAAGTTGTGAATAATTTATCCAACTCAAGAGGAAAGATAAAAACAATGTTCCCTTTTCTCCTGCTATTCCCTTATCATTTTTATTTAATGTGAGTTTATTTTCCTTTTACAGCTATCTCCATGGATGTGAAACACCTATTGTGCATGGCAACTTGTCTTGTGACACAATATTTATCCAGCACAATGGATTGATCAAAATTGGTTCAGGTAAGCAAGGCTTTGGAGCTAATCAGGGGCTTTCATCAGAACTATTTGTTTTTTGTCTTGCTTCAATGTAATTATCTTGTGTTTCATTTCCAGTTGCTCCTGATACCATTCACAATCATGTGAAAACATACAGAGATGAGAGGCGGAATATGCACTTTATTGCCCCAGAATATGGTACTATTTAATTTAAATTTGTTTGCTCATTTATTTGATTGTTCTTTATTGGTAGAGAAAACATCATCTCAGAAAATTGTGTCCTGGATAGAACTTAACTTGAAACAAGAAAATTTGCTGGAATTAAGACCCACTATCAACAAAACTGTTTTGAATGCTTTCACTTACAGGAAAACCTGGACATATCATTGACTGTGCAGTTGATATTTATGCTTTTGGAATTTGTGCTCTTGAGGTAATACTTATGGGTATAATATAGATTGTCAGATTAAGATTGCTGTAACATTATAGTTGGAGAGTACACTGCCATCACTTTATTGCTGTAATCTATGGCTTTTTTCCTTCAAACACTGCACCCCTCACCCTTTCAGTCCATTTATGGCCCATATCATTGGAGTGTTGGTGTTTGTCCCATTTCATATGGTTATATAAGTTTTTTATTTTGGACATTTCTTCCCACTTTAAGACAGCTTTCTAATGATTTTGATCACCTTTGTCTGATTTTATATTGTTTTACCTGTGAAAAAGTTAAAGGAAATTTAGTTTTGATCAACTCTTGCTAGATGGCAGCCCTGGAACTTCATGACACAGAGGGTCGAGTTTCACGAGATGCTGTCTTCAAAGCCATTGCCGGATTAGACTCCGCTAATTCCACTATACCACACCAGCAGGTATAAAAGTGTTGTATTAACCACTGAATAAATTAACTATTTGATCATAAATTTAACTGTTGGAACAATTATTATTTGTCAGGTTGCATTCCTGTGATAAACAATGTAAGTGCTAGCCCCATAATTCTGGAGCTTATTGTAGTCTCTCTAGCAGAAAGTGAAAAGAAGTGCTTCTACTCCCTTTGATGGGATGTCTTTTTATCGAGGTGTACTGTACCCCACCCTCCCTAGCATTTTGTGAGGTTCCTTGGACAATTTTCTGAGCCATTTATACCTGAAGGGATGCAGTGTGACAGTATAGTGTCTTACCCAGAAACACAATACATTGGCCTAACAAGGCTTAAACTTGGAGCTTCAGAGTTCATTGCACTAATGATGAGGCCACAGATTACAATTTGTAAGAATATTTTTAGATTTTTGTATTCTGAAGTGAAGAGTGTCTGTCCATGCCATTTATTTAACACTTCTTTCCATGGGATGTTTATCAACAGGACTTCATTCGGAGATGCTTAGCTGAAAATCCTGCAGAGAGACCTACTGCTAGAGACTTGCTGCTGCATCCAAGTCTGTTTGTGGTAAGTGTGACTGCAGCAAACTCTCTTTAAAATGGCATTTTTTATATCCACAGGGTTTTATGTCATGCTTTTCACAAGATTTTCTGTATTTTTTGTAGAGGTTTACAGAAAATAGAAAGAATTGTAGAATATATTAACGTCAGTATATCAAGCTGCTAACTATGCACTCTGTGATTGTTTAATTAATCAGAAACTTTTCCTCCTTTGTAGGTTCATCCTCTCAAGTTGCTTGCAGCACACTGCATGGTGGATAATGATGGTAAATTTTCTTATTTTTGCATCAATAGCATCAGCTTATTTCCATATACTGGTATAGTAGATTAAATTTTTTACTCGGCTGGTTTGTTAATTCTCATTTCCCATTTGCCGGGTAAGATATTGAAACTGTCATGAGAAATTACATGTCAATCATTTGATCTTTCTAGTGTCTCCTCCTGACAATCGTGAAGACACTGATCCTGAAAGAGTGCTAGCAACCATTGGAAAGGAACTGAATTGGAAGTATGACTTTTATTATATATATTAGTTGAGAAACCAAAGCTGTGTGTTAAATATCATCATAAATTTTTAGTAAGCATGTAAAAAATAACCTGCATCTGAACACAATCAAGAGAAAGTCAGGATAAAATGACAAAAGAAATGTTTTGATTTTTTCCTTGACATATTCTAGAAGAGATTGGAAAAAAAGACCAATCACCAATACACATCAAAAGTTTCTTTTACTGATTATCACCTTGTTTTGAAAGGCGAGGAAAGTCTCCTGCACTGGAACTGGAAAAGTATTTGGAGGAAGTAAGGTCAGTCAACATATACAGTTGTTGAAAATGCAATCATACCAAGCCAGGGTTGTTATTAATGATTTTTGTTTGTTTTACAGCTTTCTAAATAGCTGTACCTTCTGTTTCATTTTCTTGTCATTTTGACTGTTTAATCTTTGCAACAAAAATTAAATGCCTGACTGTAATCCTAAAACATTGCTAAATGTGGTAATGAATTAAAAGATGATATGGTACTTACATTGGTCATAATGTGTGAATGTACTAGAGAAGGAGATGGCATGGAATGTTGGTTAAGCCCAGCATGAATGGGTCATTTGGCTGGTAAGACTTGACTCCCTCTGCAGACAATGGTATCTTTGAAGTGTAACTGGAATTTTTCTTTTCTTTTCCTAGAAATGGCTTGTTTCCCCTTACTGGAATGCAACAAAAGAAGGAGTTGAGACCAAGACAAAGGTTAGCATGAACATTAGAGTGTCTATTTGTTGTCTTCTCTGAAAACAGTTATGCTGAGAACAGTATTTTATATTGATTTTCTACATGTTGTCTTTGCTTTGTTGTAGACCCAAATCCCCTGAAGGAGAGGAATCTGTCCTCAGTGAAAATCAACATCAATATGATGAAGAAACTAGAAGGGTAAATTCCTTTTTTTTTAAACAAAAAAACACTCAACAAGAGTGTTGGACAAAGAGGAATCTATGTTCTCATTAAGATTCCAGCCTCAGTTTTGCGGCTCCTCTGACCATAGGAAAACTTGTTGGTGAGCTGGGCTGCATAATGGTTCAAATGTGGGATGTCTCCAAGGGAAAAAAAAAGAAATAATATCAGCACTGAATTGTGAAAATGTTTCAAGCTCTCTTTTAACTTAGTATCAAGTCTTGATGATAAAGCTATTCTACTGCTTCCATATAAATGTTTATAGAATATTTGTTTCTCATTGTTGATTTTTTATGTTGTTTTTGCAGGCTACTCTTACCAAATGTCAGATCAAACTCAGTCAGGACAGTGCAGACAGTAAACAGCAAACTCAGGTCACTGTTGGAAAATATCACCATGCTAAATATTAGAGTGTAGTGTGACTGGTTGTTGTAAAACCAAACCCAAACAAATGACCAGCTTAAAATGCAGTAAAATGCAAGTGACCAAGACTTAGTTGGTTTTAGTTTTCAATCTGATTGGTTGAGAAAGTGGTGCACATTTTTTTGACCCATCACAGAGCAAAGTAAAGAAAAGCCACAGCAATCTGGACTACTCTTGACACTCAGTTTAAAACTGCACTGTAGGAGTTAGAAGCTCACACCTGGTCCAATTGGTTGAAATTTTAAAGTTCATCATTTTCCTTTTGTTTTAATCTTTGTCATCCATAATCATCCTGATTCATTTTTAGTTTCTTAGAACTTTTTTTGGTGTCTCCCTGCCTTGTAAAACTTATGTTTACACATTTTATTCTTATGATAGGCATGACTTTTAAATAACTAAGTCATAAAGGAAAGCTAAATATTATCCACTTTACTGAGCTGCCTTAAGAGTTAGTCTCATATAAGACTTGTAGTACAACAAACTTAATTTTTGATTAATGATACGTTTTACATATATAGTATAGAAATGTTTGTTCTCTTTAATCCACAGCTGGAATTACTCCTTAAATTGGATGATAAGATGAATAGACATCTTGTGAGTGATCTTCGTCCAGGTATAGTCCATAATATTTTACTACTTCCTCAGTTATAAATAGAAACTGTTAACAAGTTCCAGTCGTCTTTCCTTGACTGATATCATTTGCATTAACTTGAACTTTTCATTAGGTTCTATTCCGACCATCTACTTTCCTGCTATAAGAATTTTATATTAATATGAGTTTTTTTTTTTAACTTGAGTCACCATTTTTGGGGATTGTTGTGTAATTTAAAATGATTTTTTTTTGCAGGGGATAAAGGAGTGGACCTGGCTGACGATCTAATCAGACATGGACTATTAAACAAGGTAAATTGACGAGCCAATTACCATATTTTTTTATTGAAGCAGCTCAAAATGTAGTATAATTTTTTAAAACCATTCCGATGGATCGATTCTATCACACTCTTTGAGTGTTCCCTTGATTCCCTTGAATGTGGTGTCAAAAGTATGTCCAATTATTCCTCAATGTGTACCGGTAACAATGCCACAGCCTCTTTTAAAAAAACCTCTTTAATCTTAGCTTTATGTGCCTGTAAATTAGAAAAGAGATCAGTAGCTCTCAGTTATTATCAATGATAAGACAGCATATCGACATCAATCTTGCTGCCAAGTTTTATAACTAATCTGTACATCATGTTTAGAGCCATCTAGATTGATAAAAACATTTTAAGCAGTTCCGATCTCTCTGCGCAAGTGCGATCCTTTGTAGGAGCTGACGTTTATTTCCTGATGTTAATTGTATTTCCAGGCGGACCGAGAAGAATTAGCCAAATCTATACAAACACAGTTAGATTCCTACCCTACCATTACAACTTGTAAGTATTCATTTGGTGTGCAGAAGTCTACATTGTTTGAAGCACCATTTTTTAAACAAGGACATGAGTACTTTAAGGGAAAAGCTACGGCTTGTTTGTGTTAAAGTAGTTAAAGCTGCTTCATTTCAATGCGACACTTTGCAATGTTTGCGATGAATATCGTTCTTCCCCTTTATTGTGTCCGTCGTGTAGTTGGTGATTTACTTGGTTAAGGAAATTACAGTCAATTACAGGTTGCATTTTTAAATTACACTCAACAGTGATTGATAAGGATAAGAGGAAAATAGATAACACGCGCGACCTTGATCCGTGATCGCTAAGTTTTCGTTCCGTTTCTTTCAGAATTTTGGCCGTTTGTTCCTGTCCGGATCAATTATAACAAAGAATGTGAACCGGCCATTAGAACCAAAGCGTCGAAGGGATTGGTTTCCTTGAACATCTTTGTACATACACGGGAAATTATCATCGACGCTCATTCGGTTACCAGTACCTCTCGTTTTCGATGGCAACCATTTCGCGGAATGCAACGCATCCCGTCATTCCTCCCCTAATACATATCATAAATTGGTGAGCTGGAATTGCCTAGAAAAATATTCGATTAATTTTCATCGTTCTGTTTGGTATTTGAAGTCTACATTTTTCTCTTGTATGCTATGACTTCATGTTGTTACTACTTGGTGCAGGTGTCGCGGAGCAACTTGTTTTGTTATTGTCCTTTTGTGGACGAGTTAGAATTCCTATGTTGGTCTCCCAAGAAGGCTATAATGCACGGGTTGAACGTTCCTTTTTGGTCCCTAGGAGCGATTGCCCTCTCTTAAAATTTTGATTGATGGCAAGTTGACATTTGTTTTGCAATAATGTTATGATGTTTCTTTATATTTTTAAGAGGTTGGGGTGGGGGGGGGGGGGGGGGGGGGGGGGGGGGGCCACCGAAAGTTGTATCGACAACCGGTCGTGCATTTGTATCCAGATAGGATTTATTAGTCCATATTACTGGGCGAGAAGTGAAAGAATTGGCAGCAAATTTAGTGCAGTTGGTTCCACGGAATGACATTCAGAATGTAGAATATTTAATAGACTTATTCTGAAAGATAAGTTTAAAACAGGAGCCCATTGAACCAAAAAGCTAAATTCTCCTGAACTATTCTTCTCAAACTGTCTCAAAACAGTGAGGAGAACTTTGATCTGATCTTGAAAAAAGAAATCAAGACAGGTAGCATCTGTATTAGAGATGAGAGTCCTATGTGAGAAAAAGTGACGAAACCTCTTCTAATAGGAAGAAATATCAATATGATAAATTATCATAAATTAATTATTAACCAAGAAATCAACTATAATTTATCAAATATATTGTCCTTCGAATTCGGTCAGTCTTTTCGCCACAGCTTGTTTTAGTTTTGATCTTAGCAGAAACGAGACATTTCGGTAAATCAACGTGAAATCGGATCTCTCCCGGATCAACAGGTCACGTGGTGCGTTGCGCGTCCTTCAGTAACCTGGCCTCCAATGTCTTGACTGATCGTGGCACTTATTCATCCGATGGTGCACGAAAGTTTTTGTGTTACCTCTTTTTTCACCGCAGTGAGTGCTAAGATAGCTAGTTCTAAGAAGGATTGAGTGGATAATCATCCTATTTTTCCTTCCAAGATACGTTTTTTGTTGCCACCTTGGCATTCGAGCTTTTCGTGTTAGGATCCAATTTTCTCGTATCCCTTTTCTCCTGATCCACAAATGGCGGTTCTTCTCGTTCTTGGTCCAAGCTGTTTGTTTTCCCGAAATCTTTCGCAGAGAACCATCCCATGACACACCCAGCGTACACTATGGGACTTTTGTACCCAGTCGCCGCAGCCTGGCGCGCGGCCTCTATCCTACGCATGGCTGACAGATATTGACCGCTTGCCTGTGATCGCTGGCCTGTCTTGCAGTACAACGCAAAGTCCTCACAATTATTTCCAACAATATTGAACTGACCAAATCCTTCTCGAATTGCCTTGCGCGCGCGATCAATGACGGTGGTGACATCATCGCTATGTGTTGTTGTGCATGTACCACGGGGGTATCTGCTAAATTCCTCCGCGGTCACTCCGTATTGGTATAAATACCAATCGAAGCCGTCAGATCCCAGGAACTCGTCGAATTCGCTTTCTGCAATCGCTGAACTGTCCATTCGACCAGTTTCAAGAGGTGTTTGGAAATGCACCACTTTGCTTTCTCCCACATAAATACCTGCCGGAAAATAAGATATCCATAACTGAAAAGTACACAGCTAGGAGATAGTTATTATTGGAAGACGATTGAAGGGAGGGTGCATCACACATATCACTGCCTTTGACATTGATAGGAGAGGTACATAACAATAGAGTACATCGACACAAGGTCAATATAGAGAAGCATTCCATGCTCCTTTGTTAAAAATGTAGCTTATTTTACATCAAATTTTGCATTGTATATCCTTACTGTACATGATTTAAGGCGTTCTCAGCTCGCGCACAGTAGATAATGTCAAACTCTTCGCTCAATGGCGGAAATTTGCATGCTTCCCTCTTTTATGAATGGAACAATAAATTTCCTTTTGCGTATTGAAAGTAGATAAATTCCTAGTGAGCAATGTTGTGTAAGTCTTTATAATCATAGCAATGATGATGGTCAGAAGGGTTTATTGTAAAAATACCAAGATGCTGCTTTTCCTAAACCAAGCTTTCAACCATCCCCTTCCTCCTTTTTTTCCCTATTATTTAATTTATTTTAAGGTAAATAGCCAGTGGATAAAGTTTGTAAGAAATCTTGAAGTACCGACCTAAGATGCGTTACGACGTCCTTCATCATGGCTAGATTCAGGTACTACCGCGAGAAAATCCATTGTCTCATAATTGGGAAGATTTGCATTTTCGTTTTTCTTTCTTAGTCTTAATCAGAGGGGTGAATGTTATTACTGATATTTCGAGACGTGAAAGCGAAGTAATTTTTAAGTTTTCTCCCAATTTATAGCCTGGATTAGGGTTGCAAAACAATATTCAATTATGATCGATAACAAATAAAGGCTAAAAAGAACACAGAAAAAAAGTGATTGAAGCAACCTACCGTGATGCGCGTAGCTCAAGGAACGAAGAACATAAATATGGTCCCCAGTGTTGGGAATAGATGATACTTTTTCAGCCTGTTTCATGGCTAAATGGTTTAAATTATAAGACACTATATTCGTTTCATTACAAATGTAACAACCACCTGCAACATGGACGTCGCGGTCTGGCATTGCGCCAGCCGAAGGTTACCCACAATACACCCGCAAGTATTACCGTGCCACAGAACCTACCTTTAATTTTTTAAGTTATTCCCCTCTCTGAAAGGTTTGCAAATTGATTCATTGTAACAGTCAGTGATCAACTATCAGTACTATATCGTACCTTTACGCTTTACACCAGTGTATTCAGAGTTAACTACTATTTCCGTTTGTACCTGTTGCGGGTAGCTCAATGATAATAAGCTCATTGAGTCTCGAAATTGAGTTGGTTAGGCTTTACTACGCTTTATGATTAACGTAGATAAACATCGCACAATCCTCTCAACCAATTTGATGGTCCCCAAAAATCAATCGTGTCTTCGGCACTCGCTTTTTCCCGCGTTTGAGGTCGTTGCCTGTATTTACTCAGGATTAGTGTGAGCCAAATACGAAATTCATCTTTGTTATGATCGTCAGTTGTGGTTTCTTTGGTAAAGGTTTAATAAAGAAACGCTTTATGTATGAATCAACAAATATTAGACATTCTGCGTTTTGTTTCCAAGGACCTAAATTTTTCAATTCTCTAAATATAGAAATCCAAAATCATGGTACGTCATTGTCCCTGTTTGAGTCTAAATTGCGAGCATTACCCCTGAGCTGACCCCCCTCTTGCTTTTTATTCTTACTTTTCTCAAACTTCTACTATATGTTTTTTCGAGTGCCTGCTGTACATGTTGTTTTACGTGCGTGTGTTCTTTTCTTTTAAAGCCAAAATATTTTAAATCTAAATGACGCCATATACTAATACCTCACTTTTGTAAAATATGAGGAGTCGTAGCTCGCATTAGCTACTTAGTTTCTCTACGGGTTCTTTCGCCACGGGTTAAATTTTCAATAATATTACATTGTATCAGTAATGTATATGTAATTCCTTTTATTTCCAATGACGTATTGTAATTTAAAAATGGTTCACCAAACTTCAGCTACTCCTTGTGTTTGAGATGGAGAAAATACAGTCCATCTGAAGCCTTGAAAGTTAGTTATTCCTAAAGCTCATTGATAACCAGTGTGCCCTATAAGTATCAGTGTAATATGCACCTGTTCGCTACAATTGGTAACATGAGTACGCTTCAGACAAGTGGGTTGACAATCTTGAAGGGATTCTAGAGCCAACGTTTCGAATCATCGTAGACGGTTTCACAGATGCACAGAGAGTTACATGGGACAAAAGTCGTTAATTTCAAATTTTATTTATTTCCGAGACTTACAAAGCTTTGTTGTCAAATTGAATGCACACTTACCTATTAAACGTATTAGAACAATACAATTTTAGCCGGAGGTTGCCTCGTTTCATTTTGTTTCTTTCTTTTCATAAATCAGACCAACCAGTGAAAGTTCATTGGAGTAAAAGTTTTACAAACGTTTTGAATCCACCGAAAGAAACTTCAGTCAGTGGGCACAACTCAAATATTGCTATATAAATTCAATTGATATTTATAAAGGAATCGGAGAAGAAAATCTTATTGCCGTTCCATACATAATGAAATAGGACGGCTAAGGTTTTCTGTCATCTGACAATCTCAATACGCCTACAGTCCGGAAGAAAAGAATGGTTTTTTTTTGGTCAAATTCTAATATCAAACGGTCGATTTGTTTTGTAACCTACCTGTTTTGCTTTCTTTTTGTGATAAATGCAAGCATAACAACGCATAGTTTCAAATGGCAGGCTATATAGTTAAATGAAGCCTTTTCAACTCTCTGAAGTTCCTTCAGAAATAATTGGGTTAAAATTTGATAGATGTAACAGTAGATATATAATTTCTAAACGTCATTAGATATCCCACCAAATTTTTCTACCACATTTTTTGTATTTGAACATAAGGAATACTCCGCCCTTTTGTTCAAAGTTGCAGTATTTATCCAGAGAAATTGGGATTTCTTTCACTCCTTTAGCGGATCAGTGCCTTAGCTTTCCTTCCAATTCAATACTCTGTCTAAAAGACAGCAAACGAGAATGAAGGAAACGGTCAACTGTTTAAATATTGTACCAAATTGTCAGCATTTGCCAACAAAGGGATGTAGCCATCATTTGGAAAAAATCGTTTATCAGATTTTGAAGTCAAGGAAAATCAAATGTTCGAGAGTACTTTTGCTCTGTAGTTCACAATTTCTCTGTGAAATTGTCGATCCATCCAATTTTTCATGCATATACGTAGTAATCTTCTCAGATTTCTTGAATGTGACGCCATTGTCACTTCATACCAATGCAGAATGTTGGCAATCAGCCCCACGTGCTCTGTTTTATACACTGCGCTTCTAAATCGACACTGGACTATCAGCGGTAGGTTTTTTCAAAGGAGGCTTGTATACGAAAAACGCTGGTTGATTGTACGTCCGGGATTGCTGCTCAGTTGAGTCCGACCCAGGCTCTTGAATTTGTCCCTCTTCATTTTTACTGGGTTTAAATGAGCCCGAATAGCGATGATTCCAGCGGTAAAGTAAAAATACCACGATGAAGACGATACCCATTGCTCCGAGTACTATTACAATGATAACCCAAGCGGACACGCCTCTGGGTCTCGGTGTTGGGTTTCGAAATTTTGCAACCACCGTTGCCTGGGTCTTTGGTCCACCGGGAGGGTCACGTGATGGTACCGAAGTCTCAGGCTCTGTGGTTATCAGTTTGGCTAAACGTGAAACAAAACAACAGATGTAATCACAACTGCGGCTGGATTGAAAAACTTACTTTTAAGTCTTTTTCCCCGTGAAAATGATCGAAATGTTACCTGAAGATTGCGAGAAACCTCAAAATACCACAGTTAAACAACTCTTGCATAATGACTCACCGTTATTTACCTTTACATTCAAGACTAACATACCCTCAAAGTTTCAGTGCATTATCCAGCAAAAAGGTGATGTGAATAGACAAACTTATAAGATTGAGAGTGTTCATTTTACGCAATGCCAAATTCTATAAAATTATTTACGATGGAAGTTTAAGCAGCTCGAAAGGAGGATTACTGATCAGATCGTGGCCAAGATACGAGAACTAAACCTCAGACTGAAACTTCATTTATTTGAGTAGAACTCTTGCTCTTATTTCTGCTGTATTCAAGGTGGCATCGATGCTTGAGGCAGAAGCATCTGGGAACCATGTGATTTATATCTTCCCTATTAACAATTTTATGTGAAATGCCATGGCTTTAACCGTGTTTTGACCTCAAAGATGGTAACCAACTATCGCAAGTTGTGTTCAAATTTTCTTAAAATGCAACTTCGCACGCTTGCTAAGTAGCCGGGCCATCGACCAGTGACATAAGAAAGTTGTTCTCTTTTCATCTCTCGGCGATATGTTTTAAAAAATTAAAACTTTCAGAGAGGGCAATCTTGACTTAAATATTTTTTAATTTCTTTTTTCTCTTCTTTTTTTGTTAGCGATAACCAGAAAAGCAGCCTTTTGTAATTTTTTCTGCGAGGGCATTTGAGTAAGTTGAACAGATTAGTTTCGAAAAGAAATTATCGTTAAATAGTCCTTACCGGTGGGTGTCGGTGTCGACGTCGCACAAATTTCTGAGTCGTCGTCATCATTGGAGCAGTCGCCTGAAACATCATCAGGCTGCTTACAGTTCATTTGCGCGTCTATCAGATTTGTGTTACTCGACGATATACGATTTACCTCGGTGCCAGAAAAACCCTTTGTGTTTGACAATGCATTTTCAAGAACATCCATTCCTTCAAATCGAAACTTCTGTAGATAGCCGTTGAATGAGAGTGTTTTTGATTTTGATTTTTCTCGTATCTTCTTCGCTGGTCCACCACCGAAGTATATGACATTAGAGTGATTGTTTAGATTCAGTTCTTTGAACTTTTTAGTTGAAGAATTGCCACTCGTTCTGACTTTGTCAACAATTAGTGTCAATCGTGACCTTCTTCGTTTGACCTCCACGAAATGCCAACAGCTGTCGTTCAAGGAACTTTTACCACTTTGTACTTCAATAGTATCTACATTTTAAAGTAGAATTGAAGAAAAGTAAATTGTCAACCGAAGCAAATCGCTCGCATTCACAGCCATCCCTCGCCCCAAGGATAGAGCGACTTGCCTACTCGCGTTTCTTTGGGCTTGTGACCCTCTGCGTTTACTCTGAGTTCCTTCCAGCTTTCTGTGATATTTATCTTTCTTCTGATTAGCTGTTGTAATTTTTACTATTTAATTAGAATACACTTGTATTTAGGGACGAATTATGTATGACCATTGATACAGCAATGATGAAAGAGGGAAAACTCACTCGATCAAGGCGTTGTGACTTCCTCACTATCTTACAAGTGCTGCTTTCAACTAAGTTTTGCGAAAGTCACGTAATACGAACGGAACCTCACCTCCTCCAACGTTTGCCTGAGCTCGCACTCTCCCATTGACAAGCTCTACAAGCAAGTGATCCTTATTCCCTCTCATGTAAAAGAAAACACCGTCGGTTGCTTTATTTGTTAGAAATAGAAAGTCTAATGCGTTCCTTTCTGTTGAACGTAAGGGACTGTCGATACCCAAGCTGTACGATATGTGTCCTTTTTCCTTGATATACACAGTTGTGGAACCTGGTTGGATAACAAATCAAATCATCATCACTCATGCTGCCATTTATTTGAGTGATATTTGATATACGTGTTGTAAGCCTGATTGTTTCAGTTTCTTTTGTTGTTAGCAACAGTTCTGCTCCTTTAATATCTTAACGAGTTTCATATACTGCACATTTGTAAATGATTCTATAAGGCCTTTTGAGCCACTAGCACATTTCTTGGATTTCAATGAGCAGTTCTTACAAGGACAATCAACCTCCCCTTTTTTTTCCCATTCATTGCGACCTACCCAGACCGAACTTCAATATTCTGCTGTCGTGAATCTTTTTGTTACCAGAAGAGGCAGAGAACTATTAAGAAAAAGAATGGGTGTAGTATGATTTAAGTGTCTTACGTTTTTCGCAGCTCCCTCCTTGGTACCCAATCCCTGTGCAGTCACACTCGGCGTATTTGATATAATCGACGCATCGACCTCCATTGGCACATCTTTGAGGCCGTTCTGCGCATGCTCCAGTGCAGTTGTTCTCCGCCTCACTTGGACTAGTTAGAAGTTTCGCTTGCTCTAAGCGACCATTTGGAATTCGGTTGAATCTGATATTGCCAATACATCCTTGGAAGCTGAAGGGATTCCCTCTGGGTTAAGACATGAATCCAGTCGTTAAAAAAGTTTTACAAACCATAGTTGAAGATGGAATGAAAAGTATGGTGAACTTTTCGCTGGGTCGTCCAATAAAGAAAGATATCAACCTTCGTCTCAGTATTAATCAAGGACAAAACTTTATTTCCCGAACAAAAAGGAACCTAAGATCCTACTATGCCCTCCCAAATGAGATACAGAGATCTCGTAGGTGAACTGTGTCATGAAAGGTTCAAATGGAACAAGTACCCTGTATATTAGAAGGATCAACAATGTGGAAAGCGTCCCGTTTGTAGATAGACGGAGAAAGAACTCGGGAGTCTTTTGTACTCGTTCGTCGATTAGTAGAAGATATTTTGTGTCCAATTGTCAATTCTATAGATCTGAGACTCAAATTTTCTCGGAGATGGTTTTTTATTTCGTGACAATCATTTGACATCTTTCTATGATTTAAAAGCTATGATTGGAAATGATCTCTCGCTGAGTTGACTGGGAGAGTCGTGTGCACGGATTAATAATTCATATGAGCGTGAATTAAAAAATAACAAAGCGCGGACGCCATAATCATTCATTTATGAAGGTTAAACAAATGAAAATTTTATAACGTTTAAACGATTTACGACTGAAACATGACAGTGAAATAGTAAATAAACTGTGCAACTGAAAAATACATGACACAGTCTCCCTTCCTTCCACTCAGAAAAGAAGCTTACGAAAGGAAAGTAGTGGGAGAATAAATGAAGTATTGCAACGATTCTTTGAGAAGCAACTGTGTTGTAAGTTGATATTTTCACTGAGTGTTTGAGGGCACGTCATTTTGTCAACCCTCGACCCTGACCTTGTTCTAGTTGTAACCGTCAGCAAACTCGAGTGCGTATATAGAAGCCATTAGTTGACGCATTTCTACGATGACAAAGTCATATCTCAGCAATAATTAGTAGATACATTACCCGTAGAATTCGTTGAAAAAACTTGGATAGGACATTTCAGACCCTTTAAATCCCTTTCTAAAAGGAAGACCAGCGATTAGGAGAGACTCGATGTTTTGGTGGCTAGTGGTAGACGGATTATACTCTGTGTATGGAATTGGATCTGCGCTGTATACGTTTCCATCAGTTGAATTAACAAAAAAACGTATTTCGCTCCCAGACAACTCAATTTTAACTTCATGCCACCCCGAGTCGTCGAAATCCATTTTATCCTCAATAAACCGCTTTTGGATAGAAGCCATGTTTTGTCCCATCTTAACGCGAAGTCGAAGTTTCCCCTTTATCAAGAATAAATCCATGTGCTGGCCGTGTGTTTTCTCCTCTTGATAAAACATCATCATTTTAGATTTGCTCCAAGTTTTGAAATAGAATTGCAGAGTGGCATTGGCAAGCCAATTCCATGGTTCATATTCAGCATGCGACTTTAGTTCGCCGAGGAAATAATATCCTCCGCTTTCTCCTGCTACCTGGCTTATTGAGGGAGACATTGAACTCAACACATAGGTAAGGCTGAAGAAAATACCTCGCACTAACATGGCTGCAACCTAACCTGCAACGTCAAAATGGCTGTCTTTCTTTATGTCCAGAGGGTTGAAGCTAGCTTCTCTTTACATTATGAAGCTTTAAAACAGCGGGCAAACGTGCGCTGTGTTTTAATCGCACGCACAAGTAAAATGATTCGCTGGTTTCCATCGGCCGCCGACCACATAGTCACTATCGGAAGATGAGACGATCTCATTGGCAAACACGAATTCTAAGCTTATCGCGTGAAACTCAAGAAGAAGAACAAAATAATAACAGCTCTCCAACAAGGCGAACGTCATCAGATTGAGTTAACTGTTGGAAAATATGACCAGCCTTTAAAAGCCATATCGCTCCGAACTCTTGTAGCAAGCGTAATGTATGTGCGCTATTGCCAATTCACCTGTTTTCCACATTGAAGTCTCATTATCTTAGGCTATTTGACAAAGTTTAAAGACATAAGATGCGTTCTATTTATATGTAATTTTCTCTTTGGCCATTCACAGGCAAGATTGGGTTTTTCATATTTCTTGAAATGCAACTCATTAGCACCGTGTATAAAGATTTCGTATTAAAGCTCGTTATTTTCATCCTCTATTATTTTAAAACAATATTCACAGCGATCAAAATTAACCCCATTCGCTTGGCTGAGATTTTAGCCTGGCCTCTAATTGTTTACAAATATGGAGTAATTTTCTGTGCATTTTTTGAGTCACTCCATTAAAAATTTACAACTTGATATTATTTGACGCCGAAATGCGAGCTTCTCGTTTGGTTTTGTTTCCACCCCACGGCAAAACCGTTTTTCAGTACTGCGATCACGTTGGGTGCTCACATTTTAATAAAAAGCAACATAAAACGGCATTATTGTGAAAGGAAATGTGGGAAAGACCGCCCATTAAATAATTATTCACAGTTTGCCTTCTGTTTTTCTCTAAAAGGTGCTCTTGTAAAATAAACATGAGTGTTCTCACGCGACAATCATTCTTAACGCGTTAGCGGTGAAGAGTTTTTTTTTCACATTTCGGAGAGTGGTTTCGATTGATGTTGGTCATTTCAAGTTCTCTTTAGAGTTTCTTTTCGGCGAATTGACGCGCACGCAAATCATGACTTGTGCCAAAATACCACACAAAACCAAACAAACGTAAATTATTTTCAATATGTTGAAAATAATATATATATATATATGAAATGCTACCATAGTAACTTAAAACAAGCTGATGTTATCAATCTTAGCTCTACTTTTCATGTGTGATCTCCTCGACTTTCTATTTTCCGCGTTTGTTATCACTTTGTGAACCATTTATTATAATATTTTATTGTTATATTGCTTATAACACATGTGTTTCTTTATGTGAGCAAAAACTTTGATCGTACACAGTTTATCTCTGTTTTGAGGAATCTTCAATTGATATATTTGAGTTTTTTACTAAAAGGTAAACCAATACAATAGCTTGTGATTTTAAAGCTATAAGCTCTGATGACCTTGAATACTTATAATAACGATAATGATTGTAATTATGATATGGCAAAAGTATATCCTTTTCGAGCCGGCTTTGATATCCGGTTAAAGAGACCATCTTAAGATGCTCAACTAATAAGAAATATATCATTCGATTCGTAGTATCAGTTCTTAAATGTTTACATTGAGACTTTCCATTCAAATTAACGGAAATGATTCTCCTTTAAAACGTTGAAATATTTGATGTTTGTGACTACTTGTGAAGTCTGTTTTGAAGTTTTTTTTATCTCCATTCATTGGCACAGTGTTCTCTGGATAGCTTGAATGATTTTTACTGCACATCGAAGCATGGATTTGACGCAGTTTTTTCTGCAGTTTCCTTTTTCTTTGCTCACAACGATTAATAATTGACATGTCTTTTAGACTTGTGCTTGACGTTATGATTCCCATCAATTTTATCCACTGTCAAGGAGAAGAGGAAGTATCTGAATTCCACTACCGAATATTAAAAGGTATCACTTGGTTGTTAACGAGAATGAGAGTAACTTCCAGAGGAACCACTATGGCACCTGGTGAAACAAATTAAGTAGAAGATTGCCCCATTACGATAAATTTTTCATCCTAGTTTCTTTGAAGAGTCTTGGTTTAAATAATAAATAATCCTTAAAGTTCCACATCACTACATTCACATTGCTCCTTTTTCCCCATACGTTTAATTCCTTGACAACAAAGGTTGCAGTTATCATGTTACACGAAGATAGTTGTATGGCCTTGTTTTCGTTGTTTCTTTTTCACCTCTAAGGGTAAACGTCGTAAAATTTTATTTACAAAAACGTGCGCCTCGAATTTTGAAAGTGTTAAATTGTGGTCTTCTTGTCTCAACGCCAATCACCTAACGAAGGTTTCTGAAAATAAAAATTTAAAAGCATATTAACAAGAGATGAAAATGTCTAGTTCTTATGTTCTATACCCAACTGTCTGAGAACAAAACTACAAAAAAAAAATTATCAAAAGAAATTAGGGCTTTGTTTAATTTGACCATTTTTAGGTTTTAAGGGGGGCATTCGATCATTTGTGTCCGCTGAGTATGAAACCATCATTAAAACTTTTGTCTCTAATTGGCTACCTATGAGAAAGTTAACTGCATTTTTTTACCCCATGTAAGCTTCTTTTTGTCGAAATAGGTGTTCGTGACTAACCTGACATTGTCGATGTGTCACTAAACCCAATGATACCAGACTGAATGGTACGACCAACTGTTTCACGTTATGAATGAAAAAAACTTACTACTCCTTACCTCGCCGGCGGTCCAGACTCTGTTTTTGTGGCGTTTGAATGTTATCTTTATATTTATATTCATATATATCGAGTTCCAAAACTCATCTAATCAGTTTGAAGGGCGTTTCTTGATCATCGTTGACAACTGAACACGCAACAACTTGCGAGAGACTGGTAATAAGAGCGAAGCGTGAGGGACCGTGGGAAGACAAAGAATATGTGAACCCTTCCACCTTTGCGCGCCCATGGTTTTATAAGTAGAGAGAGGACTTTGTACATCGCAGGTGTTGTGGCATTTTTTGAAAAAGAGATGACTGCTGAAAAACAAGACGAACCTCCATTTTATGTGAAAGAGGAATGCCTTATTAGTAATACTATTGGTATTATTATTATCATTATCATTGGTAAAAGAGTTGAACTGCGAGGTTACGGAGCAGTAAAAACACATTGAGTCCAGAGATGGAAGTTTTCAATTTTTATTTAAGTAAATTTGTATTTCACTCGCACTAAGTAATGGGCTCCTGACTTTCGCTACATGTTAAATTTCACTCAAAATTATTGAGTGACATGCTACATACAGCAGCAGTACTACTGATGTTGTCTCGGTCTTCTTGTCAACGATTGATATGTATTTAAAACAAACTACGATCAAGTGCCGAGAGAAATTTTAAAAGCTTGCGCCATCTTTTCGACCAATCAGAGGTAAAACTTCAACTAAACGCGTCTTGGTCACTTACGCTTTCCCGCGCTTCAGGTAGTTACCGCTTTTTTCACTTTAAGTTCTCATTAAATTGTTATATTTTTCTTGATCTGACGAGCTGTGGTAATACACCACTCTTTTGCTACACTAAAAACTCACTGAAAACGTTCTTTAAGACAGGAAGTACATTTTTAAACATTTTATAGTTACATTCTTCTTCTTTTACGTGATTATTATTGCATAAAAAATGCGGCGTGTAAATACATACTTATTATTACTTAATCACCACAGTTTCACGTTTCCTGCGTAAATCCATTGGTTAGTTTAAATACAGATGAAAGAAATACTACTAATAACGTGAGTCATTTACTACTTAAATTCAATCAAACTTTTCTGCAGAGAACGAATGAAAAATGACAACATAACGCAGATTGTGTACTTAATAAGCCGTTGGACAAAAATCAGTTATGAAATTTTTTGGTGTTGATATCTTATAGTACCTACATAGTTTGTTACTTGCAGAGAATAACGGGAACTGGTAAGAATTTCTGAAGCGGTTACAACGCTGAAAGATTCCCATTACCTAAACCTCTAAAAGATAGATAATATGAAGTATTGATACGGTTGTTCTGTCATTTAACAGCCTGTTGATCTACTCTCGAACCCAGTCCTTCATAAAGCGCAATTTTATCTACACTGTTGAGGCTTAAGATTCTTCCGAGACTCCAGCTTTCAGAGGAGTAGACCAAGTCACTATCAGGCTACATCAATGCCGATGAGTAAAGCTGTCATATAAAGAAAAAGGCAAAGCGGCAGCGAATCGACCAGAAGTGAAACTCCATTATGGGCCTTCTTGCTTTCGCTCACTGCTACACCTTTGGTGCTTTTACCTGGATCATTTACATTGTCGCCATCCCCATTGCCTGCACCAACATCTCCACCGCTACTGACGTTATTGTTGTCGTCTCTGGTGTTGTTTTTCTGCGCGGTGACATCTGTTCCATTGGAAACTGTTCTGTTCACATGTGAAGATTCCGTTGAGTTGATATGCTTCTTTACTGCTGCGGTGGAAATTTTTAATACTCATTAACTTTTGATGCGCTGTTAATATGATGATTGTATTATTAAAAAAGTTGATTTTGAAGATCATAGTGGGGTGGTGTAAAGCAAAATTGGTTTATTCAAATATAAGCGATTATCTTTTAGCTGCCTAGAATAAGGCAATTAGCTAAATGTATTTTCAACATTTATCGGAGATGAATTTGTCTCAGCAACCTCTACATTAGGCACACCCTTCTCTCAATGATGACGATGAAAGTGAAAGTTAAATCAATACGAAATTTACTCAAAATCAAACAAAATGTAAGATAATAAAGTCAAGAAAAAGTCCAATTTTTCCTCCTCAAGGGGTCTTTGATAGCGGGCCACTTTCTTTGAGGTAGGAAGCACATTTTTTGAATAAAATAAACATGTTTACGATGGTATTTGAATTCGTCCTTGGCCAAACATAAACGACTCCACAAGATCACTTTCTCCAGGTATCGAAAACATTTCCATTCGTCCAGTGTTCTCAAAATTACCCTCGAAACAGCCAAACAATTTTCCTCCACGGCCAAAAATGACACAAAACCCACTTTGCAGCACACTTGCAACTGCTCAACCTTCTAGCATCGAAAGACCCCCTTCAAGAGTAACGCACAACGATGTTTACAATGAAATGACTGCAACTAAACCACCAAAGAGAAAACTCGGCCACCTTTCGTAGAAAAATCATTGTTCAATAAAAACACCGCTTAACATTGCATATCAATTAAACACAATGTCACACGAGGCGACAAAGCTTCCTGAGAACCACACAAAATCGACTATAGTTAATTTCAATCAGACACTCATCTAGAGATAGCACCGAGCAAACCAATCCAGAAAAATATAATCGGCCCACTCAACAAATCATCAATCTTGCCACACAGCTTGCCGTTAAAGAATTGCTCAAATCAACATGTTTGGTGCAGCTCATCAACACCTCAAGCAACATTTGATTCAAAATTTTTCCAATCACTCTCGTCGTGAAGGAACAATAACAAGGATTGTGCTACGGTGCACAGAACTCCACTTCCTCTCGAACAACTCTCAACCATTTTCACAGCACGAGTAACATGTTTACTATAGGTTATCTGATGTCGTTCATCTGCCTAATAGTATCGCATTTCTCTCAAAGCGTGGTAAAATACGCGTTAAAAACACAGAAAAGCCAACATTTCACATTCTAAATGATGATTCTAGTCTACGAACCCGGGTTAATTCATTGAAATTTGAACACCTCTCAAACCAAAGAACCAAAAAAACCGACGCTCTGATTGGTGCGAGATACATACCCTAAACGATCTGATTAATGCTAGCAACATACCACTCTATACGCTAACAAAGAGTTATTTATTTATTTTTTTAAGTAACTTAAGAAGGGCAAACCGGCGGCGAAACGACTGGAGGTGAAACTCCATTATGGGCCTTCTTGCTTTTGCTTCCTGCTACTCATTTGGTGCTTTTACCTGGATCATTTACAATGTCGTCGCTCCCATTGCCTGCTCCTACATCTCCACCGCTACTGACGTTATTGTCGTTGTCTCTGGTGTTGTTTTTCTGTGCGGTGACATCTGTTCCATTGGAAACTGTTCTGTTCACATGTGGAGATACCGTTGAGTTGATATACTTCTTTACTGCTGCGGTGGAAAATTTTTTATACCCATTAACTTTTGATGCGCTGTTAATATGGTGATTGTGTTATAAAAAAAGTTGATTTTGAAGATCATAGTGGGGTAGTGAAAAGCAAAATTGGTTTATTTCATATAAGCGATTATCTTTTAGCTGCTTAGGACAAGGCAATTAGCTAAATGTATTTTCAACATTTATCAGAGATGAATACGTCCCAGCAACCTGTACATTAACCACACCCTTCTCTCAGTGACGATAGTAAAGATAAGTGACATAGCAAAGTTGTTCTCTTTTTATCTCTCGGCGATAGGTTTGAAAAATTAGAATTTTCACAGAAGGCAATCTTGACGTTAGCGAAAACCAGAAAAGCAGCCTTTTATAATTTGTCTGCGAGGGCATGTGAGTGAGTTGAACAGATTAGTGTCAAAAAGAAGTCTTTGTTAAATAGTTCTTACCGGTAGATGTTGGTGTTGGCGACGAACAGATTTCAGAGTCGTCGTCAGAATTTCAATATTCTGTAGCCATGACTCTTTCTGTTACCATAAAAGGTAGAGAACTATAAAGAAAAAGAATGGGTGTAGTATGATTTAAGTGTCTTACGTATTTCGCAGCTCCCTCCTTCGTACCCAATCCCTGTGCAGTCACACTCGGAGTATTTGATATGATCAACGCATCGACCTCCATTGGAACATCTTTGAGTCCGTTCTGCGCATGCTCCAGTGCAGTTGTCCACCGCCCCTCTTGGAGGAGTTCGAAGTCTCGCTTGCTCTAAGCGACCATTTGGAATTCGGTTGAATCTGATGTTGCCAATACATCCTTGGAAGCTTAAGGGATTCCCTCTGTTATGACATGAATCCAGTCGTTAAAAAAAGTTTTACAAATCATAGTTGAAGATGGAGTGTGAAGTATGGTGAACTTTTCGCTGGGTTGTCCAATAAAGAAAGATATCAACCTTTGTCTCGAGTGTTAAACAAGGAGAAAACTTTCTTCCCCGAACAAAAAGGAACCTAAGATCCTACTATGCCCTCCCAAATGAGATACAGAGATCTCGTAGGTGAACTGTGTCATGAAAGGTTCAAATGGGACAAGTACCCTGTTGTTGTAACCGTCAGCAAACTCGAGTGCGTATATAGAAGCCATTAGTTGACGCATTTCTACGATGACAAAGTCATATCTCAACAATAATTAGTAGATACATTACCCGTAAACTTCCTTGAAAATACTTGGATAGGACATTTCAGACCCTTTAAATCCCTCTCCAATCACAAGACCAGCGACTTGGAGAGACTCGATGTTTTGGCGGCTAACGAAGGACGGAATATACTCTGTGTATGGAATTGGATCTGCGCTGTATACGTTTCCGTCAGTTGAATTAACAAAAAAACGTATTTCGCTTCCAAACAACTCAATTTTAACTTCATGCCACCCCGAGTCGGCGAAATCCACTTTATCCTCAATAAACCGCTTTTGGATAGAAACCATGTTTTGTCCCATCTTAACGCGGAGTCGAAGTTTCCCCTTTATCAGGAATAAATCCATGTGCTGGCCGTGTGTTTTCTCCTCTTGATAAAACATCATCATTTTAGATTTGCTCCAAGTTTTGAAATAGAATTGCAGAGTGGCATTGGCAAGCCAATTCCACGGTTCATATTCGGCATGCGACATTACTTCGCCGAAGAAATAATATCCTTCACTTTCTCCTGCTGCCCGACTTACTGAGGGAGACATTGAACTCAACACATAGGTAAGGCTGAAGAAAATACCTCGCACTAACATTGTTGCAACCTAAGCTTACCACAAAATAGCACAGTTAAACAACTCTTGCATAATGACTCACCGTTATTTACCTTTACATTCAAGACTAACATACCCTCAAAGTTTCAGTGCATTATCCAGCAAAAAGGTGATGTGAATAGACAAACTTATAAGATTGAAAGTGTTCATTTTACGCAATGCCAAATTCTATAAAATTATTTACGATGGAAGTTTAAGCAGCTCGAAAGGAGGATTACTGATCAGATCGTGGCCAAGATACGAGAACTAAACCTCAGACTGAAACTTCATTTATTTGAGTAGAACTCTTGCTCTTATTTCTGCTGTATTCAAGGTGGCATCGATGCTTGAGGCAGAAGCATCTGGGAACCATGTGATTTATATCTTCCCTATTAACAATTTTATGTGAAATGCCATGGCTTTAACCGTGTTTTGACCTCAAAGATGGTAACCAACTATCGCAAGTTGTGTTCAAATTTTCTAAAAATGCAACTTCGCACGCTTGCTAAGTAGCCGGGCCATCGACCAGTGACATAAGAAAGTTGTTCTCTTTTCATCTCTCGGCGATATGTTTTAAAAAATTAGAACTTTCAGAGAGGGCAATCTTGACTTAAATATTTTTTAATTTCTTTTTTCTCTTCTTTTTTTGTTAGCGATAACCAGAGAAGCAGCCTTTTGTAATTTTTTCTGCGAGGGCATTTGAGTGAGTTGAACAGATTAGTTTCGAAAAGAAATATTCGTTAAATAGTCCTTACCGGTGGGTGTCGGTGTTGACGTCGCACAAATTTCTGAGTCGTCGTCATCACTGGAGCAGTCGCCTGAAACATCATCAGGCGAGGGCATTTGAGTGAGTTGAACAGATTAGTTTCGAAAAGAAATATTCGTTAAATAGTCCTTACCGGTGGGTGTCGGTGTTGCCGTCGCACAAATTTCTGAGTCGTCGTCATCACTGGAGCAGTCGCCTGAAACATCATCAGGCTGCTTACAGTTCATTTGCGCGTCTATCAGATTTGTGTTACTCGACGATATACGATTTACCTCAGTGCCAGAAAAACCCTTCGTGTTTGACAATGCATTTTCAAGAACATCCATTCCTTCAAATCGAAACTTCTGTAGATAGCCGTTGAATGAGAGTGTTTTTGATTTTGATTTTTCTCGTATCTTCTTCGCTGGTCCACCACCGAAGTATATGACATTAGAGTGATTGTTTAGATTCAGTTCTTTGAACTTTTTAGTCGAAGAATTTCCACTCGTTCTGACTTTGTCAACAATTAGTGTCAATCGTGACCTTCTTCGTTTGACCTCCACGAAATGCCAACAGCTGTCGTTCAAGGAACCTTTATCACTTTGTACTTCAATAGTATCTACATTTTAAAGTAAAATTGAAGAAAAGTAAATTGTCAACCGAAGCAAATCGCTCGCATTCACAGCCATCCCTCGCCCCAAGGATAGAGCGACTTGCCTACTCGCGTTTCTTTGGGCTTGTGACCCTCTGCGTTTACTCTGAGTTCCTTCCAGCTTTCTGTGATATTTATCTTTCTTCTGATTAGCTGTTGTAATTTTTACTATTTAATTAGAATACACTTGTATTTAGGGACGAATTATGTATGACCATTGATACAGCAATGATGAAAGAGGGAAAACTCACTCGATCAAAGCGTTGTGACTTCCTCACTATCTTACAAGTGCTGCTTTCAACTAAGTTTTGCGAAAGTCACGTAATACGAACGGAACCTCACCTCCTCCAACGTTTGCTTGAGCTCGCACTCTCCCATTGACAAGCTCTACAAGCAAGTGATCCTTATTCCCTCCCATGTAAAAGAAAACACCGTCGGTTGCTTTATTTGTTAGAAATAGAAAGTCTAATGTGTTCCTTTCTGTTGAACGTAAGGGACTGTCGATACCCAAGCTGTACGATATGTGTCCTTTTTCCTTGATATACACAGTTGTGGAACCTGGTTGGATAACAAATCAAATCATCATCACTCATGCTGCCAATTTATTTGAGTGATATTTGATATACGTGTTGTAAGCCTGATTGTTTCAGTTTCTTTTGTTGTTAGCAACAGTTCTGCTCCTTTAATATCTTAACGAGTTTCATATACTGCACATTTGTAAATGATTCTATAAGGCCTTTTGAGCCACTAGCACGTTTCTTGGATTTCAATACGCAGTTCTTACAAGGACAATCAACCTCCCCTTTTTTTTCCCCATTCATTGCGACCTACCCAGACCGAACTTCAATATTCTGCTGTCGTGAATCTTTTTGTTACCAGAAGAGGCAGAGAACTATTAAGAAAAAGAATGGGTGTAGTATGATTTAAGTGTCTTACGTTTTTCGCAGCTCCCTCCTTGGTACCCAATCCCTGTGCAATCACACTCGGAGTATTTGATATAATCGACGCATCGACCTCCATTGGCACATCTTTGAGGCCCTTCCGCGCATGCTCCAGTGCAGTTGTTCTCCGCCTCACTTGGACTAGTTAGAAGTTTCGCTTGCTCTAAGCGACCATTTGGAATTCGGTTGAATCTGATATTGCCAATACATCCTTGGAAGCTTATGGGCTTCTTTCTGTGTTAAGACATGAATCCAGTTGTTAAAAAAAGTTTTACTAAGCATAGTTGAAGATGGAATGAAAAGTATGGTGAACTTTTCGCTGGGTCGTCCAATAAAGAAAGATATCAACCTTCGTCTCATTATTAAACAAGGACAAAACTTTATTTCCCCAACAAAAAGGAACCTAAGATCCTACTATGCCCTCCCAAATGAGATACAGAGATCTCGTAGGTGAACTGTGTCATGAAAGGTTCAAATGGGACAAGTACCCTGTATATTAGAAGGATCAACAATGTGAAAAGCGTCCCGTTTGTAGATAGACGGAGAAAGAACTCAGGAGTATTTTGTTCTCGTTCGTCGATTAGTAGAAGATATTTTGTGTCCAATTGTAAATTCTATAGATCTGAGACTCAAATTTTCTCGGAGATGGTTTTTTATTTCGTTACAATCATTTGACATCTTTCTATGATTTAAAAGCTATGATTGGAAATGATCTCTCGCTGAGTTGACTGGGAGAGTCGTGTGCACGGATTAATAATTCATATGAGCGTGAATTAAAAAAAACAAAGCGCGGACGCCATAATCATTCATTTATGAAGGTTAAACAAATAAAAGTTTTATAACGTTTAAACGATTTACGACTGAAACACGACAGTGAAATAGTAAATAAACTATGCAACTGAAAAATACATGACACAGTCTCCCTTCCTTCCACTCAGAAAAGAAGCTTACGAAAAAGGAAAGTAGTG